TGTACTAGTTATCGGCTTCTCTCTTTCATCTGACATTCGCCTCGCATTTTCGCAACAATATACATTTATTTATTTATTGCCAACCTGGGTGTATTGATGTTCATTTAAATCGATTGAAGATGTATTTAACACCGATAATTTATTGTCATCAGTTATCCATTTTTGACAGTTTCTAACCACCATATGTTTTAAGTCGATTAAGGAAAAGAATCGGGTTATATAAAAAGGTTTTTGCACAAAATATTAAAAATTTTATTATTAAATTCAGCAGGATTTTCCTGTTATTACAGTAGATATACATTTATATTCAGATGTTTCGATTCCGTGCTTTAAAATTAAATAATTGTTTTTATTTCTCTTAGAACTCGAAATTCAAGATGCTTCGCTCTGCTGCTTCACTGGTAAACAAAACATCAAAAGTGCTGGCATGTAGCAATGGATCTCCCAGTATATTATTGGGAACTAATGGAGCTTTCGGAGCAGCGCTAAATACTTTAGTAGTGCGACTCCAACAAACAATGCCTGTTGCAGATCCAAATAATCCACTTCCAAAGAAAAGTCCATCTGCTTTCGGTAGAAATCAACCCAATATGGTGGAATGGTCTATTGCGCGTTTGGATGATCTTCTAAATTGGGGACGCAAAGGTTCCATATGGCCATTAACTTTCGGGTTAGCTTGTTGCGCTGTTGAAATGATGCATATTGCTGCGCCTCGCTACGATATGGATCGTTACGGTGTGGTTTTCCGAGCGTCTCCCCGGCAAGCAGATGTTATAATCGTCGCAGGCACTCTCACCAACAAAATGGCACCCGCCCTACGAAAAGTTTATGATCAAATGCCTGAGCCGCGTTGGGTTATATCTATGGGTAGTTGTGCTAACGGAGGTGGATACTACCATTATTCGTATTCGGTTGTACGCGGATGCGACCGCATTATACCGGTAGACATCTATGTGCCTGGTTGCCCCCCTACCGCTGAAGCTCTCATGTATGGCGTTCTTCAATTGCAGAAGAAAGTAAAACGAATGAAAACTCTGCAAATGTGGTACAGAAAGTAGATCACATTGAATTTATATCTCCTTAATATAAAGGGCACTTGAAATCCGATACCCTCACTACTATAAAGAAAATAAATATAGCTTCTTTATTGATAGAGCCACTTGGCGATAGATCTTTCGTGTGATGTTATAAATAAACATAAATTAAATATAGTAATGAATATTATTTCATTTAAAAAGTTTGAAACTGCTGTGGATTTTGTGAAACAAAATGAATATCCATACAAGAAGAAATTTATATCTTGGAAAATAAAAAATGTACTTTATTTTTAGAGGAATATACTTTAAATTGGATTCAAATAGTTAAATTGGTTTAAATTTTAAATCCGCCACCAACGCTACATGATCAGAGGGAAAAACTACAGAGGGTATAGCTGTATGACTTTTCAGTTCATCTTCTGTTGGCAGGGGTACCACCTGTAAGAAATAAGGCGTATCACTTGTAACCTATAGAGAAATATTGCAAAGAATACCTGATGAACTTGTAGACGATCGCTTTGGTAGAATATGTAATCAAGACAAGCCGCAAATGCATGTGTATAGTTTGTGTACGGGGGAGTGCCACATGCTGATTTCATCTTAAATGGTTGTGAAAGTGTTACGTTGCGCACTGCCTCTTCCCTATCTGAAAATATTGTGCATGAAATTTGAATGATTATGCATATCTAAATCGTCATTTGTATTCGTACTACTTATCCAATCAACAAAATCCTTTCCCACGTTTCCTTCAATCATTAATTTATAAATTCCACATTCGGGAACACTGTTAAAGTCGCCGCTAAAGATTAATGACAACTCTCGTTCATCAGACAAATTTATCTTTTTTAAAAAGTCGTTATATATGTGCTTAACATATAGCATAGCAAATCCCATTTGTAATAGCCTAATATGATCTGCATCGGGATGGAAATAAAGATGGGTATTTGTCACTAATAAATAACGGCCATTTTCCTTGCACTTCAGTATTAAAACCTACATAGAATAATATTTATTTATAATAAATTTTTGTACTTTAAGATTGTAAAATTATTAGCAGGCACCTGTAATGTTGTTGATCTATCACATATTCGCTCAACAAGGTTTTTATTATTTTCAATCTTTTTCCATAAATCGGCAAACAGTGGAAGTGTGCGTATTCCTTCTCCAATGTTTAGTTCATGTTTACAATACATTTCGAACCGTGATTTATGATAAAATATCGCCACTCCCTCGCCACATGTACCCTTTTGAGCAATCACTCCTTGATAACCATATTCGTCAGATTCTAAAATAGGAACCAAATCTAGATCAAATATTTTCACGTCTACTTCCTGTAAGCAAATGATATCCGCATTGTAACCAATTATTTCTTTTATATATAGTTGCTTTCGATAATCAATTTTTAATGCATATGGTGGGCAATAAGGGAAAAGATGGGTTCGCGTATAATCACTATCAGCATAGAGGTCGGCGAGAATATTATAAGAAACCACTCTAATATAGTCACCGCTCAACCTATGCTTGGTGAAAGAGTGTCTTAGCTCAAATGGACACTGCCCTGGACCTGGTTGTACTTCATTTTTCGTGATTTGCTCAACTGATGGACCAAGCTGTCCAGCTTCATTACCAGGTGTTAGTTGAAACTTTAAAAAATATCCAATATCACTATTATCAGTATCATAATGAAAGCCACTGCCGCAGTGTGTCCAGTCAGCACCTCTAAGCATGTCTCCACTTGATGGCTACTTGTAGTTAATTGAATTTGTTGTAATAATCTCTCATTTCACATATTTAAATTGTAATTACCTTTTTTGCCTTGTACCAATTCCCAACACTGTTTTTTCGATCAGCAAACTGGATTTCCACTTTGCTGGGGTAAACCCTGAAACCCGCTAATATACATGTGGGTAAGGATAAACTCAATACCCACGGCATGTTGTACACAATTTCGAAATTTTTATCCATTACACGTAACTTCAAATCACTACATTTGGCCAACAGTTTTTCAAAGGTCATATTTTCGACTTTCTCAACGAGGTCAGATCGCACTATCTCGACTGGAATCTAAACAAAAAATGTATTAGATACATATGTGTATAGATAATCAAATTAAGTTTATTTCTACCATATTGAGGTTACATTTCGCTACTTCCTGCGTTTGGTCAGTTGACTTTTTCTTCCCCTTTTTGTTCTTTTTATTTATTTCTTTTTCTATATTATTGCGTATGCGAGCTAGAGCGTCGTCTATATTTTCGTTCATTTTACGACAAAAATTGAAATCACGGTCCACTCGCATCTCTTCATCAGTAAATCGAAAACTGATATGAAGATCTTGATTTGCACCATCATTTCGTAAATATACTTTGTCCATTTCGATTTTTCTGTGACGAGAATAAGCTTTCCGTATCTGCGAATTCCAAATTATCGAAGATCCTGGTGACCAGTTATGAAATGTTGATAAGCCAATAAATTTTCTGAGCCTTGCTGAAGGATCAATTCCACTGACTCTCAAAACTGATGTACGAAACGGCATCGGTCATTGAACACGAAAGGTTTGAGTTTGTACAAGTATTTTGTAAAAATGCCTAGATTGTTTTAAGTGTATTAATTTTATTAATAATAGATATATTTTTTACAACTTTCATGTTCGTCAGCTGTGGGCAGCATATGCAAAGAATGTTTAATAATTATTATACATTCTCTGCCATATGTTATTAGAGACGGGAGTGACATTTAATTCGAAAAACATCGATATCATCGTCTTAATCAACTATACCAGAGAACGTTCTCTGGTACGAGCATGTCAAACAATTTCTAGAACTGATTACGAGATATCGATGACGTATATAGAGAGCGACGGTAGTCAGTTATAAAATGAACTCTTTGGTGATTATTTTGGTGCAGTAGAGTGTGAAACTTGTAATATAAATACAATTAAGAAATTCTGCAAAAAATTGGTTTCTTTTATTTAACAAACTTATGTTCAAACTTGAAAAGTTTGGGAAATCATCATACGATCTTCCATGCAATATTGAAATAGAAAATACTTAAGATTCAGGATTTGATGAACAAACCCTCGAAAGAAAATTGTCAGAGAGAGGATTATCTACAACTGAAAATAAGGGGGAGCTATAATAACAGATGGGAGAAGCTAAGGAATCCAAAGGAATCGTGAGGGCGAGGAGAACCACAAAGGATGTGGAGAAGGAGGCTGCGAAGGATTTGAAGCAGCTATCAGCGAAGGTGGAAAAAAAGGCTACTGGTGTGGACATGAACGCACTACTGGCTGCAATGTCACAAACGAATGCCATCATTTCATCACATCTGCAAGTACAGGTTGCACATATGCCTGAAATGTCATCGCAGATTTGGTCCCAATAAAGCTTCAGGAGAATTCAGAGAAAGACAGGAGGAAATCGAAGACCTCGGTAAGGTCGAGGATAAAGTCAATGATATTGAAGAACATCTCCGAAACATTCAGATCAATTGTAAAAAAAACTTCATCCATTGACGGCAAAACTCCTTTCCAGGTCCGCTGCCTTGTAGTGAACAAGTGTGAAAGGTCGGCAAGATAGCAGTTCACTTTCTTTGGTGAACTTCCGTTAATTATATTTACATACATGTAATGAAAAACAAACTGCTAATTTCTGTGTTAGAGCTACGCTGATACATGCTACACAAATCCTTCTACGTTAAACCGTCACGAGCTACAGAAATTTTCGTGAGTGTTTCCAGTAAAAGGGTGCCTAGACTTAACGAATCGCAACAAACCTTACCAATAACGTTAATTAAGATCGAGCCGAAGTTTTAGTATTTCAATGTTAGAATTACGAGTAGTATGCAACTATACTATTAGAACTTCTTCCATCGAAGCTTATGAAAATTTTGGAAGCTATTGTATAACAATTCACGGAATTTTTAAATGAAGTATATTGCCTATTATTCATATAAATTTTCACGGTTAACTTCATCAGTTAATTTACAATAAGGATTAACTTACCATAGAATATTTAATTTTAATTCCATATGATTAAATTTCCTTATCAGTATCTAATTGTTTCTTCTTCTTTCTTTAACAGCGTAGCACCGCTTGCGCGATTTATTAAAAATGGAAACCCTCCTACTTATTGATGTAGACTTTATTCCCTTATCTAAATTTTATTTGGTAAACAGATGACCATTCTCCCAAGTACAACTATTTTTATTTTACACTAACTAAGCAAATGTATTTTTTATTTAAATTTCAGTTTATTTTAATTATAATTACAGATTTAAATATGAGTTGAGATGTTTTAAATTTTATTTCATTTACGTTACATCCACCGATCCCTTTTTCTGGTATCATTCTTTTAATTATATTTAGGTAATTTTTGTTCAGCTTATTTTTTTACAATTAATTTTGGCTTCTAAACATAATTGCGTATCGCTTCTCTGAACTGAATGCAAAATACATAAATATTCCTTTTCCACATCAAGGATTAAAGTATTGTAATGTGTGTTTTCTATTGCATTTCCTCTTTTCGTTAATACATAATTATGAAAAAATTTATTTATTTTCGTGAACGTGTCGACTTGTTGGACCTTTGAGGGATTCGGAGCAAGTAATAGCTGAGAATGTTTTGAGTTAAAAACAAGTAAAGGTTAAAGATTGTGTATGTGATATACATTTAATTATTTATTTAAAAGGTATGAAATATACCGCAAAAAATTACAAGAAAGCAAACAAGGGCTATATATATGTACGGCAGGTTTGCGGCGTTTTTTTTTTGTGCTACAGTCGGGAAGATAAACAAAAATCAATAAATAAATTATAACCTCTCTATACGGTACTTCAGAAATAGTGTAAGTACGCATAAAGTAACGCTCAGTCAAATCTTTAAAAACACACAAAAATACGTTTCAAAATGTTTAAAGCTCAATTCAATACAGCATAACTTTAATTAAAATGAAAAAGAATAAAATAACCGACAAAAACAAGTAACATTCGTATATATGAATATGAAACCATAATTGAGAATACATCCCAATTATTACATAAGAAAGATAAACTAAATTTATGTAAAATATAATTATTTTCTATCTTTAGGCTTGCCTGATGTTTGTGTAAATATGTATGAAGGTATGGTTAATATTTCATTCACATGCATACAAACGTAGAAATATGTATATACCTAAATTCGCTATCCAGCAATTTTATCATGTTTATGTTAAACAAAAAAAGTAAATTTATTATCTGTATGTATATGGATACAAACAAGTATATTTTCTACTACATCATCTTGTGTATGCAATAAACACAGGTAATTAACTGCAACCAGTTAAAACTCATAGGTATGTTTCTCTTAATTAAATAACATAAAATTTAATGTTTACTTCTGATACATATTTTATGCGATTGTTTCAGTATTACGTGTGCGTTAACAAATCTTGAATATGAATTACATTTTTGGTAAAATCAGTTGAAATGTGTTTCATAAGTTTGACATTTATGCGACAAAACTTTGTACAATCAGTTTTCTTTTCCTTAAAGGTTATTGTTTTTGTGCTTAAAAATTAAATATTGAGCTTTTAATAAGAATTCTTATGTATGCATATGTTAGAATTGAAATTATGCCGAAAAAAAACTCAATTGTGTAAACAAAACGCAAATCGGTAGATTATAAATATATTTTTTTTTTTTGTAAGTGTAAGAAAAATTTTAGTCGAATGTAGTCACGCCTATCACTTAAAAAAATGCATTACGGTACTCACTCCCAGTACAACAAATTCATACATACGCTCGTGTATGTAAAATGAAATTTAAAAACGTCTGAGGGATACCTTAAAGTCTTAGCACAAGCACGAGGCTAAATTTTTGATACTTTTTTATCCGATAAATGTATTTACTTAACTCGGATGCATAGCCTTTCCGTACTTTACATTTACAAATCACAGCAGGCCGAAACGAAGGAAGTCAATTGGAATTGCATGATGCTGGTCATCTTCTATTATATTATTTTCGAAGAAGTTAAGACTTTGATCTCACAGCAGTATCAAACGATTTTATAATTGAATTGAAGTTGCGCTGTTTTATTAAGAAACTCCCCTAGTACCGTGAAAAATGGAAATTCAAGTCGCAATATTGTGTGATCTGATTTGTTTTGTATGCAAGCATTTGTAAGTGTTAAAGTAGAGTGTATGATTGCATTTATGTATACATATATCTGTGACTAATTTAATTTTTATTATGTTGCCGATGTTCGTGATGTTTCCTTATCGAATATAATATTTCACCACTTTTATTTATTCATCTTTTATTCTACGCTTCTAATTCTCGCAACTCTCAATTATATTGATTCACACGATCGGAACGTCGTATTTGTTGTCCTAGCGGTATGATCCCCGTAAGGACGCTACAAATACCGCTTCTAATATTCTTTATATGTAATTTATTATACAAATTATTTTACGGTCATTATTTTAGATTTTGTTTTCATACTACTCCCTTCATTATTTAAATTTTTGTTTCTTTTTTTGTTCACCTTACGTTTTTGTTATTTGCTGTATTAGGTATGCAAGTATGATTATAGCTGCTGCCGCATAGCTTATATGGCCATATAAAATTTATTCGTTACTTTTTTAATTTTTGAATCATTTTATAAGTTTGAGTTGTATATAAATTAGGACTTAAAATTAATAAGAAAAACTTTATAAATCTTATTGGGTTGCATTCAAAGTATTCTTTTCTTATTTTGTTTTATTTTTACTTTTACAATTTTTTTCTCTTTTAACATTTCGACTTAATTTTCTTGCTGTGGTTTTGTAAATGCGTTTTCAACAGATTTCGCTGTGATTTAACTCTGTTAAAGCCTACGCTTTTATCATGGCTTTTGTGCTGTGTGTTTCTGCTGTATGCATCAGTATTTTATTTTACTGTGACATCATTTTCATAATTTTATTATATTCTCTGCAACATTTGCTTAGTGACTTTGTATTTGTTGTATTTGGTTCATTGTTTCTTAATATTTTTTTTATCGGTCTCGTTTTTTTTATCAGTTTTTACTTTACTTTTAACTTATATGCTTTTATGTATATATATTATATAAATAATTTGTTTAATGTAAGCTTGTATATAAATCGTTTGTGTAGGTGTGTCAACGTATGCATCCGTCTCTGTCCAATGTCCCGAAGTCCCTTTTCCCGGGTGTTCGATTGTTCGAGTGTTCAATTGTTTGTTGGTATGCGTGTATACTAGTTGGTTTTTTATTTGTGTATTATATGTAAAAATTTAAATATACTGCCGCGAAATGGAGGATAATGAGGATTTGGTGTGTGGGAAGTGGCCGTTTTCTTTTTAGTTGGTTCAGATTACTCGATACCTCGCTAAATTGGGAAAGCGTCTGCTGTTTATGTCGTAACTGAATGAAAAATTATATTCTACATTTTTATTTTTTTCCACTCCAACCACACTTGCATCCGCACCTCAACCACTTATGGCTGGATAACGCACAGTCGCAAACGCTTTAATTCCACACACGCAAAAACGAGTCCCATGATCCCGTTGCTACGGCCATTCCATTTTCGGTTACACCGAGACATGAAACACGATTATCATGGCCTGCCAAAATGCCGGACCGTTCTGCTTTCATTGTATCCCAAACGTTGCAATTAAAGTCATCATAGCCGGCAAGAAGCAAACGACCGCTTTTGGAGAACGCCACTGATGTGATACCGCAGATTATGTTATCGTGCGAGTACATGGCCAGTTCCTGATCAGCGCGGATATCGAAAAGGCGGCATGTGGCGTCATCAGAACCTGTTGCAAATGCTTGTCCGTTAGGGAAAAATGTTACTGCATTGATATCAGATTCGTGGCCCGGAAAAGTTTGTTTACATACACCTTCACGGATATCCCATAACTTTGCTGAAGCATCACAAGCACCAGATACAAAGGTTTTGCAGCCTGGCGCCAAAGACAACGCCATTACGTCGCCAGTGTGACCCAAAAATGAGGTTACCTGTTGACCGGTCTCGATATCCCAGAGGCCACAAGTCATATCGCCTGAACTGGTTACAATCTGATTGTCATCCAGAAAACGACAGCATGACAAATATCCACCATGACCAGGCAGCTCACGTGAGACACGCACATTACCTTCGCGCGTCTTCAAGTTGTAGATTGAACACATGTTATCAAGGCCTCCACAGGCGACATAACTTCCCGATGGTGCGTATGCACACGTCATCACCCATGAGGACCGTAAAGGTATAGCATGCACCTTATTGGTGGTGTGTGAGTCCCAAACAATCAATTTGCCATCTTGTGATGCCGACACTAAATTACGTGAATCACTGCCCCAGTGCATAGCATAGATCTTTGCCAAATGACCACGCAGAGTGCGTCGTGTGCGCATCTGAATGCGGCCTATTGGCTCCAAAGTAGCGGCAGCTTGTACCAAACTTGTGTCACATGCAGCTTTACGTGCATCACGAATAGCATTTTTAAGAGATTCTGCTTCTTGTCTTAAACTATCTAACTCATTCATGTCGATGATCTTGTTGTTGTTGCCGTTAATGTAGTCAAAGTTGGTAACTATTTAATAGTTTGAAGCTCCTATATTTAGGTACAATAGAATTTTAATTAAATTATATTACTAAAAACGAAAAATTATTATTATTATATCAGGATACAAATATTTTTCTTTCGACTTTTACATGATATATTACGAAATTGAAGCTAACCATGTAAGATGTATTGGAAAATATTACGTTTAATTAGAACCGAAAAATAAAATGAACTCATCATCAGAAAATCTAACAAGAATTTAAAACAACTTACGAGAACAATGCAAAATTAATGGAACATAAAGAAAGGAGATATAAAGTGGTATGCGAAGAGTAGATAATGCCGAAAAAGATCTGCATAACAATATTGAATTTTTTGAATTTTAAATACAAAATTGCTTGTGAATAAAGCAATATTTTTATCATTAGCAACGCTACGGATATATCGAAAATGCAACCTGCTAAGTAAAATTTTTTGTTCAATTCGGAATTACAATATTACCAGTACCAAAGCAAAAAAAAAAAATTTAAAATGGTATTGCATATTCTATAAAAAATATTTGTATCATGGTTATCTTGTAATAAAATTGTGTCATAAAATGTACCTGTGTATTTTCTCCACAGGCGATGCTAAAAGGGTGAATTAAGGGTGCGGTTTTATCTCCTCTGTTAGCGGACTGTAACTTAAAGCGTTTCCTTTCTTGTCGAAAATATTGTAGTAAATACAGATTTTACTTAGTTTAAAAAGAAAATTTGTGCGTTCCAATACTTGTGCCTTGAATTAAAAAAAAATAAGGTTTACGGCCTTTTAGTTTTCTATGTCGCTGATGTTCCTTGTCGCTCTGATCCAAGTGCTTTGCCTTCCCCTACGCTCGATTATTTTTGCTGCTGCAGTATGTATATGTATATTTCCACCTTCTATAATTTTCATTCGTGTAATAGTGTGGCGGTGAATAATTTTTTCACAAGTCCGTCCAATTATGCAGATCACAAGCCAACTTTATGCCTACTCTTTAGCGACTTTTACCCAAACGTTTATCAACTTTTATTTAGCAAACACTTTTACAATTTTCAACCGATTTTCCACCGACAAATTAGAAAAATCTTATTCGCTGTTCCGTTCTCTTCTACTTAGCTCTACTTTTTTGGTACACCAAAATCGCTTGTAATTCGCACCACCAATACGGAGACTTGATGGAGAACGAACGCAGCAACAGAGATAGTGGCAGTGGCAGTGGCAACGGCAACGACAACGGCAGCGACGTATTATCAATGTACGGATAAATATGTATTTGGCGAACAATACGGAGGAAAGTACGGCATCGCGAGCGTCACGGCACAATAGTAATCGCGTCGCAGCCACAGCAACAGCGAGTATATTTAACGAAAAATTGTGGACAAATATGTAAGCAGTTGTCGCAGTCACGCCAGTTAAATTCAGATGTCCGGATCAACGTATGCAAATGTGCAAAAGAGAGAAAAGATTGAGAAAAGAAAAATCAATTTTAGATATTATTTTCTCGAATTAGCAGCAGCTACGCAGCACTGCTCCCACAAATGCGGAGAATTTACTCCACATTATAGGGTACTGCTTCTTCTTCTTTTTTCATTAGTGACACTAGTGAAGATTACTAATTTTTTCATGGAATTTTTTCCTTACATTTTCTTTTAACTCTTCACTCATTTACAATACTAACTTTGTTATTCAGGATATCACTGTATCAAAAGCTCGTTTTTTCGAAATTAGATGAGTGTTTTTTTCATTTGCACCATCACAATATTTTTAGATTTTTAAAATCCCTGCTGCAATAAATTTTCACATTCAACTAAATCGGAACACAACTTCTACTACTGCGTTGATTCTGCTACTTGCTGGAGAGAGAGTTGCAGTAAGCAGTAATCAAAAGCTGCTGTCAGCGCCACTGCTCTGCTCTGCAAGCTTGACAATTCGGCCAACACCTATTATCACGAAGTACTTAATTCAACGAAGACCGCGTCACATTCAACGAAATTTAAAATAAATATAGGGTGACCACGAGAATTTAATTCTGTACACTTTTTTTAAAGTCGAAAAACTGTTTTTGCGGTAATAAGTGACGAGTATATAAATTGACCACCCAGCAATTTTCGGCCGAGCTCCTCGTACAATTTGTAGTCCGCATCTTGTTATTTTTCGTAATTTTAGGGGTCATGCGAACGCCGTCAGAAATACGCTCGCAGGGGCTGACAACCCTTACCGAGGGAGAATTAATTTTATTTAGAAAAAAAACTTTTTGCTGTTTAGAATGTTGGTCTGGCTTTAATTCCATTGTTTTTCACTCAACAGCATCAGTTTATAATTCATCCATATACATACATATCTCTGATATGTGTAAGATATGCATATAATACCTTTAAAAGTATATATGCATGTATATAACTTAATACTTAATAAGCTAGTCGTTTTAAAGCTACGAAACTTTAATTGTAAGTATGGTACGTTTAGGGTGCCCAGTTTTTGTGTCACTACTTCTGCTAAAATATAAAAGGCGGATTTTGAATAGAAATCGCTATACTTTACACAAATATTTCTTAAAAATACACAATTGAGGTCTTTTGTAATTTATTTAAAAAATAATATACTTACCTTAATCTCGTACAAACATAATCATGTTCCAATAAGTATGTGAAGCTTATACATAGTTTGTGTAAGATAATTATTATTATTACATATGTAAGTGGCGAGATATAATTTTGAATTTTAAAGGCATGTTTCATATCTGAATCCGGAATCCGGAAACTTATCGGATGCATTCTCTTTAAGTCAGAGCATAAAAACAATCATTATTTACATCAATTGTGTTTATTAAAATGTAACTTTGTCCACGTACAAAATAATCAAGATACGCGTAACACCTTACAAACTTTTCTGTTAGCAAAATAAAATCGAATCATTGCGACCAGTAATATGTATTCATGCCGCAATCTAAGCCATCTTCAGTTGTAACAACTGCGCCGCACACGCATTGCAGCAAAGTTATACATGTGTACCATCTTAAATATATTTCTTATTATTATCCTTATTGTATTCTTTAATAAATTTCAATCAATTCAGTTTTTTTCAGCCATTCATTCGTATTCAACCAGCAAATGTAGGACAGTAAGCATTTAAACCGCTGGACCTTCCTTCTTGCAACAATTATTAAACCGAAACTGAATAATTGGTCTCAGAATATACTTGGTATGAATTATCTAAAAATAAATAGGCAACATAATTAATTCTTTAGGTTTTCTCATATGTCGTATATACATTTTTATTTTCTAGCTTATTTATATTTATATATAATTTTTTTCTTAAGTTAATAGTTTTAGTAAATAAAATACGAAATGATATCGTGATAATGTTTTGCTTCAAAGAGAACCAAGGACATATCTATGCAATAACACATACATATATGTATGTTTTAAAGTTTTAATTTGCATTCATAAAAGCAATGAAGCTTGTTTAAAAACTATTTCACAATAACAAAACCAGAAATTGATTTTGCATGACGCGAATTGGTTAGAAAGATAAAAAAAATCAAATACTTCATGCTCATTTGTTAAGATATAAGCCCAACGGTTACCCGTTGCTTACCAAAAATCTCATAGGCATATTTTATAATTTTGAGATTTATTGGCATATCTACATATATTTATATTTTCCGAACATAATATTTCATTTTATTTGTAAACTTCCAATAATCATTTATAAATATATGTACCATCTATTTATTTAAATGTTTAAACATAAGATTTACGTAAAAGAAAGGCATTTAGCTTTGATTATTGGAATTCTTATTTGAATATATTTTTCTCTGCTTCAATAAATTTTATCTAAGGAATAGTAATTCGGCAAAACATACTTATGTACATAATATCATGAAGAACTGACGCAGCTGAGCCTGCTATTTATCACGCTCTCTGTTTGTTTTTCGAAAGCGACGCTGAAGTATGAGTATTGGGGAATAACTTTATTGCCAATCTACATGGCATCAAGATTATCATGGTGTAATAATTATGATTTATATAATTAATCTAAATGTGTTGACACTTAAGCAAAGCATTGTTATTTTCTGAAAGCGTTAATAACCTTATGATTAAAAATTACCCTCCCACGAGTGCTGGAAAACTTTTAGTCATCATCTCTCATGTACTCTTTCTCGAGCTCGTTGAGCAAAAAATCATTGATATCACTAACTGAACTGACAACATTAACTGAAATAAATAATAAATGAAATAAATTCAGAGGTTTTAAGGCTTTGTATTTTTTTTTTACATATATATATGTATATGTGCTAATGAGGGGATTGTATAGATGTGAATGTGGCATATGTGACATATATATGTATGCCTTACAACCAACATTTCTTTCTCTAAAAAAAAGTTGTACATATTTTAGGGTTAAAGTACATAACTAAACGCTTCATTACTGATAAGTAATTTTCTTAGGTAAAGGATGTGCAAAAAATTTTAGCACAAACTATAATCAACTAAACCATTAAAACAAACTTTTTCGTAGAAATAGCATGCCTGTAATCACCTTACCAGCAAAATATAATAACTTCTAACCACCCACAAAACTGTTAGACTGTCCAGTTAGGAGGTACGAAAATGTCAAATAGGAGTTTAAAAAAACTACCTATTAATTGCCTTATGGACTAACCTGTATTATAGCTTGAAGATTTGGGTAAGTTAACGACATCTCGGCGAAAAGAGGAGAGATTTTGAGTAAACCTAAAAAAAAAACAATTAAATAATTAGTAAATTGTATTTCATATACAAGGAAAGAAGTTACATACTTTTCCTTATTTTTGCTAGAAACATTGCGTTCAATGCCCACCATAAGATCATCAAACCATTGTGCCATAGTCTGCTGTTTATCTAGGGGCTGTGAACGTATAATGTTATCTTTCAAAGACCTGTAAGAGGAAATAATTCAAAATGTATATTATTATCTTTGCTTATATTTTTACATCAAATGAAGGACACTTACCTAAAATAATCTTCATATAACAGTATGAGCACTAATAGAGGACGTGACATTGACCACTGATTTCTGCAATCTTCTGCCATAACATTGTTCAGCAATGTGGACATCATGTTCTGCAACAAATCAGAGTTCATCTCCACTACCTGTTGATATTTTTTTAAATAAATAAACAAGAATCTTATGTTCAAAGTGATGTATACCTCAAGGAACTGTGCATTTTCTGGAGTTATATTGCGCAATTTCTTATTGGGGAATGTTGAAACTGAAAATTATTATTATTATTTTCGTGTTATGGTAATATTTATATACGTACCTTTCAATTGCAATTGTTTAAATATATATGATACGATGCTATCCAATATGGAGCAGCAGCTGATATAAATTGTCGAATCTAATATAAATTAATTATATCAATGATTTATTAATTGTGATAAATATAAATTATCTGAAATTATTTATTTTTTACCTAATGCAGAAAGGCCTTTTGAAAGGCTTTCCAATATATAAACAAACGCTCGTGGTTCCAAGCCAGCCAAAAATGTTATATGATCCTGCGATAAACAGCTAAGCAGGCCATAATATGCCGAAGACAATTTCGGATATTCCTAAACAAAACAAAAAATTAAAAAAAAAAAAATTTCTCAACTTAATTTCCATTTTAAATTTACGAACCAATAAGTCATTTTGTTGTATAGACATAATAAGTTTTGCAGCGATATTCAGCACATTATCAAGCGTATCATCGCCGTATAATTTAAAAACTCCGAAATTGACATAATTTCCACCCAAAGCATTTTTAAGGATTAAGAAACATATTGAAATGCCTTTCAGTCGCATTGGGTACTGTTGGTCTCGTGGAACATCTATATGCAATATGCGATTACCATAAATGCATATAAGTTTAGATGCTTCGCGGAATAGTAAAATTCCCATAGGACTTGACACGTTGCCTTGTAGACGCTGTGTACGACAATGCACGAGCTCAGCGAATAATTTCAGTACGGGTGTTGTAACTGCTGGGTCATGTGCCCATAATTCTACAGCACGTATGAGTATAGGCAAATAATCGGCGTAATAGCTGTAAAGTAAATAAACAAAATATATCACAAATAATATTTATGTATGTATGCACGCATTTTTAATAACATAATTACTTACAGCCATTCAAAGAGCATTGTATATGGTATACGTGCATTTAAGGGTTGAGCTAGGCCTCGCAAGTCTCGCGCTAAACCAATAATTGCTTTTTTAGCCTCCTCGTTGGGAAAACTATTGGCATCCATCAACACAGAGCCAAGTGATTCAAATTGATCTGAAAATTCATAAAAACTGTTTAGTAGTTTAGTGTTATCAGCACACTTGCTTGAACAATCTATATACAACTGAATTAATAATGTGATATTTAATCGCCAATAAATGTAAGGACATAGCTAATTTCTCTTTTAAAAACCATCTATATAAATGAAAGGTTACCAAAAGCAAGCAGTCAGGTGTTACATGGGGAATTACTACACCTTATTAACAATGCGAATTTATTTTACGTAATATTACTTGTAAGCGGTGTTAAAAAGTTGTAAAAACGTTCTTCATCTTCGCCTAAATCGAACATAAGCAAACGTCCAAGTGATGTATAAAACATTGTGCGACAGCGCATCTCCGATAACGATGAATTGGTTCCCAAAAATGGAAAATGTTCACTCTAGCGAATAAGTAATTTAACTGTTATTGGAATATTATAAACTAAACACTAAACACTAATTACTCACCGTATGATGGGTTAACATGAATTGCACCTCCTCAAGTTTGGCTAGTTTTCTAACAGAATTAAAATGCACCGACAGATCCGACAGCAGCATTAGTGTTTTAGTTATGATTTGCTCGGAATGACCCCAGAACTTAAGATTAGTTATACTGGAATACAAGTAGTAAATTGTCTCATTAAGAATCAATGTGTATTTTGATGTTTTCCCGGTAAAGGAAGTACCCTAAAGTATTTACTAAGCCGATTTCGAAAGACTTTTGGTTTTTTATGAGGAACCTTTCTTTCATGTCAGAAGTGAGAGTGAGATATCTTGCCAAGGGGTGATCACAATTAGAAAATAATTTTTTTGTTTTTTTATGTTAATACATTATTTTATTATTTAAAGTTATTTTCTGCAATTTTTGTAGATTGGTTGAACCAGGACTCGAACCTTGGGCTTCTGAATCTCATTACGCAGTACAATTGGCAAAAAGTAAAACAAAAAAAAATAACCAAAAATTAAAATTTTTCACTTACATTTTACGGTTTATGAAACTTAGAAGCATTTGTTCGTCATTTAACCCAAAGACTTCGCTAAGTCGTTTGTAAACATTCGCTTTTTGCGTTTGTTCACTGATGTGCATTTTTCGTACTTGTTCCAGGAAACTTAATACAGCCAGTTCGAGCTTCTCACAACCTGCTTGTGGTAATCGTGCATCGGTTAAGCTCATTAATTGTAAAACCTAAATTCCGTGCATTAGAAGTGCTTTAAATACAGAAAAGTATGAATATTCTACCAACTACAATTAATTTACCCTTATAACTAATTCAGCATCCATTGTGTCATGATCATCATTGGAATTAACTGTTAGTCGTCCAACGATTGCTGAACCAATTATATAAACTAGCCATGTGAGTTGCAGTTCATGTACGGTAATATCCATAGGATTGGAATTGGGTGTTTGCAGTAAGTTCTCATATTCTCGGGCTTTTTGATCAAAATGCTGTACAAGTAATGTACACGTTTTATCATATTCACAACGTTCAATCACTGACAATTGCTCGAGTTGTTGTTGAACCATACACAAGTCATCCAAAGGATCTTCCATATTATCACGCACAATAACTGGGACTGCGTCGAGACGTGACTCAATATAAGCTTTGGTCACCTCGGGTGTATACGTTCCTAACAGATGTGGTTCGGGTGATTTGACATACGGCACAGATGCTACCATTCGTTGCCATAATGTCAGCAGATAATGTACGCTGTTTGGGGCGAATTGCCACATCTAAAAAGGAAAAATTAGATTTAGTGAAAAGTAGGGTTTTCGAATGTGATTTTGCATACCTGTAGAGATTGAACAGTAAATTTTGCTATGAGCTGAATAGCTTCTGGATAACAGGGTACCGCTATGAGTTCACCTAACTGGTAGTTAGATTTGAGTCGAGCTAAAAGTCGACAAAATTCATGATAGTTATCAGGATCACTAAGTCCCTAAAAGTACGTTTTATTAAACAACCATGAAACAAAATCATTTGCGAATATAATATAGTCCAAATAAGCTTACATGTAGATTTACAAGTATATTCTTCACACCCTCGACTAAATGTGTAAGGAATTTTGTCCTCTCGGAATTATTAAAAAGTGATCGACGCACGGAAGTCATCTATTGAATAAGTTATAATAATAAATGTTAAATTTTATGTTCTTTAACTTACTTGTACTAGACAAGAAAGCGAATAACTCGCCAAACCATTAGGAAGAATCTGGTAAAGATCGAAAAATAATTTCAACGTGTTGGAGTCTAAGAAAGCAGGCCGCCAAGATGTGGGTATTTGCACACTGTTCATGTCATCCGAAGATTCATCTGTTGAACTGCCAATAAAATCAAAGCTCAAACAATTTTTGGTCAACCGCAATACGTGGGAAATTAATCTGCAAAAGAATAATTTTGTGTTCATAGAAAAAATATCATATATAAATTGCAAATGTTACTAAATGTAATACGAACGCTTGTTGGGACTCGTCCATGAAATTCAAATTTTTACTATTGTCTCGTGCAGTGACCAACAAAGAGCAGGACAATAGAAATATATCGTAGAGTTGTTGATCGCGAAATGATGTGGCAATTTTTCTATTTTTTGAGAATGATAAATTAACATCGACTTCGATTATAGAATTCATCTCCAGAACAAGTTGTGATAAAATTTGTACACCAATTGTGCAATGTTCAACAGAGCCCTGAAATAAGTTGTTATTAAGCATAAAAAGTATTCATGAGTTAAAAAAACAATCTACCTGTAAAAACTTTTTCACATCTTCGAAAAGGTTTTGAAAAATCAATTCGCTCTTATACATATCGAACCAGCCATATTTTGTAATTTTCGCTAGAAGTGTAACCAACGCTTGCACCACGAAATGTTGCAGGCTGGGTCGATTAGCCAAATAGTTGAGTACATAGCTTCTACAGTTTAAAATTTATAACGTTTATTTATTTTTTAGTATATTAAATCTATTTAACCTTATATCAATCCGCTGCTCTAAATTGAGTCCTTGGATTAGTTTCGTAAGTGTCGTTGCTGCCAGCAACTGTGCGTAGCTGGAATCGGCACGTTCTAATAGCATTTGGCATTTAGGTAGCGCGTCCTGACTACTAACGAAAGCTACTAATGCCTTCTCTGCATCTGATCGTATTATTGAATCGGTGGCTTCATAGAGCTGCTTACAAAGTATTTCTAATTGTTGTATTTCCTGGGAGAGAAAATGTTTCATATTTACATACATACATATGTATTTATTAGAACATAACCTTAAGATAAGAATCCTCTTTTTAAATTAAAAGCATTTGCTATTGAATATTATTTTTGCTTTCAACTCACCATAATTATATCGAACCGATTCTGCAATATATATACTTATCCTTTCTATGCGGAATACTACTTTAATTTATTTCCAACGTTCAATTCTGCCCCACTGCTTGGTAACTATGTACAACAATTGTTTTGTTCGAAACTAAATGATATTTAGAAAGTTTATAAACAGTGTTCTTATTGGTAAATAGCGGCATGAATTTAACTCCTGAATGTTTATATATTTATTTCCGAATATTTACAGCAATTAAATCAAATTGTGAATGTTAATTCACAATTTTATGCTTCTCCGTATATTTTTTGTTTTTCAACCGCGGCCATTGACGTTTAAGGGAGATGCCACTAATTTATAGCGCTTTTTAAGTGTACTAAAACGTAAACTCATATTTGCACCTGAAAGACAAACAACACAATCGATGTAGGATTTCGGCCAAAAACTGTCGGGTACATACGTGGTACTCGCGTCGGGTACCTCATTAAACGTGTCGTTGCATAACCCCGTTTGAGAAAAACAAAAAAAAAAGTTATCAGCTTTTGTAAAAATGGTTTCCGTTTGTTTTTGTCGAGATAGGACTTTACTTCTCAAGTACTTTCGTAGCCCAAAAAGCGCGAGACATTTCGTCAAGACTAATATTATTAATATCTAATAATCTATTAATCCAGATAATTTGAGCTCGTTTTATGCCTGCACTACCTAGGGATGGGCAAAGAGATCGCAGAAGGTTAAAGTCAATATAGCCGAGAATATTTATAATTGGAGCTTTGTAACCACTGAAGGGAATTTCGGCCTGGTAGTGGTAGGGATGTTTTCCAAGAAATGGGGTACCTAGAGTTTTAGCTAAGCTGCCTCCACGCGGCTGATATTTTTTTATTACTTAATATTTGCTGCCGAGGGCGACCGAAATTAAAAAAACTATTTTAATTTTTTACTTAAATTTATTTGTGGTAGTTTTTCAATGTTGGTTAAGCCAGAATTCGAACTCCGTCCTGTCGAATGGCAGTACGCAAAGCTAACAATGTTAATTATTTTTTATTGAAATGAAAAAAGTGAGATTGGTACTAAATATTTTAAGATTTTCATTACGACTGTCATTTAGAAAACCGTAAATTAAATGCAACCGTGAGAGCCTAACAAATGGATACCGGCAAAGTTATCTGTAGTACCGCATCTAGTTATCTCTGCCGGCAAATGTATAACAAAAAAATTAAATGTTATATTGTATAAATTAAAGATATAAGAGGAAAAAAGTAGACAAAGCAATTTCATAATTTTCATGATCATTAAATTTTTGGCCGTTATTATAAGAGAAATGTCTTTCTATAACTATGATGAGCATGATGAGCTTATGGATTACATTGAGGAGGATTATGAGACCACATATGAAGAGCAGGGCCGTACGTGGAAAGAAACATATGAATCCTGCATAGTACCATCAACTTTACAAATCATATGGTATATGTTAATTCTAATTGGTTGCAGCTTCGTATGTCGTTTTGGAGTTGCAGTGTGTCGACGATTTCACACTAAAAACGACTTGTTACTTCACTCAATTACCATAGCTTCAGGATGCAGTATGTTAATGATAGCCGTGGGTAACAAATGGCTTATAATTGCTTTTTTTGTAATAATGTCGTATGCAGTTTTACATTTGGTAAATCTATTTGATTCCATAAGGCAATATATTGGAGTTATTGTGTTATTAATTACAATTTCAACACAGCTTTGTTGTGAGTTTATATGGAAACAACAAGTAGATTGGCAAATGATTAAAGGGTCGTTGATGGTCTCAAATATGAAAATTATTTCAATTGCTTTCGAAATAGGTAAATTGAACAGTCGAAACATTTTAATTGTGCCAAATATATTTTCTTATTTTGGTTATATTTTTATGCCTTCAAATTTATTAATTGGCCCTTGGGTACCTTACAGCTCATACTTGCAGAGTTTGCGTCCCAAGGCACAACTACGATTAAGCCTACGGTGGGCAATATGGTGTTCCCTATGTAGTGTGCTCTCCTTAGTTTTTCTCAATTTGTCAAATTGTATTGTGCCTTTGTTATTTTTATCGAATCAATCGTTTATTTGGTTGAGTATATTTCGTAATGCTTTATCAGTGCGTTGCAGCCAATATTTCGTCAGTTTTCTTTCTCAAGCTTCAATTACTGCTGGAGGCATTTCCCTTCAAAGAGGCGAAAAACCGAATAAGTGGTTGGGTCCTATGATAACAAGACCCTTGAATATCGAAGTTCCTCGATCATTAAGTTCCGCAGTAAAGGCCTGGAACATACCAATGCATTTATTTTTGAAAGAATTTATATTTAGTGGTGTATATGAACGTTTTAATAGCCATTCAGTTGCAATTCTTACAACATATTTCGTTTCGGCTCTTCTACATGGTCAATATTTCAAGATATATTTAGTGTTATTTTCATTGGCTTGTTTTGGTTTTGTTGAATATAAAATCAGAAATAAAATATCAGTCATATTTAATGCCTGCATCACATCAAATGGCTGTCGAAAGCCCTGCCATTTTAAATACTGTCCCAGTAAGGGTTGGCGGAGCGATGGCGCAATGTTTGTAAGGTTCGTAAATGCTTTATTTTCAATGCTTACAATTTTCCATTTGGCGTACTTAGGAGCTATGATGCATGAATCATCAGTTGAAGAAGACACATCTCTTTTTAAAGATATTATCAATGATTTTAATGTGTGGTCTTCAGTCTATTTCATAAACCATTGGATAGGATTGCTGACATTAATATTTTATTTCATTATATAACTCAATATATTTTATAAAAATGAGTAACCAAAGTACAAAAAATAACTGTAAATAACACCTAAAGTTTGACTTAATAAGCAAATTTGTATTTTTTTAAATAAAATTGATTGTGTTTTATTTTCGTAGAAATGGGGGAGCAAAGGGAGAATTTCCGAGAATTATAAAAAAAATTGGTATCGTGAGAAAGATGATGACCATAATTATAGTAAAAATTACTATTTTTTAATAGAGAAAGTATTGTTTTTCAAAGGTTGCAAATAGTGTATAGCAGTGGTCAATTTTCATCTTTTACTTTAGTTGTAATACGAGCATGTTCCTTCATACTGGTTTTTTGTTGTGTTACCCTTGTTAATAACTTGAAATAACTGTTTTACATCCTGCTCGTAGAACAATTTTCCCATCACTTTAATAAGGCCGAAATAACAAATGTGATGTTTTTACATTTTTATGCGTGTTCGTCTTTCTTTCTTAAACTGAGCGACAGCTGTTATACCAAAAGAAAACATTATTGACCTAAAAAACGCAGCAGTGACGTACAAGCCGAACATTGATGAGCGACTGCATTGATGCCGAAGTAACTCAGCTTTGACAAAATTTTCCCTCCCAATATTACATGCGGACAAACATTATTAATAATTCCAATATTTTACATAATGCAATAATCTTTATTAGTGCCATGAAGTTTAAAGTAAATCTAAAACATCCGAATTAATCGTTTGGTTCCTTGGAAGCAGCTCAAAATATACGATACCCTTCCAATCCCACCAAACAGACAGCATAACTTTCTTTTGGTGGATATCAGGCTTTGAAGTGGTTTGAGCCGGTTCACCATGCTTGGACCATAATCGTTTTCGACTAACGTTGTTGTAAACAATCCATTTTTCATCTCCAGTTATGATTCGTTTTAAAAACGGATCGAATTCATTGCGTTTAAGGTGCATATCACAAGCGTTGATTCGGTGTGTTAAATGAATTTCTTTCAATACATGTGGTACCCAAATATCAAGCTTTTTCACCAGTCCAAGACTTTTTATGTGATAATGAACGGTTGATTTTGGTATATTTAACTTCTCTCCTATCTCACGCTCAGTTACATGACGATCCAATTCGATTAATGCTTTGATTTGGTCATCATCAACTTCATTTGGCCGACCTGAACGTGGCTCATCTTTAAGTGAAAAATCTCCAGAACGGAATTTGCGAAACCAATTTTGACACTGTCTTCCTTTTAAGGCTTCATCACCATACACATCTCGTAACTTTTTAGCAACCTGCTCCGCGTTTTTTCCTTTACGGAAATAATAAAGTAAAATATGACGAAAATGCTCCTTTGTGGGCTCCATATTAAAATTGACGCTAAACAAACAAATGTAAACAAAATTTCGCGCACTTTTTTTCTAAAGCAAGCTAAAAGTAACAGCTGATAACTGACAGAAGAAAGAATGCAATTACAGAGTCACAAGCCGTCGAAAAAATTTGTCAACGCCGACTATATGAAAAATCCGCAATTACTTTTTGGGCAACCCAATATCTGCTGCGGAGAAAACAATAAAAATGGCGTTCTACTCGGAAATAAGAACTTAAAATAAAAGGGATTATATGCTTCAATTTGTATGTACTCAGAAGAGAAAGATAAACAAAAAAAATTTGCTTATGTAGTGTGAGTGTATTGGTGAACCCATCAACACATTCTGGCAGGGATCTTAGGCTGCAACTACCCAACGAGCGTACCAGCCGTCCATAGTAACCTATCCTATGAGAGCGCCATGTAAACACAAAGTTGTCACCGATTTCCCATAGCGTTGCTGACGTTTGTGTCGCAGAAACCAACGAAGTTTTGATTTTTTCCGTAAAACCGGCTCGGCTCATTTTTCGTTGCTATACAAGGTTGCCAGTATAGCCTTTCTTAAAGTAACGTTAAATAATCGAAGATAATGCGTAGTTTTGTTCAAAAGAAATGAAAAATAAATGCGTAACTAATTATTTGTTACCAAATAGATCATGTATATTTGCCTTGTGTTTATGTTCAAGCAAATAAATTATGAAATTTGTTGACGAAAATTATGAATTTGTTCAAAAGTGTGCACACAGGCAGCTGGCAACATTTCTCCGCTCTCAGCGGCGTCGATAACTCGTGTATGTATTTCACTACTGACGTCGTCAGTTATGGACGGCTGGTGAATGAAATGGGTAGTTGCAGCCGTACACGTATATAAATGTAAACATTACGTTTGCCATTTCGGCCTTAAGAAAGTGATAGATTCGTCACTTCAGATTCGCTCTGCGAGCTGATGGAATATGTCGTCAAACATTCTTGATATATGTTGGTTCAAATGATCGGAAGCCTTCTTGCAGGGGGGTACCTTCTTTGAATTCGCCTCGATTTGCATGTTAAGTATTGAGCGAATTCAAAAATTCATGAAGTTTTTGTTTTTGCTGCTGCATTGCATTTTTGTGGGACAAGTTGTGTTTGTTAAAAAAATTGATTAAAACGCTTTAAACATGGTTATAAATATTCTACTTAATCCATTGTCTTGCTTGATTGCCTTGGATATGATATCACACATGAGAGTAGTCAGTGCGATTCATGCACGTAGTGAGAAGGAACAACCAGCAACGCCTGCACAATCGGTGGTGCCAATTACATCTCCATCCTCTTTACCTGGCGCAGTAACACCCGCTTCGGATTTCAATCCATTGGGTCCATTAGTTATGTGTTCTTTCTTGCCGCTTGACTTTTTAGACTGCAAGGATGCAATTGATCATGATAAAAACCATACGGCCAAGGCAGTGAAGGGTTATGGATGTTTGCGTTTTGGTGGATCTACATATGATGAGGTGGAGCATACCGAAGTCCAGTGCACAGTTTTTCCCGATATAGACTGCTATGGACCACGCACTTTTTTGCGAGGTGGTATACCATGCATACGGTACACAGATCATTACTTCGTGACAACTTTAATATACAGTATTCTTTTGGGGTTTTTGGGAATGGATAGATTTTGTTTGGGCCAAACAGGTACTGCCGTCGGGAAATTGTTGACAATTGGTGGAGTTGGGGTATGGTGGGTTATTGACATAATATTACTCATTACGAATAATTTACTACCAGAAGATGGAAGTAATTGGAATCCATTCGTGTAATTTCAAAAACAAAACAAGTTAATGTGATATTAAAATTTAAAACACAACTAATAAATAAGAATGTCAAACTTTTCTTAATTACAATTGCATTTTATTTTTTTACACCCCAAATTATGTATATCGTGTTAACCAATTATAAAAATACCTTAACAATCATGGTACTTTATTTTCGTAAAAAGACAATTACTCTATTCTATATTCAGTAATTTAAATCCATAACGATACATCCCAATTGGCTATGTATCATGATACTAATATGTTCTAATATGATAAGATTTTATTCAAGCTTAGGTAGACCAGCTGAAATGGAGCTTTCGATCCCACAATGATCTTCCCCACGTAGTATTTTGAAATATCCATTATTTCCCCAATCGGTATTCCATGAATTAGCTATTAACCAATAAGGAGTGTTTTTTTCTACACCCCAGCCCAAAATACGAATGGCATGCCCTCCAAGCGCTTTTCCTACTACGTGTTGATATACACCTTCTTTGTATAATATTAGATCTTCGTAAACAGTGAATGCCCCTTCCACTGGTCCATTTTTGAAAATTTCTTCTTGAATATCTTGTTGATTACGACCAATAGAGTAAGCCTTAGATCCGTAATGCTTATCTTTGGCGTAATCCACTTTGTAACTATCTTCACATTTATGTTGACAACGAGGTGTTTTTCCATGTTCACCATCGCAGGCCGGGCGTGAACCGTTCACATGATGTTCACATGGAGCAATCTCATATGGGCGGCAACCCTAATAATAAAAGAAATCATATAAGATTACTTTTTGCGTCTAAGTTATCATGCTGTCACCTGTTTAGAGCCATAAGGGCCACCACTAACGATTCCCTTTCGTGTCCAATAGCTCCATGCTGCCCCAGGGAATCCTCCGTTACAGCCAAATCCACATGTATGGCAGCATGATACTAAATCATCAGCAGAGAAGTGGAAATTTTGGGTCCCATTTGAATGAATGCAAAACTAGCAAGAAATTTGAATTAACATAATATACAAATCTTTTAAGGCTTTGCTTTGTATTTTAGTATCTATTTAAATATGACTCATGCGATAAGATTTAAAAAAAAACCAATGTATACAAATAGTATATATGTGTAGCTATCACATACAGAAATAAGCTTATAAACACACATGTATGAAGTAACAACAGATACGCAAAATATATCAAACAAAGAAAACTGCAATATGTTCAATTTTATTTTAATGCCTTACCCTATCGGACATTGCTTCTACTGCTCCAAAGGCCCAACAAGATCCGCAAGAACCCTGATCTCGAATTTCCGATATAGTTGGACAGTGAGACCATTGCTCCCGAGAATCAAATTGTTCAGGCAACTCAATTGAGCTTTCCCCAGAATCCTTCAATAATTGAGGTAAGGCGAATTTATGGGAATCCGGGTGCACTCCCATTAATCCACGTACATATTTTTCACCAACAGATTCGTGGAAATTTCTCCCCGGCTAAACAATTAAAAGTACATATTTATTTCTTGATAATAACCATTTTAAATGCATATATATATGTGTTCTTATATAAACGAAGCACTTACCGTCCAAGTTTTTGCTTTATTGCGCACCAATTCAATAAATTCATCGGAGAGAAAGTGTATATCTGCAGAAGCCGTTTTTCCAAAAAACGCGATTATTATTGTCGCGAATATAATATTCATAACAGCAGCTTTCATTTCTGCTACAATCTGTGAAATATCAATACAAAACGGAAAATAAAATTTTACCTATTGACAATGATTGTCCAAGAAACAAAGAACAAAATTACTATGCAAAATCTCAAATTCAATTGATAACTTTTGACATAAAAGTTTCAACAATGAATTATAGTATCAAAGCGAATTCATGACATTAAGTGGAATTCGCCATTTTTATAGCAAAGAATTTTGCTCTGTTGTATTTAATAGTGTGTTCGGCGAGCTGCCGGTCTCGTCAGCCGTAGCGATTTTTATTTCTTATGTGTATTTTTCCGTCAAAAATTTCAAATAGGACGTGTTTCCGACATGAAACTAGTTTCTGTTATTCGATTTCAAATAATAGCCGAAATGAAAGCTTAAGGGTGGAGGATTTATAATTTATATATAATTAAATTTTCAATTAGTCTTGTTGCTCTAGGTTTTTTTATTACTCTTGAAAAGTTCTCTGACTTATATCTGTCAGGCAAGCCAGAGCTATAACGTGAATCACGTTAGCTTGAGCTTACGTTTTTATATGCTTTTCAGCAACCGTGCGCAAATTCGTTTGCTGAACATATGGCAGAAAAAGTTTTAGTAATAGAAAAATGTTTATTATTAATTTTACGCATATATATGCTTAAAAAGTGGTTTTTTAAAAGTTAAATTCAAAGGGAAAGAAAATGACTTCACGTAATCTCACAGAGGTTTTTGTGATAATGCGAAATAATGCGTCCAAAAATCGAAATTTGTATTCGGATAGGGTATGCTTTATTGTCAATTTTTGTGCATATATTCTCGTTATTAAATATAATAAAAAACAGGAAGATGATGCTGAGCGATTGATTAAACACTCTATTCGGGACGCTGAAGAAGGTTTGGAAATGCGTGACGATTATGGCACACCACCTATGTGGATTGATAAGCTAGAAGAAGCTCAATATACTCTATCTAAGTATTATATGTTCATAAAATATAATATTTCTTTATAACTACAAGCTTCCTTTTAGAATAAAACCAAAACTTGATGAATTGGGATCCCTACATGCAAGGCACTTGTTGCAACCGGCATTCGACGAAAACCATGAGGAAGAAACTGAAATAGAGAGCCTTAGCCAGGAGATTTCAAAACTGATTACATCGACACATCGTCATATACAATGTATCCGATCAAGCCTCGGCGTCGGTACAAGGATGGAACAAAAATTAACGGAAAATGTTGTGACTTGCTTATTGCTTCAATTGCAAGAGTTGACATCGAAATTTCGTAATAGCCAAAGCTCGTATATACGCCAACTTAATTCTCGAGAGGAACGTTCTCAGAAATATTTTGATAATGATGATTTTACGAACGTCGATTTGGTGTCAGTTTCTACAGATGATCGTGGCAATTATGTAGACACTTTTGATAACTTTTTACAACCCGTGACCAATGAGCTCGATAATAAAAAATCCAATTTAAACCATAGCTATTTATATGATGATGAATCTACTCAACAAATAGATGAAGACTTTCAGCGTCCAATATCAAAACGAATGACTAAACAACAACTTCTGTTATTTGAGGAAGAAAACACACGCGTTGCTCTTAGTCGTGATGAAGAGGTTACCAAAATTGTTAAATCTATTTATGATCTCAACGATATATTTAAAGATCTTAGTCAAATGGTACAAGAACAAGGAACTGTTTTGGATCGTATTGATTATAATGTAGAACAAACGCAAACAAAAGTTTCGGAGGGTTTGCGACAATTACAGCGTGCAGAAATGTATCAGCGAAAAAATCGTAAAATGTGTATAATTATGGTATTGGCAGCAGTAACTTTATTCATGCTCCTGCTTCTAATTTTTACAAAGTTGTAAATGTGTAAATAAATATATTAATTTTTCAATATTCCAAAGTAATTATGAAATTCTAAAACCAATGGGAAAAGTCCACCTTGCTTCACATACGTTCAGACAACCGGCTGGCCACAGATCGGAGATTTCCGTATACCTTACTGGGTGGTGAGCCAAGGATGAGATTACAAATTGCTCTCCGGGCTAGTTGAATATTTTGATAACTTCCCAGGATGTGAATTTTACTATCAGCCAAAACTATTCGTGTTTTTGTAACATTTTCGATAGTGAATTTTGTGCGTCCTCCTTTGCCCGCTAAACGTCCTATTGCACGACTTAAATGGTCTCCACGTAGTGTTTTTACGTCTTTTACTTCAAATGTTTCTACGAAAAGATCTTCTAAGCGAAGTAAGGCTAAAGCATCATCAACTTCAAATCCACAGAGAAATGCCTTTACAAAATCAGCGCCCTTTTGTAAGTTAGAGATGTCTGGTGTTTCCGCACTAAGTCGAAGCTCGACCTAAATGAAAGGATTAAAAATTAATGAAATTAAATTTAATATGTTATTTTGGTTCATAGAATTAAATTGTAACATTTAATAACCCACTACTTTGTGTATCCATTACTACCGATATACTTACTTGTTTCGCTTTCATATTAAATCTTATTTGAAGCTTCATGTGTTCTACAACCGGAGTAAAAATTTTCATCCAATGTTCCTTAAGTGATGAATATCTACGAAAATTAATTAATACTTTTCTAGTAAATATCAGATGTTTTTTTTAATACCTGTGCGGTGGAACGGATATCTTTCTAACATCACTTTTTTGCCGTTTTGCTCTCGGAGCCTGATGCCTTTGTTTTGTCTCCTGCAAAAGAGACTCTTCATCTATTTGCATTGATGTATTTTGTTCAGCGGACCTCTTAGTGGCTTTTTTCAAGGCCGTAGGTGGTTGGAAGTCGTCACTTTTTATATTTTCTACTTCCATAATGTTCGCAAAATTAATTAAAGAACTTGTAACAACGTATTTAAAACACTAGTAAAATGTTAAAAAAGCATGTGGCCGATATAAAGAAGAAAGGAAATGTCAAACGAAATAAAATATTTACATCAGAGAACGTTTGTTATTTGATTACCATAAGCATATTTTTTTAGGCTGGATTCACACACGACAACTTGCATTGCTCGTCTTTAGTTAATAACGTAGATATATATATATTTGCATAAAGTATTATAATTATTATTGCCTGTCTGTCCCTTCAAAATTTGCAATTTGTTTTATAGTTGCCATCGCCGCCAAAAGCAGAAAATCAAAGCGAATTGATCTAATATTTTTCCATCTATTGAAATTCATCGACGAAAAATGGTGTGAAGAAGACCCGAACTCCAGGGACTGACCTTATCGTATTTGCACAAAGACCGTTTGAGTCTTGCCGCTTCTTAGAGAAAAATTTCTGGCAGCACAGCTTGGGGAGTCAACTTGCTACGTCAATGTACAAGTATTTGTTTGTCTTTAGTCGTGAGTAAAATTAATTTTTATTGAATTTTATACAGTGAACTATAATGGAGGAACCAAAATTAGAACAATTGCGTGGTAAAAATCCTGATCTGATCAAGTCAATATTAAGAGATTTTAATAAAAGTGTGAGTAAATGAATTTTGCTTCTACGATAATGTACATATATAAATATGTATATGGGCGTACATTTTTAATCTGAATAAGAATAGATATACATTTGTATGTACATATATACATGGTGATATTAACTTCTGCAATTTTTACAAATTTTTTAAATTTAGAATGACGATCTCTTCAATTTTGCTGCATTTCATATAAATGGCTGCTGGCACGCATTGTGGCGAGCGCTTTTTGATATCCTTAAAGATGATAATCTATTTGAGCTTCACGTAGTAACATTAAATACTGTCCGCATTTTAACAAGAGACAAATCTAGTTTGCTTACTGAAGATTTAGACAATGACGTTTTGTGTTTACTTAAGTTGGCGCGCCTGGAACATCCTGAAGCTATTGAAGTTATTGGCGATTCAAATACAAATCAATGTAAGAAGATTGCGACTGGTGTAGATTTAGATACAGCAATAGCAGAAGCTGGTAATGTGAAATGGAGTGACGACATAACCAACATCGTCGTCGAGTCTCTTAAGTGCTTGTGCAACTTAGTATACCAAAGCGCCGAGTGTCGTCGCCAATGTATAAAATCCAACCTCACAGACACTATTCTAAAACATGTCACCTCCTCAATGCAACATCCATCTTCAGTTGAATATTTTGAGATGAAGTTACTTTTTTTAATAACAGCAATGGAGCCTGCTATGCGAACTCGGGTGCAGATCGATTTAAATGGCGTTGCTTATATGACGGAATGGCTTGACGAAAAGCTAGCTGAGAAAGATGTAACGGAAGATCATTTAGATTTGTTATGCGAGATTCTAAAAGTAATGTTTAACATTACAAAAAACTCTGATAGGAGCCCAAATGAAAATGAAATTCAGAGTCGTCATTTGACTGGTGTGATTCGAAATATACTTTTGAATTTTGGTGAAATGAAAATTGAGCGTGAGCGGAATGTTATAATGCATGCCGTTAACCTTTTAACAAACATTTCAGGTAGTTGCTTAACAGAATTATTGATAAAAAGTGAACCCAGCGCACCATCCACGTCTGCTCCTCAGGTATTTTATGAAGGCTATAATGTGCGAGCATTAGAAATAACATTGAGATACTTGAAAATTGTACTAGATGAGCAAGATAAAGCAGCTGCGTCTAACGAACTTGTGTCACCAGCTTTAACGTTACTAGTTAAATGTGCTCGAAGTGATAGGATCATGCGCCACTATATTAGGAGTGTAGTTCTACCTCCATTGCGAAATGTGTATAAACGGCCCGAAGTAGGAAATGAGCTTCGAAATCATCTTTGCCGGTTTTTAACATTACCCGAAATGGTATTACGCGACTTAGCAACAGAATTATTATTTGTGTGCTGCAAAGAGAATGTTGCTCGGATGATAAAGCATACCGGCTATGGAAACGCAGCTGGCTTGTTTGCCAAGCGAGGTCTATTAGGCGGAAGGCAAATTGAAAACGCAGATTATTCTTCTGATAGCGAAGACAGCGACACAGAGGAATACAAACAAGTACAACAAAGCATAAATCCAGTTATTGGTTGCTATGAGCCACCAAAAAAAAGTCCCTTTGAAGGTATGTCTGAGGAGCAAAAACAATATGAGGCTATGCAACTTGTTAATTTAATGGACAAACTACATAGATCGGGGGTAGTGCAACCATGCCGTATTGGTGAAGACGGGAAGCCACAGCCAGTAGATCATATTCTACAGCTACAGGAGGAATTACCTCAACAGAAAGCTGATCAAAAACGTAAAACATAAATGACCAAATAACCGACCAACTTTTACTTCTGCAGATAAGCCTGATTTTAGCATATATAAAACTACTATCTTTACTATTAAATATTAAGCTGTTTTAATGTTAAAACATGGTACTATCGAGGTCTACTAGTCAAAATGTAAGATTGTGGTAGACATTTGTACTAAAAAATAGTAAATTCAAATCTTCTTTCGAATTAAGATGTTTTGAATGTTAATAAATAACCAAAGATTTTTTAAGTATATATTAAGTTTCCGCTTATAGGCTGAAATTAACTGTTTAAATAAAGTAATGAATTATTGTTTGAAATAATTACCTTTTTTGAGGAATCTTATTCTTCATTGGTATAGGGACGGTTTACGCGAATGTAACAAAATAAAAATAGGCAACCAAACTCGTTGTTGTTGTAATCGCAATGATGGAGTGACAGAATTGGACGGATAAACAATACAGGTCGTTCCGGTATAAAAGTCCGACTGTCACGGGTTAGTTAGTCGGCTCGCGGGTAAATTCTTGAACCCCTAACCCGTTTTTACTCCTCGTCATTCGGCGTCTGTTGGAAATACTAAATTAAACCAGATCGCTCTCCATCTGACCGTGACAATGATGAGATATTTTTAGAGTTTATGAGTTGGTGCGTCGAGAGGCGACTTTTTACCCGTCTACTCAGTCCAAAGTAGCCTCTTGGCAAGAGAGATTCTGAGTTGGATTTCAAGGCTTTTATTATTATTGGTTTTAATGCTGGTCCCTACATATACGATATTATCTATGATCTTGAAGCTATGACTGGACAGTGATCTGGGGGTCAAAACGAGAATGCGTCCGACTATTTATTTCAGGCAGGCTGGATAGGTGTATTATCTATACACCAATTATGTTCTTGACATAGACCAATATGCCGCCACCACCTTAGTTCCTACGCTGACTTTGTGTGAGTCTCCGCATCTTCTTATAGAATTTTCCATCTTTACCCTTGTCGGCCAGGCTATTCATTTAGGCCTCTTTCTTTTCCAGTCTACAAATGCGTCTAGCTTTCCTCATTAGCTCTCAGTATTTATCACACCGCGCACGTTTTGTTTGTCGATCGCAACGTTGGTAAGTTTCAGTTTGTTTTCTCTCCATTGCAGTTGGTTATGAATCATTATACCAGTTCTATTTTTGGCGCTACCGAAAACCAATTGTTTCTGTAGCGGCGGTATGTAAGGAGTTTTAAATGTGTGCTCTGAATAAAAGGAGTTCAAGTGGAGTAGAAAACCATTTGGCTGTTAGTTGGAATTGCAGGATTACGACGTCCAACTCTCCATGAGTTGGTTGACGGGCGGGTGAGTATGTTCGCTGCGATCCGAGTCGATGTTAGGTTGTTGGAACCTGCGCTCAATGGCGTTATTTTCGATTTGGCGATAGCAGAGTAGCTGAATTCTAGTATTACAAACAACCATATTTGGGGCACCGGCGTGATTTAAGGAGCTTATAGAGACTTATCGCAGTATTTCTTGTTGACATGACAGATTATTTGCGTGAACTTCTACACATGAGAAAGGACGTAATATATAAAAAGCAAATTTCATTTGGTTTTGCGGGTAAAACGGAACAGTGTAAGAGGAGACATCTTTTAAGCAAGTCTCACTATATCCAAATGCGGAAATTTTATTTGAATGTAGCTTTGAATTCCGCTTCCTCAAAATGAATTCGTTCATGACTAATAAATGTAATTTCTCATAAAGATTTTCTAAACAATCCACATAATCTTCAGGAGTAGATGAGTTTTGAAGAATAGCTCAGCAATAGTATGCACACGATATTCGTGCTTTTTTTTATTTTAATTTTTCGAAGTTAATTATTTTTTCAACACGGAAAATGTAGCGAAAATTGTAATGGAGCCTTCTTGTTCAGATAACTTAGTAAATTTAAAGTGATTCCATTTGTGTTACGTGCCTCTAAGTATTTTAAATTTTTTTGCGCGAATGTCTTAAACCTTATATGCAAAGCCTTGGAGATGATCGTGATTAAGTTGATTATGTTGAAGATGAAGGCAATGATGACATTTCAAGGGAATAAGATTATGATCATGAATATGATTATGGTGGTGATGAAGTAGTTTATATATTTTAAATAAAATTTTAACCTTAAGTAAATTAAAATTGTTGAAAACCGATGTTCACCACACTCTTGTTTATATGATTTAAAAACAATCATTCAAATAACTCTAATTGCATTATTTTTTTACTTCTATGTGATTAATTAAATTAAAAAAAATTACTTTTCCGTATCTAGAAGGCTTGTGGTAATTAACCTTCATTTTTAGCACCATTTACCCCACTGTGCGGTATCTTGATTTGGTTCTTGGCGTCATAAGAAATCAGAAATCAGAATTCTTAATTCATATATTGTACAATATGTAAGCATAAAAATATATTTTCTTCGCATATTGAATGGATATACGCATACACACATTTAAATGCGCATTTAAGATAACTTAGGTAAAATGGCAGTTATTCTAGCTTAGAATAATATAATCAATATCTATGTATATCATTGACAATTTGCAATAGTATGTTTTGCTAAATGACCGCCTAATTGGGGACGCGCTATGAATTTCGACATGGGTCTACCGTGGCGCTGCATATTATGGGTGGGTTGTTGGTGATTCTGATGCGATTGCGACATGATCTTGTTGTTCTTGTTGATCTGCCCGTTCGTGGACTGGTGTTTTTGCCCTGCTATTAGTCCTTTATTATTCGATATTTTCGTTGCTCGATCTCCGACAAGGTATTCAATGCCCTCAGTTTGATCTGAAGCACTAGCTCCATTGTGGCTACTACCGGAATAGGCCGCATTAATAGTACTTTTACTTCCAAAATCGCGTGTCACTTTGGCTAGAAGATCATAATAGGAATTCTGTTTTGAGGTATTGTTCGTTGTTGATATTGACGTATTGAGTGCACTCTGCTGTGTATGTTGCTGCTGGTTCTTGTAGTTTTTGCCATCTGTTTTCATCCGTCCCATATATGTTTGTTGCTGGGTATTTGGTCGAGATTGCTGTGTTTGATTGCTTGCTGAGTGACTGTTGTAATTTTGGTTGATATGCTGATTCTGACACTGACTTTGATTCTGATTCTGAGTGTGAATTTTACTGTGTTTTTGAGGTGATTGACTTTGTGTATAAGTGAAGGTTTCCTTACAAAATGATTTCACTTCTTTTTTATATTTTTCAATTTCCTCTTCCAATTTTTTTAGTCGTTTTTCGTAACAAATTCGTTCATTACTCCGCACGGCATGTTCAGGTGGTATAGTGAATCCACCAACGACACTATTTGTTGCATCCGACTTCGAGTTCCGCACATATGAAGCCTTGTTAGAGAATGGCGTACTACCATTGTTGTATTGATTTTGCTGATCTTCAACGTAAGGTTGCTCAAAACCATTATCGGCATAGGCAAAATTATTATTTTGGCGATATCCTAGCTGCTGCTGTGAGTGGGAGGGCATACGAGTATTGCGTGATTTGCTTTGGTTTGGTATCTGAACCAAGTGATTGGCGGTGCTCGCTTGCTGTTGTATGTTTATTTGCTCGCCTTTATTTATAGAAGAACTGCTTCTGTATTGCCGTAGGGTGCTGTCCACCTTTTTAAAAACTCCACTTGGTGATGACTTTTGTCTACCCACTAAATCTTCCAAATGACCGCAACAATTATGAACTCCACCATCAGGAAGGCTGGCATAACCGGCGTCTATAGAATGACGTTTATCGATTGCATCTAGCGGTAAATGAGGTTCGTTGCTTTCGTAAACTTTTGGGATATTCTTAATTTTTACCGCATCCGTTGACTGTTGTGGAAAGTATTTGGATTGTGTTTTGCCGAGTTTGCGTTTGGAATTAGGGGAAACTGAAACTATCTTCTTTGTTGATTTGCCATTTATGCTTGGCACACTGACAGAGGGTTGTGTCTCGCTCTCGTGCTTTTCAGGACGACTGAAGTATTTATCATTTGATATATACTTATCCTCCGCACTCTGTCGATTGTGCTTAGTCTTATGGCTTTTCTTGCTAGTTTCAGACTTCTCATAAGGTGTCGTATGCCTGTAATCTCTGATATACAGATGTATATTAGTGAATCGAAAATAATAAATATGTACATGAATTTAGGTGGAATAATAATCACTTTTGATTTGTGCTGGAACTTTTTGCGTTTGACGATGTTTGGCGTTTATCCGCCTTTTCGATGTTATGTTGAACAATTTCATAGAGCTTTGACCGATATTCAGGGACACTGAGACGCACATCATCTCGAAATGGTGGCAATATGTCGACGCTTAATTCAATTTCTGGTATAGAATTTCGGAATCTTTGATGTTTTTATGTTTCAAAAAGAAAGATATCTGTGTTATATAAGTCAATTTAAGGATCAGTTTGGATAGGATGGTCTCACTTTTCTACGTATGGATGTCCTAGAGCTTCTTTCGCTGTAAGGCGTGCTAGCGGATCTAAGACTAGCAACGATTTTACCATATTCAAAGCATCATCTGGAGCATCCGCCATCATTTCATTGAGTGAAGCTTTCCTGGAGAGTTACGATAAACATATGCATACACATAAGGAAGTAAATATGATTAATAGAATTCATATAAGTAAGTAGAAAATATGAAATATGAAGGCAAGTAGTAAAAAGGATAAATTTCTATTTTACTATATTCCAGACGTTATGTATACATATAGGGATGTACACACCTCTCGCGTGAAATCTGTTTGCTAAGTAGTACGGATCCAAAGCCGGCTCCTACCGCTTTAATGTCGTGATCTGTTATTTCTGGCAAAGCTGTGACGATCTTTTCTATCTAGTAATTAAAATAATGTATTTCATTTCAATGTTATATATGTACGTCTAAAATTTTACTTGATTAACGGTACTACTGCCTTGAAATAATGGCTTTCCACGAATCATTTCACCAAGTATACAACCCAGGCTCCACATATCGATTCCTTTGGTATATCTATTAAAAAAAAATATTGAATATTTGTGCTAATATCTTTTTTTTATATATGTATATTTACCTTTTACTAGCGACAAGAATTTCCGGGGCCCGATACCAGCGTGTAGCAACATAATCCGTGAGTATGGGCTCGGTTGTGTGATTGCTGCCCATATCGCTATTTTCCCGCATTGGTCGGCTCGAAACTGAACGTGCCAGCCCGAAATCTGCTAGTTTACATCTTGAGGGAAGTGAAAAACGAACAAAATGAGGGAAAATGGATTTTAAAATTAACAACTTTATGTACCTGCATTTGCTATCTATAAGTACGTTGCTCGGTTTCAGGTCTCTATGTATCACGTTCCCAGAATGTATATACTTGATGGCGTTAATTAATTGATACATAACATATCTCTTATGTATGTCTTTCAGAATTGTGCCCTTCTTTATGATATTATGTAAATCACTTTCCATATATTCGAAAATGAGATATATGTCTAAATTGTTTGATGCCCTTAAAAAGTTGAAAAGGTAAATCAATTATCTAAACTAAGCTAAACAAGCTAATCTTTAACAAATTAGTACTTGTATGTTTTTCAATTATCTTTTTATAGAGACATACGTATAAAGTCTAAATTAAATTTAAATTATATTGAATTTTTTTTTTGATGCGTTGTGCGATATACAAACCTATATACAGTGAGCAATCTTATGACATTGGGATGGTTACGGAATGCTTTCAAAAACACAATTTCGCGGAACGTTCGCTGTGCATCAGTTTCATCACGGAACGCATCGAAAATTTTCTTCACTGCTACCGTTTCGTTTGTTCGTTTATCCAATGCTTTCCACACGATACCATAGGCGCCTTTTCCTAAGCGCTAGAGTATATACGAATATACAAATGGATTTATTTGCATCAATAATCAATACATATATGAAAAGATTAAAATTTATTTTTTTTTACCATATATATACATACATACATATGTGTATATGTATATATAATTGGCGCTTTGTAATCGCTGAAGATATTTTTGTCTGAGCTTCTCCTGCAATTTGTGGTATGCCGTCTCCGAACGGCTGACGGATTTTCATGAGGAGCTTTTATTTCATGTTGTTGTTGTTGTAACCGCAAAATTATTCCCCAAAGTACTTTTTGGGGAATGTTGCGGGAGTGACAGTCCTTGGCCGGATAAAAATCCGGGTCGTTCCGGTATAAAGACCCGACTGTCGCGGGAACTATTGGATTTTAGTCGCCTCTTACGACAGGCATACCTTACCGCGGGTAAATTCTTGAGCCCCTAACCCGCAGGGGTTTATTTCATGGCTTTTATTTCATGTCAGAAATAGACTCGGTGGGCTTGACATTCCCTGCCAAAGGGCGAATCAGGAGACGAGCCCTGGTCTTCCGAACTACATATAAGCACTCGGACATGTGTACGTACATAATTTTCACATTTCTTATAGGTATTTTTAAATTCTTCAAAGCAGAGCGTTAAAATCACTGGCATACAAAGGAAATTAATTTTCTTGTTTCTGCTTAAATTCTTTAAAAGGTCCAATTTTCAAATAAAGTTTTGAATTTAACTGTTCACGTTGTATAGGTCATAGTTGTTGGCATTTTCAGATGTTTAGACAGTTATCACTTTTATAAATCTAACTTTTCAAAAAAAAGGACAAATACTCTTATTAGTTTTAAATATTTCTTTGCAAAACTTTTTAAGTGATAGACACGTATTGTAGAGAAAACTACTTGCCACAAGTGATTCTCTCTCGAAATATATCTGTCGCTTCGTGCAAAGCGATATTTTGCATGCAAAAATTCGACTTGCCGTGTCCCAATCGTCCAGAGTTTAATGCTACAACAACCCATCTTACATGCCTTCCATCTGACGGTTGCCCCACAGAAAATACTATTAGAGACGGGCGTTATGTAAGTTGCAGCATAAGTGCTCAAAGTCTTATGCACTATCTACTTTCTGTTAGCGATATGCGTTGATAATTATTAGCTAAATAGTTATAAGCATATAATTCATCTATATCTGATCCAATGATATACCTTTTTTATATCAAATAGTTTTGATATATTTTCGTCAATTTCCGACATTTTGTGCTTCTCCTGTTGATTCTTAGATTTGCTCGTCATTGCGTGGTCTTTTCCTTTTAAGCGTGTTGATGAAGTTTTTTTTACGGATGAAACACTGCTAGTCGCTGATCCTATCGAAAACTACTAGAAAAGATAGAAAAATATTATATTAAAGAATAAAATAAATAAATTATTACGGTCGATTATGAATTTAAACTGTGACTGCTATGTTAATGGAGTGATATTTATGTCCGCTATGGATACCTCTTTTACACTTAAGGTGTTTCTGTAATTCAAATTTAAATAACCGGAAGTTGTGTGTCTAAGTACTATCAAGATTTGTATGTACATATGAATGAGTGCATTCGAATATTGAAATCAAAACGGATTTGTTAGATCGATGATAACAATACGTCCGTCGCACTGTTGGTGGCAAAAGGAAATAGCAATGTCAATTCAATGAAGGCTTATCAATGAAGAAGTGATGCGGCGCTGTTGAGTGCAATGCCGTGCATACAATTGGCATAAATTTGGAATTACTCCTTGCACTGTCAGAACAATCAAACTGAATCGACAGGCATTCGGATGAACACTCGTGTGTACGTATGCAGTTGTCGTATAAATAAACGGGACAAACGCTATGCAAATCTAACAGATCCACACATATACATACATATATATTTAAAATACAAATCTATTCCAATATGGTGCATTTAATAAATGTGTACAAATACGAATTTCTGGGGCGCATGCAAATCACTTTCATTAACATATACATATACATGTGTATGTGGGTGTATACACATACATATTGTGTACATATGCACATTATGTATTACTACCCTATAAATACGAATCTAGTTTCACCTGCAATGCACCTGTAATGCCATACATATGAATTACTTACATATGAATATATGTTCAATAATATGATGACAGAGTGATCTCGAGTCGTGACACTTAAACTACCAAAATAACGGTAATTTAGCGAGTGGCAGCACAACACTATAAACGTTGTTTAATAGTTTCCATTTTATTTTATTTTATTATAGAATATATGTACATACATATGTATTTTTGAATGTTTAAATTGCAATTAGGCTAAAAATATATTTTATTACGTCTGTACACACATGGATATTCATATTCTATATGTCAGCAGGTACATACATACATAGTATATGTACATATGTATGCTCAATTATTTGTTAATGAATTCTTTATAGAAATTATTTGACCGCCCATGTACAAACATAATGCATGTATGTATGTATGTATGTATGCATGCTTGAATGCATCTACACTATTACATTTTAATTGCTTTCCAAAGTTTTCAAACACACACACACACACACACACACACACACACGCGCGCGCACAATTGACACCGGTTATAAACTTTGACGTAGGCGCTGATCCGTAGTCCTCTGGGCTGATAGAACTTTGCGAGGTATATTACAATTTATTCCTTTTACTTATGTTTGTTTTTAGGTATGTACACATGTATGAATGTCAGTATGTATAAAAGATTAAAAAATATATTTGAAATATCTTGTATTTCGGAGAGGTAGTTTTGATATTTTTCACAGAGCACTTTTGTTGTTCTAGCAGTTGTACGGTAAGTTGAATATTAAAAACAAAAAACAAAATAATAATAAAATTCATCGCGAAACAATTATTTTGCTTTTTTGGTCAAACAAAAATTGTCATGGTGCCGCGGATGTGTGCTGCACCGCTGCGAGTTTTATTATCCTTAGTGTTCGATAGATTTACTTAATATACTTACTTATATTCTGTTTTATGAAAGGGTGTATGTACATACTACTTATGGATATTTGCAAATGAAATTGTTTACATTTGGTCGCTATATATTTGTTGTTGACCATAGCAACAATGTACAATATAAACGTATCCTAGTGACCAACGTAAACATATCCCTCGATACGACATGGAGGAACTGTAAAAGAAATAGATGTGGAAATATACATACAGTGGCTCAAACATGAGCTCGGACACCCAAGTTATATGACTTCAAACAAAAAAATATATAATGAAGTGCAAATCGAGGGCTTTCTGTTTAACATATACTTCTATTCTTCAAGTGTGTTTTTCAAAACAACCAAAACCACAAACTAAATTCAACTCGGTCGTATAAAAGTAATATGAACACAAAAAACTTGACAAAAAACAACTCGGACGTATACATAAGATAGAATTTAAAAATATTATTTGAAGAAAAACAAAATATTTTTAATGTTTGGTTGGCAAACCTTTACCTTTTCTGATAGCAATCGGTCTTCTTGGTAAAGACTCAGCTAGCTTCTTGCATGTTAAAGAATTTATTTTCCTCCACTCTTCAAAAATAGCGGCCTCTAGGTCTTTCTTATTTCTAATAACATGCATTTTCAGTTTATTTTCCAAATGAGCCCATAGATCTTCAATTATGTATTTGGCGGGAGATTGAGGAGGTGTTTCAAGCACTTTAGGGCAGTTATCTTGGAATCGTTGAGTTGGAATCGTTGAGTTGGTAGTACTGGAAATCGTCTTTAATTCCCAACTTTTCCGCACTTTGCACTAAATTTTCTTTTAAAATGGTCAGATATAGCGTGTGGTCCATTTTACCATTTATGAAACCCAAATTTCCAGTACCAGGTGCGGACATACAACCCCATAGCATTACTGACCTAAATATATTGAATTTGCTTTCGTCTGCAAATAAAACTTGTTTCCAGAATAGGAAATTCAAAAATTTGCAAATTTTATCCTTTTGTTTCGGTTAACAACGTTTATAAATGGTTTCTTCCGTGCTACTCTTCCATTATAATTATTTTTTCCTAAGACTATTCGGATACTCTTCAAATTACAATTTATATTGAGATGTTGCAAAATTTCTGTTGAGAGCTTGGAAGCGCTCATGTTTGGATTTTTTTTGATTTGCTGCACTATCCACCGCTCATCTGCAGCCGAAAACCACTTTGGTCGTCCATACGGATTTTGTTTGTTTGAATCGTTAAATCACGTCATGCCCAGTCGAGCGGGGTCTGCTCACAATTTCTGCGATTCCCTGATGGTTTTTCCCATTTCAAAATGACTAATAATTAACTTCCTTACTTCAATTGAGCTTTGTCCACGCTGTCTACCCATGTTTGAACTTTTCACCTTTTTTCCAAAAAAAACTTCTGACATTTTATTATAAGCTATTACGTTTGATTATATACATATGTATTTTTAAACGAAAACAAACTAATTGTGGAATTGCCCTTTTTAAAATGGAACTGTAGTATTACCAGATGTCCTGCTTTTTTTTTGGCGAAATTTCTAGCATGACACATGTTAATTTTTTGAAGCAAGGATATAGGAGACCTATAAACTATTTAATTTGTTTGTTATTGGTATTTTTTAGATCCTTATTGGATACCCTTTAGAAATATAAAAAACAAAAAAGCTTAATATCAATTGGTTAAAAATAATCTGGCTTGAAGTTGCATGTTAATAACAGTGGAATGTATGTCCGAACTCTTTATTGAGCTACTGTATGTATGTATGTACTTATATACATGCATGTATGCACATAATCCTATCGAAAAATTCATGCAGGTCCTCCAACATGTCTAACGGAACCATATTGCAAACTAAAACTAAAAATACCGTAACACACAACTTAATTTTATTTCACAGAATACCGAACTGGTATCTCTTTATTTGGCCAATATTTTCTCTTTTCAAGAAAGATCAGTCGATGTTAAATAGAGTTACAAATGAATGAATATATACGAGCCTATTCACACTGTTACCGGCAAAGTAAATTTTGTTACTTTTTTTTAACACCCGAAATTGAATTTGGTATTCTGGCGAACTGAATACAATGTTTGAAAAACTTTGGCAGCACTGCTTTTTTTGTCCATGTCAAACTACAAATACCAGAATTCCTTTTAAAACGTATGCTTTCTTACTTATATTTGTTTAAAGCACCATTATTTTATATTTATGTATGTATATAAAATTCTCATGTCACAGTGTTAACCAAACTCCTTCGAAAGGTCTTATGAAATTTTTGCATCTGGAAAGGACCAGGGCCCTAAAAATATTTGAAATTTACTACAGATAAAGCTTTTTGCTAATATTAGCAGTAACACTGCTATTCTTTCCGGCCAGTATACCAGGGAACCAGCTATTCGAAAAAAGGATATTTGTAGTTCTTTTCACGTCAAGAAGCGGACCAATGTATTATTTGAAATTTATACATAGTATATAAATTTAGATATGTATATTTATTATAATTCTGTGAATGTGGGTTCCTTTAACTAAATTGTAAATTTGTAAGTATAGAAGGGTGCGTTTGGCTTACCCTATTCAAATATTTCTTTAAATGTGTTCCGATTCAGATTTTTCTTTCTAAAAACTTTCGGAGGAATTAAACTCAAAATAAAAAAAAGACATATAAGCATGCTCACTGTATACAATATTAATTGAGTAAAATAATGACGTCATCGTTGCGGACACTATTGCAAATTTTTTTGAATTTGATCAAACTACATGTTTATATGTATAACATTCATACGTTCTTGTACTCGTATGTATGTATATTGAAAAGGTCGTTATTCGCCCTTATAAATATGTATGTTTGTATTCAACTGTTATAAATGTGGAGGAGGCAAAATATGATAGTAATACTTGTGAAGAAAAATAAAATGATGTAATAGAATGGTTTATGGTAAATACATAATAATAATTTTCTTAGATGTTATACGTATGTAATTATTAATATACACATGCTTACACACATAAATATTATTATAAGTGAGTAAGCACACCAACTCTTATGCTGGTTATTTGATGGTTTGGTGAAAAGAGAACTCTCATAGATGGTCGCCTATTTGTTAGACAGTGTTGAGTTTTAAGACACATGAATTAGGGTCGGTCAATTACTTATGTAAAAAAATCTTGAGTATTAATGATTAGAAATCGAAAGGAAACTTCGAAATGTACATGAAATCAACAACAACTTAAAGTTTGTTGGAAATGCAGCAACATTATATGGAAATGAAAAACATTTATGGGAAGCCTTTTTTTAATATTTAATATACAAATATTCAGTTAGTGGTAATTTAAAAGTGAATTAAATGAGATTATAAGACGATTAGAAAAAACTTTGTACATTTTATTATGTAAATACTATTGTTTGTACTATTGCCTTTATTGCTAAACATACAGCGAAAAAAAATTATTATTCGAATTACATCATTCAGGGTAATAATTTTAGTAACTATACGATTTCTTTTTTGCGCAGAAATCTCAAATTTATGAGAAAGTTGTAACAAACAAATAACTTATACATCTAATACCCCAGGTAAATACGTATACTCGTATTGTATGTACACTCGTACTCGTACTCGCGCCTTGATATTTTACCAACAAATGGAGGAACCTTTATTGTGAATCTAAAAAATATTTTATTTATTATTCAGAAAATCATGGACAGTGCCTTAGAATTTTAATATTTGTTTTCCACTTTGTTAACAAATATACACTTCTCAGAGTTTTTATTGATGGCTTTTATATGTATGTACAATAATTGGCTTTATTCAATTGTTACATTCCTACTGGGTAACTGTATGTCTAAGCAATATTGCAAGTGAGTGCATTAACACAAAACATATGCGCATGCACGGATATACACGCAGTTTGCTTCGATATACAAATGTGCAATCACTTTTTCACCACGGAGCAGGGTAAACAGAGCGAATGTACGAGTATGTACCAATGTATGTAGATCCATATATCCAAAAAGGTATGTTTGTGTGTATGAGCTCGCTTGTACACATGTAGTTTGTGTGCCAACTAGTCAGCTGCGTGGTAGATAGGCAGACAGACAGACTTTCGATAAACAACCGACTAGTTAAATTTCTTCTCACGAGCCGTGAGCAAGCGGCTTCGGTCGATTTTAATCATACGGAAAGGTTCTGAAATTTTTCGCCTAATTCTCTAATGCACATTATTAAATTAAATCAAACCAATAAATAATAATGAGATCTCATAAAATATAACAGTGTTTAAAGCAAATGTGTATATGCATAAGTTTATGTTTTTATTCAGTGTAAAGTTTGATGTAAAATTGCAAAAACAATCGCTCTAACTATGGGGAGAGTTTTACACGAGCGAATGCGTAGATATTAATGTACGTACATATATATGTATGTATATATGCTCGTGAGTTGAAGATTATTAGAATTGTGGCCACGATAATGGTGTTGGTGATGGTGACGGCAAAAGTGAAGGCAAGTACTTTTGGCAACGGCTGCTTGCTTTTAACAAATGAAAAATTCCTAGGAATTGAACGCGCTTAAGCCATATACATAAATATGTAAATTAGCATTCGGTAGTGTAAAAAACAAATAATACGAGTAATAAAAAATAAAAAATAAAAAAGTAAAAACGAAAAAGATTCCTCAGGAACTAACAACCACCCCCTACCGTGTTCGGATGTGTGCGTGCAGTGTGGAGAAGTAATACTAAAAATTTACCATATACATATTGCACATTTTTTTCATAAAATCTGAAAAAAGGTTAACATCAAAAGATATTGCAAAATAAATAAATGTGAGCAAAGGGCAGGTTTTGATGAAAGTGTTAAATGGAAGACAACAATCAAAATACTCGTACACGCGTGAGAAAAACGTGAGTATCTACCCCTAATAATTTAACTGCGTGCACAAATACACATTAATACATATAAATGCATACATAATATGTATGGAAGCTTGTATGCGTATGCGTGCTGGAAAGTGCAATGGGTTTTTTCTTATGGAGCGGCATTTCTCGATTTACATACTATTAAATGTATGCATGTGAACAAATGTTCGGCAAACAAATATTGATTCAAAATCTACGTACATACATATGTATGCATGTCCAAATCAATTTACGAGTAGTATGTATTTTAGAATTAAAATTAAGTCACTATGTTGTCACATATGCATTTTACGAAAAAAAGCTATTTTTTGTACTGGCATATTAGACATAAACTACATACTCGTCTGTATGTAGGCTCTTATAATAACGGCGATAATCATTACTTCTGAGTTAATTCTTCTAAACCCCAGACGATTCAACATGGGAGTTGATATGCTACTTAGATACTAGTATTTACATACATACATATGTGATGAATGGCAAATTGTGAAAAATCGAATTAGGTAACGTTGAGGCCGACAGCAGAAGATCCAAAAACTGAAGTATGAAGAAAACTTTTTATGTTCAGCCGAATGTGCGGGAGTAGCTCTTGGCCCTATTGTTTGGCATGTAGCGATAGTATGCTACTAATCAGCTGACCAGTACCTAAAAAGGATATGTATGTACACGTATGTTGCATGTAAATGTTTGGTTATGTGTAGTATGTACATACATACATAGATACGTATATGAGTGGGTAAAAACTGGATGAGAAACTCAACCAAAAATCTGTTAAACAATTGTATCAGCAATTTACGAAAAAAAGGGAAAATAACAAATGTCAAAATGAAACACTTTTACTTTTGGCGAATTTCAACTAAATTGTACATTTTGTTTTAAGTTATTTTACTCACATACATACATACGTGTACATACATATACAGAGAAAAGCATGATGTGTTCAAAAGTTATATTACATTCAACATACAACCGTTATATTATATTACATTAAAGTAAGGCAACGATTAAATCATTTGGTGAACATCGAATTCAATATCCTAAGCACATTAAATAAATTAAGCTAAATTTTCTAATTGTGATCGCCCATCGACGATACAAGAAGAAATTATGATTTCTGAAATACAAATACAATTGGTTGGAATCATCTTTTCCCGCGATTCGCGAATCATTTGAACTTATTCTATCAATCTTTCTTCACGATATTGCGTTGCACACGCTTCAAACTTGGTGAGAAATTTGACATGGCCACCGAAACGCCGAAACAATGGGGTTTGTTCGAAAATATCTATGTGCAGTTTTGGCTTGTAACGTTTATGAAAATGAAAAAGAACTTAATTCAAAGTTAATAAGTCTATGATTTCTTAAGTCTAACTCCGCTAAACAACACCAAAAGCACAGACAGAATTAGGAGGGACCTCTCCGAGTCGGTCGGCACCAAACGAAGTTTTAGACAGGATGGCTCTTTGATGTTAGAGAAAATAATAAGAGCCGCACACCTAAATAGACTCCGCACAATATTTTACAAGAATGTACAGTCAGCATCAAAAGAGAGTGTACACCTTTTTGTCATACATTTCACCCTTTATTTCGGTGTAAAAAAATCGAAATTTTTTAAATCAATTATCATTTACAAATGACTAATTACAAGAAAATAACAACAATCCAAAGGAAACTTTAAAAGAACAAAAACCACACAAAAAACCAAAAGTTTGGTGAAATAGAAGATCGACCACGTTCGGGTAGAACTAAACGGCTTAGTAATACTGAAATACGGTAAGTTCTGAGAGCTGCGAAGATAGATCCAACTGTGAGGGTCGTCAAATTATCGAAAGAAATGTCCAGAACATCCGGACGGTTTTGGAATAAATTAATTTTTTCTGACGAAAGCAAGTTCGAAGTTTTCGGTAAGAAATGAAATACTAAAGTTTAGCGAAACAAAATCAAGAGCTTGAACAGAAAAACATTACATCCACTGTAAAGCATGGTGAGGGTCGGTGATGGTTTCCGGTGCATGGCGCCAAGTGGAGTGGGAAGGATGGTGTTTATTGATAGCACAAAGAACAAAATTGTTTACCTAAACATTTTAAAAGAAAATTTGCTTCTTAGTGTTGAGAAATTGGTCTTAGATCAACTCTGGATTTTCCAACAGTACAACGATCCTAAGCATACGACAAGAATAGGAGAGGAATGGTTGCTTTACCGTACATCTAACCAGCTAGATCACCCCCCACAATCATCGGACCTCAACCCATTCGAGCATCTGTGGGAGCATTTGGACCGGCAAGTAAGGAAAAGAAATAAAACCAGCGACGATACACTGAAAGAAATTTTACTAGAAGAGTGGTCTAAATTTCTGCCGGAAGTAGTGTTCAACTTTGTCGAATCAATGCCAAGGAGGTTAGAAGCAGTTATCAGTGCAAAGAGATTACAAACAAAGTAGCTTATGAATTTTTAAATTATTTCTGCATGGTGTATGTCGATGATATTTACCTTATAGGCCTTAACAACCGCACCGTTAGTTCTGCCTTCTCCAAGCTTGACAAAGAAACGAAGCGAATGGGTCTGGTAGTGAGCAAAATATCTTCTGTCACTGTTGACGGTCATAATATCGAGGTAGCACAATGAGGTAAAAGTGCTAAATTTGATATTCTATATATTACTTAAAATTGGTACTTACACAGGAAACCATCTACATTTAAGCATGTTTTTGTAGTCCCTGAACGATGGATTTATTTTATATCGTTAATTTCAACTCATTTTACAAGCTAAAGATGACGTTTTTGGTAAAAAAAAACGCTACAAAAAGTTCAATTTTTAATTTTTTAATTTTTTGTTCTTTCAGGAACAAGAAAAACTCGCCTACTTTAAGAAAAAATTTGGATTTTTGATTTCAGATAAAAATTGAAAAAGTTATCATGACTACCGCGAAAGCACTTTCTTGTGGACGGTCTACTTCACGACACCGCCAATGCCTTAACTTATACTATTTTTCATTCAAATTGTCATCAAATGTTGTCCACATATTGTACTTTTATATGTAAAAAAAATAAAATGTATACTTTATTTAGTATAGTATATTAGTAAATATTAGAGAAAAAAGTTTTTTTTCGGCCTTCAAGACCTATGTAACCCCTTAAGGGACCAGATTTGGATATCAGTCTGGTTTGTTAAGTAATCGTTCACAACCAAAAGAAATATTCCATACACTTCAGCTCCAATAAATGAATGATAGCCCAACTATCCATTTTACATATCTCCTAACCGTACCATTCGACTAGAATAGAGGAGGGATTTGTAGTGATAAGTTATCGAAGTTGCTTGCAGCGGCGCAATGTTCCCAGCTGCTAGTGTGCTTACAAACTTTAATAATAATTTATAAGTTTCATCAATGAATTTCATAATTTTATTGAAACTGTACTAAAATAAATAAATAATTTAGATTTCACTTCATTAATGCTTGTTTAAAACAAATTACATTTGCTTAGTTTTCTTAGAATTGATCTATAAAAGTATCTACAAGGTTGCCACCTTGTGTCATATACTGGACAAACGTCAGCTATAATGCAGATGTTCACATTCATATGTACTTATGTATGTATGCGCCAAGATTTGATCCTTTCTTCACCAGGTTCCAAAAATGTCTTCGATATAAACACATTGCTTTTTTATGAATATCAATTTAAAATTTAATTAATAAGGTGAAGTTAAAAAATTGATAGAACTATTATTGAGAGACGGTACTTCGGCGTCCTTTACAAGCGCATCTGATACAATATAATGTATTAATATATGCTGACCATTTGTAAATATTCATATTTACATGTACGTGTATGTTACATGGGTATGAAAGTGTAAATCGGTCTGCTTCACATCTATGTAATAGCGAAATGGATGATGGAAGCTTTTGATAGTTTGCATTGTCTCTTAATCTGCAAGATGACATCATTCATTCACTCGTGGTTAAGTGCTTAAACAAATATATGCACGCATATATATATACATACATATATGTCTGTATGTAGACTTGTCCAATTTAGTACATGCATATGTATCCAAGTGTACTTGTGTACATATAACCCGTAATAAAATAAACTAGTCGAAATCTATATACATAGAAATTAATAAGTAAAGTAAGATCAAATCGTTGGCCAAGTTTCTTTTTCCCATTCAAAAAAAAGAGAAAAAAAAGCTGGTAAAATAACGGAAACGGGATTTCGCATATTCAATAATAAATTTTTTTTTTTAAATATTAATAAAAATGAACAGCAGTGAAGACGATGGAATAGACGTTCCGCTTCCCGTACCATGTCGAAGTTCGAATAGCGATTGCCCGCTTAAAAAACAACAAAGCGGCTAGGGCTGACGGCCTACAGGCATAACTATGCAAACATGGCGGTGAAGAGCTGACAAGGTGCATGTATCAGCTTGTTTTCAAAGCATGCCCGATGATTGAAACCTAAGTGTTCTCTGCCCAATCCACAAAAAGGGCGATCACACAGTCTGCGCAAACTATCGTGGGATAAGCCTCCTTAACATCGTATATAAGGCCTTATCGAGCATTTTGTTTGAAAGACTAAAGCCCACCGCCAACAAACTGATTGAACCTTATCAGTGTGGCTTTAGATTTGGTAAGTGCCATGCGCCAAATCTTGGAAAAGACCAGTGAAGAGAGGATCGAAACACACCAACCCTTCGTCGATTTTAAAGCAGCATTCGAAAGCACGACAAGGAGCTACCTATACGCCGCTTTGCCTGAATTTGATATCCCCGCAAAACTTATACGGCTATGTAAACTGACCCTAGAAAAAACCAGAAGCGCAGTCAGAATTGGGAAGGACACTCCGAGCCGTTCGGTAACAAACGAGGTTTCAGACAGCGTAACTCTTTGTCATGCGATTTCTTCAAATTGTTGCTGGAGAGAAAATTAAGAGCTGCAGAGCTGAATAGAGAAGGTACAATACAATCTTCTATAAGAGTGTGCAATTACTGGCCTACGCCGATGATATTGACATTATCGGCCTCCACTGCCGCGCCGTCAGTTCCGACTTTCTCCAGGCTTGATTAAGAAGCGAAGCGATTGGGTTTGGTAGTGAACGAGGACAAGGCGAAACAAACAGTCATCGCATTCGCGACTCGGCTTCCACGTCCCTGCAGACGATGGAACGATGAGCCCTACGGCTACGCTGGCTAGGTCACGTCTTCCGAATGGATGAAAGCACTTCAGTTTTGAAAGTATTCGATGCAGTACCCGCCGGTGAAAGCCGAGGAAGAGGAAGGCCTCCACTCCGTTGGACGGATCAGGTGGAGAGTGTCCTGGCCTCACTTGGTTTTTCCAACTGGCGCCAAACAGCGCAAAAAAGGGATGAATGGCGCGTTATATTTAAATCGGCTATAATTGCGTAAGCGGTGCCAGGCCAATAAAGAAGATTTTTAGCTTTTACAATGTTTTTGATATAGCACAAGAACAGGATGATAACTTGGCTATTACAAAACCAACCAAAAAAGATGTTTTCAAAGCTCCCGAAGGCAGAAGTGAAGGACTTTTGAAAGAAGGCGTTAATTCTGTGATGACACTGGATTCCACATTAAAATACTCCATGGCTTGGAGGAAATTTTCCCAAAGTGGCAATTACTTGATTAATTGTAGGTAACGATATTAAAGTACTTGATTGGGTTTCTTCCGCTAAGTATCTAGGACATCATGTTTCATAAATTTCTTATTCTACAGATATATCGGCTGATTTTTCTGCTCTTTCATTTTACGTTAACAACACGATTTTATTCATATTTACTCATTCATTTTACGCCAAGCTAATGTGTTTTTGCTCTGTTGTATTTCGATCACACATGCAAGCAGCTGATTTCGAACATGTCTTCTCTCCTCTTCTTCTTCTTTGGATTCGATCTTAACACGGCATTTCCACGATATCCCAATAAGGTATTTTGCCCTCTGAATCGTAACTCCCTCTCCCTCTAAATATGTCGAATTATTCAATTCGCCATAAGAATTTTCGGGATCGAATTACGCCAAATGTTGGTAATTCATTCTCAATTACGTGGTCTTTTCAAATTGTTATCGGAAAGTTATCGAAATCGAAACAAAGATTATGAAATTCATAAAAGAAAGCACCAAAAAACCTATTTTGTATTTGAAACCAAACATTATTTGCATATTGAAAATGAAACATAACAAAGTTTTGATTGAATGGAAAATATTTTATTTATAATTATTTATTTCAATATTTTAATCAAATAAGTAGTGTTTTACTGTTGTGTACCGGAACCGAAGATGTTTCAACTTTACCTCTACGGTTGTGTCGGAGCAGAGAGCTCGAACGCTGCTGCAACTAGCCAAAAATATATTGAATCAGCTGTCGGAAACTATCTAATAAGAGCGCCACATAAATGAAGTTATCACCGCCAGTATTGACTTTTTCAAACGAATATTAAATAAACTAGGAAAAAACGTATACGAAATTCGTATTTAACTATCAATTACATCCTAGCTTAAGTGATTATTACCATAGACATAGATCATGTATATTTGATGGGCGCTTATAATCGAACATACGAGCATATATATGTAAATGATGAAATTCGTTGACGAAAATACTGGCAGCTTGGCAACATTTGGGCTATAAGAGGCGATAAGAAAGTCTGAATAGTTTTGTTAATTTTTTGTTATTATAAAAGAACAATTTTTCATTCTATTGTTCAATCAAATGACTAAATACAATTAGATTAATGTTTTTGTAATATACAGCAGTTTGGATTTTTTCTAACTTGTGTAATTTCAATGAATTTCAAATCTAGTTGTGAACTAGTGCTTTTTTTGGATATCTTCATATTTCACTGCAGGTTATGTTTCCTACATTTATTCACACAAACAAAAGTTTGCGATGGTGAATACACACATACATATTTGTGCATTGCCCAAAACATATTGGAAGTGATGTGGGTTTCACTTCCATTTCATAAATACATTTGAAGATATTACGACAACTGCCTCCGCATAGTGTTTAAATTTGAACTAAAAATACAGATGATATAAAAGTGCTTACAGTTTGTCAATGTCAAACAAGTATGTGAAAGAGTTCGAAACCCATATATGGATGAAGAAAAATATATATGCATACATGTGTAAAATATATTTTGAAAATAATATTCAGCGAAACAGTAAACAATTTTTACTGAATCGCATTCGAGAGAGCACGATTTTAATATTTAGTTCGAGGAGAAGCTGCGATTCATGCTGGATTGGATAAATTTGTAAGGAGAATGCGTGCTTATTTTTAAAGAAATTATTAATACAAACGAATTTTGAAGCAGCTGAAAAAAAAAATTCAGATATTTTTCTTTGTTTGTGATTGAGTACCTGTGAATTGAAAGGACAAATAATTGAAATTTTTATGCTTTATCTATTAGTTTTTTTTTAACAATCTTTGAGAATATAACAGAGATTTTTAGTTAGTGGATACTGCTCTTAGTCGAGTCCTGTACTGCATTATTTCTTCACTTGGCAGGTTAATCCGTCCTCACTCAATTTAGTAGTGCGTGCAAAGATGGGTCGTCGTGAGTTGGTGGACGTTCTTGTGATATTTACTACAGCTGCCATATAAAGGAGTGCAAATTTGGTGTTGGATTTGTGGTGGGTGAAAGACTGTGTAGTCAAGTACTGGCGATCACCCAGGTAGATGAGTTTCTCGCCACAATCGGTATCAAAGCGAAATTTTTCAACATATGGTTCATTCGCGCCCAATCTGACAATGGAAAATACGTTCCATTGCCTGACCATGAAGAAATGCGAATAGCAATCGGCTGCTTAAAAAAGGACGGCCTACCAGAACTATTCAAACATGCATGAATCAGCAACTTTACAGAGTATGGTCGGACGAAAGCATGCCAGAGGATTGGAATTTTAGTGTGCTCTGCCCAATCTATAAAAAGGGCGCTCCCACAGTCTGCGTCAATTACGATGCTTAGTTAATATTGGCAATGGGGTCCTGTCGAGCGTACTGTGTGAAAGACTAAAGCCCACCGTCAACAAACTAATTGGACCTTACCAGTTGACCAGATATTTCACGATGCCAAAACTGCAACTAAGACTTATAGGTTTGTTCGTTGTATTTGTTAAAACAAGTGAACAGAACTAAGTTTTTACTCCTTCTAAACATAGCCTCCATAAGCATTACAACCGGTCTATTAGCCAGATACTGTGCTGTGGGGACTCATCGTGGAAGGCTGTTTCTCAAAAAACTTTTCTGGCACTGTCCAGATCTCAGTGCTTTTAGTCATAGATTTCTTGGAAACATCTTCTTCTATTGCTTAGAGGAGCTTACATCTCTAGGCATTATTAATCTCCTAAACTTCGTAAAAAACACAAAGTGGTTTGAGCGTCTGGAAAAGTGAGAGAAATCCTCTTCACAGAGCCAATATTGCATCATCACGAGATCCTGTTAACCTAACTAACTGATTATTGTAGAATATTCAAAAGTGTTTGGAAATTTAATCGATTTAAACGACTTTTGGCGTAATTAAGAGATTTTATAATGAAATGCTCTAAAACTCTGAGACTGGTATGCATTCAAATGTAGATATAGCAAATGCAGTCAGCTCCCCATCTTTTTGAATTCGATCTAAATTTTGGTGGATAAATTTTTTCCCATTCTGATATTTTCTTACAATTTTCTAAGGTTGTAATAAACAATCATGAAAGCAGGAGGTGGAATATGCAGTATAATACGTGATTTTTGAATGAAAATTCTTCACAAATTTTTTATTAAAAATGATAGCTTTTTTTTTAAGAGCAGACCAAAACAGGAAACACGTTTAGTAGGAGATAGTTATGAAGCCGACTGAGAAGAGAGAATGAAACTACCTTTAAATTATTGCATCATGTTTGCAGCATTTATTAATAAACTCTCTTTAGAAGAGCGAGGTATCTTACTCTCTAAATTTTGTTACTGGCTAATTCTTACTGACTCCTGTCGGCGAATACAGCGGAGTAATAAAAAATAAAACTACAAACTATAGTTCGTTGTTAAAATTTCAGATTTTGAAGCCAAAAGTGTGCATCTCAAAAAATTTAAATGCCATTCAAGCTTAAACGAAACTTAAGTTAATTCCTTATGAAATAGTGGTTAATGCAAAGCGTTGATAGACTGACTTCCTAATACGTTACATTTAAATTGGATACTTTATTTAGAGTTTGCAGCCATCAGAATGATACTGATAATGTGGACCTGCGCTTAACATAGTAATAACACTACCGCCCAAGTATATTTCGCTACAAATCTTTATATAGTAATGGGTCAATTCATTTTTTCTATATTAATATCGGTTTATTTTCTTTAAAGGAACTGCGTGCGTTATGGAAAGCGTGAGATATGAAATCAGCAACAGACCATTGTAATTAGCGATCAAAGGGAGAAAGAAAGGCTCAGATGAGCTGAAGATCTTACACGCATTATCAGTATTAAGATATACAATTATTGGGATCACTTATGCAGTGGAAGATTATATCTACCCTTCTCGACTGAAACACTCAACGTTGCTACACGTAATCATACTTAAGTTTCACACGATAAGGAAACAAAAATATGCTGCTCATAAGTACTCTTGCACTGGGATTGGTGGACTTAACAAATCACAATGCTGGCATTCAGTTGGGTGTATTCAATTTGGCAACAACAGCGGTAGCTGCAGCTACAACCGTAGCGATAAATACAGCCGTCTCCGCAGAAAATGTGGACACGGTGATAAGTGGTACGATGCCGTTGACAGCTACTGTAACGGGCAGCGTGGAGGGTGGGAGTGCTAATGCCTTGACAACAGGCTCCGTCACTGGCACCTCGATAGCGCACACAACGACAGCTGTTGGCAGCAGTGCGGGTAGTGGTACAATCACGTGGGATAACAATGGAACTTTGCGATCGCTCAATCCTGGCGATTGGTCGATTGAACAGTGTGTGATTTGGCAAAGACCTCACCATCTTTATTTCCAATTGGGGAATGCTTTCTTTCTACTAGCATTTTTGGCGCCGCATGGACCTTTTGGCGCATTATGGCTGCGTGCGCTCATTCTCATCGGCTGCACGCTAATGGCGATGTATGGATACATGGTGGAGTGTAAGCCCGATGTGGTGCTCTGGTCCGGGCTATTTTTCATCGTCAATTTTATTTATCTCATTATTGTACTATGTCGACTCCGACCTGTTCGGTTCGATAAGGAAATTGAGGGGGTAAGTAAGTTATACTTTATACTTTAGTTATACATATTTTATTAATTAATTATTTGTTGCTTAAGCTTATAGTATCAAGCAGGTGTTTTCTATTGGTGCTACGACCGCAATGGACTAGGCTTGTTTAAATGCAATACAAGATTTCGGTTAAAATTCATATGCATTTTAAGATTGTCAACTATGTGCAATACCATTGACGAAATAATTTATTGCATTGAAAGGGCCTGCAGCGAAAAATATTCCCAGAAAAGCCGCCGATTTAGGGTCGCACTGCTCTTATGGGCTTTAAAAAATTAATGTTCTGTATATAAAATATCATTCTGAGTGTTTGTTATAACGAAAAATTTGAGCCGTAAACTCTGGCAGTTAGTGTTTTTTTTTCAGAAGTGGATTAAGGACCGACCTTTTTATTATGTTTCGATTTACTTGAAATTTGGTTCATTTGGCTTCTTACTTAGATTAGCAGGAATAATACTAATCTCCCAGCGTTTTAGTTTTAATTATCCTATTCAGATTAACAGAGACCTACCTATTTGAAAAATTCGTACAATATTTATAAGTCTTTTTACTTGAAATGATTAAGAGACCAAGAACCTGGTTCGATTTGCCCGAAATATAAATAACACTTTCTTTACGGGAATGGGATGGCCGAAAGAATGTTATGATTTGAATCTTAGCACCGATCGTGCATAGGTATGTTCGCTTCGCAGTGTTATTATTCGGCGACTGCGGGTTGCGAGCTATCTTATACCTTAAACTTGCTTGAATTTGCGTTCGGCTTACTACGAGGCAAATGGAAATATTCTTGAAAGACCTTGAGCAGCGAAGAAGACACCCACACATACAAATAAGTATTCAAATCAATAATACAATGCAATATAATGAGAAACCTTAATTAATTAGTATACAAATTGGACAAAATACATAAAGCTACAACAATATTTGGCGGGGAGTGCTAATAATCAATAAAAAACAAATATTTTGAATAGGTATTACGATAATCTCGATTTTATTTAATTAATAACGTATTTTTTCTAATGAAACTTTTCGATGTCGGTTGTTAACTTAGTACTAAATCAATATCCTTCATACATATATATGAGTACAATTATACTTGTTACTAGTTGCTTTCAAAAATCTTAAAATCACATTGATTTGTGAGTGCTGTGTATAAATCGGTTTAGGATTAAAACCTGCAAATTGCGAAATCGAAAGTTTATTATGGTTTTATGGAAGATCTATGTATACATATAAATATTTAAATTATTTGCCGAATATATATACATACATATGTATATGTATTTGATGCCTTATATTACACACAATCATACTGACATTAGTTAACATTCATGCAATCATCTAAAACACAATCAAAAGTATTTCAATTTGGTTTCACGGTTGGTTGGACTGAAATCAAGTCCGTAAAATGCCTAATTTTTTTCTTGAATGAAATAAGCCTTGCGCTAAACATTTTTTATTAGCTAACGAGAATATGGGGATTCGTATGGCAATTGTTTTAATTTGTGAAATGTATGTTTTTATAAGATATGTATATGCATGTATATGTGTAATGTGTATCACAGATTATGGTTATATGTATGTATGTATATGAATGCTTTCCGTTAATTTCTTACTACTTAAATACTAATGTAATGAACATTTTCGTTGACATTCTGGGATGGTGGTGAGATATATGTATATTTTCACTTAGAAGGCTAACTTACACTAAGACGTTCTTACGTTAACAATACCATCAAGAATACATGTTGCATGTTTTTTATCATTATCTTAAACTCTAGAAATGCAATTATTTTTTTGGTATATAGTTGGATACTCTCAGATCCGCATACATAACCCGGTACATCGGTGGTCTTGTAGCTGCCAAAAACTGTTTTCAAAAAGTTGTGAGCTTTCGGATTTTGTGTCGCGCACTTTTACTGCAGATGTCTTCTCCCTACGTTCGTTCACCTTAACTTATTTGTATTTTTGATGCGAGAAAATACAAATGAAGGCATGTAGCTAACAATACAGCCATATTGCCCATGGCAATTGTCATATGAATGCGACGAAAAGTTTTGTGTATGCGTTGGTAGTGTGGACAATTGATGAGATCACCCTGCTCCAAAGTGCCCACCTCACGTCCACTGCCGACAGCTCCTTCGATGCGATATTTCTCGTGCATCAAACGCAGCATTGGCGGTGCAAGGTAGAGTCGTATCATAACCTCTATAAAAGCAGTAACGCCCAGCGCTGTAAGTTGCACCATTGAGGCAGTATTCCAAGCGGTGAGGAAATACTTAACGAATAGTATTAACATGCTGATGCTCAATATCGCACTCAAGGCAAAATAACGGGGAAATAAAATCTGCTGACATTGCCCGAATATATGGCGGGGCAATGAGAAATATAATGATAAACCTGAATTGTTGAAAAGAAAAAGAAAATTATAAATTACATATAAAGATTTTTTTTTATGAAAAAATTTTTGTAAAATCGGATTTTGTAGGGATTTCAATTTGTTAATGCTTAATTTACGAATTTTAATAATTCTAACTGTCAAGATAAAACTCTTTTGTGATCGTCTCGTTTGATCAGCATCATTAAAAAGGTATGACAATAAAAAACGTTAAATTGCCAACAGAATTCTCATTTCGAATATAAAAAGTCTAAAGAAAAGGTTATAAAATGTTTTAGTGTAAATAATTCGAAGTTTTTTTTGTAATATGGTCAACATAATAGACCATGTATCATTTTGTACATGATCATATGAGGATGTTTGACAACAGTGATGCCGTTTTACCGTTAATACGTGAAATACGGCCTGGAAATTCCAACAACTTTGCTGTGGTAGGTATGAAAGCCTGCACCAGTTGTAATTTTTTTTGATTTTTTCTTGATTCGGATGTTTTAAACGAAAAATTCAAAACTTTGCAACATTTTTTTTTAGTAAATAATATCTGAAATATGCACTAGTTTAAATTTTTTGTTATTGGTTAGTATAGCAAAATATGCTAACAAAAGTGTAATTTATTTTTATTGTTTTTTATTTATTATTTTTTTACTTATAACTTTATGAGTCCAATATTTATTCTTGGCATTTAAATCTATATAGTTTTTTTTTTTAATTTAATAAAGCCTTGCAGTCAATAAGTCGATATTGCATATCTATTCAATATTTCTTTCTGTATTCCCTGATGATTTATTTTTCCCTACTCAAAACTATGCGAAAAAGTAAATTATGGATATACTTATATAAAATAAACATACTCTGATAACCACAATCTGAACAAAATTGTGTATTTTTTATTAAAACTGCTTCGCCTTTACTGAAACTCAATTATAGTTAATTTACGGTCATAATCTGATCTCTGTATTATAATACTTTAAGCGTTTTAATTTAACAAAATATGTATATACAAAATAATATATATACGTTAAACATATTTGTACATTTAAACATCTGTTCATATGTATGAATGTATGCAAATTCCTGCAGTACATCTGACTGTCTCCGCTATTGAAATATCAGCGGATTTTGGGCTGATACCAGTTTACCTCGGTATAAATCAAAAATACATATGTAGGTAGATGTATATATGTACAATTAAGTTGGCTGCTAAAATAGTTTGCAATTAAGGCGGTGTGCATATGAATCCCTTATTCACTTGAGATTGTATACAAATTTATTGCAACTCATTGAACAAAAAGATACAAAGGAGAACTTCTTACCTGAGACGAAAGTCATCCAGATCTGGGCACCAAAGTGTGTGGCAAAAGCACCCAAGTATGCGATCGCAGCAAAGTTACTATGTTCATGAATTCCTTGTTTGTCCAGTGTTGAAGCTTGATCCACAATGTCTTGGCCAGTGTTTGAACTTCGCGTGTCGACTATATGGGGCCAAACGGTGAATATTACAAATGTCAACACACATACTGCAATTAAATGTGCTGGCTGTGTTGTCCTTGTCAGCAATCTGCAAATTAAATAAATACAAAAATTGTTAAATAATTTGAACTACAATAGATCGTCTGTTCATCATATTTCTCTTTTGCCGATATTTACATTGCAGTGCATCCATAGATACGTATGACCGGCATTTTTGCAGTCAAAATTGAACCACTCTTATTTGCAAAGTTTTAGTCTTTTCCCTGCAGTGTTGTGCATATTTATGCGCTTAGAAATCGCAACAGAATGGCGTACGTGCGAAAACGCATGCAATTTTATTGAGGTTAAATTTTTTATATGAGCGCCGTTTGGAACCAGAACGGTTGTGCTCGCGCAAAATCTCTCGCGATTTTTTCCTACGGTTTGTCAACTTCCGAACTGATTGTATTATAATTTCATAACTATATATGTATGTATGTATGTATGTCCATATGTAAATATTCAAACCCTTATTTGATTTATTTCTTGATATGACGTGCAAATTTTTGATATGTATTTTAGTGAAAAAGCAGACTTGTTTTTACAATAATTCATTTTCATTATATGCCGAAGAGATTGCTTAAAGATATACCTAAAATTTATAAAAAATATGTATAGATATGATAACACTCAATTCTATTTTGCTATAAGATAAAAGAAAGTGATTTTAAAGATAACTGTTGTAAAAAATTAATAAATTCATTTCGAAATTCAGAAGCGCTAAATATCTGTTATTGGGGCCTTACCTAATCTGAAATGATTGCATATATACATATATTTAGAATTGTGTAGCTACGCTCTCTCTTTGTGCGCAAGCTAGTCCTTCAGTTTTCCAGATCCAATCAAACTTGGTACACAGTGGACCTAATTTTTTAGGTTGTAAATTTGTCAAAAAAGAAACGTGAAATTTGGTATACTGTACAATGCATATGATGAATTACATATTGGCGTCGAAAATCATCAAAGCATTGGTCGAAATCGTTCAATTTACTTTCGATGCTCTATCCACTAATATTTCTAAAAGTTTTTCTGCTATTATGAAATCCAACTGGGGTTTCCAAGGACCCTTTATCTGTAAGGTGGGTGTAGAACTATCTAAATATATAGTATATATTTTATAACTATTTTCTACGTCACAGATAAAACCACGTGCAAACCTTACTGTTAAAATGCAAATATATACAATATATATGTATGTACATACGTAAGTTTTTCTGAACACCTCTATACACAACTCTCATATAAATCTATAGGCATATGAGTATGTGCATACATACATACATATTTATTTAGTACGTACTCGTACATACAAACATAGCTGATAGTAGTGCACCTGCTGTAAAACTGATCTGATTCTAAACGTCCGCTGACTGGCTGGCGTGACGTTGCTATCGTCTTCCCTCGTGCCCGTGATATTGTCTGACAATAGTACTTTGCACATCTAATAAATAAAAAAAATGCATATTCACACATAGAAATTATTGCATAAAAGTAAAGTTCTCCTCTTCTACAGGTACACACACATACACATTCGCAACTACCCTGCAGACAGATGAACTAGTTTAGAGCTATCACGCAAATAATAACTAGCAGCTCATAAAAAAGTGTTTCAAAAAGAGTTGCATATGTTTAAAGAAATAGTGAAAACTTTATAATGATTTATAAATGTTGAATAAAATATTTCGGTTGAATCGCAATTAGATCAGCTTTACTATAAAACGCTCTTAATAGCCTGTGGGCGTAAATGCATATTCATACGTCAAAATGAATGTAAAGGACGTAAAAACTTGCACTTCTCTGGCAGGAATATAAATGAACCATAATTAAATGAAAATAAAAAATATCATAAATCAAGTAGTTTTCTCACTCATTAAAAAGGAAAACAAAAAAGGAAATTTAAAAAAATCTGAAGTCTATTTAAAGCCTTGAAATATTAGTTTGGTAAGTTTTCTAAGTGGTGTCCGACTAGTATTTTCCGGACTAATGCGAGTCACGGAATTTTATGCAGTAATAAAATGACGGGTTTAACAATTCACTGCCGGGCATACGAGTATCTTGCACGGGTGTGTATTTATGTACACACTTACATATATGTAGATACATATGTATGTATATATGTATGTATTTAAGGCCGAAAGAAATTCAATTTGTAACAAACAAATTTTTTAATTGTTCAGGCGTCATGACAATATGCACATACACATGCACATGTATGTATGTGTGAATATGTTTGTTCACGCGCATTCAGCGTATTGCATTTTCTTCAGGCCCCGTATGCACTGTTGCTAACTTCATTACAGGCAACACAATTAAAATCGGTATAAGTTTTTGACAACTTACGTATATATTTTGCTTTTTTGCATTTTCTCTGCAACTCCGTACAAACGTTGAACGAAATGCTTCGTCATTTGTGTTGTTATAGCGAGTGCATCCAAATCGCCGACACCATCGCCAGCTTCGGTGCCTGCAGCGCCGATATTTGCGATCTTATCCTGGAAGCCACCTTTGATCGTCTGCTCCGCCGCCTGTTTACTGCGAAAACGGCCGCATAGGCGTGGAATGCCGCTTTGAGTTGCAACTTGCGCGGTGTGTGCATTATTTGGATTTAAGTCGGCATAAGTATCCGCATCCGCGACTGTGGCGGCATTACGCGTTTCACTGCGGTGGTCGAATGTAGCCATGATTTTTGTTGGTATCGAAGTGTTTCGTGCGGCTTCCCGTTTTCTTAATGTATATTGTACGGTCTTTACAATCTTCTCTGGCATGCCATGCTCAATGAATTTGCGAATTTGATCACTTTGCACAGTCGAACCCGAATTTTGACACATTTTGAATTTGTGTTTTACAGTTATTCAGAGTGTACTGCTTAAGAAGTATGTTCTCTTTTGTTTTTGCTTTTACTTGTGTACATGTGTATATACAGATGTGTACAAGTGTGTTTTGAACGTTTTTACTTTATTAATTTCACTCGGAGATAGCTATTAATTAATTATTATGATTCTAACTTTTTACTATTTTCGTATTACTTTCGTGTTGTTGCACATCGAATTATAGCGATTAATAGATGTACACTTTATTAAATCAGTTTGTATTTCCTTTAATGCTACTTCACTATAGCTACCTCGAGCCGATCGCACTGTTGCTACTGTTAATACCGCACGATACCTACTACACTCGTTCACGTATGAAACGCTTTTGATTCAATTATCATTACAGTGTGTTTTTATATTCAAGCAGTTTATTCTTCGCTCGCACCGTTGCCATCAACATCGTCTACGATCACATTCCCTGTCATTGCTCGCTGTTGTAGGCTGGCACTCCTAGAATCAGAAAACGTACAACAAGCGAGTGTCAATTTTCTCAGATTTCTCTTTTCAATTTACAGAGAACTTGGATCGGTCGCTAAATTCTCATGGAAGAGTCATGGAAGAGTCAAATATCGGAATCTCTTAGTTGCAATATGTTGATGTAAGGTGTGATGTATACCCTTTACCTTCTGGAAGATCTGTTGACGATTCGTGCGAACAAACTTTCATGAATGCATGTGCATACTCCCATTCTGAACAATTAAAGATAATGCCAGTAATAATAATATAAGTATTCTGGGTTGTTGATTGGCTGGATGTGTATAAACGAATGCGAACGATAAAAAATTATTCAATAGTGCCTACTTAATACCTACGTATGTACATACTGGTATGTACATAAATATTTACATAGAGGGTAGAAAGTTAGGGCACCGCTATGGAACTACGTGAGATTTGCAGTTGTCTAATATGGAAGCGAAGGCACTTGTCTTTATTGCCACTATTTGCTGACATTGTGATTTACATCATTGGCGCATGTGATGGTGTTTTAATGTCACTTGAATTCCAAATTTTAAGTGACATGGAAGCCTGCGGAAAGGTTTTGGGATGATGCGCATTGTTGATTGTCGACGCATGTCGTATATAACGAATATGTACATACCCGATCAAATCACAAGCTAATAAAATAATTGAAATTCATAACCGACACTACATCTTCCTTTCTGGATTTTATTAAGTGCATCATTAATTTTGACAAATTGGGACTGGTGAGAGAATGGATGAATGACAGTTTTAAAGAAAGGAAAATGAATTACATATGTTGCCATCTATAAATGTTTATATGCGGGGACTAACAACCACTTTATTTAATTTCATTAAAAATGTTTTTTTAATCTTCGTATACTTTATTTTTGGCGGCCGCAATAGCCAAGTGATATCATTGTATGCTAAAATCAAGGAATTCAAGAATTTCTTTTGATGCAAAGAAAATCCAGCTTCAATGGCGAAGCGCTGTAACTGTGAGCAAAGAATTTGCACTTGAACACAAATACACAAACATATGTATTGGTGTAGTTTGTATTTTCGCTCATAAATGAAGTTTGACTTTTTAAAAGTCAAATGGGGATTCTAAGATTAGAACGTTTGCAAAAATATTTTCAAAATTAAATTCCCCAATTGTTTGGTTTTACCTCAAGTGTGACGCATTTTGGATTGAAGTATATTTCTCATGATATTTTTTCTTGTTGACCAAAGTCAATTCGTTCATACGTACATATGTATATAGAATTTCAACTTTTATATGCATATTTTGGTTAAAATTCGTTAACACTCACTGGAGAATATTATGCTTCAGTGTTGCGTAGACAGCCCAGACCTGCCCCCGATTTGAAAAACATCTGAGGGGTAAAATTTTTATCACAAGGATAGGATGTAGTTTTCAAGATGAAGGGAAAAGATATCCAAAATTTGTCTGCCTTACAGGTAATATATTAAAGTGGAAAACATTTTTAATGGAATGTATTGAAATTTAGCTTCATAAAATTAATCTTTCATGCACCGAAAGATTAAAACAACTAAATATGCTAATAATAAATTACTCTACATAATTAAACTTTTTATATTTGTGTACATGCATATACACAGTACATACATAAATATGTGCATAAACAGATAATTCGAAATTCAGTTTTAGAATTTGTTTGTTTTGGAATGACATTTTGTATACATATGTATGTACTCGCACATAAATATTTGTGCCAAAAGCCGCGTCATCAAATATACCTACGAATAAGTTACTCACTAAGTACGCCTGTGAAAATATTCTCTTAGCAACGGCAATCATTGCTAAACCTTTGCCCACATAATAAACTTTGCACATTAGCGAACAAACTCGGACAAATAGTGTATGTGTGTAGGTGTTAATAACATTCGGAATTTTCGGGGGCCAACACGGCCACGGGACAGATTTCAGACGATCATATGAGCAACGCGACTCGCATGAATGAAAGCGCCTGTGACGAAAGCAAACGAGCGTCAGATGCGCATCTGATTTATTTACGAAACTTTTGGTGAAATTCATGAGTCCGTTTGAACTGTGTTGGTGGTGGTTTAGATAATAAAGAAATTGTTATTTCTAGACTGGCGATAAGTTCATGGCAGATATCTGCATACATATTATATGTATTTAACTGTTTACATACTCGTATATAGCGTCCATGGCTCACGTGAGACTTTGCGCGAATTCAGTTTGAAAATATTATACGTACAATACATATATACAATATAGGTAATAGAAATACGTACGTATATATTATATGTTGGAATGTATTGTACTATTTATTGATTGTATGGTGCAAGGTTTTAGCGAATAAGTTTATATTTGTGTTAATTGTTTGTTATATGGTTTTTGTTATTGTATTTTATTATTATGAATGGAAATATACTTGCAATACACTCATGTCTTCATTTCATTTGGCCTTATCAAAATTATAAAACTACAAGTGTTCATTAATCATTGTCGTGCACATTTGTACTCAAACGAACTTATGAATAACTTACTCATATTTAGTATGCATTAAATTTACATTTAACGCTAAATCTCTTATTTTTGTCCTTTAATACTTCAGTATAACTTCTCCTTATATATGGTAAACGCTGTCTCTAGACTAACGGCTCGTATTGAGAACTTAAGATACTCTATTTTAGTGACGATGCTTACTTGATGCATTATTATTCAATATAAAATATTCTGCCTTGCGGAAATCTGTATCGGTTGCGACGAGAGGATTCATTTGTCGAGACGGCGTATCTGCTTATTTGTTGCATTTTTGTGAAATTTCTCTTTTGGAATAACAGGAGGGGGTTTTTTTTAATTTTTCACACCTATTACTGATGGACTGTTTTTTTTAGTGAGCCTAGCTGTCGAGGCGATGAACAAAAACTTAAAATTACTTTTACTTAATTTTTTGTTTAGAAAAAAATTAAAACCCCTCAAATCTGAGGAGCTACAAAAATTGGCTTACAATAATGATCAGTTTTGCGCTGACTGAACTCTTCCTTATTTCCTCTTCTTCATATATTGCAACATGGCTCAATTACAGTTGCTGCAGAAAATTTATTTTCAATGGGTCTAAGCGCTTCCCAGGAGTGCAAATCTCTTACATTAAGAGTTTATTTCGTAGACGCTCGTACAGTGGTCAAACCTAAAGCAAGAAAAACTAAAAACTAATTTCAATTTTGCTGCCTACGCAATTAAAAGCTGTCATGGGGTTACAATCAATATTTTGGGTCTTTCAAGTCTCACAATGCAGTACATCGGACACACCTAGAATAGACTATGAAATATCACCTTTGGACATGTCTTTAAGTGGGCTATTTCTTCCAGATCTGATGCTTACTGTGAGTCAAATATAGAGATGTACGAATTGCAGTCCTCTTAGTTTCATGAGTATCTCTTCTTTTTCGATCTCCGATTCAAACAAATCTGAATGCAGTTACGTTGTTAGTTGAAGTACACTTGTATTTGTATTGCTTTTGAGGGGCATAAACATACCCACACATGCTCATCGCTGTATACGGCCGTATGCACAACAATCCGATCTGGTCCAATCCGAAAGCCATGCTCAAACACGTGCGCATTTGCATACATACACGTACGTATTTATGTGCAGTGGGTGGATTGGTCGTGGATAAAGGATGCAAAGCGTTAATCGGTGCAGGAGGTTATGGTTACGATTACGGTTTTGTTGTTGCAGATGGTTATTGTACGAGAATGTCCGCTAATCGTTTTGCGCTCCAGCGCCATCGGATGAATTTGCAAATTGGCAAATCTATATGCCGCTGTTCAGCATACGCTCGTTGTAGTATAGTCGTACTCAGGCCCAATTTAAAGATTTGCTCAGAGGGTGAGAGATACGGGATATACCGTTGGTTCGCTGCCATGGTTTGCCTTGGTGTTGGTAATTACATTTATTGGGCGGTAGTTGAATTGTTGGATCATTGGCCGGTTGCGAGTGGCCTACGTGACTCTGGCGTATTCAGTGATGTCTGCGGTGTTGTTATGAGCACCGCGGATCTTGGGGAAATCGTTCTGTAAGCGCTTGTTCGTCGCGTTATCGTTTGTTGTAAAGTTATTTGTTGTTGCGGCGGTTTTTTGTTGTTGAGTGGCTAGTATTTTATTTCGCTTTTAGGTAATTTGACTTTTAATGACATTATGCTCAGTGCAAAATGCAATTGTTCTTTTTGTTGTTGCCAATTCATTGTTTGTCAACTTGACTTTAGCTCTTAATGAGAGAATTCATTATTTGTGCTATTTTGATGGTCATAAGCGAGAGCAAATACAATGGGTAGCCATCAATGGAGACATGCATATTCACATACATACATACATACATACGAGTACGGACATATGCATGTGCATGTGTAAAAAAAAAAATACAAGTGTTCGGGTTGTAATAAAAATTCACATTTTTATTTTAAGATAACAGGATACGAGCAGATGCATCACCTCCAATTCAACATGTCATTAACACTAATCAAATTTTATTTGATTCACACACTTTGGCAATAAAAAAAGATTAAATAAAGTAATGTAAATAAGTGAAAAATATAAAGAAGACTTCGACAGTTTACTGTTTTCTTTGATAGAGGTTAGTGAGTGATTTGCAAAGTAGATAATTTTGCATATATTATTCCTTAATATGAGGTACAAAGGAACCGTTATTTTGGAGGAACGTTTGTTTTTGAAACCATTTCGAAAAGTTATTAATAGATGTTGGAAAAAAAGAACTAATATCCACCTAAGTAGGCCACATTTCGTTAAATATCCCATTTTCAGGACTATTCACACTATTACCGGCAAAGTAAATTTTGTTACTTTTTTTTAACACCCAAAATTGAATTTGGTATTCTGGCGAACTGGTTACAATGTTTGTAAAAACTTTGGCAGCACTGATTTTTTCGTCCATGTCAAATTACATTTGTCAGTTGCTATTGTATATTATTGTTGCGAAAATGCGAGGCGAATGTCAGATGAAAGAGAGAAGCCGATAACTAGTACGTTCTAGAAACGAACAAACAAGAACCTTCCATAGCGAANTTTATTTGTTTATTAAATCATAAATGTTTGAACCTAAACTACAAACTACAAAAAAAACCTGAATGAAAACGCTTTCTTCCAACTTAAAATGGCCCAAAATGTACCTACCCATTTTGGTTTTTATTTTTTCTCAAAACTAACAACACAAACTCAAACAGTAGATCTTTTTTACCTCCTATTTCGCTGGTAACAAAATGTACAGGGTGACAGTGAACTCAGAATAGGAAATAGTTACAAAATTTACTGAATGGTTAATTTTAATACCAAAGTAAATTTTGTTACCTCGACAGAATAGGCCTGTTTAAGTCGTTAAATCGTTCAAAATCAAACTTTGTATTATAATATATTAGCCTTTGTGTTTTTAGTGAATGTAGGTTAGGGAAATAACCAAAATCGGGCAGCATTAGTATTTGCGGTAAGCGCAGGTGACATCGGTAACGACGTGATGAAACAACCAGACAACTGTTGGGGCTATGATAATGGCCGAAGGGCGTGTTGACAAGGCATGTGTCAATTCACTTACCCTCTTGCCAAGGTTGGACATGGTACTGATTGTGAAGAGATTTACTTTGAAACCAGGAATACTATGGTAATAATAATAATAACAACAATAACAATATTAATAACAATGAAAATAATAACAATAGCAAATGAAGAACGAAACCAGGAACTAGGATTGTTTCTTATTTATTAGTTAAGACACGGTTCTAGTTATATCATCTCTCTTAAAACAGTTTTGATCAGCTGAATTCTGTACCTCATTACCGCTTCCGATTGGATATAGTTTTTCGAAATTTGACAATCCTCAATTATTTTTTACGGTCATTAAAGACTTAAAATTTTTTATGCCGAAAAAAGAAACAACAGTTTGGTGTGTCATAACACATTCAGCATACAATGAACCTGACTTTTTAGACTGAACGCAGCAAAAGTGATTGTCATTTCCATACTTACGAGTATACGCAAGCGCTGATGTGCAATTTTTCCTTTTACATGTTTTCTTGAATAACAATGAAGCGTAATAAAAGTTACGATTTTATCACAAAGAATGACAAACAACCACTTGATTTATATTTATTTGTAATCATTATATTACTTGTCTTAGAAAATTTGTAGTGAAGTTAATTTTATGTCATTTTATTTTATAATCTGCCTATGAAACTTGCTTCCAAGTAAGTATTGATCATTTGGATTCTTGTACGGGCCAGCCAGATCGGCTGCCTATTTCATATATATATATATATAGATATATACAATATATCTGAACATATGACGTTTTGGTTCTAAAATCTGTCATAAAATTTGGTAGTCTAAATATTGACAAAAAAAATTGACTCCGGTATGGTTGGTCTCTTGCCTTTTTTTGTTTCATTTTATATTTTATTGTACTTTTAAGAAGTTTTTCCAGGACCACTAAAAAAAGCTTGCAATATCAAAATGGATGACTTGTCAAATATTGATTATGTCCAATTGATTTCTTTTTTTTTTTTGATTTAAATTCCTGTATGAATTAAAAAGTGCATTATTAAGTTAAATAAATTGATTACTTTCAGGTGTATGCCAGTTTATTTAAACCTCTGCGTGTAACGAGACATCAGTTCAAAAAAATTTTGAGTTGCATGAAATTGATACGATCCTTGAAGTATCAGGAAGTTTATGCGCAAGAGAAGGTTACCAAAGTTGATAGCTTATCACTCGTTCTTTCGGGAAAGTAAGTAAAAATTGAGGAAAGGAAAGTTATTAGAGTAAAGTTTTGCCTTATGAGCTATTCGTCTTAGTTATTTCTAATTACTCTGGCTTAAATTTTTGTAAATATTATATATTTTTTTCTTTTAGATTGGTGGTATCACAGAATCAGAGAGCGCTACATATAGTATTCCCTCATCAGTTCCTAGATTCACCAGAATGGTTTGGAGTATCGACCGATGATTATTTTCAGGTAAATTTATTTACTGCAAATGTGCGAAATTTTATAAAAAAAATATATATTCTTAGCACTCAGCGTACACGCTTTTTACTGCTATATGTATTTGGAATTATTTCATTGAAATTCACATTTTAATCAACACTTGAGATCATCCCCTGATATGGGGAATTAACTTTGGTGGCTTACTCATCGAAGCCGCTGTCTTTCACATTGTTGAACCACGTGAAAGTCGAAAATGACTCAAATTTTCACAGAAAATTTCTCTAAAAAAAATCTTAGTGCCGACTCAGAGTATGTTGTCACAGACCTCGATTCGGAACTAATCGTGAAGGAGGACTTTACTTTCAAATTTAGTTTGTAGTCCAGCAAGTGCTTGCAGGCAAAAGCGATTCAATGATTGTAATATCGTCCTCCATGGGCTCCCATATATGTATGACTGTATGAATCCCTCTTCTGTTCTTATGCCGTCCATCACATTTCCTGAATGGTGGTGGTGTCAGCCCTTATAACTGCGAAAGTTTATTGGCGTAGACACCGCTTACATTGCACCAATTGGACGTACAAAGTATAGCCGGGTGCTTCTCTACCTACTCCTCCCAACGGATTGGAGGTCAAGAAATTAAATAAGTCTCACGATAAGGAACCACCTTGTCTCAAACTTCGTTTGGTATCAAACGGCTCGGAGAGGTCGTTCTCTCTGTGGACGGAGCTTTTAGTGTTGCTTAACGTCGGTTTATATAGCCGTATAAGTTTTGCGTGGATACCAAATTCAGACATAGCGGCGTATAGGCGGCTCCTTTTCGTATTGTTGAAGGCTGCTTGAAAATCGACGAAGAGGTGATGTGTGTCGCTCTTATTTTCACGGGTCTATTCTAATACTTGGCGAATGGTGAATTTCTGGTCGGTGGTGGATTTACCAGATCTAAAGTCACACTGATGAGGTCCAATCAGTTTGTTGACGGTGGGCTTCCGTCTTTGACACAAAACGCTCGATAGGGCCTTATATACGATGTTAAGGTGGTTCATCCCACGATAGTTGGCGCAGACTGTGGGATCGCTTTTTGTGGATTGGAGAGAACAGAGAACACTCAAGTTCTAATCATCGAGCATGCTTTCATCGGACCATATTTTGCAAAGAAGCTGATGCATGCACCTTATCAACTCTTCATAGACGTGTTTGAATAGCTCGGCCGCTTTGTTGTTTTTTAAGCGGGCGATTGCTATTCGAACTTCTTCATAGTCGGTCAAACCCTGCGCACAAACCCGGATGGCCGATGGTTTTTCATGAAGAACCTTTATTTTATGGGAGAAATACACTCCGAGGGATTAACACTCCTTGACGAGGGGCGATGACAATTAGGTCTAGCCAGGATTCGAACGTGTGACTCGTATTGCTAATCACTCGGCTACTGCGATCGGCTCTTGTATAGCTATTAATACACGATTTTACTACGACAACAAAGGTTGAAAAATTGCCGCTATGTGATCATTAATTGAATTATTTGAATAGATTTTTCATATGCACATACTCATATTCATACATATGTACATAAATAATGCAAACAAATGAACGTACTTATACATTTTGTTGCGATATTAATGTTTTTCTACAACAACAACAGGTATCTATAATGGCTATGGAAGAATCACGCGTTCTTATTTGGCACCGTGACAAATTAAAATTATCTATAATGGCCGAGCCGTTTTTACAATCGGTGTTCGATCACATATTGGGTCGCGACGTCGTCAAGAAGTTAATGCAAGTGACGCAGGTAGAAATGGTTTAATACTAATAAACATACATATGTATAAGTATACAATTTTTCACTATCAACCAAATATAATTGCTCTCCTTCCGTCTTCAGGTAAGCGAGTCTATAGCCAGTAATGGATTTTTACCATCGGGTAATTATGATGATGCTGAGGATAAGCCAATGCTGATTATGAAAAAAAATGTCGAGGGCCATGGTCTAACAGCATTAATAAATCGCCAACTTCAAGGTGAGTTCATATTTATTTTAGTAACAAATGTTTTTTTTTGTACTTTATCGTAATTATAAATATAATTATAACTATAGCATTATAATACTATAAAGTAGAAAAAAAATTTATAGTGGGGTCAAAATCTCGTATACACACATATGAAAATGTTTCGAATGTAGAAAGTGAATTTTAGACTGTAAAGTACGTACATGAAAAAACCTGAACACGAACATAATTATAATTCTCAATTTCTATCTAAATAATTTTACTGTTAATTACTGTATCTCTTGGTTCCTCGCATATCAACTAAGTTTTATTATTGTCCGTAATATGTGTATGTAAACAGTAGTATGTGCGGTGCTTGAGCTTTCCCGATTATTCATTTCATACGGAATATACTTAGATAAATTACATAATTTGCAATGTTTATATGTAGTTTATATTTTACCCCTTCCGCATTCTCATATGTACATAAGGTAAAGTGTTTGATAGTGAGTATTAATATGCGTATATACATACATACCTATGTGTAGAACTACTAAGTTAAATTTATTAATTTTTCCATCGTTGCAGCAGTGTTAACGAAATGTATAGTAAAAGTTGTAGATATTGTTTCATATTCTTTCATTTAAATAGTAGAATTCAGGTGATAACTTCAGTCACTTATATCGCGAATAAAAGCAGAAATTTCAATATTTGAACAGGGTGCGCCATCTATATGTGGTCAATAGAAATGTTGAATAACTTGAAAAATTTTCAATGGATTTTGATTAACTTTTTTATTATCAATTTTAAAACCACATTTTTCCAGCTAGGTTCGAAACACAACATCAATCAAATGACCCTTTTCATTGCGCAAACAAAACTTCACTCTTTTTTGAGATTTCCATGACATTTGCCAGCATCTCGGGCGATATCGCAGCGATTTCAGATCGTCCAAAGTCTTCAGCTTGTTGGCATTAAAAAGCCCCACAAGAAAAAGTCTGGTGCAGTAAAATCGGTCGATCTTCGTGGCCAGTCGATCTCCCATCCTTTCGATACCGCTGTGTGAGTCTCACGTTCTTTGGACGTAAAGCGATACATGGCTGTAATTGTATTGGAATAACCGTTCCAAAAAGCTTTCACTGCACGCAATCGGTTGAAATCTATCAAAGTTATTCGATGTTTCCATTGATCACATATAGATGCCGCACGCTGTATAATATTATACTAAATCATTGGCAAACTATCAAATGCCTCTCTTTAAAACTCCTTCATTTTATTTTATCGGAATCTAAAAGTACTTTACTGTGTTTTTGGGAACCTCGGCTAGCTTCTGTGAAAGCGAATATTCATAAGCTAACATTTTTTCTTAATTTTTGCTCTTCGGTAAAATTTAAAATTCGTAGCTTGTGGCTGTGGCCTTGTAGATTTCATCAACGATATATGACATACAAAGTTATCGTTATCAGACGATGACGTACACGTATGTAGTATGGGCTTTATTTTATTAATACTTTTGATTTAGTGCTTTTTTTTCTTTCAAGATGATCCCAAATACTTTTCCCACAAACCTGAGCCTTCCGGGACAAACATAATTTTTTATTTTAATGTGACTAAATTTTTATTTTCAGCATACATTTCTATTCTAAGAACTTCATCCTGCTTAATATATACATACATATGTACGCACATTGCACAATAAATACAATATATAAGAAATAAAAATATCTTAAAGATCGTTTCTTTTGTTGATAACTTCGAAGAAAACATATGCAACTTTTGCCGTAATATCTGTTATATGAGAATTATCTTAAAATTAAAAATGTGTAAATAAAACATTTTATTGCCTCACTATATTATTAGAGGTAACTCATACATAATTTAAATGCACTCAATTCCAAATGGTCTATTCTTTTTCCTCTTTGTAGAAGTCAATTTTACTTTAATAACACAACCCCCGTTACAAAAATTGTTATGTCTGTAAAGAGCATTTACTTTTCTTCGAGTTGTGCCGCTCCAATATGTAATGTGCTATATATGACTGTATTTATATATAAGTCAACATATATGTACAATATATATATGTATGTATATATTATTTGTCCCTTTACTTAATTTATTTTAATATGAGGCCTCATATACATATATAAGCCTGTAAATACAATTAATTAGACGCACACACAACCATATATAGCGCATATCAGTATATGCTTCATCATTCATAGATTATTATCTTGATATCAATAACCTCATACATTCATTTGAATCTTCTTTATTTATGCAATATGATTTTATTCATGTCTTATACATATTTCTTTTATTTATTTTTAATGTGATTGTTCTATTTTAGAAGAGCATGTACCTTTACTTGGCCGTACGTATAAGACCAATACACTGCATATGGTGACCAGTCAACCAGTGCAACCGGCAAGCCACAAAAGCTCATTGCCATTTTCGCGTCCTAAAAGTATCGTACGTAAAGAGTTGACGTCTCCATGCTAACACTGATTCGATGAGTCGAGACTAAAAATCGTTGCGATCGTACGCAATCATAAAAGTGCATACATTTTGGCTCAGTCGTAAATACGTATATAGATATTTTAATGAGACTGTCTCAATTGCTGCTACATTGACGTCACACAGCCGACGACACAAAAATGCTTCCACCACCGTCAATCCCAGACACCGAAAATGCCATCACAAACATACCTACCATACCATACCGAGTTTATTCATTGCTAACATTTATCTAAACATAGTGCAATTTTCTTAAGTTAATACAAACACGTTGTACACAATCATACATACTATACAAAAATATAGAACGTACATACATACACGCATGGACACTAATATTCACTTAAAGTTTAGTACAACTTATCATTGTTACGTATGTACATCCCTTTTTTTTGAATATTTTTTCATTTCATTTATTCACTCCATATTAATATGATATTTTGAAATAAATATATATGTAGTACGGATGTGCCCAGCGTTGCTATTAGAAAAAGAATTAGGATCTATGTATTTGAGGTCATAGGTTAATCCTGAACTCTATACCCGCAATGAAACGAGGTGTATTTTTAATTGTCAATCAATTAAAAATAAATAACAAATTATTCATAAATAATACCAAAAATTTAAAAAGTGTACACAATATAAATTAATGATAATATTAAAAATATTAATAAATAAAATTATATAACAATTTTACAGTTGTTTTAAATACGAACTTAGGTGAAAACTTGATATTATTAGCAAAAGATACAAGGTCTGCGCGACTGATCAAAACTTCACTGCCAACTCCATCAGCTTATTGCAGAATCCATTATCTTACAAATGTTGGCCGAAACCTCTTGAATCATTCAAAAATCAATCTTTTTGAAAAAGGATTTTTGTACAATTAATCAAATATTATTTGTATTCAAAATATTAAATGTAATTAGTTATGCAATGCAAAAAGCATACTTTCAAACATATGTATGTATTTTGAACCGGATTATATAATATGTATCATTTACTTAACTACCATCGCAGATTTTAAAATTTCATAGAATATCTTCAATGCGTACTGTATAAAATTATAAATATTCTACGTATGCACATGAATATTATACATGAACCCAACATGACAAATTAACATTAAAAGATCATAAACTTAAAGTTTATATATTTTGCGTGTTTTTACGTTTAACACTTTTATAAGGTTTATGTTTAAATTGTCTCTCTATTCAACTAATGAGTAATACATACATACAAAGATACAACGTCGCTCCATTATTTGTAAAAATAAAATAAAAATAGTATGTATGTCTGTATACGATCTCGTATTTTCATCAAATTTTGTGCACTTTGACGCTCATTAAAAATCAAAATTACCTGCATACATTAAAGCAAAGCAATTTGTTTTTTGCTTTTAAGTGAATGGCGAAGACATTTTACATTTATGAAATTGTTACTTTATTTGAAAAATATAAAACGAGACTAAAATTGATTGATAAATCCATTTAGTTACATATAATTAAATACTTTATTATACTGAGTTTATAAGAAAAAATGACGAATCATTCAAAATCTTTTTATTATTTGAAAATTTTCTAGAATTTTCTTTTTGAATGAATTGAAATATATTTAGATACAAATTTCTCATCACAAAATTTGATTTGTCGCTCATTGAGATATCTACATAAAGATATCGGTAATAAAATATTAATGTTTTAAACTTTAATTTTTCTGACGTTAATTAGTTTTGAAGTAATAAAAAGGATTTAGTTTCTACTTTTGCGAAATTTTAAAATGTTTTATGCGTTTTGGAATTAATAGCTCTGGTACATAGGTATACGGTATGTACGTATAAACTGTAGTTTTAGACATTTACTTTTTACATTATTGAAACCACATAGTGAAACTTTTATTAGATTGATGTAATTAGAATTTATACATACAACTTTGTATCTAAATACATACTTAAATATGTACATATGTTTGCAGGTTATGTGTTTGAATATTTCAATTTATTTTTAATTTTCGTATTTTTTCTCGTTTCTCGTTGCCTTTTTTTTCCTATAAAAATATTGCGTTAATAAACCACCCTCCGCGACATTCATTAGCCATACCGAGGATATCGAGGTACTACGATTGCGGTAAGTTAAATTTTGCATTGTGCGCAGCATGTACGATTTATTATTTAAAAACTCTAATTTACATATGTATGTATGCACATAGATACAAGCATAAGGAAATATGCATATCCGTTTGTGTTTTCACAATACATTTTGCATTTAATTAGTTACTAGAAAAGTTTCCACTAAATTACTAAGTGTTTGCAATGTATGTATTTGCATATACATATATATATATATATATATATATATATGCTTGTTTAATTTTGTATGAAGAGCATGATAGAGACTATTATTTATATTATATTTTAACTTAACTTTAGACAATAAATAGATATTTTTTGGCAATAAGAAATTCAGTACAGGAACACTTGAATGACATTTTTCCCCTCAAATCCTCTATACACAAACATACATACAAGAATATGGTCACGAACTCTTCAATCACCAATTTTCCCACGTTCTACTCTATTACTCTCTGAAAATATTCCTTATTTATAAATATATATATAAAGCTTATTAACGCTATTGCTGTATGTATGATTTCCTGTTCCAAAAATAAGAGTAATTAATTTAAAAATATTATTTCCAGCGGGTGATCCTAACTCCTGGCGATTAGGTAGAATCGATGAGACTGATCACGAAACGGCTGTGTGAGTGTAAATTATAGTATGTACATATGTATGCCAGTGGCGTTTGTGTAAATAAAATTCATCCCGTGAAACATGAAGCTGCTGTAAAAGGAATTAATGACCAACACATACGCACATTTGTGAGCTAAATGGAGTCAAAAGGGCGTGTAGTATAGTATATGTACATACATATGTACATAGCTGATATTTTTCAAGTACGAATGGAATTTTTCCAAGTATTATTAGATACTAAGATAATTATATAATTTAATGAATTGTTAGTGTTATTTTACACACAAAAAAGAATTATTTGTATGTATGTAAATCTAAAAGTAAAGTTTGAAATTAATTATCCACACGAACTTAGGGTTTATAAAGAATGTATTATACTTAATGTCATTGAATATGTACAGAGGAATGTAGTACATACACTGGGTTAATTCAAAGTTTCCCGTCCACCTTAGGAATGATAACAAATGGAAACAAAACTAACGTGGATTTGGTATATGGTTTAAAAGTGGATAAAAAAAATTACAAAAATCATCAATCTAAATATAAAGATATAGTGCCTCAGCAATGTTCACTTAGATAATTTCTGGCAAAAAATTTCATTACAATCCCCTTTAAATAAATACGCAAATCAACTCAAAATCACTAAACGTAATGTTATATGTTATAATGAGGGTCACTGTAGCATTGCGTACTATGCGGAGGGTTATGGGTTCGAGCCGGACTAACATCCTTCCAATTTGATCTCAACCCCTGCATGAACATTTTTGACTTTGGAAACGTAAGCTCAATGTCCCTCCAATTGTAGGAATAACATTAGAAGCTCAACTGAAAATAGTATAGCGGCTATAAGCGCCAATTAAATCCAAGCGCAAATTTCAACGAATATTCCTGAACAAAAATTATTATTTTAATTAAGAAAATATTCTTTTATAGCAAATCTACGTATACATGGGTATAATAAATGAGATTGGAGATTACCCATTTACCAATTTCGAAATGAAATGAACGGGTTATTTTTTTTTTATTTGATATAATTTTTTTGCGTGGACGCAAAATTTACAAAATTCGATTAGAATACTTGTTCATCACTTTATTGTGCTTATGTAAATATATTTTGCGACTAAAATGCTATTTGAAATATTTAGTTATTGTGCTTCCGGCTCTCAAAATTATTTCGCCTTGAGCGAACATTTGTTAATCTTTTTTTTTTTTAAAGCGCAGAGGCAATATTATAACTTTTTTTTTAAATTAATATTAATTTAAATTAAAAACAGCTGAAATAATATTTTCAGTTTTTTTTACATAACAAAATCATCGAACATTTGTTTTAAGCAAGAGTGCCTTATTTTGGATATGGTGCAGTTTAAATAAGATTCTGTTTCATTAAAGAACGATGTACTGTCTCAATGGTAGCGCTCTTATAAATAATACATCTTACAAAATTTTAGGTTGTGCATACTTTTTAAGCTTTAAACCTTTGTAAGATAATAAAGATGACTAAATACGTTTACATTTGGACTTGCGAATACCCACAAAATACATTTTCCTATCTTACGATATGGTTTTCTTTTTTCAACATATACGTTCATTCATAAATATGTATACACACTTGTAGAAATCATTGTTAATTAACCTTTGTATGTTTATTTATTTATTATATGATATAAAATTTACTTTGCATAAGACTCTTTAAAATAATTAACTTAATGTGAAACATGTTGTGTGTAAGCATAAATTAAATGAAATTTGTTAAATATTTTTATTCATTGCCTCCAAGTGGCATTACAAATGTATTGGAGAAGTGGTAAATTAAACTGATAGGTCAAATTAAAATTAATGTAGTATTGTATACCGATTCAAAATTATTCTTAGGCAAAATCTTGTTTAAATTTCAGTGGAAATTAAAAAACTGGTAAATATGTAAAATAAAGTATTAAAAGAAACCACCATTTACGTATTTTTATTGAGTTTCCCATTTTCTGATTACTCACGCGACGAGTGCGTAATTTAAGTTAGCAGAGCAAATATATAGCTAAACATAAGTATTGAAAATTACAAACTATTCATTTTTTCATGAAATATATACCTCCATTTCTGCCACATCTCTTTATCAAAAAGGCAAGTCTTTAGAGCGGCTATAATCTTGTAACAGGGTTTATTTCGAATTAATTCGAAAATAGGTACTTAGGTATTAAGCCACTACAGTAGTGCTTTAGAATATAACTCTTATTTACATTTCGTGGCTTCGGTCACCTGGAACTCGGACGGACGAAAACGGGCTATTCCTTGCATAGTAGCATGTTATTTGCTAATTTGGAGCCAATCGAAAATCTGCGGCTGCGGTAGCGTTAATACGAAAGTACCGAAAATAATTAAGTCAGTGCTATTTTAATTCTTTTCGTTGCTATACTTAAATATTCATCGGTTAGCGGGTTAACACGCTTGTATTCACGAGGATTTTTAGCACATGTAGTATATCTTTCTGAAAATGGCGAGGCAGTTGATGAGGTTTTATTGCTTGGGAAATGCATAGATTCGGATAATTCATCTATATCCATTAACACTACACCGCCGCCTACATTAAGACTACCAGACACACTATTAATTGCTGGTTTATTCCTCGTGCGATTCTTTTCACGACGAGCTAGAGGTAGAGCAAATGTTTTGTAGATATGTATGAGCTCACTGTGAGACATTTCCTGCATGTTTGGCAAATCCAATTTGCGCTTAAATTGATAGAGTGAAATTTTTAAATTAGTATTTTGTTAAAATGGAGATTAAAATGCTTACCTCTATCAAAATCTTTAAAAGCTCTTCCTTTGACAGAATTTCAACAAACTTGTAGTCCATCTTTCCATACTAATTAAATGTTTGCCAAATCAGGTTATAATCTTAGTTCACATTTCCAAAAGAACACATAATTACTGACTAACTTTAATTTCGGATTAACATGCTCGGTTACTGGAAATTTACTGGACATCGAAATTTTTCCAAAACAAAATCTTTTATTTAAATAAAAGAGCTATTGTTTGTTGACAGCGTTTACAAGCGTTGGTAGAAATCAGAAGAACAACATTTTCTATCGATAGCATTTGACAACAGCGGTTTTGGTATAATAATATAATGTTTCCACTAGAGATTTAAAGCTAATTTTGATACAATTGAGAGATATGGAAAAATTTTGACCATTGCTTCAGACAAATTTATCTACTAGGACTATTACATGAAATTATGTTCCCATAAAGTTTGAAGAACTTTTGTTGAACTCACTTTAGAAGTGTGCAAAATCACAGGCAGCTGGTAACATTTCACCGCTCTCAGCTACGTCAACAATTGTGTATGTATCTCGCTCCTGACGTCGCCTGTTTTGGACGGATAGTAAGTAAAATGGGTGGTTGCAACATTACGTTGTTTAGTTTTGTCACATGCCAAAGTACCTCACGAAATATAATTTTTTACACTAGAGTGGCAACACTACACCTTTGACATTTGACATTATTTTGTTGTTGTTTCTACTGGCATGCCTTCAAGCCAGAAATTATTTGCTTCGCAAACAAATTTGTGCGAATATTTTTGATAAAACTTATTGCCTTTATATAGAAAATGTTTAAAAAGTTTGTGTCAATATAATAAAGATATTGGTTGAATTCAGATACTTTATTTATCAATATTACAGATTTGAAGAAAAGGAAAGTGTTTCGTCGCTGCAACAACTCAAGTCTTCTGTGCAAAAGGGAATACGGGCGAAGCTGTTGGAAACGTATCCCTTATTGGAAACACATATTGATTTGATTTTACCAAAAAAGGACTCGTATCGCATCGCTAAATGGTCCTTAGCTTAATTTCTTTTAAAATTGAATTATTCTAGTATTATATTATTTTAGTCATGATCACATTGAGCTCTTAGTTACGGGAAACGGTGAAATAGCTTTCTTTCGGCACCGCGAGGGCCAATGGATGCCTTCATTGCGACTATTGCATAAGTTTCCTTATTTTGTTACTATGCAACAAGTGGACAAAGGCGCCATAAGATTTGTATTGAGTGGAGCTAACATAATGTGCCCTGGTCTAACATCACCGGGGGCACAGATGACACCTGCCGATAAAGGAACTATTGTGGCTATAATGGCAGAGGGCAAAGAACATGCATTAGCCATTGGTATTACAACATTATCTACTGATGAAATGTAAGTTAAAATTTAAAAGTTTTCGATGCATTTTTTGATTACATTTGCATATATTTTTCAGCTCAAAAGTTAACAAGGGTATAGGAGTAGAAAATTGCCATTACCTCAATGATGGCCTGTGGAAGATGAAAGTTGTTAAGTAAAACTGCCAGTTTGAAATAGCTAGTCATAGCTTACTATCTTAAAATTATAAACAATAAAATGCATTGCTTTAGTTTTTTTTAAATAAAATACATAATTAGTTAAAAAAAATTGAAAATTTATTGTGTTTAAAGAAAATGTCTTAGAGGCCAATAACCATCAGCATGATAATTTAGCTTTGTGAACATATATGTATATATAATATATATACACGTATATATGATAATAAAATCGTTCTTCACATCCACATTAAAATAGAAGTTATATAGTTATAATAAAAAATATGTGTGCATGGACATCATCCAATATCGCGTTCGTGAAATTTCCATTTGTTTTAGTTTGCAAACATTTTGAGATTTCAAGTAAACCGAACATGTTGGAAAATCATATATTCTAATTAATTTACTGGGTACGCTGAAACGATTTTCGGCCGTGCTCCTCCAATTTGAGGTAAGCGTCTTTATGTTTTTCCAACAAATGGAGGGACCTACGATTTATCCTAGGCCGCCTCCGAACGTCTGACGGATTTTTATGAAGAGCTTTTATTTCACGTTAGAAATACATTTGGAAGGGTTGAAATTCCCTACAATTAGGAAAAATTAGTACTGAGCTGCAGTAGACAGCAGGTTCTACGCACCGGAGTTGACCAGAATATATCCAACCAAGAGCTGTCACCCTTTTGGCGACTGAAAGCCGTTTAGGTCAACAGGTAACATTAGTCTAAGCTCACCAACGGAGCAACACCTTCAAATCCTTTTCATCAGGGCTGGCGTCGAAACCGACGGATTTTTTCTGCTGCGTGTGCCATAAAATACTCCACCACTCCTCCAGCTCGCTTAGGTGCAACCAATACACAATCGTTGGATTTGCTGAAGATTGCACGATATTATCGTTTGTCCGGGATATTGACAACTTTTGTTCAAAAGCGAGCTGCTAACTCCTCGGCTACACTTCTCACCAGCTGGAGGAAGGAGTAGAGGCTTGAATTGGATTTAAAGGTCGATGACGTAAAAATTCCGACCATAAACAACCCAAAGGTAATAGGGGTCACACTCGACAGCACTCCATCTTTCCATCGTTCCATCGCTACACATACGACCGCAATTGCTGCTAAAGTCTCGAGCCGCAACAATATACTCAACGCACTAGCCGGCAGCACCTGGGGTAAAGACAAAAAACCTTCCTGGCAACCTACAAAGCAATTGGCCGGCAGGTCGTAAACTATGCTGCACCTATCTGGGCGCCGGGAGAGAATGAGACGCAGATAAAGAAGCTACATGTTTGCCAAAACACTGCCCTCAGGACCGCGACAGGAAACCTCCTGATGTCGTCGAAGCATCACTTGCGCAGCGAAGCATCTATACCATTCAGCAACATGTGCAACAATCACTGAACAGGACAGCGTCCAGAAAAGCACTTAACGCCATTCACCAGGAGTCAATCAACACCTTCAAAGACTCCCTTGCCGTGAATGGCGTGCTCGGAGAAAAAGCCCCACCTATTGCAGACACCGCGCTCAAGCTGCCTGGAGAGACTCGTGTGACCCTGGCACAACTTAGGTCTGGATATTGTAGTAGGTTAAACTCCTTCTTATCCAAACTCGACCCCAACATACTCGCCACGACACTAACCCCATCTTCACATGCCGCCTTAAACTGACACATCTAACCCTTACTTTTCTATACCCCTATGTCTTAATTTGGAATGAGAATAAGATAAAACGTCTCCAGTCTCCGCTTTTGTGTCTTGGTTGTCACGTCACTCTTGACCGTCGTCCAACTGCGGATCACCAGTTACTATGCCAGTCTGAAAGTCCAACGCATAACTTTTGAAAACAGGTGCAACTTTGGACTGAGTAGGCAACTGAAATGTGAGGTCTCTCGACAAGCAAAGATCAAATTCCTCAAGTCTCAATATTTCCGCACTGTTTTTTTGCGGAAGCAGAAGCTTGGACAACGAAAACATCCAAGAAAAGGGTTTAGTTTAACATTTATGGTCGTCTGCGTTTTGGGCGACGGCGAATGGAACGACGAAATTGATATAGTTCAGCGAAAAAAGAAGCAGCGACTACTCTGGCTAAGTCATGTCACCCGGAACCATACGATGACACCTCCGAGGGTGCGCACATACAAATACAAGAACATTCTGTCTATCACGTTAGGATATATTTTTCATCTTGAGTCTCGGAGGCTACACACATATGTAAAGATGTAGGTACCTCGTTTCTATTCGTTTATGATATTACTCCGAGATAACGACTTATTTATTCCACTCTTGTCCATCCATCAGATTCCCACAAGGACAGCGATGTAAGCCTTAATATTTCAACGAATTTAGAAGCTGGGAAGCATTATCTTTCCAATTAAGTCACTGAATATTAACTTTGCTGAGGCCGCTATTAAAACTTGGAATTTCTCATCCGTTATCATTTTTTTTTTCATATTGGTCTTAAGCCTAGTTACACGAAGCGCTTATGTTGTTATGTTGAGACCTCTAATAAGTTTAGATTGACGTTATTTCCCCATTAAAACATATTTTAAATCAAATTTTTATCAACGAAAAAAAAAAAAAAACATTTTCAAAACTTACACTCCTTGACTGCTGTAACCAAGGATAGGTAAACTTATTTATTTCTGCACTCGAAAAAATACACTTTACTCTCTCACATGTTTTATGTATAAAACGCATTTACGTACATATTTTGAATGCACACAAACATACGTGTACTCTTATGTATGCATGAACATATGTCCATACCCAGGTTGAATATAAAGAACAGAAAACAAATCAGAAAAACACAAATTAGTAGCTAAAACCACCTGTTAGATTATCGGAGATCCCCGTGATTGCGAATGCTATTAATGAGGTATGTTTACATTTTATATATACAATCTTATTTATGAATGTCTGAATGTACATGCTTGGATATACATACATACTTGTTACACATAAATGAATGCATTATCAATAGAAGAATTGGTTGCCGTTGGTCAACAGACGGATATATTTATACGAAGGATGCTGGAAAGAATGAAATGATATCATGGAATTCTGAACTGTCTCAGAGATAATTTTACGATATATTCTGAAAATAAATACACGGTGCGGCCCACCGGAAACAAGACTGTAAGACGATAGATAGAGGAAGACTAACATGGTAGCTGTCAGTTGTTGAGAATTAATACCCTAATCTGTTTTTTGCTCCAAGAAAATAATTATACCAACATTTATCAAGATATCTAAGCTTTTCTTGAATAAAAAAACTCATTACAAATTTTATTAAAAATACTCTCTCTTTATTCAGTATTACACACTTGCAAATTGTAGGAGGAGCTCGGTCGAAAGTCGCTTCAGCAGTTCCAAAGAGTCAATCATATACATATATAAAATATGTTTAAATAAAACGTTCGTACATTCTCTCTTCACTTCCTAATTGCACATTTTCGATGTACATATGTGAAATATAGACTTGTCGGTGAATGCTTTTTGTGGAAAAACTTGCCTTTTATTTAAGTAAAATTCATCAAATTTGAACAACGGTCCATAAAGGCCTTCCAAATGCACTTTGCAACAATTTTCTATGGCGTCGGACGAACCATGTGAATACATACGTGTATGCAAGTATGTGTGTACATATTATATATTATTATATGTAAATCACGCAATGCATTTGTCAGCAACAGACAATATCGATTTTTACCGGCCAAACATTTAAAGTAAAATAACTAAAACTGCCTGGAGCAACTGATGCCCGGACATGCGCATCGGCCCATCGTTCGTATCCGACTTGAGAGGCAGCGGATTCGAGTGACTAACGTCACCGTCTGTACCAATGGCCGTCAGTTTTGTTTGAGATTGCCAATAGAAACAACGTTTACCGTTAGTTAGGATATTTCGTGCACCGTAGAGGTCAGGGCAGCAAACAAATTTTCTCAAGATGACGTTGAACGCTTGAAAACGTCCCAATTCGTGGGGGAAAAGTTGAAAAAGGCCACAAAAATCTTATAAAAACAACGAAGCTCAGTAAAATTAAAATTACTTGATAAAGTGAGAAAAAAATACAAAAAAAAAAACAGTGATGGCTCTTCAATAAATACAAGCAAAGGACCTGAGCGTGATATGTGTGAAATGTAAATATGTACACATATATATATATATAGGCATATGTATATATGAAAGTGCACACATATTTTTATTTGCATACTTCATATATGTATATATATATATATATATATATATATATATATATATATATAAGCCATTGAGCTTAATCGAACCGAGTTGAAGGAGTAAAAATCAATATTGACTATCATAAATTTAGTAAAATGTGAATACGATACATACGTGTAGCATATTTATTGAAATACACTCATACATATTCTCATTTGTGTGTATGTAGTATGTCTGCAGATTTAAATAAAAACTATAGCTTCAACAATTTCCTCGATATGATATCCTTGAAAATGCATCAAAAACATCGGTTGTACTATTGATTTTACAATTGAAAATATAACGCTAACTCTGTACAAATATAATATGTGCACATACATACGTATATACATATATATATATATATATATATATATGTGTATATACACGGTTTGATTTGTTTGAAGTTTTAAATATTATATTTCTCTATATGTATATATGAAAGCACATATCACATACACATATAATACATAGTACATGCATATGCACGTATGTACACACTATGTACATATGTATATGCCTCAGTTGAAAAGCAATGATCAAAGCCAGAATAATATAGGCCCATTAGTCAGACAATAACGGTATTTATTACTCACATTGACATCAAAGGATATCCTCCTTTCAGTGTACGATACTTACAGATGTACTTATTGGAAAGTGCCCGTATGTTGCAAAATTACTTACAATCACAACAACAAAAAGTGGAAAGCGCAATAAAAGAAAAAAACTGAAAAAAAAACCGATAATAAATCCCCACAACAATTTCAACAGCAACAGGAATTGTATTTAAATTCAAGAGTGAAATCAACACAGCAGACGTGATTTTCAAATGGAAGACTTATTTCTGCTGATAATAAAGGAGTCTACAGGGACGAAGCACAATGCGTTGCGACAAACTGCGCAAATTGCCTATGGTGGGTATCATTTAAATACTTAAGAAAATTGCGTTATTTGGTATTAGATATGTGTGCAATGCAAACATGAACCTATATCTACATACACATATGTATGTACATGCATATGTTTCGTTCATAAGAGGAGGTTAAAATGGAGAGTTTTTCAATTTACAATAAAATAGAAGGATTTAACTTTGGTTTAACTGTTAATTATTGGTGTTTTCTTTGTTATTCATCGATAGCAGTTTCGTATATGTATAAACTTGTTATCAATTTGAATTGATGAGCATAACGTTTGAGACAGTGGTAATCCTATGATGAATTTATGCAGAGATAAGTACTAGACAACTTAAAGTTCTCAATTCAGAATTATATTGGTTTTATTATATTTTAAAATGCAATTAACTGCAGCATCTTTTTGAATATTTTTACCAAAAATTTTGATGGCAAAGTAATATTTTAGAAAAATCGACTTATGAATAATATAATATAAACAAAATTTCAATAAAATAATTTATTAGAATACTATGTAAGAAGGACTTGTTTTTGGTTATTTCAATAAGATATGACACTTTGCACTGCCATTAAATTTTACATTTTTGCTGGGCCTTTGCGCCATGAGCTTTTACTCAATAGATGCGTCAAGGGGTCTTACACAGCAAAACAATTTTTTTTTCATCGTTTCTTCTTCTATTACGCCATTCGCTACTGCTTACATTATTGCGAGCTGTAAGCCTTACCAAAAGAAAGGAGGCTGATTTTAAGCCCCTGAATGTAGTCTTTGCTCTTCACCCCACTCGTTTACAGAAACCGAAATGGCGTTTAGATAATAGGGCTCTTTCGTGAATTTCTTCAATAAAGCTGCAAACCATCAGGCCAATCGAGAACTAGATGAATGGGTTTTCACTGATATCGGACAGAAAGCACCAATTTTCTCCCCATTGGCTGTAAAACTTTATAATTCCAATTTTAAGCAATAATCCTAACGGAAAAAGTTCTTTGAACTGAAAATATCTTTGAAAATTCTTCATTCGTTTGAAATATTGATTCTGTATTTAACTTCGTCAAAAGACGGTCTACTTAAGAAATGGAATTCCGCAGAGCTTTTTTAATTTTATGTATGTATGTACACATACAATTTTATTTACATATACATACATGTACTTACACACGTAATCAATATTTGTATTCATATTTTACGTTTGTCCAAATAGATAAACTATATCGCCAACATGGTATCCATCGGGATCCAGCACATGAACTACGCTCCGTATGCTTCACTGCACTACAAATGGCCCTGGATACAAAGCGACCAAAGTTCATCACAATGGGACTGAACGGATTGCATGTAAGTGACCTGTTAGGCATACATACACATACATACGAGTACATTATCCATAAGCTTGAATTATATGCACAAAGCGAGTCAAACGGAAAAGAAGATCGCTCAAAATTAACGTATTCTCCTGGTGCATTTGTTGTCACGCATTCGTGATAAAAGTGTAAGAGTTTCGATAAGCGCCAGTATCTATATCTCTTTGTTTCATTTTAAATCACGTATAATTTAAAAGCTTTTTACCAACTTTGCACTAGGACGGTAAAATACCGTTTTATAATTGTAGTAAATTTAATTTTATTAGCTGCGGGAAATAAATCTACGAGTACGTGGCTTAAAGATTGGATTTTTTTCTTTCACAACAAAATTTTTTTCATGTCTACGTTTTGTTGATCGGAAATATGTTATTGGCTGGCTCCAATAAATTAGGGACGTATGCCAGCAATAATGCTGTTCCAAGTCGCCAGTCGTTTTGAAAAAATAGTCCGGTGGTTTTAAATCGTTGGCTGTATGGCATTTAGCGCCGTATTTATGGAACCAAAGCTTGTCCACATCAACATCCTTTAATTCAGGCACGAAAAAGTCATTAATAATAGCTATATAATGTTTCATTGTTTGATGGCGGTTGGAATCATTCGAGTCTTCTTCGATACTCCGATCCATTGTTTCTCGAATTGCTGACTCTACTAGGCTAAATCGAACCATTATTTTGGTAAAAAATATGCACGATTTGCAAAGTCCGTTCATTATGAAATGGCAACCCAAACTGAGAATAAATGAATTAACAGCTGCCAAAAAGACCAGTTCCGAAAAAAGTATTAGTTCAGGTTTACGTATGGGGAGTTTGTGTCAAGATTTAATTTTTTCTTATTATTTGGCAATCTTTAACCAGAAGCTATTTTTCTCATTACAAAACTATACATATTTAAAAAATTTAATTTTTCAAAATGGTCGCCAAACTATAAACATTATAGACAATACAATCCCTTAATTCTATAAACTTAATTGCGAATTGTTGAGGGCTAACACAAATTAACCTTACTCCATATTTGCTGCGAGGTTAAGAAAGCAATAAATTCCTTTCGCAGTCTTATTAGTTTCGAAGAGAAATCACTGATGCGTGCATTAATCAAATCTGTTTGTGTGTATGTAAGTTTGTATGTATATTGTATATCTGCGTACCTATACATATTCATTCCATTTACAAACAATGCAAACATTCATACGAGTATACATATATATTGCAATTTTCTTTCAGCGTATTATAAAAGACGAACGCTTTTACATCGGCTTAGAACCGGAAGATGATTCAGTATGGCTGCCTGCGCAGTTGTTACGCGCCACAAGTGGTATTTTTCCCACAACAAGTAACGAGGATACCGTCATCAATGTCCTACGCCTCTTTTTGGCCATGGCATGCTCACCGGCGTGCACATTGAATGGACGCCTCTTAATAGAGACGCTTTCTCGTTGTGGCGAGTGTTGGGAATTGGGCTCCCGTGCCACCAAAGCCGCCTCACTGGCGGCAGCATCACAATGTTTGCGTACCTTTTGCGCTTTTCTCATGGAGGAGGCCGAGGAGGTGAAGAAGACTGCACCACCAGGTCTAATGACTCAATCACAGGCGTCGGCTGTTTACAATGAGGTAATTCCGGTAATGCAGTGGTTATGCAGTCGCTTAGTCGAGCCGACAGCGAGTGGTTCGCCTAATAAGAAGGTGGAAAACAACTGTTCGTTATATTTAACGGAATGCATTCTAACATTGACATCAGCATTGCCGCGAAATGTACACGCAAATCCGCATTTTACATCATTTTTGTGGCAAAAGTTTTGCCCCACCTTAGCTGCGGCTTTGGGATCGCCAGGTCGCATTAACTTGGATAAAAAATTTACATATAAGTATGTCAAATGAACAATTTGAATGAGAAGGAAAGTAAGTTTTATGCCTGTGTTTGTTGATTCATTAGGGATGCACTAAATATGATTGAAAACGACGCTCGTGGATTTTTTACTGGACCCGGCTTGGATGGTCCACAAGCTCGCTGTGTTTATTTAACGGGAATTCAGTTATTGCGTATTGCTGGCGCATATGGCTCCCTACGTCCCATGCTAGAGGCACTCTTTCATCGCATGCTTTTGTTGCCAGCCCCGCAGAATCGCACAGAGCCATTGAAATGTGTACGCGAGATTCTTAAAAGTCCGGAGCGTCTGATTGATTTAGCGGTTATTCTATATATTGACAAAAATACCGGACAAGGATGCAGTGACGAAATGGCATTATTTCGATTGTATGTTTTTTTTTCATATTTACATATACATATATTCAAATGTAGTAGCTTTTATCGTATTCCTGTCCTGCTTCTAGAATGGTCGATGCAATGGAAGAATGCGCTTTTGGCGTAAATACCAGCTCGGGAGTGGAGTCGGGCCTTCAAGCCAGTGTAGAATGTATGGTGGCTCTCCTGGATAGTCTACAAATTCTTTGCAACGGCGAACTAACCGAGTCGATGATTAGCGATCAGGCAAACAATTTTTAAATTAACGTATTCTAATACTTGTATCACATTTTTTTTTGTAATTCTACTATTCCACAGATTGTGAATGCAGTGAATAGCCGTCACGAGACACTCAAAGATGCTGATTATACGGGACCCTTGACTTACCAATCAATGGCGCGTCTACCAGCACCATATCGTGATGCGATTGTCGAGTTTCGTCAAAGCGTCTTCGAAACTTCTTCTGGGTCGGACAGTGACGGTGAGCATCCGGAACATGATGCAGCCTCGAATGGTTCTGGAGATACTGAGGGACCCGAAGAGGAGGAACCATCAACTTCGAGTGATGAAACATCGCGTGTGGAAAATCGTTGGCCCTACACACATCTAGAAGCGCCCGTTATCCCCGTACGCACTGATGTTGATAATGATCGGCAACATGCCAGAGACTTCGCCAAGGCATTGCGTAAAGATTTGGTACCGAAATTATTACTATTACGCTCCTGTATCGAGGTAGATGAAGCCATGCAAGAATTCGCCTCAGTCGTTTGTCAAGAAAACACAATGAACTTTTCTGACTTCGATTACCACCTGACAGCTATCAATGCGGATGGCATTTACTTGGCTATCTACTCTTCATTACTATTAAGTTTGCAGTTAACAAAGGCTGGGTACTATGACGATCCGCAAAAGGAGATATTAATACCCATGTCCGAACAGCAATTTGTCACATCCGTTCAGAATACTGGAGTTTTAGTATATCTCTCATCGCCGTGGCTCTGCGAACTATATCAATCTGTATTAGTTTCAAATGCCATGGAAGTAATGAGCAGAGAGGAAATGGAAGGCACCCACTCACGAAGCGCGCTGGTAGATATGCTCTGCGATGCCGGTGGGTTGGGCCCCACTCAGATGCTCTCCGAATGGCAACGATTGCAGATGGCAAATGTAAAACAAGCCGATGAGCAGGATAATAGACGCCGGGAAGCAGCAAAAAAACTCTGTCGTCGGTTATTGACTTGCTGTTGGGATTCAATGGTTATTGTACTAAGCTCGGGACTAGGGGATTTATCCTGCAGTAATTCAAATAAATTAATGGCCTTATCAAAGCGTACACTTCGCGTCAAAGCAAAGACAAACAAGTCGAATGGAGAAGCTTTGTACGCGATGTGTCTAGACGGCTTACATGCGGTAAGGTTTTCTATTTGGAAGTGATTTCAACCCTCATAAAATGTGATATTTACATATTTCTTCCGTTGTTTTTAGGCCGCCACTTTAAGTAACAGCTTGAATCTGCAACACTTGGCCGGAAAAATTTTAAGCCTCCTCGCATCAAACGTTTGCCAGACAAATGGGCCGAGAATCTCTGCGAGTCAAGCAATGTCAATGGACGTGGTTTTGAATGGTGGCTTGAATTTAGGTTCCTATAGTTCAGATTGTTGGCAATCAGTATTCGCAGTATGTCGGCATGTCAGCCATTTGGAACATGAAATTTTTAGCTTACAGAACTCAGCCATTACCACTTCACCGGGTACGGGACGCCGCGATATGGAAACCGGGGAAAAATTAAACACCGGACAAAGTGATAAATTGAACCTATCATCGCTTCCCATAGATGATGATGAAACCTGGTAATTAGTGTATCAAATTCAGTTTATCTCTGCTTATGAAAGATTCGAGTTTACTTACACGGGTGTTTAACTTAATTTTAGCGTGGATGTGTACAGTTTCCTCCAAGCGCCTCTACAAAGCCCTAACACAAATATCACATCTATTTTGAAAGTGTATTCGGGCACCAATGAAACAGTATTGTTGAGCCAGAGCGACACCTCAAAAGTGCTATGCGCTCTATCGCACCAAGCTGAAAACCTATTCTCCGATGCTGCTGAGCGCTTAAGCCTCCCATCACTGTGTCAGTTTCTAAAGAATCTTTGTAAAGCGTCGCGAGAACAGCTCTATAAAAGCACAGCAACACGTAAAGGCAGCCGAGTTTGGTGGCCAAGCAAAGGTTGGAAGAAAGTCGACAGTCTTCCAATGTCTCTGTTGTTACATCGCATAGGAGATGTTACTTTGAAGGTATTTAAAAGTTCCAGACCTCTTCTACATATACTAAAGGTTTGGGCGATTACTGGGCCACATCTAATGGACGTGAGTACTAAAAAAGGAAATAAATTAAATACATACATACATGTACATATAATATAGAACGATTGATAGCACATAGTATATGGAAAACTTGCAGGCTTCCTGTCACCGAGATCGGGTTATATCTAAACGGGCAATCGAATATATTCATGACATAATTACGGCGCTGCTTGTAGAACAGTCAGAGTTACCGCATTTCCACTTCAATGAGGCTTTACTGAAGCCATTTGAGAACCTCCTGAGTATGGATACGTGTGATGTTGATGTACAGGTTTGTTTTCGTTTTTTTTTTTTTAAATCGTATTTGGTCATTATTTGAAGTTTATAATGTTATTAATAAGAACATCATTATGAACACGAAAAATAGAATTACACCAGTCATTAGGGGTCTATCAAGAAATTAATTACAAAATCTTTTTGTTTAAAATCAAAAATATCGTTCATTTTTTCAGAAATAACGTTTTTATGATGCAAAAGTTATTGAATTATTCAAAACCATCCTGGCATAAAAATCTTAAATTATAAACAATAGTCGTGTAATTTTCCTGTTGTCAAAAGATAGTTATGTAGTTATATTTTTCATTAAGCAAACGGCCTCGAACGGTTCGAGTCCGACCAACATTCAAAAATTAATTAAATAAAAAATTAAGTTATTGTTTCTGACATGAAAAGCAAAACTTCATTTTTGGAGAAATAGCAAGGCGCTCACCACAAATTAGAGGAAAAGCTCTATCGAAAGTCACTTCTGCGCTTATAAAGCTCCATTTATATAATATTAGGCCTGGTAAAAATAAATCCATTATTTGTGCTTTCTATTGAAGGCTTCACTTGCCAACGTTAGAATAATACGATTTATGTCAAATATGCATAATTTTGCTAGAAAACTTGTTTGCCATTTTGATGTCATTCTGCCTGACCAAAAATATACCCAATCGATTTTCGTAGGCTTCTCATGAGGCCAATTATTTACATAGACAGGAATAGATGGTAATCAATTTGTGCCAGATTCGGACTATATGGTGAATGAATAAAAACCTCCCAACAAAGCTCTCGTAGCTTTTGGCGAGCTACTTTCGCTGTATATGGTCTAGCTTTGTCCTGATGAAACACAATGCCCTCCTGTTGGCCAAAGTTGGTCCCTTCTGGGCGATTATTTCGCAATTTTTTAAGGCTTGCCGGATGGAAATCCACTCCATGAAGAGAATTCGGCAATTAGCCTTCAACGCACTGGGACATATTTTGCATACAAATTCGGGAAACGAAATCGACGAAAACGAAATTGTGCATGATTGACTGGTACAGTATCAGGACCATAAAAACTTTTCACATTTCCAGCCTTTTCCTGACTTGCGTTTTCAAGTTAATAGAAGGGAAATTTTAGAGTATAGCGTATCTATGTTGATGTCCTTTGACATGCTGAGCACACTTCTTCTTTTAGAAGGCGAGATACAGATATGTCAAAAAAAATAATGGATGATCTTTTACTTGAATACAGTGACCAAGTTCAGAATTAAACAAATAAATTTTTATGAGTTCAATTAGCGCTCCTTTGAGTTCCAGTAACTCAAGCTTGTTTATAAATTTATTAAATCCAACATTTTTACGTTAGTTATATAACAATAAAATACTTTGTTTGTGGATAGTATTAAATCCAATGCACATATATGCACATTCTACATATTTGTAAATACAATTAAACAAAGTTTGAAAAAATACCTACTGATTTCTCTTTCAGGACCAAATCGTTGCATGTTTGTACGAAATTGTTGAAGCACACAGAACTGAGATCCGCTCAGGTTGGCGTCCATTATTTGGAACGCTACGCAACGCCCGCAGTCGCATGCTTAATATGAGCAACATCATCGATATATTCAGAGTTTTCCTAGATTCCGATAATACTTTAGTATTCGCCAATGCCGGTTTGGATTGCATTTTATGCTTGTTGTCTTATCTTGAAATCTCAAGTGGTGGTGCCAGTGGTAATACAAACGGCGAAGAGGAGAACAATTTTCGGCCCACTGAGTTCTTGCACGAAACTCTTCGATTCCTCGAACGTTGTTCGTCCATTTTAGGATTTATGTATAGCATGCCGAAATGCCCCAACTTTCATTCAACATACAAAATTAAAGGCATTTCCTATACACACATCATCGATGCGAATATACCGAATTCAATGGAGAACTTCACATATTTCGGCAACGATTATTTACAAACTAAGAACGAACAGCACATGATATCATATCGGTCGCTGCACATTGATAAGGACACAATTGTGAAAATCGACGAAATGGATAAGCCATCCGGTGTGCTAAAAGTTTGGTTCCTTCTACTAGATGGCCTCACTAATTCACTGATTGTTTGTCCATATTCACATCAAGCACCAATTCTCCAAACGATTTTCAAACTCTTCAAAAACTTATTGTGTAGTCCCGGCATTGACTTCGGATTTTATTGCATCAATCATCTGCTGATACCAATGATTCAGGACTGGTTGCGTTACATCAATAAAACCGGTGCACCTTGGTCGTTGATTGAGAAAAACTTCAAACACTGTTGCTGTATGACCACCGATTTAGTTGTGGAATTCATTGAGAAGTCGGTGAGCGACATCAATCGCAGACAATGTGTAATGAAGACGCGTGTAACGCAAATCGTACACACAACACCCAATACGAACGCCAGTAGTAGTTCGGCTGTTTTTACGAATACCGACAACTCTTTGTACTCCAAATTGAAATTCGTCACTGAACGAGTCGATGACAACGACAACATCAATCAAAATAGTCAATACGATAGTTCGTCATCGAGTGAGGAGGGCGGCGCTAATATAATTGATTCGCCAACCAAAATTTCCGGATCGGCCACATTGGCATTGAAACAATTGCTCCTTGTGCTAATAGAATGTGCCGCACAGGCACAAGAATCAGTGGCGCGCGTCGGTGTGTCCTGTCTGAAGCACATAATCCTCTCCACCGGCATGCTTTTTAACGAGTCCCAATGGATGATTGCATGCTCAGCATTACATCGGGCCTGCACGGTGACAATCGCGCCATTGCGACAATTGTCCTTTGCCTTCCATGAGAAGTCGAACAGTTTCTATGGCGACTGTGCTAATGTGAAAGTGGCAGCGCGTCGAGATAGTACTGCAGATGAATTGACACGCATTTACTCACTAGCGCAACAGGTTTTTCTTTCCGATAACCAACGAGAGCCGGCCACGAAGATAACCAATCATATGGATAAACATTTTGCTGATGAACGAAGTTATTCATTTCTTTTATACCCATTGAACAATGGTTTCAATTCGAATCTGGACAATTTTGTGATTCGTATACCGTTTAAGAATTTGGTAGTTGGTTTATTAGCGAATCAGATGCTCCTGCAATTAGTTGCGAAACTTTTGCTTTCCCGCTTAAAGTGCGTGCCTCAAGCGGTATCCACCTGTATCTTCGACAATTATGCAACGTCGACAACAAGTCACGACTATGATTTGGACTTCCGCTCCAAAGAAATACTATTGCGTTGTGTGAAACAATATTTGACGAGCTCGTTGGAGTTCGACTCACGTCCGGGGCTCAAATTTCTTATGCAAAAGGTTTCCAATATTGAGTATGCAGCAAATTTATACAAACAAATGACATCATCGTGGATGATTTATTATATCGCTTTAGTGGACTCCTATTTAAATGATATTGTGGTTTATAATTTGGGCCCAGAGGATTTGAAATTTATACTGGAATCCTGTTCACGTCTGAATACGACAACAGTTAAGAAGAAGGAGAACTTTGTTCGGTATTTATTTTGTTTACAAGATGCGTGGAATCTCGTTTCGGAATTGTATTTAAATAATTCGGCAATACATGATATTGAGAATGGTAAAGTGCGCACGGCGGAAGCCAATGATAAGCGCCTAACGCAAAAACTTATTAATACAAAATCAATGCGTATATCTATAAATACAAACAACGTAGACAACACCAGCACTTCAAGTCACTCAGAGACGACGACCGATGCATCACCCAATAAGAGTATTCAACTGGAAGAGGAAAATGTCACAATGACAACGCTGATCAGTGAATTTCAGCCGAAAAGTCGTAACAATCCTTTCGATACGAATCGCCCTCAAAAGTCCGACTCAGAGACAATATCACCCGAAATTGAACAACAAAGGGCTTCGAGCATCCTTAAGGACTCTAATTATAAAAAAGCGGCTTTGGCACAACTTGTTGTGGCGTCAATGGAGCTGCTGCATTCTTTACCTGGCGAGGCTGAGGAAAATCTCAAGCTCTTAATGACACCAACTATTCGCGAAGCTTTTAGGCTGGTTCAGTTGCAAGGGAATGAATTGAAAGTTAATCAATTTTAGGCTTTGCTTGTTGAGTTTTATTTTGATTTGTAAACGGAATGGTGCGCGATCCTCTTCGAATTCATTGATACATACATACATATATCATTGGCAATGGAATTGATACATCCTTACATACATATTTGCATATTTGGATACATATAAACATAATATGTACTATTGGTAATATATAAAATAACTGGTGTCCATATGTACCTACATATGTACATATAATCATAAGTCATACATTGAGACATTTACATATGAAATAAACTACTATATACATACTCGTACATAAATAAATACTATTATCACACTAAGCCTGAATCCTTTCCTTTTAGCTTCAATATTTATATTATATATATATATTATATACAAATACAAAATGTAAGCATATACTTTAGGATGGTGCAAAAGTACACGCGATATTTTGAGTTCACATCCACAATTTCATAGAATACCAAAAGTAAAGCCGGAAAAGTTTAAACAAATCAAACCGAATTAATGTGACCGAAACCGGAACATTTTTAACACAAACAATTTTCGGAAAAATCTTTTATATCAAGAAATAGTAACTTTGAATTAAATTATAACGTTTTTTAAGTATTTTTTTGAGCTCTTAACTGACGCACTGTGCGATTAAGGTTTCGAATTACTAATTATTCAAAAGAAAACTGTTCATACAAATGTTGTGAAACCCTTGAATTTCGATTTTATTTTTCCATCGTCGTTTATAAAACTGAAGATTAGATTTTATGAATTAAAATCAAAACCCTTTTTTTTTCGAAAAAGTTTGAAACAACTCCAGGTAAATTATTCATTTAAAATTATTCACAGGGCTGGTGAAAAGAAAACCTTTTGGACCACCTTAATATGTATGAATAAGCCTACATATATATTTACGTAATCATTCGGCCCTCCTTTTTGAAAAAATTTTGGCAATACTTACATACATAGCAGTTGCTAAATATTCAAAATGAAATGTAAATATTGGTTGCTATAATCACCGCCACGCCTACAATTGAGGAACGGCCCATCGGTAGATAATGCAAAGCATGACTAAAAAATTAACTGCATTTTTTTATTAAAGATATATAATTAATATTGTTAATTATACTTACATATATACATGCCTACATACATATATATATATCTGCATAAAAAAAACTTTCATATACATAAATGCTTTATTTTTATATTGAAATATTTGCTTTTATGCGCTAACTACAAAACTAAATACATAAATATGTACAAATTATGCTTCATATACATACATACATACGAATATAATATAAACATAACAAATATTTGTATTTAATCGAAGTATAGTACCTACCAAATGACCTAATTAACCTGTCAACATAAGTTCTTAAGAACTTTACCCTACATACATACATACAAACATGCTCACATACATACATATGTTACTAAGAGCAACTACAACTTACCCGAATACCCACATACATATGTACATATTTACATATCACTTACCAGTGACAACTTAATATAAATGTTAAGAACCAAATCAACCATTCATTAACAATCATGATGATGGCGACATAAGGCGACACATTTCGAAGTAAAAACTCAACTGAAATAGCAGCACTTTCTCTCTCACTCTCTCTTCGACGAGATTTGGGACTAAGCAAGTTTATTAACATTACATTTAATAACAAAACCAAAATGCAGAAATCCGAATCATTCACCTTTAGCACCCATGGTGTTTAGTGGAATGGAAGAATTGTCTATAGTACGACATTTGTCAAACAATGACTTGAAGCATACATACATACACATAAAATACTTTTTGTTACACAATAAAAAAAAAATTGCATTAGTTTTAAAAATATCAAAGTGAAATGCGTTTAAATTTATGTTTACTTTAGCTGAACAAAAGTACATACATGTCTCAAATTTTAGCATTACTTTAAAATCAAATACCAATACAACATAAATTTTTATGTTAATTCATTTTTTCAAATCTGATTCATACACGTATATACATGTATACGATTACACACATATTTGACTTCTTTATGCAGCCGGTAGCCTATAGTTACTTATCATTTTAAGATCATTAACCCATCCGTAAGTATAATAAGTAACTTAAGAAGAAGGGGCTATGTTCATTTTCTACAAATCTTGCATTATGAACATAAGCATTAAGCATAATTCATTCTGAATGCAGCTGCAAAATATACAAATACGTCACACATATATACATCCGTACATAGTATGTATATGCTTACGAGTATAATCAGAAAATAGCACAACTTTGGCTACGACTTATAGTTTTCTTTGAATAAATATTATAATTACTCGAGTAGATGATTGAGGTTTAACTTCAAAACAGAATTTCCCTCCAACTCTGTAACACAGAATCTACATTGTAACATTGTATTTAAAATCAAATGTAATGAATGTGAACATCTTTGATTAGGTCAATGAGTTTAGGTCTATAACAAGCGAAAAAAAAAAGAAATAAATAATTGACAAAAAAGTATAAACTGTATATGCGCCTAACGCTAAGAATAAATGCTAAAAAAATAAATAAATAAAAATATATATATGTATAGAAATTTACAAAAGTATTACAATGTATATAAATACTTATAAACACATTACAATATATTTAACATACAATATACATACTTACAAGTATAAAGTCATGAAATATTTAACTAAAACATATAAAATTTAAAACAAAAACTTAGTTAAAAAAAAGTGGAGCCTTCGTTGTATTGACGTATGTTTATGTATAAATATTATGTATAAATTTATAAGGATATATATGTAATAATTTAAGAGTACAAATGCTTTCATGTTCGGTGGTTTTAGCAGTATTCCAGAAACAATTTGAAAAATTGAAAGTTTCAAGAACAGCTACAAGAACAAGTAAGAACAGCTCTGTTCGGCGAGAATTATGTCTAAGTTAGTGTTTAAAGGCAGTCGAAATTGGTACATTTCGGTCAAAAGCTGCTACCGAGAATGCAATATTTACTGCCAAAACTCCTCCGAGTGTATTTATGGCAGAAAATAAAAGTTCCTTTAATATTTGTACTGTCGACGATTTCATTATATGCTCAAAGTTCAAAGAAATTGTCCTAATATTGGCAACTTTCCGCATTTGGAGATTTCAGATTTCAGCAAATAGAGAGCGAGTTTTAATAAGAAAAAAAGGAGTTCGATTAATATTATTACTATGTCTCCACATTTGGCATGTATAATATTTATTTAAAACAACTCCCAAGTAAGAATAAAAATTATGAAATTATCAGCGATATAAAAAAAATGTTTTTCATTTTCGAAATCTTTTTACCTTAAAATTTAACTTAAATTAATAATGCTCTACAAATGTAAAACAAAAATATTTTCCCCTTTATTATATTCATTATTTACGGCACACCCCATTAGATTCAACCCCTCCCACGTAATTCTACATACATATTTTTAATTTAAGTGTAAAAAAACCCAAAATCAAATTTTTAGTAAGATAAACTGTTTTCACAGCTATGAAACGAATTCAAAACTTGTTAATTCACTTTTTTCTTCTGTTGAGCGACAATTACACATTTTATTTAATTGGTGAGCTGAATTCATAAATTCCGTTGAGCCTTGCCCGGATGAATCATTGGCGACTACATGCATATTCTAACTGAAGAGATTAGCTAATATTATATTTTATAAGTAAATGAATTGTTACTGTTATGGCAATATAAATTCTCATCGTCAGATATCTATTGATTGGTGTGTTGGCAATTAAATGCCAAGAAATTGTCATAAAGTTGCTCAATTATTTTAAAATTGCAATGAATGAACTTTCATCTGATTTGAAAAATATTATTATTATTATTTTTTCAATTCCTATATTCCTATATACCAGGCGCATTTGTAAGCAAGTATGCACATGTATGTGCTATATTTGTACAAATTTGTTTCTGCAGATGTGGACCGGTTTATAAATTTGGACAGTGTGAAATTCCATTAAGAATATTACTACAATAGATAATTATCATGAGAAACGTAGGTGCATATCTACCTGTGTATATGTATGTATATTCATACACAAATATACGTCATATGCACGTATTGATACATAGAATACATATAAATATTTATATAAATGGATATATATGTATATGTGTATCTCAATAGAAAAAGGTATGTTGATGTGTTAATGCGTATTTAACTTTCGTACTTTTTTATTCTAAAATACAACAAATTATCTACACACATACATACATACATACAATTGTACAATTTAATTAAATATAATATTTTATATTTTCGCTTTAGGAGACTTAGCATAAAAACGTTATTTATACATACATACATACATACTGAACTTTGTTGTAAACAACTGAAAAACTAAAATATATTTAAAAGGACAAAAATGTACATATATACACATACATAATTAATAAAAAAGCGCTTTCGCATTCAAACCCACATGCATAAGTTGATGTCTTTTATTTGCAAACAGCTTCTAACTGTAATATTTATAATATATGTACGTGTACGTTTGGCGAAGTTCTGCACGCATATAATTGTTGGGACTAGCAACTGATATAAGAAGAAGAAGACTAAGATATTCGGTGAGTTCATATGCTTTTGATTCATTGTAGTTAAAAAAACGGTATATTGTGTTGACATTATCCTCCCTGTACTACACATTTTCAAAATTCGAGAGAGCCGCTGATAATCTGAGCATTTTTATGTCATAAATACACACTGAGGGGCTCACACGAGCTCCAAAAGTGCCCGCGGATTATAACGAAAATTTAGCAAATAATTTCTAAATTTCCTAGAAAGGTTTATACGAGAAAAGTATTCGAAACGAAAACTCGCATTTGTGGTTCGATTTATTTCAAAATCGGTGCATACATTTGTGGCTTTTTACTTCGATTAGCAGGCAGACTTCTCCTCTCTCCGGAATCTACACCGGAGGCCGACCCATTTGAAAAAAACGTATTTATAGTTCTTTTTAGTCGAAATATTTTACGGGAGGGCATCGATGTATCCATATTCTGTTTGATTTATATGACTAAATGAAATATTTTTGTCTCTTGGAAATGGGCTAGAGACCTGGAACCAAGTATGATTTATTCGAATTATAAATAATCCTTTTCTTTGTCGTTTTTTGCAATATTATCTAGAATAAAAACTGTACAAAATACAGAAAGACACAACCAGATAGTAAATAAATATTTTCGAAGATACAAACAATTTATAGATTTTTGGAAATGAATAATAGTAACAACAACTTATCCCCAAATTTGTTATTATTATTTATATCTTAAATTTCGCTGGGAATCAGTAAAACTGAAGTTTTGTCACAAAAGTGATTAAGTGAAATTAAAAAAAAATTATTATTTGAGTAATTGATATTTTACACATTTTTATTTTTTCAAAAATCATTTTATTATAGTTTTAAAGAAAAACTATTTTACAAAACAAGTTGTTGGAATGGAAAAAGGTGTAAGAATGAAGGTTTCGAAAATCATTCACATCACCTAAACAACTTCGTCATATTTGCATTGGGCGAGACTTAATATTTATTTGAAAATTTTTTTTTTTTTAATAAAATACATGTATATCTAGACGAGTATATGAGTGAATCACCACAAAAATGTATACAATTAAATTTATTATAATATAATAGGGCAGTTCACGAAGAATAGACAATTTTTAAAATATCTTATCTTGGTCTTAATTTAACAGAAAATGTGATTAAGAATCAAATTTGCTTCAAATAAATGGTCACCGCACACTTTTACACCGCTTAGAATTTTTAAACATAATTTTTATGTAAGCTAGGCATCAACTTCCTAAAACCTTTGTACCTTATAAATAAAATACACAAACCCCATTTCTACATTAACTTTCTATAAAATGCACACCTCAAAGTAAGAATCAGTGTAGACGCAGTCCCTCTGAAATTCTGCAGAAAATATGCAATACCATATTGCTTTACCCTGTCTGGTTTGAAATTTTGATCGGTTAGGGATAAATCTATGCTGATTTGACAAAATCAATTTCTTACACATTTTTAACGTTTTCAATGAAACTAATGAAAAGTTTGGAGACTTATGACAATTTTGTAATGAACTTTAAAAAATACTTAACGTACACCTTTGTAATTAGGGATAAGAAAGGAAACTTTCCAACCAAAAATGGAAACACCTGATGTCAAAGAGAATAAAAATTTGTTTTAAAGGAATAGCAATTTTTCAACCAATGTACTGAAACCCCATGAATGTCCGCTTTTACAGAAGGTTAGAGACTTAAAAACCCAGTGGTGATATCCTTAGACGAGAGACTTAGAGAGCCAGAGTTTAAAAAATATTTTATTGTACAATAAATGTATAAGCCGATAGCTGCCAGGTTGATGGTTGCTTGGAAGGATATATATTTTTTATTTTAAGTAATATGTTATGTATACCTTTGTGCTGTAAACATTATTTCTTGCCATGTTTTTTAAGCAGTTTTAATTCTCTTTATACATTTGTTTTCGCCCTAATTTTTGACTTATGTTGCTTTAACAGAAACAAGAAATGCTAAATTGAGAAAGTTATTGTGAGAGCATGCATACCTTATATATATATACATATGTGTGAATTGTGAACGTGGGTATGTGCATACATCTGCTGTCGCGGTTACTTGGGAGTAGAACCCAATTTCACTTTGCATTTCGTATCATTTTCCACTGCGGTAGCGAAGAGAGTGGATGTGCTGTTTCTGTCGGTCGTTTAGTTGTTGTATTTCTATGGCTTGTGCTTCATGTGTAGTTTCAATTTCTTACGGAATATATTTCCAATAATTGTGTCTTAAAAATTAAATAAAATGTGAAAATCGTGTACTTAATCTACGAATTACAATAGTGGTTGAATTACAGTACACTTGATTCAAAGGAGGGGTTTTCTTATGGTAGAGATGCGGCTGAAAATTCACTTTTTTAAAGAAGTAATGTGTATCTGACAATTAAATACATGCTGTCCATCGATATTACTGTTTGGCCGCTTTCGCTGAAGCTGCTGCTGTTAACGTTAGCGTCAGCTTCAAAGCAAGCGTCGACGTCGGCATATGTACATACATATGTATTTAAAAATTTGTATGAATGGTGTAGTGAGTGGTTGCAAAAATTTGGAAGTGATAAAATTGATACACATGTGTATGTATGTATGTATGTATGGAGACATATTTACTTAGTGTTAATAGTACATAAATAAGAAAATCAAAACAAAAATAACTTGTACTACCAAATGGTTATAAAAATAACAATACCAAGCAATTGGTCTTGGAAACGGTGTGATATTGAGAATTGTGACAAGATATAATAATTTTAAGCTCCGAATTATGGTCATCAAGTTTAAATTTATGCAATTAGTGCATTTCACATTTATCGATCGGAAACACCGCTGGCCTAGTGCTATATGTGAACGCTAGGTGTTGGGCATAAGGAGTCAAGTGATGCGTGTATGTCAGTGAACGTCCTCTGTCTATACACATACATAAACATATATATGAACATGAATGTATTTATGCACATATGTATGGATATAAATACAAGTCACCGGTGCGTCCCATATTCCAAATCTTCTCTACATATGTACATATGTACATGTAGTGCGTGTAAATATGTGTTATGTATCCAAGTGTGTGCTTTTCTTTACAAAATAAGGATTTTTATTTTATCCTATATTATTTGTAATATATATGTGAATCCATACATACATATATGCAAGTAAAAGTGCACAACTGAAATTACTTTTATAATTTTTGTACAAGTTAAATCTTGAAGTTCCCTAACATTAAGCGATTGTAGGTGTAAAGATACATATATGTTTGAGTATATGCATAAATAAGTATATGAGCAAAATTGCAAATGACAAGGAATAAAGAAAATCTCCGAAAATAGTGTTTATTGGTGGAACGGGTAGTGCAAATAATATAAGATATTTACGTACTTATCTTTAAATTTGCATCGCAATGAGAATCTTTCCAGCTTTGTCACGAACTACTTGCACCAGAACAACTTCTTCCAATATTGCCAATAACAACTAAATACTAGCACGAATAATTTACGGTAATTGCATTATAAATATCCAAATATATTGAAATATATTTATCAGAATATGTAAAAAACTGCCGATGTATGTATGCGTCCACGTAGTCTTAAGCTTAATAAACATACAAATAAATTTATGTTTCATTTAAAAAACAAATGATTCATAAAATAAAATATATATGTACATATGTTTGTTCGTACTGCAAAATATTTGAAGTGAAACATAATATTTCGTTTGACAAATATATAATAATTACTGTAGCGTAATTCACTACCAGAAATCCTCATTACTGATTAAATCTATTCGCTACTTTGATAGCAACATAAATGTCTGATATACCCTGTAGAAAATCAGTCTATTTCCGAGTTAGCGCAGAACAGGTACAGAATTATCTCCGTAAGCAATAGACCAGACGGCAATAGTGATTTTTTTTTTAGCAATGCGTTCTACGATTCGGAAGCGCAGTGCTCGAGTTCTGGTCCTAGATAATATAAAACGAATTTTTCTAGTTGTGTCGTCCCTTGGCAGGGAGTTTCAGGCCACCCTAGTCTATTTCTCACATGAAATGGAGCCTCCTCACAGAAATTCATCGAGTGTTTGTAACCGGCTTAGACTGAACGGCAAGTCCCTCCGTTTTGTTGAAGAAACATCAAGACGCACAGTACAAATTGAAAGAAGAACTCGGCCGAAAGTCATTTCAGCTACTGCAAAACGCCAATTGTAAAATAGGCTAGCCCTGAACCGCTTTAAAATGATTCTAAAGGTGTCGTCACATTTAGTAATTAATTAATTTCAAATTGTATGTCAAAATAACCAATTTAAAATTTCAAAAGCTTTTTTTTACAATAATTGACTAATAACTTTCCTTAACAATACTCAAATGTGGCAACAATTTCAAGGGAAATTAAAGTTGTTAGTGCACCAGGAGAAATTGGAAATTTAATTTCAGAAATCAAATTGCAAAGATAATTGATTGTAGTCACACACAGCAATTTTTATTTCTGCAATTAAATGGAAACAAGAAATTAGTTTCACGATGACTGCACTGAAATTAAAAATTTTCAACAGAAAAATCCTTTAGAAATCAAAAATTGCATGAAAAATTCTACGTCTGACAGCGCCTTAAAAAAATATAGACACTCAAACTTGAACAATGCTAATGTCGAAATTACTGTACTGCATCAAAGTTTAGTAAAAGTAAAAGACTTTAACTGTATAATAATAAGGCCAACCCGATCAGACCAGTGTTTCTCAAAACGGTCCCTTGAGCGCGATGCAGGGTAAGTGCATGTTTGTATGTACGTATGCAGTGAAGTAAAGTAATTATCATCGTAAACAATTTCTGCAAAGCACTGATTGGCTCTACTTTCACTTTTAAAACTGAACCTCACAAAATTGTGTTATGCACTCGTGTTTATGTAAATACACATACATGTACGAGTATGTATGTAAGCATTAATGTAAAGCCTATTATTTATGGTTATTGTCCGCCAAATTGCTTTCGGGGAATGCAGCGAGAGTGACAGTGCTTGGAAATATAAGAAAGTCCGGGTTTTTTCCGGCATTGAAGCCCGAATACAGAGAGGATTATTAGGAATTGGCCGCTTCAAAGAACAGACAGCCGCTATTAAATCCTTGACCCACTAGTACGCAATTATTCAATATATAAGACTGTCATCTTGGAAGAAAAAAAAAAAAACTATGTGAGGTGAACAAGTTCAACTAAATCGTACTGAAATTTCATTTCTTTTGGTAACTTGTTGCATGCAGTGGTGATTCTAGGTGATGAGTTTTGGAGACCGTGATATTTACTACTTTCTTCCAGATATGCCTTGGAAGCTGTGTTTCAACGTAACAACTATTGACAAGTTTAGAGTAATAGTCAAGGAAAATTTGTCAAATGGGTCGAATAGAAAGGAATTGAAATTGAGTTCGGACAAAACAAGTTCCCACATGAATTTTTAACTTTGCATTCCTTTTTTTCATTAGCACCACTTATAGAAACTTCTCGTTATATAAATACTTTCGATTACTTCGATATAAAATTCTTAAGATTTTCTTTTCTTAAATGCAGATGCCCGGTTTAGTTGTTTTCCGACGCCGTTGGTCGGTGGGCTCGGACGATCTCGTGGTACCGGGAGCTTTTCTGTTAATAACACATCTTATATGGTAAGCCAAATTTTAAAATCAGCAAGTAATTATATTTTAATTTATGTTATTTTTATCTTCGTTAAGCTTTGTCATTGTGCTTACGTCACTATTGGTCTTGGAATACAATCTCGCCATTCTCAACTTAGAGTTACTATTCTATCTCCAGATTTGTTACTTAGCGATATTATTTGGTAAGAATTTAATGAGCTTGTTGAACGAATCACAGTACGAAGATGGCTGTTACATAATATTACTTTTATTTTGCGTATTGTCCAGGCTCCGTTTGCATTGAGGCGGGCATCTGTATTATATCTATGCGAGGTAGTATATTGGACTCTGCCGCACGAACAACGATAAACTTTTGGATATATTTAAAAAGCAGTAAGTTCTGAACAAATGTAGAAACGCGTATAAACAGGGATCAAGATTCAATTTGAAAAAATTCAGAAAAAATGATAAAATAATAACCATTTTAATACAAGATCTGACCACGAAATCCAAGAAACATTTATTTTATTTTAAGCCTCTCAAAACTTTTAAGGATAATTTCAATCTCAGATATTCAGAAAATTTGATGTTTGTTATACAGGGGATGCCTTTTATATGCCGGGATTAGATAGCAAAAACAAATAATAATCATCGAAATTCGCTTTATTAAATTTAAAATATTCTTCATTGGGATCTATACACTTTTGCATGCGTTTGAACCGATTGTCGAAGCACGTCTGCCAGAACGCATCAACCGCCTCTTCGGGTGACGAAAAACGTTACAATCTCAATTTTTTTAAATATGGAAATATAAAGAAGTCATTCGGTGCCAAGTCGGAACTATACGGTGGATGACTCATCAAAACAATGTTATGAGTGCTCTAAAATGCTGTGATTTCCGTTGAGGTGTAATAACTTGCATAGTCGTTGTGAAGAGTAATCCGTGTTCATTGATCGGTTTTTATTAATTTCTTGAAAGTACAACTGAATTTTTTTCCGTGCGTTGTTCTGGTAGTACGGTTGCGACATATCCACCTTTTCCAAAAACACAATCAGTTGCTTCGAAGTGCTGCTTTCGGCCCATCTTGAAATACCCATACAGTCGACTGCTGCTTACTTTCGGGCTCATCGGTACAACAACTGAATTTGGACGACTCTCACGAGATTCGTCTGGACTTGATCTCCGGCCCCTATAGAAATAAACCATATCCGAAAATGTTCGGGACTCAATTCCATTTTTGGCGAGTTGAATATATTGAGTTTCTCTAGACAATCCTGCAAAAGACTTCCTTTCAATTGAGCCAACATGTCAGGAATACATGATATGAACGAGGAATGCTCGTAGAACGATTTCCCCATCACTTAACATTTGTGTACGAATGCGTCATTCTCTCTTTGTTTCCTTGGGCATTTTCGTTATTCTTAGCGGGTCAAACAGAACACAGATGAGCGACAGCATTGATGCCGAAGGAAGTCATCTGTGACAAAAATTTTCCCTACGTATATATGTACATATGTACATACATACAAACATTATTAAGATTCAGTCTTTATTTCAATATTTTACATAAATCATGTACAAATTCGTTTTCGTATATAAGAGCAAAACCGGATATACAGAAGTATTTAACAGTGTCATGCGTTGGTAACGCCGCTCCTAGGCTCCACGCCTTCGATCAACTGCATTCCCCTTCAGTTTGTATGTACTCAAAAGAAAAAGATAAACAAAAAAAATTGCTTATGCTGCCAGAAATCGTGGTGAACCCATCAGCCCGTTCTTGCAGGGCTGATTGCATTCTAGGGTTGTCAAACCCTGACATAAAAAGGGCAACCCTTGTATTTGTTGTTTTGTTTGAATTAAGCATGGCTTTTCGTGGGTCATATCTTGTGTTGCGTCTTTTCATATCCTAAACTTTATCTAAATACTCATAAATTGTGTGCATCTCTACGATCAGTTGATTATATTGGATATTTCGATCTTCTCTTCACAGTGGTAATATTTTTTGATATTACATGGTTAGTGTTAGGTACAATTTGGTTGACAAACTACTATTTCGATGCGCCCATCGATGAAGCCAAAAAGATTTTTATGGGTAATTAATGTGTTCTCCACATAGAATGTTAACAGCGTCACAAATATATTTATTGTCTATTAATAGCTATAGTAATTTGCAATTGGGCCTTGGTGTTCATAACTCTCATTACCATTTGGTGTACATTCGATGCTGCCGGCCGATCATGGGTCAAAATGAAAAAGTATCAAAGGTCGATGAGAGAGACTGAATCTCGCTTTAATTACAAGCGCAGCGGCAGCATGAACCGGAATTGGCGCCAACGGTTAGTTCATATCTCGCAATTCATTTTAAAGTACAAATGCCTATATACATATACATATGCATATTGAAGTTCGTTCGTTTGATTTGCAATAAATTGATACACAATTCACATATGTACATATGTACATACATATATGCACATATTTTTACTCACACTCGTTGCAGTAAAGTGATTCGCGCATACCAAGACAGTTGGGATCATCGATGTCGCCTGCTATTTTGTTGCATGGGCGGTACTGATCGAAACAGAAATTCCTTTACCGACATTGCGCGTCTATTAAGTGATTTTTTTCGAGAACTAGACGTTGTGCCTTCAGATGTAGTTGCGGGTTTGGTGCTATTGCGAAAATTTCAAAGAATAGAGCGAGAAGCCGTTGTCCGTCAGGTACGCATTGTGAATATTTACAAACATACATTCATCATTAATTAATTTTTCAATTTAATTTAGAGAAAAAATGGCACATACGAGTTTTTGAGTGGCGTGCCAATTACTGAGCGAACTCAGTTCCTAGCTTTAAACGATGCTAAAAACTACGATTTCTTCCAAACCGTCATACACTATATGTATTTCGCGCAGGGAGCGTACGGCTGGCCTATGTACTTCATAATAAATCGTACCAAAATGTATAATTTGCTACCCGAATTAAGGTGAGTTAAATGATGTTTATATACATATATTTCCAATGCACTTTGAAAATCAGAAATGTTTCAGAGTCTGTCCCGTGTGACACAACAGAAATTTAATGTATATTTCAGATGACAACTGTTTGATATAAATGCCTTCTTTCCCTAGATGCTTTACTTGTTGCTGCCGTCCCCAAAATGATACACCCACTGTTATACAAGACAACTGTTGTTTTTGTAATTATGCCGCCCTAAAGAAAACTCTGCAAGTCGGAGATATCGAAATCATCTACGCCACATATCATGTCGACGTCGGTGAGACACCGTTCTTTGTAGCTGTTGATTATACTAAGAAGAAGATTGTTGTAAGCATACGTGGTACATTAAGTATGAAAGATATACTTACGGACTTAAACGCCGAAGGTGAGGTATTGCCGCTCTCACCGCCGCGCGATGATTGGCTTGGCCACAAAGGTATGGTGCAGGCTGCAATTTATATTAAGAATAAATTAGAAGAAGAAGGACTGATTGAACGCGCCCTAAGTCATAACCGTGATAGAGGCACAGATACGTTTGGTCTGGTGTTGGTGGGCCATTCTCTGGGCGCTGGAACTGCGGCTATTTTAGCAATATTAATGAAAGCTGACTATCCTTCATTACAGTGCTTTAGCTATTCGCCCCCAGGCGGGCTGTTGAGGTAGCTTTTATTGAGTCGTCTTAAATAGGAAATGCAGATATTTTACTAATAACTACTTATATATTTGTTTCTAATATAAAAGCATGCCGGCAGTAGAGTATACGAAATCATTCATTACGTCTATTGTTTTGGGGAAGGATGTAGTGCCTCGAATTGGTTTACATCAAATGGAAGCATTGCGCGCAGACTTAATTAATGCAATCCAACGAAGTGTAGATCCTAAAGTAAGCTAATTGAATATCCATATGCATATTTTTGTGCATAATATCTATGTAATAAGAAATATATATACATACATATTTTTTTATGTAGTGGAAAACAATATCTTGTTCCGTCGTTTGCTGTGGATGTGGACCGGAGCCAACATCAGTTGTTGAGATGTCCGGAAAAGATACACACATTAATCAATATCAAGAAGTATGAAATATTATTTGATTAAATACACACATATACATATAAATATTCCATTTATGTTCAATCAGCAAAGAGATTCGGCCCGCTCTACAAGTGCACACCCAACAGACAGCTCCATCGCTTTGACATTACATCAGGTGATCTATCTCTAATTATACTGTTATATGTCTTCATACGACTAGTACTACTCACATATGTATTTACATAAATTTTAGTTTCACTTTTAATAACTGCTTTTATTTGTAGCCACTTTATCCACCTGGAAGAATAATTCATATAGTACGACATCATCCTAAGCCTGAAGAGTAAGTTTGTGTTTTAACAAAATAGTATGTATGATAAAAGGGTGATTGCACAAAAATGGTGATAAATAAATACATATGTATTTATATCAGATATTGGAAGGGCCCGCTTTAGCACTTTTGGCTGAGCTTAGCCCAAGTTCTGTGGAAATTTTAAATTTTATTCATTTTTGGCATTGAATGCATTTGTTGAGACCGTAAGTCTCAAATTATTGAACACCGCAATCGATATAATGAAACGAAGGGAATAAATAAAATAGGTGTTAGTCGAAGAATTAACAGTTATTAATCCAAATATTACCTTTAACAACAGTAATAGCTGCCTTTAACTAAAATTAAAGTGGATTGAATATATATATCTATATATATAAAATTGAGAGTGGATATGTGGTAGTAAAACATTGGAGAAATCCAACGAAAATCATTCAAAAAATTCTCATTAATTTATAATTTTGCAATTGATAATTTCCGCTTGTATCTAAGCAAGAAAATAGATGCACGTAATCTTGATGATTTAAAAAACTGCGCTATTTCTGTGTAATCGACCACAAATTAGTTATAACAAACAATACACTGACAGGAATTTTAGTTAAATTGCGTGCTGAGACAATTTCGTTGAATGGTGATTTTTTTTTTAATGAATTACTAAATCAGGGGCTAACTTATATAGAAATCGATTAAAAATGATATTTTCTTACTTTAAGCAACACTCTTGTTTATTAAAAGGGGTTTCAATTATATTTATTAATTTTCAGGCAAAAGTACGACAGCGGTTGGAGGTAGGCATTTCTCCTCAAAACAAAAATGCATGAAAAGATTTGTGGCATGAACCCTAAAACACTCTATATGATATCTATGAAAACCTATACAGGATTCAATATATTTACATAGAATATCCAAACATATTTTCAATTAGTTCCAAAAGTTTTAGTTTTACAAATTTTTTTAGTATTATAATTTTGCATGATTTCCCAGCAAGTAGGGGATCTAAGTTCTTCAGAGTTACATTTTTAGCCATAATTTATTTAGCTTAACTCCATCTTACAACATTTTTGCATGTAAATCTTTAAACTTACTTACACACTTGCAGGACGCAGGGAAGAATGCTTTTACTTATTTATGTATGTATGTTTGCTTTTTGTAATTACAGAAGTATTTTGAAGAGTCATGAACCTGTCTATCAGGCCATTTGGGCCGATACTTATGATTTCGATGAAGTACTCATTTCGCCCGTCATGTTGCAGGATCACATGCCAGACAAAGTTTTGGCAGCGCTCAAAAAGGTAATTGCCGGAACTACCGATAGTAGCAATTCATCGCTGAATAGTACTGATTCTTAGACATTAATAAAAGACTTTTAGATTTTAGTATTTATGTAGCTCATTTTGCAAATATGTATTATTTAATTTTCCTTTAAGTAAAATGAAGCTTGCCTTTGCTCCCTCTCATGGACTCATTTAATTAAATCTAAAGACTTGAAAATTGTATATATGTGTATTTATTTATATATGTAGTATGTCGTTTTTTATTTGTCAAATTGTAAATTATGTAAGCCCACACTTTATTTTCTTATATTTTCAATTATTTATCGAACAGTGTACGTTTGTAATTAAGGTGTTTCGTTGTATTATTGTTCTTAATAAATTTGTTACATAAAAGCGTTTTTCATATATTTGTTCATTAGTTTTTTTTTAGTTTTCATTAAAGCAGCACGGCAGTACTGCAGGTTTCAAATTGAATTTTTATTAACCCATTTACTTATGGATGCAGCTGTAGTCTCCCAACCAAGCTGTCGGAGCTTCTATTACTATCCTCTCCTATTGACCAAAGAGTTTGGGCTATGGGAACAACTCATAGCAGATGCTTCCTTGGCAATCCCGTCAAATACACAACAAAACATTCCTGGCCATCAATCCTAGATTGGAGATCGGTTATACTCATTTTTCATCACCGGTCATCATCTGGTTCAGAAATGGGTTGATTTTGTTACGATCCATGTCTCACCCATAAATCGAGATTTTTTGTGTGTTTCCAGACATCAGAATCGGCGATTTCTATTATTTCAACGACATTTTTGACAATTGGTCTCCCACACCGATATGTAACGTATTTTCCTTTCGCTGGAGTCCATCTTTTACATTCGCACAAACACTACTGAGTCTATCCTTTTTAAGTCCATCTGCCGTATGCAATCGCACTTATAGAACGCGAGATTCAGATCACTAAAACTAAATTTTCCATTCAAAATTTGTATGTTTCATTCTTAGTACAAGACGAATTTCCAGTACTTTTCCTCTGTTAAAAAAAAAAAAACAAAAACAAATAACAGTGAAAAAAAGTCAAAAATTTATATAAGCAATAATTATATAAATAAATTTTAAATTACTAATAGGTTTTCGTCGTTTCTAGACATTCATTTGAAACTATTTATTCGTAAGAATTTTATTTGTAGCAAACCCGTAATTGGTTTTTTTCTTCTTGTGCACATATTTGTCAATATATGTACGTTTATGAATGAATAATGACAAAACCACATTTACCAAATATATATTAACCGCACACAATTGCTCAGCAGGTCGCGAAAAGTGAAAACCGAACCCCAAAGGCATGTAGAACTGACCGCACGAGCAATGTCGACTCGATTATGTCCTCTCACTCATTTCTTAATTGCGACACAAGGTATTACATACAACTAAAATTTTGGTCTTATTAATACCCAAACCATTTTTTTACTTTTGCATCTAATGTTGAAACGTACTCATATATGCGACCATCTTACATTGAGCGCAACAAAAAATGCTGATATTCTGTGCGATAATGATGTTGTTGTTGATGTTGTTGTAACCGCAAAAATATTCCCCAAAGCACTTTTTGGGGAATGTTGCGGGAGTGACAGTCCTTGGCCGGATAAAAATCCGAATCGTTCCGGTATCCGATTGTCGCGGAAACTATTGGATTTTAGTCGTCTCTTACGACAGGTATGCCTTAGCGCGGGTAAATTCTTGAACCCATAACCCGCACGGGGGTCTGTGCGATAATCTTCGATTTCATGCTCAAACTGATAGAAATCGAGCTGACACAATTGTAGCTTAAAATACGCGTGACTTCTCGAAAACATTAATATTAAAAGTAATTTTTTGGTAGCGAAATTTTTAAATTAAACACAATATAAAGAGATTCGATGTGATCACAATTTTTTGAAATTGATTGGCTATTAGCTAGCTATTAGTAGGGGCTACCTTAACTTCGGGGTTCTGCTTCCTGGTCCGACCAACATCCGAGATAATAGATAATTAATTTTTCTAATTGTTGTCGCTCCTCGGCGCCGAATGTCAAGCACTCCGTGTGTACTTCTGACATAAAACTTATAAACTGTACTGTAGATCACTGCATTTGTTGGAAAAACATAATGACGGAGAACACAAATTTCAGAAAATTTTTTTTAAAAACGTTTCAGCTCGATTTCTCTCTGCCGAATTTCAGCAAATCGTTTCATATGGAATGGTCGCATGTATTGAGATGTACGAATAAACCGAAATCTCTTACTTGCTCGCATGTACAATACATACCTATGTATGTGTTTCTGCAGTCTGGCAGTCGATAAGAAAATGCCGATAATGCAATGCATGGAATTTTCTTTAATTATGTGCCAATAATTCCACTGTAAGGTAGGGCGAAAAGTTGTTGAATATATTTAGTATTACAAAAAAGTTTCTTTCGTTCTAAGATTTTTCAATGAATTTAATGTTTGAATATCAACAGCACATTACACATTCCGAGTTGCCTTGCCAAAATCGGCTGCGTAGAGTTTTTTATGCGTGCATCTGGATGTTATACATATATGCATATATAGTGATTGTGTGCACGACCCACCAAATGCTTCAAATATTTAGAGTTTATTATTTTTTTTTTTTAATTTAATGCTTGACTTTTTTTTTTCTTATTACCCTCTTTTGAACAATTAAGTACCTTCACATGCAAAGATAAAAATTATCTTCAAGCTGTCCCATGTTTCTCGGTCTCTTGACACAGGTTGTAACCACAAGTGGACCACGGAAACCACAACGCCAAACATCAAACGCATTTTCCACTATATCCAATGATTATAACCATTATGATATAGATGTTGAACGCATATCTCCACTAAGTTCGATGGATGCAATAAATGTTTTAAAACTTGCCGAGAACTTTAAGCAACTTTCCCACAGTTCCGTACCTAATATAAGCTGCACAGTGAACTTGACACCAACAGTACAGCGTAAAGTCTCTTGCGAAACGTCTTTTGCGAATTTGCATGCACCACTGGAAATGCCACCAATTGCCGGACCGAATTCCAGTAAAGCTTCATCGATAGCTGGCAGCATTTTAGGTCACGGCCAGTTTAGCTCGGCTCAATACGATATATCTATAGATGAGAGCATATTGACTGTCGCACGTCGAAGTCCTTCCGTACCGAGTGAATCGGCTACTGTGATAATAAATGAGCGTGACCCATTGCCGGCTCAGCGTTCAAAGGCTGTGGCATTTGATATTGATACGAATTCTAGCGAAATGGTATACTCGCAGCACGTTCATCAAAATACTCGTACATCAAAAAGTGTTTTAAATCGTCAATACTCGGCACGTGCTGAGAAACGGAAACGTAATGCCACCAATGCTGCATTACGTAGAGCTTCGGATGCGTCCAGACCCATAGATTTATTACATGATGATTGGTTAGGCTTAGCACCATTAGCTAGCCCCGAGACGTTATCCGAAATATCCAGTATATCGTCACGCACAAGTGCACCTATTAGCTTAGCCAATAGTATAGAACGTTATTTGCACAATCTAAATCTAGGCGCTGATAGTGCGAATGGACGAGTTATGCTTGAAGACATTTTCGAATCGCAAATGCATACACCTAAAACATTGCGACGTGCACCGAAATTCAGTGAGAATTTATCTAATTGTGCTGAAGACAGTCGTAATGTTGATCAATACAAACGTATGGGCAGAGTGTTCGTCACATTTCCACCCATTTTTGATAACGTCCATAGTAGTAGTAATACCAACAATCAGAAGTCAAGCTTAGATTCCAGTGATGAGAGTTATGAGTCAGCGCAGAGTCTCAGTCGACTTCAATCAAAACATGATCCCACCAGTGAACGTGACTCTGCTAGCGTCAATGTTCTTCAACCAAAACAGAGTTCAAAATCCGCAGACCCATTAGACGGTGATACAACTCAAAGTACCACGAAAAAATTAACTTTTAGTGATAGCGAAATTCTAAATGATAGTTGCCATAGCCTATGCCCCAATTGTCCCTGCCGAAGGATCGACGAGGCCGAACTTAAAACTAATTGCTGCCAGCGCTTGGAGCACAGTCAATGTATAATGACGCTTTTGAGTAAAGATGGGAAATGTGGTTCGGCTGATACGACGTTTTATAGTGCCAATTCGTCCATCGAACAGTTCTCAACACCAGGTAGATCGATGTGCTGTCACAGTTCAACTAATAACGGCGGCTCTGCGTGCCAAAGTGCTACCGAGGAAATGTCCATCACAAGAACGGGTGTGCTTGAGTCACATTTCCCCGTATACGAATCTACGCAAACTACAGCTGATGGATCTGAAATTGACAAAACTTCTACGTGTACCTTACGACCTACTGTTTTCACAACAGACCATCACAAACGCGATGTAACTGGTGGCCGAATACGCAAACGACTTTCATCCGAAGAATTCATATTCACCCGCCCAGACGATCTCCCACTAGTGGCACAACTAGGTGAGAAGTCGAACAAACGCAAAGGATGCGTGTATCCAGCGGGTACGAAGTATAATATTCGACGAGCACGGCCGCCAACCAGCACGAATGGTGTATCGATAAATACAACATCATCTCCAAGTTTACAAATACAGAATAATGTAAATCAACAGGTTTCACTATCTACTTCGAGTTCCCCTAGTAAATGTTCTAGTCTAATGCTTCCTATAACTTATAGCGAAGAGAGTAGTGTCTGAAGTTCGTAGAAAGTACCTAATTATGTATCTAAATAGTAGTGAAATATTGATTTTGTGTATTAAGTTTTCAGTTCTCAGCTCACTTGCACACCTTACATACGACTATATTGCAAGTCATAGCTATACATTCATATATTATATTATATTTGCATGTTGAATACTGTACAAACCCTTACAATAAGACAAATTCAGCCACAGCTGAAGAGCTGTCCAATTTCGAATAACTAACGAATCATACAACAATTCTTGTGCATTGTGAGGAACCAAGTGCAATATAAACCATCTATAAAACTGTGATCATAAGTAAGATAAAATGTTTTATTATAAAATGAGATGTGTTGTAATATTTGCAGTTAAACTTATGATTGGTAAATAAAGTATCCTCAACAATGACATTTTGATATTCAAAAACATAACAGATACATATTTACAATTATTTTACACCCTGTCCAGATTTATGTGTAAGTATCTCCATTTGTTGTATGTAATAACCTCAAGACGCTTGCTAGAAATTGGAGAGGGAACCGGGTCCAAATCAAATTTCACTCATTTCATTGATTGGCTGGAGTATATCAGTGTCACCCTATAACTCATACAGCGAATACTCCCATGGCCGACTCATCGAACGTCGATAAAGTCCATGATTTTGCATCATATAGTATGACCGGGTTAGGGGTTCAAGAAGTTGTGAGAAGTTCAAGCAAGTGAGGTAAGTTTTTGACTGTCATTCATCTGGAATTGGCCAGAAACGATTCCTTTCTAATCGTTGTTCAAACAGCTCCTGATTTTCGGTCAAACATCCGTTTTGAAGCGAGCTAAATTAAGGAGGCGAATCACATGTGGCTATGCGTAGGGTTCGGGGCCCACCACATGAAAAACAAACACAAAAAGCCTCTAATGGAGGAACCCTAAATTTTAATAACGACTCCCGCAACTATTCTAAGGTTTACGATTTAACAGCATGCTCCTGGAAAGTCCGGTTCCTTAATTGGGAAGGTACCGCAGTCCGGTGGATGAACATCTCGGTTCGATCCGCACTAGGGCTACATTTTTTAACATATCGTTGATTTGCGCCCACGCTTCGACGGAAGGGAAGGACGATGTGTTCAAGGAGCGCCTCAAACATACTCATGAGCGCATCTTCGGCACAACTGTCGGAAAATTCAGCCTCCACGACGAAGCATCCCCAAATGGGTTGAGGCTGGTCGACTTCGCCGGGATTCAAAATATGGAACTAGATTCCAGCATAAGGAAATTTACTTACTTGACTCTCTCCATATCGAAAACCAAACAACCATATCGATCTTGTTGTAATACATTTAACGTTCAGAGTAATGCTGCAACTACCCATCTAACATACCTTCCGTCCATAGCAACCTATCTTGTGAGAGCGCCATGAAAACACAAAGTTGTCACCGCTTGCCCATACCGTTACTGACGGTTGTCCCGCAGAAAATATTCGAGTTTGTATATTCTATTACAGTCGGCTGTTATGGACGGATGGTATATAAGATGAGTAGTTGCAGCATAAACATGTGCGACGAATAATCGGATAATGTGATTGCACTTCTCGCTTACTTCACTATATTCATGCTAGCCAGGTTTTTTCGCGATGTTTACTGTTCCATATGACACGAATAAAATGAGCTTTTGTGTATACCCAGCACCATACGCGACGAACATGTGCCCACACCGACCGCAAAAATTCAACCATTTTCGCCAACAAGGATTCGTATATGCACAACTCCATACACATACCGATCGAAAACAATTGTATGTAACCTAAAAAGTATTTTTGGCAGTCTCTACATTGAATGAAAAAGTTGAATTCGCTGCTGTACGAAACTTTAAGTTATATCTGCCATGGCCTTTATTCTGGCAACTGTGATAGCGAATTCGCCAGCTTTTGAGACTTTTCGCATGTTTTTTGGGATACGAACACTAACTACTACTAAGTTGCAAAAGGTTTATACTTGTATATGCAATTGTGTAGTAGAAAACTTTAATAGCCTATTTCCACCGGACGTTAAATGCATTTTAGCTTAAATGTATTTAAACATCGCATTTAAATGCGGTAATTCCCATGTGTTATCTCACTTTTCAAAGTGAGTTAACTCACTTTCGGCAATTTAACAGAAAATGTTATGGTAACATTCGATGCTGTCACTACTAATGTAATCATTTCGGAAGTTTTGGTGTACTTCTCGCCAGAGTCGTGTATTTTCGGATTTAATGAGGGGAGAGACTTTTATTTTGCATGGTGAAAGTTTTTGTATAAAAATTCCTTTTTTGCGCTAGTTTTAACATAAATGCCTATATTAAGTAATTGGCGAAGAGAAACCGCCTTCAAAAAAAAAAAACTATAAGAAAAAAACAAAAAACAATTGTGAAATATCAAACGATCCCCTCAACATAAAAATATACGTGGCTCTGGTAGCTATCAGCTGATTGGGCAAAATAAATAATTTGAGGGAACAAACAAACAAAAATGAAAATGGAAACATGCATAAAAGCATATTCGTTTTAGCAACGTTTGTCCGTGCAGAAATAATCTGCACTTGCAAGTCTTAAGATTGCAGAAATAGCCAAATAAAATGAATGCGGTCTCTTGAATTCATGATTTCTATAGTTGTGGCAAACTTTGTAAACTGCAAATGTAAACAAAAATCAGCTGTTTGAGTTAACTCACTTTCGGTGGAAACGTTTGACATTTCATTTACTTAACAGAGGCCTTAAATGCATTTAAGTGCTTGGTGGAAATAGGCTATAAGGGAACAGGTGCAGTCAGCTGCCAGGCGAATTTATTTGCTGGTTCTTCCTTCCATTTCCACAAATTACGCAAACAAAATACATGAGCCATAGATTTTGACATTACGAACTTTCGACTACACCAATAAATTTAACGAAATTCGTTTTTGACTTTTCGAAACTATGATTACACAAACAAAATACATAAGATTCTTTTTTTTGTATTATTGCTACTGTGTGTGAATCTGCCTTGGCCAGCTGTTAGAAATAATGACGTTTTCAAAAAGATTATCCACTTATTGTAATCAATTATGCCACTGGCATCAATAGTTTTAGAGCAATTTAATAATGTTAATTGCAAATATCTCTTGTGGATTGTCTTTCATAATGTTACGACGGCAGCTGACATTACTTGCAGGAAGATGTACTAGGATAAGTAGCCAACAAGGCGATCATAGCAATGATGACAACTTTCTACGATCAGAAATTTTGTTATCAAGGGAAAACCAGCAACGGTCGATGGAATGTATGAAGAAACCATCCCCAATTGGGATGAAGTTGAGGCAAACCCTGAGTGAGAAATCATTCGCTGCTGTTCTTATATGTCTTTGCCTAAATGAAAGGGTAAGATTAGCAGATATGTTAAATATGCATACAATATTTATAGATGTACCAGACAAATGTAAGCATTTATTTAAGTATGTGGGTAAAGGAGTAAAGTTCATGTTCCATTATTATCTGACCTTTTAAATATATTTGAAAATAAGATATTATTCCTGTAGATTTATTTAACATATTTACATATGCGGCGACCGCTGTAGACGAGTGGTTAGCATTGCGTACTGCCACTTGGAACACCCGGGTATAAATACTGTTACGACCAACATCCAAAAGTTATAGAAAGCTAAATTAAATAAAAAAATTAATTTAAGCTTTCTAATTTCGGTTGCCCCTCTGCAGGGAATGTTAACCCCTCCGAGCGTATTTCTGACATGCATAAAATAATGAATACTCATAAAAAACCATCAGCCGTCCGGAGTCGGCTTTATATAAACTCTAGGTACATCCATTTGTTGGAAACACATCAAGACGCAAACCAAAAATTGGAGGAGCTCGGCCGAAAATCGCTTCAGCGGTTACAAAGTGTCAATTATATATACATATGTATGTAAAACTCAAATATTTAAATATTGGTCATTAGGCGATATGTAAAAATCATTTCCGTTACAAGTATTATTTGTTTAACTCACATTACAAAATTACTTTTTTTAATACTTCATTTAGAGAGATTTTTATTTTTCGATATAGAATGAAACTTCAATACTGTACACCCGGCGCTCCGGTCGACTCACCCGCCACATACGACAAATATCTTTTCCTGGTAAGTCTGGGGTAGCTGCATTCTTTTTAAAGGGGAAGAAAATTTCAATTTCAGAAAATAAGTTTTTTTTCTGTTCTTTTAGAAAATAATAAAGCTATTTTATTGTTTGATTTTGTAACCTTCTACATACATGTATTCATATTTTTAGGCGGAATAAAAGATCCCGGCGATGTTGACTTCATAGATTGTGCCCTGCGGGAAACTGAGGAAGAAATTGGTTTGCCTCGCAATAGGATTAATGTTTGGGGGTCTGGTACACTAATAACACCTCCACATACTGCTGCGATTATGCCTGTGGTGGCCACGGTTCATAATTTGATATTGAAAGAGCTCAAACTCAACGAAGACGAAGTGGAAGAGGTATTCCTCATACCTGTCAAGGACCTTATACATCCAAAAACATTGAAACATACTCAATTTAAGAGCGGTTGGAGTACTCCAAATTTTGTAGTTGGCCATTATAAAATATGGGGGATAACAGGCTTTATTACAAACACTTTTCTGCAGTGTCTAATACCAATCGACCTAAAGAGACTTAAACATCACATCAAATACGTTCGACCCTTTAAACACAAACATTAAAAAAATGTACTCCTTTTAGATATTTTTATAAACAAAAAAGTTAAAGAATAGAGAACATTTATATACATATGGAAGTATTTTGATATACTGATGAGTTTAATAAACAAATATCTGGTTCGCGGAAGAATTTTTCTCCGATTTGAGACGACAGTCTTAATGTATTTTCCTACAAATTGAGTGTTCTCCTAATGACTAATAAACATTTATCAGAAGGTGTAATTTTTATGTTCAAAATTCACTTGGTGGTAACCACTTTCAAATACGTACATTATTGTATTTAATTGTAAATAAAAAGCTTTTTGTGGTATCAAATACATATACAACGTACGAAATTTTATTTGTTTTATTTGATGTATGCATATATTATTTATATGTATGTATATATATCGTATATACAAAAACATTGTATCCTATTTTAAGAATGTTCACATATTTATATGTTAAATATAAGGAATTTAGAGAGAAATAAATTTCTTCCATTGGCTTGTTTTCTTTTTCAATATATTGTTTTAGAAATACGCTTTATAGATACTATTGCAGATCAGAATTTAATACGTCTTTTAAGTTTGGATTATAATGGCATACTTGCTTATTTGCAATTTAAACTTTTTAAGCCCAGGTCGCTCTTTTTATTTATTGTTAATACAGATTTGATAAATACTTATCGTAAACATTAAAAATATTTATACTGAATGTTTTAATTCAAATGTTAGAATTGGCAAAGAAATAAAAAAAACGTGTAAAAACAGTCGCACTTAACAAAATGTAATCAAAACTTAGGCCCTTAAACCAAAGCTGATCCAAGTGAACAGGATTAATCACCGATTCATAGCAATAACAAACCTAACTCAAAAAATATAATTACAAAGCAAATACTAATTATTGCCCAGATGCATACATATTGTACTTAGGTATATCAGTATGCGCATGCTTTAATTTTAGCTTCAATTAAATTATTATTAACAGAAAATAGTTCTTGATTTTATAGTGTTAAATTTGGGTGTATATTAATTTGAAATATTTAATGAAAGCAAAGGGGTGGCTCCTTAATGCTATATTGATTAAGGTGGTCGCAAGCTTTTTAACTGCATCCGGTCACTCTTTACTCTATTAACTGGATCTCTATTACTCTGTAATATCGATCGGAATGGAAGTGGTAAATGTTGGAGTTTCCAACTCCTCGTGTTTCTTCATTTTGAGCATCTTAAATTGCAAGGAAAAAGAAAAGTACAAAGTTAAAAGAACAAATAAAATTAGGATATGTGTAAATACAAAGAGTAGACACCCTTACCTGCTGCAACTTGTAATGATTTATAATATCCTGATCAGCTGGACATGATTGTGTGAAGGCATCCAATTGGTACATGTGATACATATAACGCCACAATGCAGTAAAATGTGTCTATGGAAAAAGATATATAAACAACAACAACATTATGTACAAATGAAACGATGTTTTGCGTGAACATCCAATTGTTGCATAGCTTATAAGAAATATCCCTATATATAACAAAAAAGAAGGGAAGGGAGGGACGTTTTATTCTTAATTTATTTTTAATTATAGTATAAAGTGAAAGGTGATCTGCGCAAAAAGTTGCAATCTTTCTCGGCACATTTCGGGCGAAACGTATTTGTGACAATAATCGATGCAACACGTTCAAATTATTGTGTTCGATTGGTCACATGCAGTTATATGTTTGGAAATTTTCTGTTAAAAAAATTTCAGTAATCCTTTGCACCAGTGCGTAGATGCTGAAAGCAAAATTTACCAATTGACGGAAAACATATTAGAATAGAAGCTACACTGTCAACGGGCAACTCCTTTTTAACTGCAATGGCCGCATTTCAGATGGTGGGATTTCAGTAATGATCCTTGCAACAATCTTTGTTAACGGTGCTCTGAATTTGCACACACCGGGTCTCCTTCCTGGCTGTGAAATCAGCGTACCATACGTTCTGGTGGCAGACCCGTTTTGAATGTAAACTCATTTGCTGAAATCATATGCGGAACCTAGTTAATCAGCAGGTCAACATATTTTGAAATAAAGTATATCGACACAGGGCGAATAGACTGAATTGGTTATTTCGTCGCTGATTGTCATATATGATCGGGCATTGAGACGATAATGGGATCCTAGCTTTATATTCCACTTATTTTTTGTGTGAGATGGTAATAAATTGTATTTTAAAAATTTAAAAAAAAAGCAATTTTCTTGTGCATTTACATATGTATATGGAATAATGTGATCTTGATAATACGATCAATTTGGAATTTGTGAACAGCCAGTACGAACGTAAGGTTCGCGTTGCCTGTAACTCTATTTAGATTTTTCGGCTAATACTGCGTTATTTCACAATTTATTTCTCAAGAAAGGAAATCTTCCAAGTGTTTTCGACGTTTTTTTTTATTATTAAAGAATTACCACTATAGGTTGCTGCAATTAATACAGCTTAATTTCTATTTATTTGCATTTGAAAGCAAGACATGCATTGCAGTGAAAACAAACGAATAGAGTGGAAATGGATCGGACACCGTTGAAGTAAGTAATTTATATTAAAATATATTATATATTGCTTATTAAAATTTAATTGGTATTTAATTTTACTTAAAAACAAATTATTTTAAATTATCAATTTTTTATACACGACAAACTTTCAACAGATTCATAAACATCAATATATACATTTTCGGCATTGAAGGGTTGTAATACATAATTGCTTTGCATGGCATGGGCATGGGTAAAAAATGCTTTGCGTATTGCGTTTACGAAAGCAGCTTATGTATGTATATATTAACATAATTTTAAGAACATACATACCGGTATTTCGAAATCGACAAAATATTTTCCTGCAACGCGAATATGTTGCAATCGTGGCATAAGTTCGCAATCGAAACAACACATAGTATCGCCAGTTAAAAAGCGTGTGTTTCGGTTAGCCAGGTGGTCGTTGATCTTCCTCAAATGACTTAATAGAGCATTGTTCTTTGCTTCATCTTTCTTTACCAACATAAGCTTGAGCTTAACGTACAAATTTTCAATCAATGTTGCTACTTCTTTATCCTGTCGAAATATACATACATATAGGCCAAAACTTTTCCGTTACATAAAAAAAAAAACAAATAAAAAACTACCTGCACAAACAAATTATAACCGCCAGGAATATTCTTCATTATATGTCTTTCAATTTTGTCATTTTCTAAAATTGCCAAGCCATTGTCAATTAAAATAGGGGGATGTGTTGCTTCAAAGTTTGTTCGAAAATCAGGCGGAGGCTTTTGCATATCAACTGTTGTAACCTTAAATGTAATGATAAATTTTAAGCAATGTTTTATTACAGTTATTTGCAAATAATTTATTTACCTTTAAACTGATAGTTTTAAGCTCTGCCAAAAGATACAGATCCATAAAGTATTCCTGGCAAAAGAGACAAGCACCCTTGCGCCTGCCATCAATTGTAGAGGCCTGTAATACAAATTAATCAAGTCTCCCAAGATTAGACCAAAATTCTCTTTATTTTGTATGTACACTATATTTCAATACACTTCTTGCAGCTATGATTGGCTGCAGGAAATTCACATAAACTTATAGTTAATGAATGGGATGAATTAAAATGTAATAGCATTAATAAATTTCCCTGAAATCATAAAGCGAATGAGGTGAGGGATATGAAGTTCAATAGCTATATGATAACGGCATGATTTCCTGGTCTGAACACGACTAACACCCGTTACACTTTTATATTGAGGAAACTCTCTAAGAAATGCCCATAATTTCCCCAAGACTTCCGTTAAATATTATTCCAAATAGGTGCTATGCATAGTAATATGCTGGCAAAAATACAATGTTTTCAAGTTGAAATGGTTTAGGAATCCTTCAGAACTATGGATTAAGTCAAAATACAGTTATTCACTTCGAAATATTTATTTTGACACGTTTTTTAACAATTTTTCACAAATGCATAACTCCTTCATAAAAGATGCAGCCACCTAACGAATGAACTTTGCTACAAAGAATTTTGGAACTCAAACTTCTGTATATAAATTAAATTACCAGGTATTTAATTGTTTACTATTTTCTATTAAAAGTCTTATTTCAAATTTTTCTTTAACAGTAACGCAATCTTTGATATCTAACAAACAATAAAATGAACGTTATTCTAAAAGTTGGTTTATTAGCTCCTGTTCCACTGTTTCTTCTCGCGTCTTTGGCTTTTCGTCATGTTCCAATCCTTCACCAGTATCTGAAGCGGATTCTTCATCAGAGTATTCTTCTGAATGATGTTGATTGCTATCGACACCGTCTACAACATTTAATGAGGCGGCATTTTTTTTTCGCTTAACATAACGCCATAAGGTAGTAAGTGGCAAAGAATAGAATTCAGCAGCGAAGCGTACTGACATTCCGTTAACTGTATGACCACGATATGCCTGCATTAACCGCTCTTGAACTCCGTGATCGACCATATCCTTACTACCGTTCCGTATCCATACAGATGGCAATAGACCTTGATTCTTCAGTCTTGTTTTATGTAAGTGAACCGTAGATTTGGGTACGTGCAAAGACCGTGATATTTCTGATATTTGTATGCCGGCCTTTAGTTTACTGTAAATTAGCTCTTGTAGTTCCTTATTCGCTTTTCCTCTTTTACGTTTGGGATGTTTAGCCACACGGGAAGCGATCGTTGAACGCACTACATTAAAACATGTAGCGGCTTTTCCCAGACTCATTTGACCTTCCAATACAGCCTTTGTAGCGAGCTGTACCGCTTCGGTGTTATGTTGCCGTTTCTTTCGCTTTTTCGTCGCGTTATTTGCGGCAGATTCAGAAAACTCTACATTTCCTTCATGACAGCTAGTAGTATCACTGATGTTGCTGTATGAGCGCAGGTCGTTTACTATTTCATCATATATACCTTCACAGGCCTCAGCTACCATTGCGGCGAAGTCTAAATTGCTATTTTCTCTTAATTGTTCACCTTTAATTGTCACTTCTTCCTCAATATGTTTTTGCGACAATGGAACTCTATTATTAAGATTATTATTTTCCATATGCGACTTATCGCATAACTGCGTGGACGTTATGTGTGATCCGGAGGAAGTAAGTCCCTGGTGGTCGCCTTCTTTCGGTGTTACATATTCGAAGTGAAAGTGTTGATTGTCATAATGGGTAAGAGTAAGAAGTTGACCAACATCGTCGGCAAGCTCACTATGACGTTTCGCTGAAACGTTTTTACGTGAAGTGGACGCTTTATCCCAGCATATAGTTCTTCTGTCCTCGTTTATAAGATGGGGCCGCGGTTTTTGTTCCTGTTTTACTTTTAAAGTCGTGTAAACGATGTTCTCTTTTTCATCTAGATCATGTAAACTTTCTTCGATTGAATTTATCATTGTGTTGACTCCGCCACTTTCGTACGCATTTCCCAAAACCTCATTTTCAAGCAAAAATTCTTCCTAGAAATGGGCAAAGGATAATGAAAGCATACTATTAGGGGATCTCTCATCTTTTCAATGGCTATGTTTTTATTTTTTTTTTATATACGAGAATATTTTTAACTGTATCCCCACTGTGTGCACACTCCTTTTTGCAAGCTTATAGGCGATTTGGCGACATCTTGCGAAAAAAAATATAAGAAGCGCGCGCGCCCTCCCACATCAGACTTACATATTGTATATGTATATGCATTTGATCGTTTTTTCCGCTATCATCTCTCAATTACTCATACAATACAATCACACATTTGTTTTGGCGGTTAGCAATTTATTTTAACTCGCTCATGTCATAGCTTTTACTCAGATTTGAAAATAGCATGTAAATACAAATGGATACATATAAATATATAAATTAATTTTATTTATGTATATAAAACTTATGTAGATACATACAATGTACAAATTTACTTTTGTAAATTTGTTGTAAGCTATCCGATTAAATCAAAATTTGTTTAAGCTGTTGTTAATTAATATTGCTAATTTGAGTGCTTGTTTCTTGAGAGCATAATTTGTTATTCAAAAAAGAAATCAACTAAACCTACGGAAAACAAAAATTTTGAAAAAAAAAATCAACAACCCAAATAATATTTAATTGTTTTTTTTTTATTTACTTTATTTAAATGGAAATAAGACTAAAGTCAAATTTTCAGATAATTTTTTTCAGCTGTTCTGCTTGTATTTAATAAAACTAAATTTAAATAGCTATAGTACGTTAATACGGTTAGATACATATTTTGTATTTGCCAAACTCAATAATTTCTTAACGAATACTCAAAGTGCCGGCTGAGTGTGATGATGTCATGCAAATGTGTCTCTCCCAACTGTGCATGCAAAAAACTATTAAAAGAAAAAGAATTGAAGACTCTTTTGACGTTCCGCGATAAAGTACTTAAATATGTACATACGTGTATATATCCACATATATACATACATATGTATAAATTAATATATAAATGTATGCACGTAGCTATTGATGTTGGTTTGTAAGCAATCAACATTAGGCACCAAAAAATACTAAGGACTTTATCAGCATCAGTATTTCTTCAAATAAAGTGATTTTCGGCCGAACTCCTCCACTCAATTTTTCCTTTAATCCACAAACCACAATTTTTTTCTTCAACTAGAACGTAGCTTTGCCCATGACTTGAACTCATGACCCTCTGCATATAACACACTCTCAACCATTTCGTCTATTGCGGTCGCAAAAAAAAGCGATTATAGCATGGAATAATAATTGGCCTTATTGATCAGATTCCGTAATTTCAATATTGTTAATGAAATTTTTTTTTAAATTTATTTACTCAGAAAAATATCTTCCCAAGCGGTAGAAAGGAAATGGACTACCCAATTGAATTTTAGTAAAGAGGTGGTTTATGTCATGCCGAGACTTATTGCATACAGGGCATACGTGGGGTATGGTGGCTAAGTTGCGCCAGTCGAAATGCTTTTCCTTCACCTCTTCATTTCAGTACGGTGCAAAACATAGGCCAGCAAAGTCTACATTTTATTGTTGAGTTTACATGGCCTCTCTTCCTTTTGAATATGTACGATGGTCCTGCATTCGCCAATAAATGTAATTTGGTATTGTACTGAAATTGTAAATACTAGATTCGATACAACTGGCAGTGATTAGCCTTATTATAGAAAAAAAAACTCTATTAAAGTCTACTGAAATAGCAGTGGTATTACTAGAAGTAAAATACACTCTTTCTACAATAAAATATCAGCTCATAATGAAGGCAAAAACTTTAGAATGCTACAATTTACTTCTCATTTAAAAAAATTAAAAAGCAACAACAAAAAATCGTTGATTAATATTAATTACACTTATGCTACAGAGTACTGATAAGATAAACTCGATGCTTTATAAAATGCCATGTATGTATATTTACACAAATAATATGTAGATATGTGTAGATATGTATTTGTATTATGTGCATATATAGACATGTAACAATTTTGAGACCATTGTAGCTGAAAGAACTATTCAACGTGTCACCTATAACAATGTTGTGATATATATGCTGATTTGGCTAGAAATCGCCAAGTTACGGTAAAGTTAACTTTAAAAAATAAACAAATTTATAATATGAAGTAGGTGAAAATGTAATTAAAATTCATTCACATATCTTTCTATCGAACAAATATTAAGCATTACCGCCTTCGAAAGAGTTATGTAGTCAATGTTATTAAAAGAAAAGAGAAAACATTTTGTAATAAAAGAATTCTAATTTCTTATATAACCACCAATAAAATTAAATATAAAGGCGGCCACAATAATCGAGCGGTTAGCTTTGCTTACTACCATTCGGAAGGCCAAAGTTCGTTCGACCATACATCCAAGCCCTTCGAGTGGGTTTCTAACAGGAATAAAAACTGTAGGTCCCCCTATTCAAACATCAAGGCGAATACCAAAAATTGTACAAGTTCGGCCGAAAATCGCTTCAGCTTCCCATTTATTTAAATGCATTGTTAAAAGCAGACCGAATTTACATTCAAGATTTTATATTTATTTTAACAGCAGATCCACCCACAATCTCATAATATTAAGAGAAAGTATTATATAAAAAATATTCTATATAAAACTACAGTGAGCGCAGAATTGTATTTGGAATTAGTCATACTGCGAGGGGATTTTCACGATATATGGCACAGAGCAAAACATTAAAAAAAATTGTAAGAAAACAAAAACTAATAAGTAAACATATGATTTACCAAAAATTTTAGTCATAAAATAGAAATATACTTTAGTGGTGCATATACACTGAGATGTATCAGTCAATCACCAGACCAACCAGTCAGCCTACTGGCAATTGTGGCATATGAGATGTGAAAAAAAAATAAAGAGAAACCTGTTTTTCTAGCATCTTAGATGGCATACTTATAGATTTTAAATATGTACATATGCATATATATATATGTGACGATCACGCTTGCATTTCAGTTTATACATACAATAAACAGATCGATTGAAGAAAAAAATAAAATATTTTTAAATGACACACTGTTGAGCACACGAAACATAAGATCCTAAAAATATAAATTCAATAGCTAGATTAAGGACCATACTTTTATTTGATACATTTACTTCTGGCGAATCGAGTAAACATCCACTTTCATTATTGTAAAATGTTTACAATTCCAGTTGGATCAGCATTGCACTATCTCGATAATGCCTACATATTTATAATCAGGACATATATATTCACAATCTTTCATGCAAAAATATCTTCACATGTGCATACGTATGTATGAGTCTGAATACCATTCAATATTACTTAAATTTTTTCTAACTATACTACAACCACTTAGAATTTTATATAAACAGGAGTCAAACTCACCTTAATTATTAATTCAATTTCAGGCACATCTCCATTACTCGTCCCGTTGGTTTCTTGGTTGTTTTCAACTTCCGACATCTTGAATACGCGTGACGTATGTATGAAATTCGCACTAACTAAACGCAATACAAACTACAAGACAAAATTCAGAATTTATTTTTTACCCGAAATTTATTACTTGTCTAAAAAGAGCTTTGAAAGGGATTTTACGGAGCAAAGCCGAACTAAAAAACTAATTTATTTAACTAAAAATTCTACTTCAACCTGATCTTAAGAATTCACATTTACACTCCTTACCGTAGCCGCAACTAAACACTTTCCTTTCGTCAATTCACAAAATACTGACGAAACGGGCTTCAAGCAATTGCAATACATGGTTGCATTTTTTAAACTTCTGTGAACAATTTTCGCACTAACAGAGAGAGAGTGATTTTTTTTCAGCAAGCGAAATAAAGTTTAGTTATCGGGAAATTGCTAATATGCACTTTCAATCGGGTGATATCTATAGTCTCATAAAGTTATAAATCAGAAATATAAATGTTAAAACGTACAGAAAATTTTTAATTTTTGTTATTTGAAAACTTTGAAAACGATAAGAAAAATTTGTATTACCAATGTTAAATAATAGTTATATGTAGTGTTACGAGTTATAAAATAGGTCGTCGTGTAGAAAATCGAATTGTTATTTATTGAGTAACAAAGAAAAGTTAATTAAGTTATTTGCAATAAACATTTATTTAACAATCCTGTGATTGAAATCGTAGGATTTGGAAAATCTGCAAGGTGCATTTACAAAAACTCGTTACAATATTTTGATTTCAGAAATCGTAACAAATGTCACTACAAATTCATAGATGACATTTCTTTGAATGACCGTCGCTGAACATACTTCAATAATTCATTCTAAGAGAGTAATCAAAATAAAAAAGTTTTTATTGTGTATATTGCTATATTGGTATATTGAAACTAGTTATAATAATAATAATAAAAACCATTTGCATACCTAATGTCTATATTTCCCGCCTACATAGAAGACAAGGAACGTATCCATACTGATACTAAAACGGATGATGATTCTTCAACAAACACTACTAAATGGTTGATAAACAGCAGTTTTCCTTTGGAAACCGATCGGCTAAAGTGTTTAGAAAAAGTTACGATTTCGGGGTCCAGCAGCTCCTGTAGCACGGACAATGAAACGGAATTGTTGCCAGCAAAACGTTACAAAAAGCATAAGAAGCACAAAAAGAAGAGCAAACGGAAGAAGCATAATGCAGATTTCGATATGCAGATATCAAAACCTGCATTAGAGTTCAATGGTGAAGAAGAATATTATATAGATAAAAATAAGGCTAAGATATTTCTGTCAATACGAACTTTGCACAAGCCGGCTTGCCCGCGCTATCGCCGTTCTTTTGGCCATGCTATGGGAACCCTCCGTTGGAATGAATTACTTTCCGCAGGAACTACTTTAAAACTCAGAAAACGCTATTTTCAAAATAAGCTTACGACTTCGAGAAACCCAATTTGTAATGGTATACTTCCTGCGTTAGATGAAAATGAATATACATCACGACTTGGACAACTAAATCGGAAAACATTGGAACCAACGTGTGACCTACAAGTATGGCTAGACTTAATATCATTGCAAGAGCAAAATCCTTACAAATGGACTCGGCTGCTATTAGCTGAAAGAAAATTGGATATAATTAATCGTGCTTTATTATCTTTCCCACGCAATGAACAGTTATACAGAATATACATTGATATAATAAATGTTACGTATCCATCTTTTGAAGTAACAAAAATGATTGATCGCCTACTAATAAAAGATCCTCATAGTTACACATTATGGACGGCACAAATAATGACAACTCAGGGTTCCATGGCTCGTTGTATTGTACCAGATGTATTACGTATTTATGAACGTTGCATGTCTAAAATGCATCGGGCTCAACAGATCAATAAATCAGACGCCGCAACTAACTCAACTTCTGATAATATAATGCTAAAATTATTCAACAATTGTGCACTTTTTCTACGTCAAGCAGGCTTATATGAGCTATTTATTGCATTATTAAAACTTGCACTCGAACTAAATGTTTCAACTTCTGATTTTAAAGCTTTTACGCCACTTGAATCCGATCAAAATACGCTCATTGAATACGAAGAAATTGTTTTACAGTCAGGATTGCCAATGAATGAAATATGGCAACGCATAGAAAAACTTCGTCAGAGTTTTAATTTTTTACCGTGTCTCAATTCTAGCAATGATCCACAACGAATTGTATTTAACGAAGATATATGCCATTATATTTATCCGCTGGAATTACGAGAAAATTCATTTTATCTAATGCTGTTAATTTTACGATTACTTAAACTGCCTTTTATCCAAACTGAGGAATTAGCAGAGAAGTTTACAGCCCATTTGCAGCTTATAGGCGACTCAGATGCGATTGAAGATACACTAGCTGTTTGCTTACAAAGAAATTTTGCAATCTCACAAAATTTACAAAATGAATTTCAAAAAGGCCTCTATACGCTAGCTAAAGAAATGGCAGTAAACCCAACATTTTTAGGTAACATCATTGGGCACGACATCTATAACCGCTGTGTTAGTGATTTGCTGATGGACTTCGCTGCATCATATACAAACATTGATAATAGAAAACGTGAACTCTTCATTGTACTCTGGTGTCGGTTTAAGCGTTTACTGTTAGTACTGGAGCGTTGTAGTTCAAAAATTAATGCTGAATATATAAAAGCTGGTCGAAAACTTTTTAAAAATTTACTTAAACACCCGCTTAATCGTAACGTACTAATTTTTTATACGGAATTCGCTATATACGAATATGAGTCGCTGGAAAACCCAAAGGATGATATGAGTTCAGTTGCGAGTATATTTGAAAACTTAATTTCCTCCCATTCCGCAGACGAAACTCAAGCTTCTGACTTATGTTATACCTATGTAACTTTTGCAGAAATGCTTATAGGATGCGATAAGCCTACGGAAGCCTTACAAGTTTTGATATCATTTGCCTTAAATAGCGAAGTTGTGACTTATTGTAAAATTGGAGATGGTAAAAAACTTGCCGCACTTCAGAAAGTCATAGATAAACTGGATCGGCAAATCGCCATCGAAAAAAATGTAGAAGTGATTGTATTAGAACAATATTTGTTACCTGATTACACTATATCTTTGATAAAAGTACGAATGTTGATCCAATGCCTTATAGGGAAAAAGACAGAAGCAATAGAATATTTGGATAAATTACTACATATATTTCGTAACAACAACGATAGACACCGTTTTCTGCGTGAACAAATTATGGAAATATATATTGGTGTACTCCAAATCGCCCGTTCAACATGTAAAATTCCAAATGGTCTACTTCGTGATAAAATTTTTAACACCCTTGCAGAATTTCCGCGCAATTTATACCTGTTACAACACTGTGGCATGTTAAGCTCGGAACCTTGGTTTCGTATACGCACAGCAATTCTACGTACTAAACCAACGATATTGGCGGTGACGTTCTTAATTGTTTTAGCACGTTATAAGTTTTTTCAAATGAATTCTGACGAGGAATGGGATAAGCGACACAATGCGTTAATAATTCGCAACCGTATTCTACATATATTTAAAACACTGACTAGTGATCACGTAACTGAGGTTTCTGGAAGGAATGCCCTATTAAGGAATGCTCTATTTTGGCGCTTATATATTCGCTTTTTATCAGATCAATGTACAGATTTTGAAACAAGTAAAAAGTGTTTACTGACTGCATTGGATGAATGTCCATGGAATAAGGCTCTTTATTTGGATGGAGCGACACATGTACCCCAAGAGTTGTCACATTTGCAGGACTTGATTATTGAAAAGCAATTGCGAATTTATGCACTTCCCGAGGAGCTAGAAATTTTGCGTGAACAATAAAAGTCCTATTATCGGAAAATTTACATGTAATTTTATTTAATAAACGTACTATTTAATGCTTAAATAAGCTTTAAGATAGTTGCACCGAAGGTGCGAAAAAATAAACATTTTCAACTACTTCTTTGTTCAGTAGCTAACCTAGCATTCTAAACTCGCTACCAAATCTACTTATTAGACTTGGTTGGGAATATGTTTTTCTTTGTCATTTTTTTTTTTTCAAATGTCGCTTGCTGAAATCTGCCAAGATTTTGCAATTTAAAAAACTGTTTCACACGGTTTTTGACTTCACAATGTCAATGCAACCGTGATCATAATTTACCATTTTTATTTACTTACTTTTTTGGGGTAGATACCGCTTCTGCGATTATAGCCGAATTTGTAAATTTGCGCCATTCGTTTTTTGGGTTTTATCCGCTGTTTGGCGCCATTTGGAGATACCAAGTGCAGCCAGTTCCTTCTCCACATAGTCTTTCCAACGCAGTGGAGGTCTTCCCCTTCCTCTGCTTCCTCCGGCGAGTACTGCATCGAAAATTTCAAAGCTGAATTAATCTTATCTTGTCTCAAAGACTCCTAACGCCGACTCGTCAGATGTTGTCATCTTCCATGCCTCGGCACCATACAGTCGAGAGAGGGCATTATTATTGGTGTTAAAATTATATACGACCTCGAAGTTATGACTGTCAGCACTGACGTGAGAGCCGGATCGCGAATGCCATGATTGTTTGTGTGATGACAAGAGATATTTAGTCTTGCCCTCATTCACTATCAGACCCATTCCCTTCGCGCGGTTGTTAAGGCCGATAATGTCAATAGTTATACACGCTCGAAAGGACCTTATATTCGATATTAAGGAAGGTTATCCCACGGTAGTTGGCGCAGGCTTTGGGTCCTCCTTTTTCCAATCGTCAGGCAAGCTTTTGTCCGACCATATTCTACAAAGTAGCTGATGCAGAAACCTTATCAGCTCTTCACCGCCATGCTTTAATAGCTCTGCCAGTGGGCCGTCAGCCCGAGTCGATTTGTTGGTTTTAGGCGGGCGTTTTAAACTTTTTCATTGGAGTTGGCTTCTACGTGGCGGATCCCAAACCCAACGGACAACCTTGCTATCCGCTTGCTTCAAGACCGACGGCCGCTTCCAGCCGCACCTCTGGTGAACAGACGCTGCAATTCTACTCCACAGAACCTTTAAACCGAATAAGTCCGTGAGGCTTCACTGAAGCTTGCTCTCTTTTAGACGTGACGCCAGGCTGCACACGGGTTGGTTATCACATTTTGAACAAGGGTTGCTCACGTTTCCTGGGTGTGCGACGTGGATGCTAGAGTGGGAATTGAGTATAGCCCGCTACTGTAACTACATACCCAGAAGCATTGCTACAACCCATTACATCCTTTACCTTTGTTATATAATAATGGAAAAAGGCTATCAGATACATAAATATGTATGTAAAAGAAAAAACCCAAAAGCTAAACAATTTTAAAAACGTTCCAGATATCTACGGAAGAAAATTTACAATTTAAAAGTTTTCTTGCTTTTCTCTCATCAATCTCTTCCCATTCCATTTAATTCGCATAATTTAATAGTTTATAGTCTTATAATAAGAAATACATTTTCAACAGTTTCCATTTTAAATAATTAAGCTCTTTCATTTGCTGGCAAAGCTCTCCATATATACTCTTAACTCGATTATAAAATGCTGATAATTACAGATTAATGATAGGATAACATTTTATTGTTTACGCTCTGTCGTAAAATTTGTCTTATGCCTTAGTTGTAAGTACCGTAAGCTAAGATGCTTATTACACATAAACGGAGAGAAAAATCGCTTGCTTTAAAGTTGATAACAATATGGCAGACAGAGAAGTGTATATGGAAATATTTACCTGTTTAGGTGTAAAAAAATGCATACATGTAATATATGTTATGTACTAGCTCATACTCTCTTTAGACAGACAGAAAGCTGCATAAGTAAGTTCATTCAAGAATTGAGCGGATTTGTACTTTTCCCTTACGACGATAATTTATTTGTTAAGTCGATGAATAAATGATAAATATGTAATATGCGAGTATGTATTATGTGTGCAAATACAAACGTATATTTCTGCATGAGCTTCGCCCAGCTGACCACTAAGAGAGCTTTCCCATTCGGTAATATAAACATATGTAGTAGTCTGTAATTGTGCATGCTTAAATGTATATTTTTCCTCGTGAATTTATTCGTTAAATAATTGAGACTAACAACTCGCTATTCGGCATTTTGTGGTATCTCATTTTTCTGGTATTCTGCTTTCCGTTGGCCGATTGACTGATAACTTGTTCGCTTTCTGTTCGACTTTTACCTCTGTGAACTGCTGACGGCTCAGTGTAACTCTGTCGTGTATTGCGTTCGGTCGAAATAATCTTATGGTTGTGCCGTTTATAACCTCCTACATAAGTACATATGTATGTACCACGCAATTAAAAAAAAAAACTAGAAAACCGATAAAAAATAAATAAAAAGTTTATGTTAAAAAAAAAAGAACATAAAGAAAGATTTGAAAGGTTGGTTTCGGGTTGTTATAGTGTTTGTCAATAAATGTGTGTGCATATATACATCCATATATTCTATATTGGTTATAAGGTTTAGCGGTAATGCCTTATTGGTGACGAAAGCAATTAAACGGAGAGCTATTATGTCGACGTAGAAATAAAACAGGTCCACATATTAAATTTGAGAGTTTTATATTATCGCTGATCGTGATATTTGTTGCTGATGTTAATTTTGATAATGTATATACTTACATATACATATGTACTTCTAATCGAGTGTCGAACAGTTCGTTACATTATCTCCGTGGCAAAAGGTTACCCCCAAAAGTGCAACCAATTCTTAGAATATAAGTTCTCCTGGTCGATGTGCGTTGTCTAAAATATACAAAACTTCAAGGCCTTGACGTTTGTCCTCCATTAATCATTTCGCAGTTAAGCACCTCCCCATAGACCAGAAAAAATTACGAAAACAGCAAAACAACTACGAGAAAAGTAAAAAATAGAAATAAAATCAAATACAGCGACTGTGATAAAGCAGAACCGAACATAGTAAATACTGTTTTGTGTATATGTATTTAGTATATGGATAGATAGTTTTTTATATATTCGTATGAATTAAAATGTGTGTATTTCAAGGATGTACTTATGCTGGCTCCTCTACAAAATAAGAAAACCATACATATAAAAAATGTATGTAGGAGTGCCGTTTCTAATTTAAGCTCAAGCTGTAATCATTACTATTTACATACAATACATATTTGCCTCCCTACAAACATACATAGAAAAACAAATTTAGAGGTGAGAGCCCTTTGTTGCTCATACGCCGTGCTTGCCGCGCAGTTACAAATAAATGCTATGTATTACACATTTTTATAGGTACATATGTATGTGCATAACATGTGTGTCCAGACTTGAGTATAACTGTATGCTGTGAGTATTTAAAAAAAAAAAAAAAAAACAACAATTTATTCATATCTTCAAATCTTTATATATGTAGGTACATACGTACATATATGTAGGTATGTTAGTGTGTATAAACAAATATGTATACTCGTATTTATTTTGTATAATATACATATGTATTTATATATTTATTGTGAGTGTGTGATGCTATGTGAGCGAGGGGCATACAATGTCCCAGAGCTTTTTCGAAAGCTCCAAGCACGAGTCTCTTCCATACCTACATACATACACATGTATATGCGTACCAATGTGCATATGTATACATATGTATGTATCTTTTATTACTCACTCTCGTAAAATTTGCTTCTCTTAATTTTTCCACCTTTTCAGTTTGAGTATTTGGATTGTTTTGATTAAAACAACCGCCAATTTATGTTTACAGTAGGATTGCCTAGATAAGTACGGAGATACATTCATATGTATGTATATAGGTACTTAGTTGAATATTTACTATCAAACAATTTACTTATAAACAAATATTCCGCTCAAAAACAGTACAGTACAATTAATATATGAACGTTCATATATATCAATTGTACTATGTGTGTATGTACATATGTATATGTAAATATACAGATATAAAAATTCTGTGAACGTATGCAATAATTTATGAAAAACATTGACTGTGGCCAAGATAATACGTTTTTATAGTTTAGCTTGACTTCTCGTCATTATCGCATAAAATTATTTTTGAGGAAAACGAAGCAGAAAGCGTCACAGTAGAGAATGATAAGCTTAATTATCAAGCGTGGTTATTGGCATGCAAATCTGAAAATTTAATCAAAATCCAATCCTATGTTTTTACTCTCTAACCATTAAGCGTCTTGAAGTTTATCTTACGAATGGAGGGATCTTCAATTAATTCTAAGTCACTTCCGAACAGTTGATGTATTCTTAAGAAGATCTTTGTATTTTATATTAGAATTACACTCGGAGGAATTGGAATTCCCTTTCGAAGGGAAAATTAACTAAAAAAACTACTCGGCTATTGCGGTCGATAAGGACACTGCCACAGCTCCACTATTACACACGGTCGCGAATGTGTTCATACGGATCTTCTTTGATGCTCTGCTCCACAGCGGCAATAGCGTCTTTCGTGCGCACTGTTCATCGTCTGTAAGGATGCCTATTATCCACTAGAGTAAACGTGGTGCTGAACCGATCCGCGCGCATCTATAAAAACGTGACATTTGAAAATTTGGAATATTTTTTTGCTTCAAAGCTTTCCTATTCAAATACTTCTTACACAGAATCTTGATGAAAAAAATATACACGTGAAGTAAATAGAGGAAAAAGAGACCTTGACACTGCCTTAACTCAACGTTGTATTTTCGAATTTTAAAAGAAAGGGGACAAGGAAAGAAAAATCGGGATTTTTTATAGGAAATTAGACAAATATTGAAACTTATGGAAATATACCAAATTAGATTAGCTTTCTAGCTACAATATTTGCTCTTGTGTGTATATATGGTTATTTATTTTATATAAAATTTTTAATAGTTTCAACTGTTAGCTGTTAAAATTCTTTTAAAAGTATTTCTTATGTTTGAAATGTTAGTTAAACCAACACTCGAGCTCCGGCCATTCGATTGGTAGTAGGCCGTGTTAACTACTCGGGTGACCGAATGATTATACATATTCATATATATAAAAGCTTCTAGCTGTTAATTATAAATGGATTTTCACACAAAGTCCATCACGCTGGTTTAAAAAAAAATTATGCTGCTGGAAAAAATTGTGACCAAAGCATTTTCATAAGTGTTCATCTGAACATCACAGCATTGTATTCAACGCAGATACCTAGAACGCAAAACAGTGTCCAATCATTGTAGTTTTGAATTTGCAGATGGAAGTTTCATATTTCGTAACGCATCTCAATAAGGGCGTTCACATAATATTATATATACTCAATATTTAGAAAAATAATGATAATTCTAAAGTTATTGTATGAAGCTAGGTCATAACAAGTTTTCGCTCCCCTTAAAGACGGAACACTGGCCAATAATGAAATGCTAATAAATACAGTTATTCCAGGTTTGTGTTTAACAATTTAACAAAATCTATTTTATTTTCAATTACTACCGCGATATTGGCTTTACTATAATTTTCCAAACAAAAAGACGATCAAAATCTTATTTATAACGGAATGACGTTGAAATCCCTCCTGTAATGCCAGTTCTGTTCATTGATCAAAAACTTTAAGCTCTCCTATTTTTCTAAGATTCTTTCTAAAATTTGGGGACAAAAATTTATAAAAGCAATATCTTTTACTAAGGCAGCGTGTGGAAAAGGGACAATTGCGTACTTACTTCACCTATGCAATATATTATATCATCATGACACAGAATGTGTAAGCTCAACCTCTCATTAATACAATTAAACTATTTCGATTAACATCGATGAAAAATCTGTTTTAACGTTTATTCGAAACTATTTAATCTTAAATTCATACCAACACATATACAAACGTATGTACATGGGCTATAAATTTTGGGAGTGTGTAGTTAAAGTGGCACATACCACATCATCGTTAAAAATACTTATGATTTTAATACTTATACATATACACATATAAACAAATATACCTAAAGTTTGTAAATATTTTGTTTACTCGCATGAGTAGGAGGTAACAAGCAGACAAGTTTTCTGCCAAATCCGACTTAGCTTCCAGTAAACGCCAAAGAAGAAATAATTTTTATTTTAAGAAGCACTTGCAAGCTTGCATTTGTGTGTTAGGTGGTGTGTGTTCTTTTATATTGGATCAACTACTGATTTTTCCCATCACTATGCACATTGTTGTTTTTGTGATATATTTGCATGAAGAAGCAATGGTGTGCATAAATGGAGGACTCTCTCTCCGAGTGCATTTATGGCATGAAAATTAAAAGCTCCTCATCAGTAGTTCGGTGGCGGCTTGGAATAGATTGCAGGTTCCTGAATTTAATCAAGACACTTAACGTCAAGACGCACACCACAAACTGGAGGAGGAGTTCGACCGATTATGGCTTCAGCAATTACGAAACGCTAATTATAGATTTATAAATGGGATATCCTGGATGGCTTTGCATATATATATTATATGTATTATAATATTTCATTTTATATAATTTAATTTTTATTTATTTATTTTTTTTTCAGTTTTATTTTTTGTTTCATATTGTTTCTCTTTTAATTACTTTTATTCTTTTGTATATTATTTTACTTTTGCTCAGCTAAATAAATTTATTTTATTTTATTACATTACTTATGGATGTCTGGAGGCATTTAGAAATTACACGAGGTGATATAATGGATTTGTATGTATTATTTAATTTCTTAAATAAGAATAATTCAGCATTGCTACATTGATTGGACTAGCTTCAAACAAAGCAGCCACTAATTTTTATTTTACGAGCAATTTCATAAACATTTGAGCAGTCTCGTTCCCATTAATACTCGTCGTCTGTACACTTCAAACCTTTAAACGATGTACACATTATACATAAACATGTACATGCATAGTTATATATGTACGAGTATTTATACACTTTTTTGTATATTTGAAAAGTATTCGAATTACCATAAATACTACGATTAATTACAAGAAATCAAACGTCAGCTGGTTATGCACGAAAGCATATTCATCTTGCTGCCTACGAAGAGTTCATAATTGAATGAATGTATGTTAGATATGTACACATGTAGTCTTAATGTTTTTCCAACAAATAGAGAGGGACGACCGCAATTAAAAAATAATAATTTATTTGTTTTTTTTGGATGTTTATCAGACCAGGACTCGAACTATAATCAATCGGCTATTGAGGACAGTGTTATATCAGAGTAATAGTGTGTATATTGTTTTAGCAGCGAATTCGCATATACATAAATATAAAATCTATAAATCTGCCTTCATAATCTCATAAGCGAAGATACAAAATTCTTTTTCAACATATCCATATTTTATTTATAGAAGAACGATTAATGCCAGCCCAATTAATGAAGTACTAATCCAATTAATTAATAACTGTTTACAAAAACAAATTAAATTATAAGACGTATAATATTTGTAGAACATACGTGCATATAATCTTAATATACCCACAAACCTAAATTAAAGAACAAAATTTATTTTCTTTTCGTTTTGTTTGGAGGATACCGAATATCACGCTTTCAAGTGCCGTTTCAAAGGATTAACCAACTAAAACCTCATATCTGAACAAATCGGTTGCATGGGAGCTATTGTATATGAAATAGTCAACCGATCTGACCGGTTCCGGCAAATGTTCAATATATCGCAAGTAAATCGCATAATAAGTTGCGTTCAGACAGACTTCTCATTCCGAGCCGAGTAGTACATTTTGATAGGTCTATCTATTCTCCTTCTGCTACTTATATACTTCGGACCAAAGTTAATATACCATTTCATATGCATGATGTTATGAAGAAAACTGAAAAAACATCAAAAAAAAACCGACGTGACGATCTATTTCGCACACATGTATGTGTGTTTATTTATGTAAGTAAATTTTTTTGCATTAAAGTATTACAATCAAAGGCAAATGTGTTCAAAATCACGAAAATATTGCGTATACGCCATGGAACACAGGACTGCTGAAGGACATGACAATTATTAAATACCTACATGTGTTAACGTTTTCCCGGGCATAGAACCGTTACTGGCTAGCGTTGTTATAACTTGTTTACCATGTTTTTCGCAACTGAATAACTAATGAATTTTTACATACTTATGCAGGTACATATATAATATTTATATGTTTGTATGTGTATACGTATGTACGTTCAACATATGAAAGTTGCGCATAACCCATTTACTTCATTGTTTAAAGAGAGGGCAATTATTATTATGTTTAATAACAATAACAATAACAATAACAAAGGGTGAAAAAGCTCAAAAGCTGAACAAATCAATAATGGCTTCTTACTTGCGTACATACATAAATAGATATGTACGTGTTTGTGTACACAAATAGTCAGTAGTTTTGAAAAATCACCCACAATAAACAAACTGGAACATGTGAAAACGCCAATAAAGAGCACAACAATTTATATAAATTGCGATTATTTGGGGAGCCACAAGAACTCATGCATACATTTGTAAATAAGTACTCGTATGTATGTAACTTCTGCACGGCTACATAGGTTATTATATGTATGTGCAAATTTACATATGTACATGTGTATGTGTGTATAAATGATATTAACCGGTTTAGTGATTTCTTAAAGACGTTGGACGCTTATCGAAACTGGTAACAATTAATACACGCATAAAAACACACAACCAAAAGCAACATCTACACATTCGCATGCACATATGTATGTATGGACATTCGAGAAAAAATTAAAATCATCGAAGCTATAAACATTCTGCAAATTTGTTTATTTACATACAGACTGGGATTTAAAAAAAAATGCATTTTAAATATTTTAGACTTTTACAGACAAAAATACATTTGTATGTTCGTACATGTGTGTACATACACATGTTTATATTATATATTTAAAGTAAAGAGTTAAATTCAAATGGCAAATGAGAAATTATACTTTTTTCTACGTTCTCAAAAAAATCCGGTTTAAACAAAGAGAGCACGTGCCGCGGCAGCTGATTTAATTTTTTGTAAAACTGATATTTGTTTTTGCAAATATTGCGATGAGTTTTCCAATTAGAGGAGAAACCATTGGGACATTTTAATAAACAACTATTTAATGTAATATATACATGAGGTTGCGTTATTATGTTTACGGTAAAAGAAAAACACCCAATCATATTTCTTTTCAGCATATTCGCCTACAACGCGGATAGATTGCCGAAACTAACGCCATGACTTCATAAAAAAATTGAAACATCTGCAGGTCAGCCACGCAACGTGTCGATGGTTTTGCATAGACGTGGGTCTTCCCGGAACCCTTCTTGCGCTGACCTTAATCATGCTAAGAAAAGCGTGTAGGATATTAGAAATGGTTGTATCGGATACTCCGATCATTTCTGTGAGTTGTTTCATCTTTAATCGGCGATCGTCGGGGGCAATTTTTTTAAGTTTTTGGATAAGCTCGTACGTAGTCACTTCGAAACTCCTGTCACATCTGTCGCACGATATTCGATTTTTTCCAAACTTCACTTTTCACTCCCGGTTATGTTGTTGGGTGGGCGTTAGCTCAAAGATTCGCAGTTATACTAATCATAGGTCACAGGATGTCCCGCTCATTGCAAAGCTTAAGACACTCCCAATGACTTCTATCAAAAATGCACTGTTAATTTCGCCCATTGTTTTGCCTCTTAGTAAAACTACAACCCGACGGCATGTCTTACATCTTGTTTGGACAGATATCAAATATACGTACATGATTTCGTAACAAAAAGTGGTTTTTGCGTGAAACACATCGAAAATATGTTTTGCATTTTGTTCGATAAATTTATCATTGCAAAGGGTATGAGACTCAAATAAATTTAAATTGGAAACACGAAATACTATACTATCCACCTGAAACAAAAAGTTGTATAATCTTTTCTTCTGCTTTTAATGTGATGTATTTCGGTTTTATAAAACGTATATATGCACAACTCCGTAGGATGTAGTAACTTGCTTTTTTTCAGTTTTCTAATGTAAATGTAAACAAAAACTCTTAGTAAAAGTGCCAACGTAAGCACCGGAAGTCGGTGCGAATTCCCTTGTAAGCACAGTCCACAAAACTTCTTTCAAAGTGTTTTCGATGTCGGCACGAAGAAGGCATTAGTCTACCGTTCTAAAATATTCGAGTAAACCAGCAATAATACTTCGTTGACGTTTTGCAGAATATAATCAAGCTTTGAATTATTTATAGAGTACCCATCCCAGCAGACTCAGGGGAAAATCTTCAGCAAAAGGAGATTTATACTCCATCAATACCACTATCGAAATTATTTTAATTATTTTATGAAGTTTGTAAAAGTAATATTTTTAACACATACATTAATATTTGACATATGCACATACTAAATAAATATCAAAATATAATATTACATGGGGTTTGAAAAGCGCTTCCTATCAGTTTAACCCATTTGAGTCCTATCGACACCAATGGTACAACAGCAAAGAGTGCTTTGATAGTGTATGTGTGTATGTATTTATGTGAAAATTTGTATTGTGTACGGGCTCCTTACCCCTTCGGTGAGAACACCGAACACTTAACGACGTAGCTTGCTTACCCACTTTTCGTCCGACGTCCCTCCATACCGCGACCCCTGCTGTCACTTAAAGATTACGCAATATGAATATCAATATCAGCTCTCCTCCCAAAATGTTCGATCGATTATTTTCGAGTGCTCCGACCTCTTCTTACCTGCCTAGAACCATCGTAAAACGTTACAGTCTACAGTTACAAGTCTCTCAAACTTCAAGTCACAGATTAAAAGTAGAGAAGTTTTTTTTCCATATCTATTATTCTAGACACACTTTAAGGTCGTGTTATTATTAATGGCGCCATTCTACTTTAATTAAGATGCGAATCAGCCGATATGTATTACTTATTTGTTATTCGCTAGAGAGATTTGATTTCCAGTAATCCAAAGGTCATGATCGTACAGGCAGAAAAGTGAAGAGTTTAATACTCGTCTGATCGACGATTGATTAAGTTGCTAATAATTAACTGCCATTGTAACTCGTTCAGTATTAATTTATGTATGTGTGTATTAAGATTTACGAATATAGATATGTATGTAACATACGAATTGGCATGCATTTAAATAATATTATGTGTGAACAAGTGTGTTTTAAATAATTTAATCCTATGTACTCGTACATGTTCTTCCTATGCATGTACTTACATATGTATATGTATATGCATAAATACTAATATACTTGTATACCAAATATACTTTCTCATGGTCTAGACTAAAATTCTGCCAAATAATCTTCAATTTGTGGGATTAGTTTTGTATGTTTAAAAGTATTTAACAGTTATGGTATAGGTCAAGTCAGTGCCTGAACGTAGGTAACCTTAGTGTTAGTGTAGCTGTGTACATTTACATATGTTATGTACATATATAATATAATATTAGCAGAAAATGTTAGGTTAGAATTTCTTTTAAGCGACGTAAACAACTGTTCCTTGCCCAGAAAGTGTTTTATCAGCTTTTAAAAAATAATTCTATCATAAATTAAAAAAAAATTAATAAAAATGAAAAATGAAACAAATAACATTTAAATAAATGGTGTCAAAGGGCTTTTTCTGAATTTTCTTCAACTTTTAACACTTTTTGTTTGAAAATAAAATAATCTAAAATTTCAAAATATTTTTAACATCATTATCTAAAAAAATACAATACAATATATATATGTATAATATGTAAGTATACGAGAAGAGATAAAGAACACCTGGAATGCGGATCATTCACACCAAATCGGATTGGTGTCCGGCCAAACTAGACAAATACGAAAAAAATCCAGGAAGCGGAACAAATCCGGAAAACCGATCCAGGTTTACTTCAAATTGGCTTTCGCTTAGTTAACGTGAAAAAAAGTTTACCCCCTAGAAAAGGGACCACCGACCGATCTTTTTGTAAAAATTATAATTAAAATTATGTTTAAAACCAAAATAAAAGTAAAAATATAATAGCCCATTAATTAGAAATGGGCTGCTAGCTCAATGTTGATCTTCACAAGTGTACTAAGTCCCTTCACTTGCGGGTTTGACTTATTGCGGAGACCAAAGGGTTCGGTTGATGGTACAGTTTTGCTTTGCACTTTTTTGTAACAATTTCGATCTCCTCCTTGACTGTGCGTATGTTTAGATATTTTCATTACGCATGTAGCGTGGGCGCCTGATATTATTCTCAGTGTTTTCGACTGAAATCTTTGTATTATATCTAAGTTTATAGCGCAAGCTGTACCCCATAACTGGATTCCATACGTCCACTTCGGTTTTATAGTCCCCTTATAAAGGCGGACTCTGTTTTCAAGGCTGAGCCCAGATTTCTTGCTCAAAAGCCAATATAAACTGGAAATTTTAAGCTTCAGCTGGATCTTATCTGTTGCATATGAGCTTGACGATGGGCCTTAATTTCATTAAACATTATGCTCCAGTGTGCTAGCCATTCCTCAATTAGTTCAAGGTGTTGCTCTAGCACTTTTGTGGTTGTATTGGGGCATTTGTCTTATCACTTGTAGGAATATCTGCGGTGAACAAAATATACAATATTGGTTCAAGAACACTACCTGGCGGAAAACCTCCAGTGATTGGATACTCTGCTGTTATGTAATCATTTACTTTTACAGTGAATCGGCTGTTGGCTTAATACGATTCAAGGAGATTGTGGAATGAGTTAGGCAATGAAATTTTATTTTTATAAATGGCATAATCATGCCACACTCTGTAAAATGCTTGCCCCACAAATTCGAAAGCTTCCCTTGTTTAATTTTTTATACAATTTATTTGTTCAATTGGCAATAGGCTGATTGGTCTATATGATTAAGGCAGGGTTGTGTCTACTTGGTTTAGCTATCATAATTATATGAGACTTTTTCCATTTTTGGTGAGATATGATCCTTTGCTGGAAATTTTTTTGGATTTAAATAAATATTTGATAAACATAAATGTAAATATTACACCTGTTTCTAGGCCGCGGTAGGCGAGTGGTTAATATAGCGTACTGCCATTCGAAAGGACCGAGTTCAAATTCTGGTGCGACTAACATCCAAAAGTTATAGGTAATTATTTTAAATAAAAAATTAAGTTAAATCTTCTAATTGTATGTCTGACAAGAAATAAAGGCTCCTCATAAAAAACCATCAGCCGTCCGGAGACGGCTTAGTGTATACTGTAGGCAAACAACCATAAATTGGAGGACGAGCTCGGCCGAAAATCGCTTCAGCGGTTACAAAGTGCCAATTATATATATATTCATATACATTATATAATCGTAATCAACCACAACCTCCAAAGTGCGTGGCATTCGCAAAGTAAATGCCCTAAGATTTGGGGTTCCTCTTATTTTCTGCAACTTCTGCAACTACTTGTTAGATGGTACGCCCTACTTCTCTGCGAGCCTGCCCTGTAAGAAAACTTATATCTAGCTGGATTAATAATATAATTGCATTAGTTGATGCTTTGTTTGGACCACTTCAATTTATGCTGTATTTCGGGAAGTTATTTCTGTGCAAGAAGCTTTTTTTTCAGACCACAAATACACTCGGCGTATTGATATTTTTTATTGTGGGGCGGTAGAATGAAAGAACAACTTTTATACATGTTGGCCTTGCTCGGAACTGAACCTATGATTCAGTAGTCACAAAAGAAACTATAACTATCAACTATTTGTTTAGCTTATATGTACATATATAGATACATATGCATTTACATAGAAATATATGTATATGAATAATATATTCTTTGTCGTCTTTACAGGTTGTTAGAATATACCACTATGCTTCACCTTTTTCGTGTAAACTGAACACGTTTAAATACTCGCCAAAATGAGCGCACCAAGCAACGCAAGCAGCGAGACTGTCACTTCTGAAGAAGACTCCAAATTAAACATTCCGCTTAGCTTCGAGGAAATACAGGAAGGATCATTAACAATTCGATCGTGCGAAAGCAAATCTCACGACAATACAACCTTTGAAAATGTGGATACTGATAACGCCAACCCCAGTAATTTCAACTGTGAACTCTGGAATAATAGTGAAGGCTTTATCGATGAAAATTTACCCAATTTAAATGCTACAGAGTATGATGCCACCACAGTAATGGAAGCACTAGTGGATGATGTCGAAAAGAAATCTTGTGAACTGGAAACTGCTAACATGTCCTTAAATTCATTTCAAACAGAGATGAATAGTTCAAGCTTATTTAAACAAAATAATTCAATGCCAGATGTAGATAATGCAGCAACAATTTCTAGTGGAACACATCCGGCCTCAAACAGACTTCCTACCCCGAATATGTATAATGACAGTGTCGTCGTCGAAGAAGATATAAAATATTCACCAGACGAAATCATGCTACAATCGCCGTCCACATTTCAGTACAATTATAATTCAACGCTCCTCCCAACATCATCACATCGGACTCCGCCATATGGTCATCCCTTGTCGCCGATGCATCATGTAATGGACCCGCCTAACTTTCCACGCCCACACCTGCAGCCGCCACAAACACATGCGCAACCGTTATATGGGCAATTTGCACATCCATCGGGATATCATCCAAATATGTGGTATCCAAATGCACCGTACGGCTCAGCAACAGGCTATTGTCGACCTTATGGTGGTAATCGGTATCCCAATTATGGGACCTATCCCAACGACCCTATGTTGGATATGTTGCAGCTCTCCAACAGGTGACTACACTTATTTAGAAGAATAAATTATCACAAACATCAGTGACAGAGCCAACGCTTATCCGATTTTACCCTAATCAACTTCAACCTTCGTTGAAAAAACTAGGTGAACCCAGTTCGCTCTACACTTGATCCTTACAACGGTGTGGAGGTCTTCCTAATTCCTAAATATTTTAAAAGCCGTAGTGCTTTCATCCATTCAGACGACCCAACTAGCGTAGCCACTGTATTTTGATCCGATACATTATTGTACGACAAACTGCCCATTTATCTCGTACTGCTCATCATTCCACCGTCTGCAGGTACGCAAAGGATCCTAAATCTTCCGCTAAAATGTTCTCTCGAAAACTTCCATATCCGACTCATCGGATGCAGACAACGTTCACACTTCAGCACCGTATAACAGGCCGGGAATAATGAGTGACTTGCAGAGTTTGGTTTTGGTTTGGACTTTACTTCTTAATTTTCTAGATTGTCTTACCATATTATTTTCTCAAAAAAAAAAAAAAAAAATCACGAAAAGAAGTCATCGTGAAACAGGAAACTGTCTACATAACTGCAATCCGGACCCCAGTGAAACCGATCAGCCTCTTGGGCAGAATTTCCCAACTCAACTTTTGTGAAAAAAATATCATCCTCCTCTGCTCTGCCGTTGAAATCGGCTAGCATGACATGAAGGCGGGGCAGCCTACATAGATAACGTCTTCAATTCAATAAGAAAATAAGTTTGAGCCGTGCGAAATGAACATGTCGCATTGAAATATAATATATACTCGTATAATATCATCGATATAAAAAGTCTTTTATTTAGCAATATTACGTTTTGAGTACCAATCTTTGTCCCAGTTGTCCTAAGAATGCTTAAAACTATGAGTATCATCATTTGTGATGAAAACATCCAGCTGCACACCACAAACTGCAGAAGAAGCACTTTTGAAAATCACATAGCTGCTATATGCCGTAGCAAGTTATACGCAGTACTTACACGTATATACATATGCCAGATTGTTTTATAGTTTATATTTTTATCACGTGCTGAAGCCACTTATACATACATATGTGTGTATCAAGAGTGGAAAGCGTTTGCAGCCCTCCTTGCACGAGCTTAAACGCGGCCAACCCACACATTCAACGCAGCAGGATACTGATGAACCGCATAAGATTTTCCTTTGCAAGACATGTGGAATCCCCATTATGGCCAACCGGGAACACTTTTAATGCGGACTCAATTATCCACCATTGAAAATGATAATTGCACAAATTTCTTTTTATAGATTCTATTCAGGTTAATCTTATCAGCGGAGCTGCGTTTGTTTACAGAAAATTTGCAATTTAACTTTGCCATTGTTAAGATCTATACATATGTATGCAAGTGTGCATGTGTCTACCAGCAGACATATATACAAGTATATACGACGAGTACATTAAATGGTGTTCCAAAAAAGATGTAACATCTCGGTTATATTATGTAAGAGTGAAAGTTTAATTGCAAGGCTTAAAATAGTTTAAAATTTTATGAAAATATTTTATTTATAGTTTCATAAATGACTTGCAAGCACCAAATTTAAGGAAAGGAAGTTTTCGAGAAGAAATTTTTGTCGAAGATTTTGGTCCTTTGCGTATGAGCTGCACAAGATATGCGGCAACATTGACATTGATAAATAAAGAAATATCCACACGAGTATATACGATAGTGAGAAAGAAAAAGATGAGTATGCCGTGAGCTATTACGAGAGGAGCTAACCGTCAAAGAGAATTTAGGATGAGAGTGATGTGGATAATTAATTGCTAAATTAGGAACTAATTTCCTATATTGTTGTCTAGAAGTCGTATACGAGTAAGCTTCTATAGGGGTTAAATTGCTAAATATATCATAATACCTTTAGCACCCTATTTTATTTCGTATGAGAAAATGCTAAATTAATGCAACTTGTCATTCCAAATCGTAATTGAAATATATTCGTACATGCTTGCATACATATTTTCTTATTATTTTCGGTCTCACATTAAATAAAGCCCTTGAACTGTAAAATGCATGTGTCTTTCAGTGGCCGTGAAGCGAGAAATCGTGCAGAGAAAAATAGACGTGACAAATTAAATGGATCCATTCAGGAGCTGTCTACGATGGTGCCACATGTTGCAGAATCTCCCAGGCGTGTTGATAAGACTGCTGTATTACGGTTTGCGGCTCATGGTTTGCGACTACAGTACAGTGAGTGCTACTCAAAGTTATCACCTCTATGATCATGATTCCTAAATTTCCTTTTAATTGCAGTATTTGGAGGGAGCAATAATAATTCACACTCCGAATACACGGATTCATTAATGAAAATGTTGGATAGGTTTTTTATAGCGCTAACATGCCATGGGCAGATTGTGTTGATTTCATCAAGCGTTGAAAAGCATTTGGGCCATTGTCAGGTATAAATAAATTGAGCCCAGTGGATAGTTTTTATTTTTAAAAGTTTGTTATTATATTTCCAGACTGATTTGTATGGACAAAATATTTTAAATATTACACATCCGGAGGATCACAATGTAATGAAACAACAGTTGATACCTTCCGATCTCGATGAGCTTCTCGGCTTAACGGTCGATGACGATGATTCAAGTGAAGCCAGGACTCGAACACCAGAGCAGGAGGAATACATCGACAGACGCTTGCGTTCGGACAGACGGAGTTTTACTGTTAGGTAATTTTAAATCCGAACATACTTTAGCCCTCCCAACGTGCACGTATGAAATGCGCTACACATTCGCTTTCGTTTTATATATTTTTCCATTTTTACAGATTGGCTCGTGCTGGTCCCCGCTCAGAGCCCACTGCATATGAAATAGTCAGGATAGAAGGAAACTTCAGACGAAGCGATGCTGCACCGCGCGGCGCGAAAGTAAACACGCATCCTTCCAATATACATATGATACGTCGTTCACGTGGCCGCGACGATACGATGCCGTTCCATGCAATTAGTGGCAACGACATTGTAAGTAAATACCTCCAAATACATATACACACATACAAAGGTGGACTGCTTCCGTTTCTTTTTTTTTGTTACAAACGTTTTAATTAATTTAAAGAAATACATTTCACGACGATAAGCTCAGGTTTCTCCGTATAGCCAGTAATATAGAAATTGAATAATATTTTAAAAATTCGTATTTATAGTACTTTAAAATAGCAAATTTAGCTTTTGATTATGGGTAAAGTGGTTCATTAATAATTCTATACATTACCTACCAAATACATATTCCACACTACTATGATTGCCGTGATCGACATCGCCGTCGTTTCCAGTCACCATCACATCGTGTCGACGTCGATATCATACCGACGCAAAGTTCCTATTGCCGAGAAATTTTAGAACGGCTCCCACAGTTTATTCATAAAATAAATGTCATTTGACATTTCTGCGTCGTCTTGTTCTCAAATCAAATTGATAAAATCGTACGAAAAAGGGTCATCCGGTCTGAAACCTCGTTTAGTACTGACGGCTCGGAGAGCTGCTTCCAAATTCTAACTGTGCTTCTGATGTTAGGCAGCGTCAGCTCTAGCAGCTCCTTTTCGTGCTGCCGGAGGCTATCCGGATATAAGATATCTAGTCAATGGTTGACTTACCAGGTCTAAAGCCACACTGATAAGGTCCAATCAGCTTGTCAACGATGGACTTTAGTCTTTCACACAATACGCTTGATAGAACCTTAGATGTGATATTAAGTTGGCTTATTCCACGTTATCGCTTTTTCATTGTAGTTTTTTTTCATGTGGTGGGTCCCAAGCCCTACGCACAAACGCATTAGATTCACTTTGTTTGTTAGCCACGCAGAGGATACTTGGTATAAGACCGGAAGTCGTGAGCTGCTTAAGCCATATGCAAAAGAACCGTTTCTGACCACTTCCAGATAATTGGCAGCCAAAAATTTTCCTCACTTGCTTTTGGAGGAAATGGCACTTAATTTTTCATTAATTGGCTCCTATTGAAACTTAAAGTCAGTCCAAATCTTAAACGAAACTTAAAAAAGATCTAGTGATATAGTAAGAAAAATATATGAAAAGATGATTCGGTGTAATGCAAATATTGTCGATAAAAGCTGGCAAAGTGGGACAACTATACCACCGCATAACCAATAGAGATGTAGAATCGCAATTATTAATGCTATTTCTAAATGATTTAGATATGCTTCGCCTTCGAAATAAGATAGAAATTGAAATAGAAGGAGTAAACAATATCAGAAAAATGATAAGTCTTCAGTCCATCTCTAAACTCAAAAACTATTTAGAATTCTATGTACATATTTAGTGATAATTTTGGGTTTTTATACAGTAGCTTCTATTAAATAAAATATTTTTTAAGTTAATTATTTGGTGGTTCTTATGGACCTTTGTAATCATTTCAATTCAATGGGACTTACCACAATTGACCAAATATTACTTTTATTTAAGGTTCTGATTGCTACAGCGCGTATAATTCGGCCGCCAAAGTTTGTTAATAGCATATGCAATTCATTAGAATATAGGACCCGGCATTTAATCGATGGTAGAATTCTTGAGTGCGATCAAAAGATTGGCCTTGTTGCCGGTTATATGGCGGGAGAAGTGCGGGGAACGAGTCCATTCACATTTATACATGACGATGATATGCCTTATGTAATTGTAGCTCTGCGGCAAAGTAAGTACACTAACAATGTGAACATAATTTTGTAATTTCGTACTAAAGCAATTAAATGCCTTATATCAGTGTATGATGACGGAAGAACAACTGGAGAATCCACGTATAGACTTTCAACCAATACTGGACAATATATTTACTTGCGATCAAAAGGTTTCCTAGATGTCGACGAAACGAATAATGTGGTGCATTCCTTCCTTTGCGTAAACACGCTACTAGATGAGGAGGAAGGAAAACGAAAACTAGCACAAATGAGAAGAGATTACGGACCACGAGTTTCAAAGGAATTTCCACACCTTGCTCTGAAGAGCCCCGACGCACACGATCCGCAAGAACTAGAAAATGCCGTATTTCGCCTCGTAGAAAATTTGCAAAAGCCATCTGCTGAATATGACGAAGACGATGGAGACTCATCAACAGAGAGCTATAGCAGCGAATATGTACCACCATCCGAAGAAGAAATACGACGTTGCTCAGCTCATTTCTTCAAAAATTCATACTCCACAGTTCATGCTGCGGGCTATCGTTTTGGAAAATCGTCCAAAACTCCACCACTTGCGCTTGTGCCACCCGAAGCGTGTTCGATCAGAACTTCGATAAACAGAAGTATAAACGTTGTTAATACCACTGCAGTCAAAAATTTAAGTAATGAGCAAATAAATACGTCAAATGCGGTTAACTGTCAGCCGGCCACGAATCAGCATGCTTCGCCTGTAGAGATCGACGGTTTGACTACGAGCAGTGAGAGTTGTTTGTGCCAAGGTAAGAGCACAGATTACTGCAACTATTGCCTAAAACTCAATAGCCAATCATCGCACTCACTAAGTAATAAGCGGAGCGGTGAATCGATGGATAGTCAAGAATTGAAGTTGCCTAAAAGACGTCTAAAAAGCGCAGGTAACATCCACATATTTTATTGTTATGCCTTTCATGAACATGAAATGAGCAGAGCTGATTTAACCACATTCGTCTGCTTCTCTGCTTATCGGCATCAAACCAAAAAAATTTCGTTTACAATTTTGTTTCAATACTTTGAGTCCTGCCTTTTCTTTTCACATGGAAAAGTCCTTTAAGAATATCGTTTCAATTTAAAATATTGTATGTGTATGTGTGTACTATCATGCGGAGGATCAGGACAACGAGTTTAATTTAAATTAACTTATCTAATTGGGATCACCCCGGCATGGAATTTCAACCCTCCCGAGTGAATTTCTGACATGAAATAAAATCATTTTCATAAATATCCATCAGCAGGCAGAAAAAACAATAAGACATATACCTCAAGTCGGTCGGAAGTTGTTTCAGCAGTTATAAATCGCTAGTTATATAACTATATTTACATATGTGCGTGTATATGTTAGCTCTCGTTCATGAAAGGTATAAATACTTCGGAATAATAGACGGAACTCTTTTTTGTTTCAAAATCTTAATTATATTACATTGAATATACATTTCTGTTAAACTTGTAGAAATTGAGCATGTCCTTTCGGATTCTTTGGACCAATTGGGGAGAACTCTGGATAAACAGCTAAGTGCGGCAAAAGAGTTACGTGACAAGAGTACTAAATACGAGGTGCCTAACTCAAATCAAAGGCTTGACGAGTTAATGGTAGGTTGTTGCAATATCATTCAAGAGTAATCTGTCAGGTATTGTCCTATAATAATACAAAAATTACGGTTTTTATCATTTACAAAAAAAAAAATCCGCAATTATTTTTCATTTTAACATAATCTACACTGCCAGTGTTGCTTCAAGTGGCTAATGTAGATTGCTTTAATGGTCAAAACCGGGCTTTGAAAGCTGTCGATAGCAAAACGTAAAACAGCACAGGAACAGGTGTGCTAAAAATCAGTTTCAAGAAAACTCAAATCTTAGATTTAGACTTATTTTAGTAGCCTTAAATTTCACGATACAACTTTTTACTAAGCTTTAATTCAGTCATGAATTCACATCTTTTTTATTGCGTAATAATTTCACTTTCCTTATTTGACGCAAATATGAATATTAACGCTTCAATACTGCGGGAATATACTGGTACATACGTGTGTGCAGAATTTTCAAATTTTGTGAAAAACTGCAATTGTGTTAACAGGTTTCTGCATTTATCTTCAGCTCATTTAGTGCAACTATGCAGAAATATATTCACTGGCGAAAAGTAATATTGAAAGAGTGAAAGATGGAAATTGAAACTCCACTCTGTTCTATGTGACATATTTTATGCTCCTCCATATATTTTATTTTATCTTCGGAAGACCAAACTTAAAGTCCTGGCTCGAGCAATATCTAAAATTATCGAAAATTCACCATCATACAAATTCATCGGTCATTCGGAGACGGCTTAGAATAAGCAGGTCCCTCCAATTATTGGAAAAATATGAAAAACATTAAAATGCACACCACGAATTGGAAGAAGAGTAGATCTGAATATACAAAGTGCCAAAATTTTTACTAAAAATATAGTATACACAATTGAATTTTTTTTTTATCGCTTAACATGTGTACAAATTTCAACAAATTTAATATAACTAGAATTTATTCTAATAAATATAATATTACATTCATAAAAGATTTATAAATATTTATGAATGAATTGTTGAACATTTTAAATTTCGTGATTTTACCTACTACTCGTTTCGCTTCAGGAGGAACACCAAATGCAGAGCCAAATTTATGTTGACATCAAAAGTGAATATGAGGTCCAAAAGCAGAACAACTCCATCGATACCAACACAACGATGCACACAATGCATGGCAATCAACGCCAGCAGCAACAATTCAGTGCCGATGAAAATGATAATTAAATTATGTAGAAAAGTGAAATTATCCACTGGAAACAAAATGGTGAAAGCCAGCATAAGTAGAAATGGCCACATAAAACCGAGCCAATGAAAATATACATATAATACATATGTATATATATATATATGTTTATTTGTATGTATACACTTACTGCATATATTTGTATTTATACACATTTGTATGCATAACTGAAGGTTTCGCGCATTACATACTGTCAAAGCAATTTGTAGTGAAACAAATTTCCACTGCAAGGATCTTGACAGGAGTGATGCTCCCTTAAATTAAGCCTCACGCTCAAATTTTCCAAAGGCATGTAGGAAGGTCGGTCGGCAATTGCCAACTACCTCATTTATATTGAAATACTTAAAAAAATGTACATTCATACCTGCATATGTATATTTTAATAAATAGAGAAATTATTATGTATTTATGTATGTATGTATTGTATAGATACATACATTATAGTTACACATATGTATATAGGTGCCATATTGACTGTGCTTATTGCGTGTCCGACGATGGCGTATGAGTGACTTTTAGTTTTGCTGTTAGAATAAATTTATGTCCATACACATATGTACATACACGCACCTACATACACATTATAATGCATTTATAACCACAAACTGGATATTTCTGAAATATGTGCAAAGGCATATGTTGTACGAGTATATGTATGTATTGTATATGTATATATACGAGTATGTATATATGAAATACAATACATAAATGAGAAAGGTGATTAATCAAAGTTGTTTCATGCAGCAATACGTAGTATGTATACATACATACATACATACATACATACATATACATATATATGTATATGTATGTATGTATGTATGCATGCAAGTAAATTTTACTGTTAAAAGAAATTTATTTCATAAATTAAAATTATGCGAAAAGTTTACATACATACATACTTGCATAGGTTTTAATAATTAGTTAATAATCAGAGACACTGAATTTTACGAGAAACACAATGAATACATATTATATACAATTTAATTTACACAACAACAATAGAGTAATATAGAATTAAATTTCAAGTCGTAAACACAATTAATCTCAAACAATTGTGAATATGTAAAATTCTATGTGCAATTGCAATGTTTCTACATGTTTACAATAAGACATATGAATGTATACAAAATATATATTTGTGTAAAAGTGTTCAAATTCGCTTTTACTACCTATACATATACCTATACGTTTTATGTACGTATGTATGTATGTGCCCATTGTTATAAAATTTCTTTAGTACTAATTATATTATCATATGAAAATATTCATTAATTGCGACAACGAAACAATGTTGTATGTATTTATAGCATAAATATATAGTAATACGTGAAAAAGACTGTTCAAACTACAAATAAATTAATTAATTAAATTTCTACAATATAATAAATATAATAAATTGATGTGTGCAATTGATTGTGTGACTGATAAAATGATAATATGCTGCAAGCCACCACACATACATACGCACATCACCGATTCAATGCAAACGTATGCAGGATACCAACTACATATGTACATATGTACATATGTACAAGTATACTCATTCTAATTAAATAATTTTACTTGTTAACAATTTAACACAAGTAATTTAGTTGTTGTACACGTATGTATGTGTACATGCATGTGAGCGAATGTAGGTGTGGGCTTGTGTAAGTACATATAGTATATATAGTATGTACCTATATATGTATGTACTTATGTACATACAAAATTATGAGAAGTGATCTTCAAAAAAGGAAACTTAATGTTATATTGAATGTTGAATGTTTCGCATTTGTTTTAAACTTAGAAATTGCAACTGTAAACTCTTTGTTACTATTTACACACCCACATGGATATAACTTAATCGCATATGTACGGTTTACTGTAGATTAACAAATGCAACAGGAAATATTGTTTAAAATAAATATTTCAGGCGAAAAGTGCCAATGTTGTTTAATTTTCTTGTGGATAGCGTTCCTCGCGCCGTCCTTAATGGGGTTTTTAGACACGTGTAGGAGTAAATCAAACTTCATTTGCTAATGTCGCCGGGCAAAAACGGATAAAACCGAAAAGAAATTTATTTTGATAACTATATATATATATATACTTGGCGCTTTGTAACCTCTAAAGCGCTTTTCCGCCGAGTTCATTCTCCAATTTGTGGTTTTCCGTCTTGATGTTTTTCCGACAAATGGGGGGACCTACAGTTTATACTAAGCAGCCTCCGAACGGTTGAAGGTTTTTTTAAGAGGAGCCTTGTTTTATTTCAGATAAATATAATTTTTTATTTAGATTAATTTCCTATAACTTTTGGATGTTGATCGCACGGGGATTTGAACCCGAGCCTTCCGAATAGCAGTACGCAAACCATACCTAACCACTCGGCCACAGCGACCGCCATAATTACTTTAACTTTAATATTAACAAATGATTCAACCGAAACGAAAGAAATTTTTCTACTAACGTGGAGTTTGTCGTTACGATGCAGCCTTGATAAAAATTACCAGAAAATTCTATTACAGGCAGTAACGAGTTGTCCTGTCGATCTGTTTGTTGCAGAGCGGTGTAGTCAATTATTAGTTCTGTTCGGCGACTAGATGGGCAGTAGCAATTTTTATTGAACTTTACTGAGTTGTGTTCGTTGATTCAAAAAGCCAGTAAAATTAGTATTGAGATAGTGCAATTTTGACGTTTACATGCCTATTCTCACTGTTAGCGTCAGCTGTTTTCATCTGATCTAAACAGGTTGAATTTATTTTCGTCAACAAAAACTACGGTGTCCTAGAAACTTTCATCTATATATAAATAGTCCTTTGAAAACTTCAGCCTTCCACTTTGAACAGCTCGGAGAAGTCCTTCCCGATACTGACTGAGTTTTTAGTGTTGTTTAACATCAGTTTACATAGCCATATAAGTTTTGCGGGGTTACCTAAATTCAGACATAGCGGTGGTGCGTGTCGATCGTCTTTTCACGGGATCTTTTCCAAGATTTGGCGCATGGTGAATATCTGGCCAATGGTTCGGCTTTCTCCAGACGAGAAGAAGAGACACGAATGGATCTGGTAGCGAATGAGGGCAAGACGAAATACCTCCTGTCATTAAACAAGTAGTCATTGCATTCTCGACTCGTCTCCTACGTTACTGATGACATTCATAACTTGGAGGTCGTAGATAATTTCGTCTATCTAGGGACCAGCACCAACACCAATAATAACGTTTGCTTTGAAATCCAACACAGAATCACTCCTGCCAACAGGTGCTACTTTGGACTGAGTAGGCAATTGGAAAGTAAAGTCCTCCCTCGGCGAACAAAAACCAAATTCTACAAGTCGCTAATCATACTCGTCCTACTATATGGCGCAACATCTGATGCGGTTCTAGGAGTCTTCGAGAGGAAAATATCGCGAAAGGTTTATGGCTCTTTGCGCACATTCAACGGCGAATAACGAAGACGATGGAACGATGAGCTGTACGAGATATACGGCGACATTGAAATAGTTCAGCGAATCAAGAAACAGCGGCTACGCTAGTTAGGTCATTTCGTCCGAATGGATGAAAGCATTCCAGCTTTAAAAGTTTTCGATGCACCCGCTGGTGGAAACAGTGGACCCGTTGGAAGGATTAGGTGAAGAGTGACTTGGTCTCATTTCGAATTTCCAATTGGCGCCAGCCAGCGAAGAAAAAGTATGACCTCCCCTAATTCCCCTCCCCACATATTTTACAAAACCTGACACACTCTCGCAAAACGGATCCCATTTAACGACTTATCTGCTGCGAAAAAAGCGATAAAAAATGGCGTTCTACTCGAAAACAAGAACAAAGAAAATCGAGAAAATCAGATAATCCGTTCAACTGCATTCTTCTTCAATTTGTATGTACTCAGAAGAGAAAGATAATCAAAAAAATGTGCATATGTGTTAGGGCTGCCCGAAATCGTGTGAGTGTATTGGTGATCCCATCAGCCTGTTCTTGCAGGGTAGTTTTCACTTAGTCAATTTTACCCAGAACGAAATTGCTACTTTCTCTCCATCTAAACGTCGAAATAGCGCCCTCTCCTTACCAATTTTTACTGAGTTTTTGGTTTAGCAAACACGATCCAGTAAAGTTTGGTAAAAATTGTTACAGCCTATCTTATCAACAAACAAAACTTGTATATACATATATCACGCTTCGATTTGTCAGCTGTTTATTTGTTTTGACAACTGATGTTTTCTGGTTGCATGATATCGGTAATGTTATCGGTTTGATGTCAATTTGTGTCCAAGTGAATATCCATTTCTTACTGTTTCTTTTCGGAAAGCATTTTGCTGTTTAAATCGTGGTATTAGAGTGGTATTCCTTCAATTCTTAGATGGATACAATTCCCACCTGTCGAGTATGCTTGAAGACTTCATTATCTTATATAGATTTAGAGACGCTTTTTGAAAACGAAGATACCAACATCCCTATGGACGCTGGCCGCAATGTACTAATAACATACATGGATTGCTTTCGAAGTTGTACACATTTAAAACCATCTGATCGAGAAACGGAAATGCCACAAAACCTTTGCGAGCAATGTGCATTTGAGTTGGGAGTCGCTTGGAATTTTATACAAAGGGCTACACAATCAGATAAAGTTTTGAAAAATGCTTTGGTGAAAGTTATGCCATACACAGAGCCAATACTTCTAGACAACGGAAAATGTCATATTGATATTGAAGTAGAGGATATCAATGAAAGTTACCGTTCAGATGAAGAAATTAAAAAAGAGGTAAGTTAGTTATTTAATTAAGATATGCCTAAATGACGATTCCACCGCCTTTCGGTTTTACCTGTAATCTAAGTCAAATGTATTAACAATTTGCTCTATAGGCTTCAAAGGAAATCGGAAACAATTTGAACGTTTACTCAACCGTACACAATTTACAAAACAGAGGTAATGAGAGAAACTATGTTGACAATATTAAAAAATAGTTTAGCTTCTTATATATGTATGTATATGTTAATATGTAGCCGATATGAAATCTTTAAATGCATTTACAAAATCTTGAACAAATTTACACGCAGACTCCGATTATTTCGTGAATATGGAAGACCATCTGAATACAACCTCAAATTCTGATATTTCTCAAAGCATTGTGAACGAGGAAAGATCCACAAATTCATCAGTGCAAAGTATTTCATCACCAAACAAAATAGAGGCGGAAGAATATTATATTGTGGAATTAATAGACATAGCGGAGAATAGTGAACATAAAACAGATAGCGATCCCACAGAATTTGGCAACGATGTTGATGAGAATGCAACCGAAGATAATGACGCCAACGTTACTACTAGTAATGAAATAAAGGGTAATATTTTCTATGCAGAGGTCGTAAAAGGGAAAGAGCGTTACATAATGTCAAGTCTTTAAAATTTATTGATAAACATGAATAAGAAACGGTTGAAAATAGCTAAAGGGATTGTAAAAATTAAAAGAATAAGTTCTTTAAGAAGTTTGTGTATACATATATATATAATTGGCGCTTTGTAACCGCTGAAGCGATTTTCGTCCGAGCTCCTCCTCCAAGAAGTACACTTGGATAGGTAAACATTTCAGTTTCAATTTCGTTTTGGATAAGAAAGTGATCCAAAGATTTCTTAACAAGAGCAATGTATGCTCCGATTTTACTGACTTCTCTTAATAATTCCAGAAATAATATCATTCGTTGTATTAGACCACGTAACTTGTGAAAATCTAATATTTTACTGAGTCATACTAATGGCATTTCAAAACCGTTTTCCTCAATCAGATTTTAGGCATAAAAACATTAAAGTTTGTGTTATGATCACTTTTTTCAAGCTTATGCATTTAAATACATTGTCTTCTAGAAATGTATTGTAATATTAATCAGTGATCTTTCCTAACAGATTCAAGCAGCGAATACTATTGCTCAACTTGTTTCCATTCATTTGAAAGCCAGAGAGAGCTTTTGATGCATTCTCGATCCCATATGGCTATTAATATTAACGTTAATACCTGCAAGATATGCAACCATGAAGTTACTAAAGAAGAAACTTTGCGTAGACACATAAAAAGTACGCATTCTGCTTCTATACAGTGTAGCTATTGTGACCATCGGTGCCAGGAGTACAAAATGCAGGACCATGTGCATCGGACTCACGCCGAGCCAAAGAATTTTGTTTGCAGTATTTGCGGTGAGCTCATAGCTGTTCTTTAATGCACATGTGTGTGTAATTAATGTTTGTAATTTAACTGTGTATTTAGAAAAAACATTTGTTTCCCAAAGTATATTAAGCTCACATCTTAAGTATCACCAACGCAAAGAGGCAAATACGAAATCCGATGCATGTGAAATTTGTGGTAAGCGATTTTCCACAAAACATTATCTACGCCTACATATGGAAGTGCATCGCATTGAGCGACAACTTCATCAGTGTAACCACTGTGATAAAATCTATGTTAGCAAAATAGCACTCGACAATCACATTCGACTTCATAAAGGTGAAACCATTAAGTGTAATGAGTGCGGAAAAGAATTTGTACGACAGTATGAATTGAATGTGCACATGAGATTTCATACCCGAGACTACCCTTTTAAATGTGAAGTATGCGGTAAAAATTTCGCAATAAAGGGTCACTTGCGCACACATATGTGGAGGCACCAAGGGTTAAAACTGCAATGCGAAGAATGTGGAAAGCTGTTTACCTCGACCAAGGCTTTACAAGAACACTCATTTGTACACAGCGAAATGCCTTTTCCATGCAGTTATTGTGGTCGAGGGTATCCATCCAAACAAAAGTAAGTTAAGTTAAATGCTTGCATAAAATGAGATTTAATTTTACATTTACTTATATATACTAATTTACACAGGTTTAAGGTGCATCTTAAAACGACGCATTTAATTGAGTTCACAGATGAGGAAATTCTAAAAGTCACAAAATCACAAACGCCAAAACCCTTACAACGTAAAAAGCTTACTTTAGTGCAAGCTGACAGTGTGATGAAAGAGGTTGAAGTAAAGGACAGTTGTGGGGAAGCGATACATGATGGTGAAGAAATGTTTGTTGAGCTTAGTTGATATGTACACAACTTTTTTTTTGTGTAAATCTCGCAATAACTTATTTTTATAAAACTTGTTTCAAAAAATTCACATTTCCAAAACCCGACCACGATAAATGTTTTTTGTTTTTACTTTTACAATAAGTTGGTCAATCTCTTCGATATTACTCACTTTGTGTACACCGCCTATATGGCGCCTCATTCTGAAATTGATTTGTTCACATTAGTTACTCAAAAAATTTAATAAACAAAAATTCAATAATACTTAGATTTTTTCACAAATCCTTTGTCACAAATAGAGCACCGAAGTGGTAAGCCGGTGTGCTCTTTGCGATGTTGTAACATTGTTGATTGGTGAGCATACTCCTTTCCACACACGTTGCATGTGTAACGATGACCTTCGTGGTACCGCACGTGTTTATTCAAAACATGAACGTATCTAAATCTCTTATCGCATTGCGGACATTTATATGGTAATTCGCCAGAGTGACTCCGTAAATGTATTCGAAGGTCGACAGAACGTGCATATTGTTTTGAACAAATATTACATTCATATAATAGACCGCTATGAAGTTGCATATGAAGTTTTAAACTTCCTTTATAGAAAAAAGATTTTTCGCATTGATCACATTGAAATTTAGCCTCGCGGTTTTCCTGATGAATTTTGGTATGGTTTTGATATGCCTGCTGAGTGAAAAACCTTCGTTGGCACTCTTTGCAACTAATAGTTCGTTCTCTATTCGCTTTATGAATATCTTCGTGTTTTTTCAAACCTGCAGCATCATTAAATGTGGATGCTATCGTAAAGGATAAGGTGGTATTTAAAAATTAAAATAAATATATGAAAACCTACAAACGAAACTGATATTCGTCCGTATGTATATAGGAATACGTATGCTTATATTATATAATGTAAAGGGTAATTCTGCACTTACGGCACGAATGGCAAAGGAAAAAATTCATTGAATGCGAACGTTTTATATGGCGTTTTAACTCATTACTTTCGAAAGCCTTACTGCAGTATTCACAAATAGAAATATTAAGTTTGACTTCCCTTCCACTTGCATTACATTTGCCAATTTCGATATTGTGTGGTATATTATTTTCTGATCCATTTTTGTCATTATGATCCCGATTGATTTCTTGTTTATTTGCTTTTAGAGAGTGTAGTTCCCCTTTTGCGATGGAGTAATTATTGAACTTGTTCTCCTCGGAATAGTCTATTCCCGTAAATAACTCAATACCTTTATTTACATCCTCATATAAGAAATTCTTAAAGTAGGAAAAAATTATACTTTATTAGAAATATGAATCGATGTTAATATACCGGTTTATATAAACCTACTTCCGTGAAATCGCCATTTTTAACAGAGGATCTGTTTTCGGCTTGTGTATTTATCCATTCGAACTCTACTGTCTGGTATGTGGTAACATATTTTTGCACTTGGATACCAAGCTCATAGTCAGACCTCTGGGCCTTCCTTATAAATTTAAACGTAGTTAAAAGTTCGTCTACACAAGCTTTGCACAGATAATGCATATTAACTATGTGAGGTGCAATAGGGCTTGTTTTTTTTAACTCCAATTGAGTACATATTTGAAAGCATTCCAATACAGTTAATGGCTCATCAATATTATCCATTGGCATGAACCAATCCCAAAGGTCTTTAGGATCTTTTTGTAATAAACAAGCCCTGCATGTATTTATATCCATCGAACTCAACTATAAAATATATATATACATATATAATGCCATCTCTAGTCGATATTCTCAACACATATTTACATACCCCATGTAAACACAAAGTTGTCAACGCTTGCCCCTGCCTTAGTGACGATTATCCCGCAGAAACCAACGACGATTTAATTTTTTCCGTATAACCGGCTGGGCTCATTTCTCGGTGTTCTACAAGGTTGCCAGTATAGCCTTTCTTAAAGTAACATTGAATGATCGAAGATAATGTGTAGTTTTTTTAAAAGAAATAAAAACTAAATTCGGAACTAATTTTTTGTTACCATATAGATCAAGTATATCTGATTTGCGTTTATATTCGAACACATAAATTATGAAATTCGTTGACGAAAATTATATATTTGTTCAGAAGTGTGCAAACACACTGTCAGCTGGTAACATTTCGCCGCTCTCAGTCCCGTCAACAATTGTGTATGTATCTTGCGCTTGACGTCGCCTGTTATGGACGGATGGTAAGATGCAACAATAGGCTTTTGTCAACATTTCGTCGGTGTTAGCAGCGTCGATTACTCGTATATGTATATCGCTCTTCCCGGTGGGTGTTATGGCTGTGCGGTATGTAAGATGGGTAGCAGCAGCATTAATCTAGATTAATTGACATAGATATTGAAACTCAGCCGCATTCAGGTTGAAGGGATCTTTCACTTCTCGTACCAAACTTCTATTTACAGGCCTATTCTCACTGTTACAAGTAAAGTAGATTTTGTTACTTTTTTTAACACTCGAAATTGAATTTGGTATTCTGGCGGACTGGTTACAATGTTTGAAAACATCTTGGCAGCACTGTTTTTCTAGTCCTTGTCAAATTACGTTTGCTAGTTGGTAAAGCTGGGTAAAGTATAAAAGAAGATTATTCACATCGAAATGGACGGTGCACAACAAAGTAAATAAGTTTTATTTACTTGTCTATTAAATCATAAATATTTGAATCTAATTTTGGAACATATGCCTAAACGAAACAAAAGCTGAATGAAAACGCTATCTACCAAATTAAAAGGGTCATTTGTTTCTCGTAAACACTTTTTTCTTCATTTTCAATGAATTCCAACCTAAAATATACCTACCCATTTTATTATTCAAACTAACAACGCAAAACCGAACAGTAAATTTTTTGTTACCTCCCATTTCGCTGGTACCAAAATTTACAGGGTGACAGTGAGCCCAGAATACGAAATAGTAACACAATTTACTGAATAGTAAGATTTAATACCAAAGTAAATTTTGTTACCTCGACAGAATAGGCCTGCTAATAGTATAAAAGTATGCCAAATATTTAAGTCATTTTTGATGAATATAAATATATTCATCGAAAATTTTGCCTGTTATCCAGTATTTAATGACAACAGCTGTTCAAATGATAGTGAATATTGCAAATATTATATATATAGCGAATATTCATTCGAAAATCGATTCCAATAGAACGACACCCATCTCACAAGTTTTATGTGCATCGCCTCTTTTCTTGACTTTGATCAGAGAAAGAATATCAACATTACCGATCTAAGGATATGTTACTATGCAAATGGCTTTAATATTGATACTGACCTCACTTTCAAAAAGAACAGTATATATCCGCGTTATTGTAATAGAATTTTATTCACATGTATAAATAACACAAATATATAATATAAGTTAATAAATTAAAGCAACTTTTTCATTTCGCTTCAGAAACGATTCCTGGTATACGTATACGCTTCTTGTTTTCTTTAAGTCTCACTACGAAGTTTTCTAGTTCTAGTAAATTTACTTTGTGAACACATTTAATGTGTCGTTTTATCCTAAATTGAAAATATGAAAAAGAAAAACAGACTTCAACCCCAGTTACAGTGACAGATTTAACTATGAACTTACTTATACATTTCTGGAAATTCCTTTTCACAAATGGAGCATTTTAAAGGCAAACCTGTGTGCTCTAAACGATGTCTCTGTAATGTCCATTCATATAAGTACTCTTTACCACAGTCTTCACATTTCCATTGAACGCCATCATGTAATTGCAAATGCTTTTGAAGTGTAGATCTTTTAGTAAATGCCTTTTCACACTTATCGCATTTAAAGGGCATATCGCCTGTGTGACTTCGCAGATGGACTTCCAGATCTACCGAACGAACATAACGTTTTTGACAATAATTACATTGAATAGTTTGACCCGCATGCTTCTGCTGATGCACCAGCAAGTTGCCTTTAAACAAGAAAGTTTGGCCACAGTCCCCGCAATGAAATCGAGGTTTTCGACTCGGATCATGTGTTTTCAAATGGTTTCTTCGAGCCATTTGAGTAAAAAATTTTCTGCCACAGACGTTACAAGCGAATTTTCTTTCCCTATTTATTTCATGTATAAGTTCATGCTGTATCAAAGTGTTGCGATGTCTGAAAGTGCGAGCTGTATTTGTACATATGTATGTGTTTTATGTTACAAAATAAAATAATTGTTTAAATTTGATACTAAAGATTTTTTAGGGTAGCAACTTACGACACGACTTGCATAAAAATTTTTCTGAGCCGCGATTACACGGATGTCGCATGAGTTGTTTTCCCGTCATAGACAATCCACATATTTTGCAGGATAATATTTCATAATTTTTTTTATTTTCTGAACATCGTTTAGCTTTTGTTGACTTGCTCATTTCTTTCTTGATGCTGGCGTGAATACTATTAATGTTGGGTTTGATTTTTACAGGAGTTTCCTCAATAACATTTATAATACACTCCACTGCACCTTCAATGTGATGTGGATTTTTGTTATCGCAGGTGTGCTGCCAGAACTGTCTCTTAGAAATTATGTTTCCACAATGTTCACAAGTCATAGATTCGATTTTTTCTTGCATTTTGGAGCATGCATTAGTTTTCTCCTCATCATCAGTTGATATTAATGAACTGGGAATAGGAGTTTGTGATTGAATATATTTTGGAGTACAATCTTGGTATTGAATATTTTCTTCGAGAAAGTCCTCTTCATTCTCTCTTTTCTATAAAGTTAAATGTTTATATAAACATCTCATTTCAAATTAAGAAAAAATATTAATGTATATACATACATATGTATGTATGATTAGATTTATATAATTATAAAACATACCATATATACCGAGCTAAACTTCTTTTCTACTTCAACCCATTCGAATATTTTTTTGTCGAAGCATTTGTCCAATTCCCCGCAGTTCATTCGTAAAACAGAATCAGTCTCTTTAGCTTTCTTAATAAACACATACGCATCTTTAAGTTTAGCTGCACAGCTATAACAAAAATATTCATATATTATCATTGAAGATTCTTTTTCAATGTTTTCACGGCTTAGAGCCAAATTGAGTTGTGTGCATTGCTGAAAACATATTGCATACGATAGACTTTCGTTGATTTCCTCAATCGGAAGGTTCCAATTTAAAAGTGGCACTGAATTCTCTACCCTCAAGCAAACTCGACATTTGTTCCGCGAGGATTCCATCACGGCAATTAGTACTAATTACTAACTCTTATGATAATTTCGTAAAGTACGGATTCAATACAATGATAAAGAATTGATGAAATCCCATAAGACAATAGTTGTGTCCGTGGACTAGATGAGCAGCAACAGTTTTTACTGAATTTTACTGAACCGTGGTCGTTGACGTTTAGATTGCAGAGAATGTTGCACATTCGCCAGAGAACGTAAACTTATTTACGTTCTCTGCTATGTGTGAACGTGAAGAGCGAAACAAGAAATCCAAAATAAACTTGCGCTGTACAATACTTGGTAAGCGTAAAACGTTTGCCTAGAATTTCTTGACGTGAAAACCGTCACTTATGAAAACTAAAAGGTCTAACGGCTGAGTAGAGTAAGTAAACTATTTAACATATATGTATGTGTGCACCTGTAACTAACTATGCGTTGTTGTTTATGTGAAATCATTCAATAAAGTGTAAATTAATAAACATAAAAGCGATCAAGTTTATTTTAGTACATTATGTTTCAAATTCGTTGATTTTTAATGCAATAGGAAATCTAAATGGGCTCTGCGAAGATATGTCGAGCGTGCTTGTCACCTGAGGGACGAGTAAGTCTTCTAGATTGGTATCAACCTATTGACTACTTGGATTATATTTTATCATACAAAGAGTGTTTTTGCAAATGCACTCAAATAAATCTTAGTTTAAAAAACGAGGATACCGAAACTAATGAGAGCCGATCTCAATATTTGTGCCAATATTGTGCCCAAAGGCTCACGGATGCATACGACTTTATTGAAAAAGCAAGGAGATCCGATACTGAATTACGTTCTACACTAATTGAGGGAGTGAGTTTAGACAGTTTGGCAAATAATTTTGAATGGGTTCCAGTAAAGGAAAAAATATTGGATGTTGATGACTCAGACACTCAGCTAGAAGCCAAGGTATTTTATTAACTCTTCCATACTTGCAAAATATTTTTTTATATTTCATATTGTCAGTGTTGCCTTGAAGATATAGCGACCACAAGTGAATTAAATGATAACCTAACAGATGGAAAAGAGCCTTCTCTAACCAAAGATTTCAGCGAAGAAATACAAGCAGGTAACGAATGGGATGGGGGTGATTTATCAAATGTAAGCGATAAAACATTCTTGCCTCACAAAAAACTAAAAATTAAAATGAAGAAAACTCAAGTTAAAAGGAAGGATGGGCTTAAAAGCAATGTGAAAGGTGATGACATTGTAACGTGCGAGGAATGTAAAAAAACTATGATGAGATCGGTGCTGCGGAAACACAAGTCAATTCACAAACCTAAGGTTTTTCTTTGTCAATCATGTCGTAAGTAGTTGCTTCATTCATTTTTCCTATGTTGTAATTACTTTTTATGTAGCAAAGACATTTCGGGATTCCAATGGCCTAAAATATCATGAACTTATTCATCAAGAGAATCGAAATAGATACCCATGTGAAAAATGTCACCAGAAATTTTTATCGCCATATACATATAAGAGACATTTGGAGACACATGAAAGCAACAGAAAACCGATATATAAGTGTTCCAAGTGTGATAAAACATTCTTGCATAAAAACGGCTTAACAATCCACGAACTTCACCACCAAGGAGCAACACTAGAATGCAATATTTGCCAAAAACGTTATGTTCGACAAATAGATCTGGATACACATTTACGAACACATTCAGGGGAATCACCATTTGTATGCCATATATGTGGAAAATCTTTTATCCATAAACGTATTCTCAATAGACACATGCAGTATCATGAAGGATACTTCAGCTACACATGCATAACTTGTGGAGTTAAATTTTCAAAATATGACCAATACTACAATCACCGAATGCAGCACACTGGCTTACCTTATAAATGCGGCTTATGTGAAAAACAGTTTCCTGATGCTTACAAGTAAGTTGTTTTAATCACATTCATTTATATATGCTATCAATAGTTTTTGTTCCCTCAGAATCAAGCGACATATTAGAGGAGTTCATAAAATTTTGGAAAGCAACGAAGTAGCAAAATCGGTTGTAAAAATAAATTCAACAAAAGAACATAGAGGACGAATAGTGGAGGTTTTGAAGAACCCGGAAGACGAAAAACAAACACAAACTTGATTTCAGTCCTCTTCTGTGTAATGAATAAAAAGCTCTTTTCTTGATAAATTGGCAAGTTCTCAAATACTCTTGATAGTGCTTTTTTATAAATAAAACAATTTTTTACTGTATGAGCATAATTGTGGATAAGAAATTGTTAGCATGGAATATACATACTTTACTTATATTGATGTTGTTGGGCGAAGAGGAAAATTGCGAAAATAGGCTTCGCTTGTGTCGCTTAAAAAGAAGAGACCCTAGTTCTCCATTTTCGTTCAGTGACAATACATTTTCGCAAAATTTCCGTTTGACTTAAGAAATTTGCCGTCATCCCATAGATGAACTGGCCCCACATGATATCCAAAAAACCTCACTATCTTTAATCATAAGAGTGCTAGTAGCTTTAAACTTCCTTGGATGTAGGCAAAAACTTAAGCTTGGCCATGAATCAGTTGTCCCTTGCCAGAACTTTGCTTATTGGAAAGGTGAAAGGAAGGAAATAATATTTCCCAGTTCGGCAGAGGAAGAAACTAATGTAAAAACAAGGTACGTATAGCAAATAAAAAAACACCTTAAGCTAATTTATCTGAAATGTATTCCCGTTTTCTTTAGAGAATTCGGCATAAAACAATTGACTGCACGCATATTGCTATTGTTGCTCCATAATCAAGAATCAAGATCTTGCCTTATTGGGAATCAAGGTTATCCTCTAGAGCAGTGGCTTCTAACACCTGTTGAAGAATCTAAATCCTCTAAAGAGCTAAAGTACAATACACTATATGGTTCTGCCAAAAATTGGTGTTTTCAAATCGTTCTTTAGATGTTCGCTGAAGCACCGACTTTTGCATTAAATATATGGCAGTATATAGATACAGGCATATTTCATCCTTATATTCACGTTTTACTACAAATATGCTACTTAGCTGTATTACATATGTATATGTTTATTAATTTTTCCTTTATTTTAAAATAATATTAGCAAAAACAGTTGATTTCTGTTTATATTTCTTTGTTCACCAACTCTATGGAAAATTATAAATATTTTATTAATTTGTCAAGTGCAAAGAATAGGGCTGTAAAAATAAATGCACATACATACATAAGTACATAGTTCCGAAAGTAAACTTCAAATAAAAAGCAGTATTAAGATTTGCTAAAAAAAAAAAATAATTATTTTATGCGGAGCAAAAGGTTTATCAAATTCGCTATGCATATTTAAAATTTCGGGCTGGAAATCCTCCAACAGCTCAATGGTTCGGGCATAGATCATATACCCGAGATGGCTATTCGTTCAGCCTTGTTTTGGGACATTCTGTTTGAATATTCGTCATGTTGTTGAGTTTTGAACAATTAACTAACAAATATATAAATCAAGTGCTGTTATTTTGAAAGCGAGAAGCTGATATTTTGAAAGCAAGAACTTAACTCCTCCAGGAAAGTTAAGCGGTTCTTACTTCCTGATAAAAAATGAAAGATAATAAAACTATATAACGTTGTCACAAAGAATTATTGAATAATAGAGATATAACAAATAATAAAGTAAAAAAAATAAAAGTTTAGTTTCGGATAATTAAAAAATGTAAATAGTTTTAATCCTTCTTTAAACTCCCAACAATTTCCGAAACTTTAACCATGAGTTTAGTTATTTGAGAATTGTCTTCTATCTTATGTACGCTTCGGATATGCCTTCGAATCCTAAAAAATAAATTTCTATTAATCACAAAGAAAAACAATCCGATCTATGGCTATATACTTATTCGGTTCAGCGAATCCTTTGTCACATATTGCACATTTTAAGGGCAATCCAGTGTGATTTAGGTGGTGACGAGATAATTTTGAAGGATGTGAATACTCCTTGTTACATAAATCACATTTGAACCGGACACCAGTGTGAAGCAATTCATGCTTTCTTAGAGAGCTAGTTGTCATAAATGCTTTTTCGCACTTTGAACACTTATAAGGTAAGTCTCCGGAATGGTTACGCATGTGTACTTCCAAATCAATTTTACGTACGTAACGTTTCTGGCAAATGCTACATTCATTTTTTGGACCTGTGTGCTTCTGAAGATGTAGAGTAAGACTTCCTTTATGCATAAAAGCTTTATCACAATGATTACATTGGAAATTCGGTCGTCGCGATGATTGGTGAATTTTTATGTGAGTTCTATATACGTCTTCTGTAAAAAATGTGCGATCACACTCACTACAAGCATATTTTCGTTCTCTGTTCATATCATGAGTGCGTTGATGTCTCCGCAGGTTATTAGCAATGCTAAAAGATCTTGCTGCAAAGGAAATTAATTGCGTAAGTATAGTTGGAAACTAATGTTTTGTATTACTTACGGCAAATGTCGCAAAGAAAGATTTTTGGTCTATGATAACGAGACTTGTGTTGTTTTAACTTATTTTCTGGAAACAGTTTTTTGCAATATTCGCAAGGTGTCAGTTTATACACATCTTGGCATTTTTTTTGCATAGGCTTTTTAGGTATTTTTTTTTTGTCTGGTGTAACTGGTGACACGAGTATGGAATTTTTGTCAAGGAGAGCCTTTAGAGAAGTATAATATGTAAATAGAAATGATTAAATTAAAGAAGTGACATACTTCATCGACTAGATCAGATTCTGGGGAAGTTAGATTTCCATTGGTTTCCAATTTGAAAAAAATTTTTCCATCGGTACCAGCTTCCACTGCGCTTTCTGCAATACTGCTATTTGATCCTTTAGAAGTTATATCAGTAAAATCTTCAAGTATGTCATTGGTGTTGCCTTCCTTATAGTTATTTGAAATAAGTACTTCCGGTAACGTTACGGTTTCTTGAGCCATAATGTCGTCTTTTGTTGTTGGATACTATATGTATATATACAAATGCAACTTATTAGAAATTATAATGGCCGTTAAAAATACAAGCATTAGTATACTTCCGCTTTATGAGATATGTTATCTCGGATGTCGATATTTTGTTCCGAATCCTGCATATTCACATATTCAAATGAGTTTTTTCCAATTCCATTTATGTAATCTTTATTTTCAGACATCAAGTAAAGCTCATGAGCAGATCGTTGGGCTTTTTTTAAGAACCCGTATGAAATTTTCAACTCCTCAATACAATAACCACACAGATAACGCATATCTTTAATGAAAGAGGATGAGGCATCCGCTGCGATAACATCTAATTGAGTACAAATCTGAAAGCATTCCTGATACGTTAAGGACTCATTCCAGACTCCCATAGATGAATTCCAATCTCGAAGGTCTGCCGTATCTCCTTTACACAAACACGCCCGACATTTATGCACCTCCATTCCGAAATGAAAAAAATATAATGTAAACAACTTTTGGTGAGACCTCTGTAGTGATGTGATAAAATATCTTGCATCGATCACCAAAGGGCTTTATTAATAATAATTAGTCGACTTTGTTCGGTGGCCAATTGACATCAAAATGTCGACTTTGTTCGGTGGCCAATGATAATTGACATCAAAATTCACATAAATTCGTTGCCTGTAGTGTAAAAAGTTTTGAACTATAAAAAGATCAAAAACTCAATATCTAAAAACTGAATTTTTTCTTTACCAAATTTTATTAAGTTGCAAAGTAATTTTTGCACTTCTTTTATTTAGCAAATGCATTGGGAATACATTTCTCACAATTGATAAATATCAAATCTGCTATCGATAATTAATCATTCTCATAGTGTAGCGACTAACACATCCACTATCCACTATCCAGCCAGCTGATTTCAACAAAGAGTAGAAATATACATAAACAATTCGTTCTACTTGATTTTACCTATTGCGTTGTCCTAAGTTAATTAGCGTTACTCAGTAAATATTAGTACAAATTAGATCTTGAAACAAATTTTACTCGAAGTAGTCCCACATTTCAATAAAAAGTGAATATAAAAAACAATAAAAAAGAAATCTTGGACCTGTTTCTCGATTCAGAAATACCTAATGTCGTCGGTATCGGATGACGACATCACAAGACAAGGTGCTGGAGTAACTGTCGATTTTCCTGCTCTTGGCGGTGAAATTGATAGTGAGCTATGTAATACGTTTGAAGAGTCGGATGTGATGAGTGATTCGGAAGAAGGGTTTTATTATGCTGGCTATCGTTTGGATCAATATGCATTGGATGTAGCAGATTTTAGCTCACAGTATGGCAGTGATTACAGTATTTCGTATACAGCTACAAACATTACTGGAAAACCGCGAAAGTATCCTGAATATGGTGATTTTCCTGAAACATTCGCAATGGTATGTACTACATACATAAGTATTTTCTTTTATCATATTTCTTTTAAATAAAGCGTACTTATGGAGATTGGTGGGAAAAAGCACCTAGTTATATTCCAGAAATTCAACAGCAAAATATTTCCAAAATACCTGCCAAAGATTACATAGGTAAATATTATACAATGCACAAATGTAATTATATATACATATATTAAGAAAAATGAATATCTAGTTTTATGCTTTGAGGAGTATGTGATTCCCGAAGAAATAGCAGTATATGAGACTTTTAACCCAGGGGGTCTAATTCGTATCTGGGCGTACACCATATTAAAAACCTGGGTTTGTTTGTGGGAAGCGAAAAAAGTGTATGCACCATCACCGAAACTTGTCAATAAGGCTCGACGTTTTTCTCCTAAACTGAAAACCCTAAACATACCTACAAGGTAAGTATATACACATGTACCCTTAGTACAATTTGTATTAAAATCATAATTTTAATTCTTAGGACAATACGTCTAGAATTTAATCAGATGGGGCTGAGCTATTTTACAGAAATCGACGCTGTGTTACTAGGAGGTAGAAAAGTTAATATAGAAGGGATTCAAGGAATATTGGATTGTTATGAACGTCAACGAAAATGTATGTTTATGAACACTTCAGTAAATTGTTACTCAGTGCAGAAAAATGTATAGGTATATCATTTTGCAGGTTCCATTTTGCGTAAATTACAGCGAATTCACTTTCGGCCGAATATTAAAGAAAACTATCATAATCACTTGAAAGAATTTTTCACAAATGATTTAAATAAATTCGTCAATATTGTATCCAGCAATACGGATCTTTTGAAAAATGATCTGAGCTCCGAAAAGGATGATAAAGCCGTTGGGCTCAAGGATTTGCCGGTACTCTTATGGGTTTCAAAAAGGCTTTTCGTTACACTTAATTAACTACCAACTCAATCTGGGTTTATTTGTCCTATTAGCTATATGCAAATATGATCTGAGCTTCAATAATTTATTTTGTTTATTTTACAGTTTGAAATCATGCTAAAAATATTTAGCTACTTGGATTTAACATCGTTGTTTTTAGTGGGACAAGTATCCAAGTATTTTTATGACGTGTCTACACATCCATTACTCTATAGTGAATTAAATTTAAAACCTTATTGGCACCTTGCATCAAGCGAATTGTTATGCACTTTGGCAAAAAGAGCTACAATATTAAAGAAATTGGACTTGTCATGGTGCGGCTTATTCAATACAATTTCTCCAACAGAATTTAAAAAGTACGTACAAAACCGCAGATTTTCATTAAAATAAATTCCGTCACATTTACATATGTGTATGCGTAAATTTATATATATCTAATTCAATGTTATTAGATAATTAAATCATTAACTTTAGATTTATACAACAGCGTGGTGACAGTCTAATATGTCTTAGATTGGATTCCTGTAAGATTCTGAATGCAAGTTGTATTGAGACTTTAGGAATAGTCTGTGACAATTTGAGAGGTACTTTGTGGATTTACCTTTGCTATTAAATCATATTTGCATAATTTTTGTGTATATGTCTATGAACTAGAACTTTCACTGAGAAATTGCTCCACTGATCCGCCCCTACTTAATTTCTCATGTTTGGCGAATTTAAAAAATCTGGAAAGATTAGATCTGTTTCAAACCGTAATTGAGCCAGAATTGATGCTAACCATGCTGGAAAATAATCGAAAGCTAAAACATTTGAATTTAGGTTAACAATTTCTTTAATTATATTAAAATAAATTTAACTTATAATTATTTATTTACGGTGTCTTAGCATTTTGTGGTATATCCGTTAATATGGATGCCGTAGCTCAGCGAATAGGCCAATATAATCAAGGCTTGGTCACTTTAGACATGTGGAAGTCCCGTTTTCTCTCGGCTACTGGCTTAGATGCCTTATCGAAATGCCATGACTTGGAAGAAGTTGATTTTGGTTGGTGGTAAGTGCTTACATAAATCCAAAGCAAGATCACTAATACATGTACATACACATATACTTCGAAACGCCACGTTATAGTTTAAGGGAAGTATCTCTTGGAGACAGTTTAAAAAAATTGCTATTAAATTGTACTAAGCTGAGGAAATTATTTTTGGCCACTGTGCGGGGTATCACGGATCATGACGTTGAGAATATAGCAAACCTCTGCAGAAACTTGGAGCAGCTAGATCTAATGGGAGTTTCTGGTATATCAAAGGATCGTTATTACGAGTAAGTATTCTAACGCAAAAAAATAAAAAATAAATAAAATGAAATTAAAGTGATATATACATATATCTCAACGCAAATTTGCAGTGTTTTGGTGAAATGCCGGAAGCTACAATTACTTGATCTAAGCTTTTGTGATAATATCAACAGTGAGGAGGTTTTATAACAATTAAATTTTACATTAACATAATGTACACTGCTTTTTTTTTGTTTTCAGATTGCATTTTGGGCTCGAACTTTCCAAGTTAATATTAAATGCAGTCATATACCCAATGTGCCTAACGATATGAGATATTAACTAAAATACTTCTGTACAAATTTCCATAGAGGGAGCTAATCAATACATATATGTTTATATACAATTATACAAATGTAGATATATTTTATTTTAAATAAAATCAAAGATAAAGATTTTGTTCCATATGGAAGTAAAGATCTTATTGTTAAATTCCGTTAAAAATGAAAAAAGATGATGAATAAATGGTGAATATGGAAAAGGTAGAAAATTGGTTATCCCAAGCTAAGACGGAAAAACTGCAAAGATGTGCATACACAACCGCCTCAAATGAATTAAAAAAAATTAAATTAATTTTTCTTAATCAGTCGTTCGAAGGAGGTTTAGGATAAACTGTAAGCACCACCATTTTGTGGAAAATCAGAATGAGCTCGGTCGAAAATCGCATACAATGTGAAATTTATTGAGACTAAAATTTATGAATCAAAAATTAAATTAAAATTTCGCCGATTTATTGCAAGCGTTTTAAGGCCTCAGGCAATTGAAAAATACAACAGTTCCTTAAGATAAGATCTAACATTTTAAAGATTTCTTTTTTATAAATTACAAATCTAATAAACTACTACAAGTACTAAGTACTAAGTACAGATAACCATCATAAGCAAAGATATTTTAAAAGCTACTTTGTTGTTTTTTTTATTGTTATTAAAAGATTAGATGAGCTTCTGCAATCAAAATCTTTGGTGAAACCGTTTAATCAATATTAGCCATAGTGGAAACGCTGTGTAATACATAAAAACTTATTAAAAATTCCGATAAACGTCAAAAGATTCTCAGTACTATTTGGTTTTAAATTGAAAAGTTAACACTGTTGGCATGTCTTTGGTGTCGTACTCGCGTAAAATCATCGTCATTTGGTATTTTCGTAGAAATGCGCTGGGTATTCATGAACTGATTTTAAATTAAAACTTCCAAAGTAATTCGGTAACGCGATTGAATCAAAATTGTGAAAAAAATTTGTCAAAGGATTAGTAAATAAAAAAGTTAAACGTGTTGAAAATACCTAAATTTGGATAAAATGTGCGAATAGCAACCGATAAGAAAATTTCAAAGAGAAGAAACAAGGTTAAAAAGGTGTAGAAGTCGAGTGGGGGAAAAATATAAAGGAGAATAAAAAGTCTTAAACAAAAGAAGGAAATAGGTGTATTGAAGAAAAACAGTGATAATTCCAATTTCAGCTGCCGGGGAAAGTTTGCATGAGTTCCTAAAATTCAGGTTGACCAAGAGAAGGTTTTCGGGCAAGTATTGCAGTTTTATCTAATGCAACGTGTGGTGTGCGAAATAGTGAGAAATATACAAAGGGGCACGGCCCCAAAATCTGGGTGTTCTGTAAGCATTTGCGTTAATTGGCAACTAAGAATAAGTGAAAAGAGTAAAAAAGGAATTCCGTCATAGGCTTATTAGCGCATATTTGATTTAAAGGGAGTTTTTAATAAATTATCTATAATTGTTTTAAAGGAATAAGTGAAAAGACAAAATAATCAAACACTGGATTATTAAAAACATTTGTTAATTATGGACGAAGACGACAATACATCGAGTGGTGGCGATATAAATAACGAAGAAGTTTCCCGTATGCGAGTTGCTGGTGGAAGCGCAAGAAGTAATAATGTTTCAAACGTTGAAACCATCACAACAGAAGAAGATGAATTAGATGATGTGGATATTTCGATGGTAGTTAATTTACCATCGAGCGTCTCTGTTGGTGCATCAGTCAATGCAGATTCGCGAGCCCAGTCTACTCATGTAACCGTGGACGCTATCCCTTCCGTGCGAAGTGCAATGGATTTTCCTGATTGGGAATCAGTGGCCGCAACAGAGACTGATGAGGACTTGTTGACAGACGCTTCATCAAATACTTCAAACTCGGCCACCGCCTCAGCAGTTAGGTCTGGCAGTACAGGTGGTGCTAAGCCAAGCTTCTTCTTTGGTACATCAACTTCTTTTAGCTTAAGAAGCCGAAAAGAAGTGGCAGCATTAATAAATGCAGAGTGTTGTCGCAGCGACAATACACCTGAATTGGATGCAGTCATGGACAAACTTTTTAATCCTGGCACACCTATCGATAATGCAGACAATATTGAATGGATTCGTTGGTTGATAGCAGGTGGTCGTACACCTCAAGAATTCGTTAAAATTGGTGAGTGGTAATCGATTTTCATACTCATCATTTGCATTTTTCAAAAAAAAGAGGAAAACTTTCGCATATATAAAAATGTATTGTATTTTTCCACAGTTCGCAGTTATGATAACCATGCAAAATGCGGTTTAGTTTGGGTTCCACATGTTGTGGCGTATCGCTGTCGTACGTGCGGTATTTCTCCATGCATGTCTATTTGCCGAGACTGTTTCAAGAAAGGAGATCACACCAATCATGACTTCAATATGTTTTTGTCACAGGCCGGTGGTGCCTGTGACTGCGGCGATACATCTGTGATGAAAGCAGAGGGATTTTGTAGTGACCATGGTATTAATAACCGAGCTAACAAAGAGCCTGTGCCACCAAATTTACTGGCTGTTGCAAGGGCAATAATGCCCAAATTACTGTTCAGATTGCTGCAACACTTTCGAGAACACAGTGATGCAACATCACAAACTTATAATTTGGCGGCATTTTCATGCGAAGAATTTACGAATATGTTGATCGATCTAAACAATATGGGCGAAATAATGCGTAAAGTAATGACTCGGGCACTTATAAATGCTGATGTATGTTACAGATTTAAAATTCAACTATTTAAAACTCTCATTAAAATATATAAATTTATAGGTTTATAAGTTTTTTACCGAATCTCCTTGTTTGGATACCCGACATGGCCGTTTTTTGAAGTCGAATCGTGAAAAGTATGAAGATGCTGTGAACCGCTTTCCACGTCCCGAACCTCCTGACGATTATAAGCATCTTCCAGCCTTGGGAGAAAAACTGGTGCATTCAACTCTTTTAGAAGAATTTATTTTTTGGACATTTAAATTTGAATTTCCTCAAAATTTGGTGTGCTTTTTGCTTAATATGCTGCCCGACCAAGACTATAAGGTAATATAGGAAAACATTTCTCTCTATAATATTTGTTATAAAAAAAGACCAACAAGCTTTTATTAAGTCCCTCGTATAATTCTCTTTTTTTTTACCGTAGGAACATCTTACTCGCACGTTCGTCATGCACTACAGCCGTATTCCGTCCGTTTTGGAAATGTCACGTGACCCAGACACACTTAGTAATCGGGTTGTACATATGAGCGTCCAACTATTTTCAAATGAAAGTTTAGCCTTGAAAATGGTTAAAGAATTATCTTTACTACATGTTATGATAATAAGTCTTAAACTAATGATGTCAAAAATTCTTATACAAAATACTCTACATGGTAAGTTTCAACGGATACATGAATTAAGTGTGGTGAATAAAACCAAGCTTTTTGTTTCACAGATCCCAACAAAAACTTTCACTTTGTAATTGATTGTACCCGGCAAGTGATGAAAGACCATTGTTATTGGCCCCTGGTGTCCGACTTCAATAATGTGCTTTCTCATGAATCAGTAGCGCTGGTATTCTTACGAGATGATAATCTAATTGATATGTGGTTTCAGTTTCTTTCAATGCTGCAAGGCATGAATGTAAATGTTAGAGAGACAACATCGCATGTGGAATTCGAGCCTAATTCATACTATGCAGCATTCTCATGCGAATTAGAAGCAAGTGCTTATCCAATGTGGTCGATAATATCACATCTACAAGATGGAACACATGCACATCTGGCTAAAAAGATAATAACGTACTGTGTTAACACTCTACACGAATGGTTGGATGCTATTTACTTCTTGGAACCAAAACTGTCTCCGGTTTGTATAATTACTATATATATCCTTAATTAAATATATAGATATTAACTCGGGAATCTATTATAAAGTATAGTTTTTAGTTTTTTCCTGTTTTCCTTTTGCTTGAAACTGAGTTTAAAGCCATAAAAAGACTTTACTGATTAAATATTAATTTTTAAGTTAAATAGCATTTTGACCAATGGCAAAACCAGCTTTTGGATATCAAATTTTCTTTTGTTTTGCAAGCTAGTCAAGTCCGATAATCGCAGAGACATATCAGATGCTTTCAAGCTGCAAGGTACAAAATAATCTTCCTAGCCAGACCCCCTTATGAAAATCATTTCTTCTAGTGTACTATAACAAACATTCAGATGGCCATAACTGAATAAATAAACTTCATTATGCTAATTATATCTATATACATTTTTATGAAAGTATTTTTTCCTCATTTTGGTACATACTTAAGACCAAAATAAGCTGTATATATATATTTGTTCTTGAAAGGTATAACAATATCATCATTGAAAAATATATAATTTTTAGAAGATTGGTTTTCTTTGTTATATTTTAATTTTTGCTGTAATAATATATCTATGCATACTTGTTTGGCGCTTTGTAACCGTTGAAGCGATTTTCGGTCGATCTTCTCCTTCTATTGGTGGTTTTGCGCCTTTCAGTTTTTTTCAATAAATGGAGGGAGCTACAATTTTTACTAACCCGCCTCCGAATGGCTGATGATTTTATATGAGGAGTTTTAAATTGATTTTCAATACCTTTTGGATGTTGGTCGTACCAGGATTTGAACGCTGGACTTCCGAATGGCAGTACACAATGCTAATCACTCGGCTTCCGCGGCCACTATAGTTCCAGTCCAATTGATTATAGGGGCCGCTCTGGTTTTGCATCGATACCGATTCCTGATTAGGAATTAAAAACGGTATATTTCAAGAAATTTGGAGGAATTTAAATTTCATTTCTAAAACTTTGTTTTTTTTTATTGTAAAATTTGACCAAAAGTTATATAAAACTAGTCAGAACAAATTAAATCCACCAATCAATATCTAATCAGATTTTTCCGATTTTTTTTCCAAAAATGAAGCGAAAAATTCAATAAATTAACGCCATTTGCTGTAAAAATCTAAACTATTGTCATAACTGTTTTTGCGGCCATGCTACATAATAATTTTTGATATAAGTATTAAGTAAACTAAAGGCCTGGTTTGTTTGTATGAATTGAATATTTTTGTTATACAACAAAGCCAAATGGTAGAAGTGACAGCTGTTTCGGAGATCACCACATCTCCTCAACAGACTTCTTATAGCAGGGATCGAACCAACGGATCCTGACTTAACAGGCGAGTGCTCTTCCACTGCGCCAACATCAGCCATATAATCTATTGTTGTATTATTCAATTCATTATTAACCAACAACTATTAAGTACGCTTATTTAACCGCTATTTTCTTATTAGCTTGGTTAATGAGTTGTGTTGGAATCCTGTATACTTTCAGGCGTTAATTGAGTGGAAAATTTATAGGCCAGATTAAGTATCAGGTTCAACTTATATATTCATAATTGTTTTTGCAGCCATGCTATATAAAAATTTTTAATATAAGTTTAAGTAAACTTAAGGCCTGGTCACTATTGTCATTCGTTATGTTTGATTGTAATAAAAGGTCATACCGAGCAAAAATTTCAAGAAAAAAAATATTATTTCATAATAGGGCAGTCTTAATATATTATTTTTAATACTTTTAAAAAATGTTATTTACGTATATGGATTTACAACACCTTTTTTTAAATGACTGTATAATATTATATGATCATAATTGTTTTTGTAATGGGAAAATTTTCTTTAATTAGGATGAAATGATGCAGGCGTCTTTCCATTTTCCACTACATCGCTACTTGGCTGCGTTTCTTTGCCAAGCCGTTACCAAAATGGGAATGTCACTATCGGAAGTTCTACCAACTAGGTCATATATATTACCACTCCTCATGATACATCCTCTACGAGTTCAGGTGAGTACAACAATATTAGCTATTGTCTCATCTTTGGGGCATAATTATGGAAGGTGAGGGATATCGTTCTTGTTCTTGAGAGGTTTTTTAAAATTGAGACTGCTTTTTTGTTCCGAGATATAAAGAAATTGTAGTTGGCACCTAATGCTAACGGGTTTCAGGGAACGATAATTGATTTTATAAAAAAGAATAATTACCAACTGCAAATCCTTGTATCAGTTTATTTCATCAAAATTGTATCTGCTGGTTATACTCGTGTCTCCATTTCCGTGGAAGCTCTAAGAAGATAATGCACACTGGACCCTTCGGTTCATAGGCTAAAACGCAAAGTTGTCTACTGTTTATGCAAACTGCTGCACATTTCTTAATTTATTCCTCTCACTGGCCGACAGTCATTGATAAAGATAAAGGTAAAACTTCCCATAGAAATTCTGGAAATTGTAAAACGAGAAGTTCCGCAGGGTGATGTCCTCTCTTCACCACAGTTCAATTTTTATTTTTTAAATAGCTTCATTATTTCAAAATAGGTTCAATAATTTTTTTTCTGCCGAGATGGTATTTTTATGTTTTACCAATAAATATAGGGACACCCACGGTTTTGGGACGTCTCTGAGCGTTCGACAACTGTAAGTTCCCAGCTGACCGAAATTTCACCAACTGTCTCCCTGTGAATGACATAATCGGAATTTCGATATCCAGCAGGTTTTACCATTGTATTAATTTTTTTTCTGTGACTCTTTGGTCTGAAATCGATTAAACAGAAGCATAGTGCTTTGATGTGCAAGCAATTTCTGCTGACATGCTGCCGAACAACCACAACAACAACATCAATTGGGGTTTAATTTGTTTTATTTTAATCAATTTTATGAATTGAGATTTCTAATTAGAAAAGTTAATTTTTAGACATTTTTTACAGATATTGTTTAGTAAATGACTAATAATTCGTTAAATAGAGTATATACAAATATGTGACATACACAAACAAGCAACTATATATGTATGTCCATATCTACATATGTTCATCTATTTTTGCAGTTTACTATGCTATTGTAATAATATAAATTAACATAGATGCTACACCTACATATGTATATATTATATTATGAATATTGTGTAGTAATTGTACATATATTCTAATCTCTATATTTAATTTAGTTTATGGTTTGTGGCACTCGAATGTGTGGAGTAAAATCGTATGTCATAATCTTTGGTGCCAGAAAACCACCATAACCCCTTTGTCCTTTATGGTAAATACCGAGGCCAGAAAGGGGAACTGGCGGATTAGATATTACTTCCTGAATGTCGATAAAAGGCACCGTACTCTGTGCGGCATCCTTGTCCATGCTTGTATTTATAAAATCAATATATTGGTTATGCCGAGAATCGGGTATTGATTTAATAATCGTGCGGGTAGATTTGTCAGAATTGTTGAGGGTAATTTTTTGCCTAAAGAAAACATAGCTTTAGCTAAATATTTAACTGGTTTATTTGTATAGATTTGATTTACCTCCGTTCGCCGCTAACATCGGTATTGTCATTCGATTTCCAAAAACTATTACTTTCTGGTGATATTAATTTACCCGTTTTGAAATCAAATTCTGCCAATTTGGCTTCCACATTTAAATGGGCGCCGACAACACGAAAACGTACGCCAACAACCACAAATGAGTTATCATCTGTATAGATGTCATCCAAATCCATAGACCTGCTCTCGTAACTAAGCGTATGATAGTCTCGCCCATTACGTACATCTCTGTCGAATATTTGGTAATTTTCAACTGGCTTCCAAGTCAGGCTAGTGCGATTTATATTGCCCCTCGGTAAAAGTTTCCCCTCTTGGATCTGCAGATGAAATATCCGATTGTGCTTCACAAAACGTAAGCCCGTGACCACTCTATAGAACATAGAAAAAATATCTAGTTATTGAATGGCAATCATATTATTTATTGTCATCGTGCGCTCACTTGTTATTTTCAACATCAGCTACAGTTTCGCGCAAATTAAAGTAGCGATCAGATTTTATACTAATTTCATCACACAAACAAAAGCAGTAGCTACAGTGCCAGAAAAGATAACGCCACCAGGAGTCAACCTGCAAGTATCCCAACGTACATACATTTAAATTCATACTTTAGTTATTGACTTAACATCGAATTATCGCAGCTTACCTTAGTCGTGCCACGTACACACGTTGATCTCTCACCAAGTACCCGCCCATTTTCATACTCAATATACTCATATCGACGTGTGCTGTTTCGACTCTGAAAGAAGATATAATACAACCTTTATATATGAGCATCCCATATAAAATGTTATGCTTCTTGCAAAACCTACAGCAGGACAGACTGACATATCCGAGTCAACAAATGTACAATGATATAATTTGCCTGAGCATCGGGGTTGACGCGAGCAATACAGATCTTTGAAACAACCCTCTGATCTGGTTGATTGATAGAAATCACAAGTTTCACGACATGTTTCCTCCTTATTCAAATCAACTTCATTCTCAATGTAACCCTGTAGTAGCCGCGTCACTTCGTCATAATTTTGGCCTTGCACAAATTTATTCGGGTCACAACGCCATAAAATGCGATCTGCACGACGCATAACCTCCCGCAACAATTTCAGAGACCGTCCAGTCCGCTTCTCATATTCCATGCGCGCCAATTCAACTTCTTGTGAGAAGTTACCTTAAAATTATGGACATCACACATAGTAGGGTTTAGGGAATACATATTAAATCAAATTCATACCCTTGCCGTAAATTTTTAGCATCATCCAAGAAAATTGCATCATTGTGTAGCCCTTCAGCTCGGTTAGTGCTACGTCGGTATAAAGTGAATAGACGAATTGTTGTGCTGATTGTTGGGTGTGGCATATTTGATCCGTTGATTCCTGAAATTGGAAATTAATCAATCTGTTAAGATTTTTATAAGTACGAATTATACTTTCGCAGTGAAAAGCTGATTAGCTGTTTTCAATATTATGTTTCCCAATCGATGCCCCGTAATGAACATTTGTATTTACACAAGTTTCTATTGTTTTTGCAATTTTACTGATTATGTGAACGACAGCTGTTCTTCAATGAATTCCACATAACTACTTTTTTTCTACATAGGACTTTAATTTCAACAGCGCGAAATCTCGTCAATTCATGTTTTTTTTTGCTTCTAAATGCGGCGATAACTGCACTAGTAAAAACTTTTTGTTTGTTTGGTTTCTTAAGATAATAATATCAAAATTAGCAACCCCACGATTGCGAGAGAGTAAACTTCAGGCGCGATTTCTTGAATTTAATCATTAAATTTTACTTGTTTCAAAAGTTTTTATTATTGTTTCACAACACACAATGAGAACAATATCGCTTTTCATTATTTAAACTCTGGCAGTCTAGACCACCGGGACCCCTTAACAGTATTTTGATTTTGGAAGTGAAAGATTAAACTTACAATTTGTCGGGCTTCAAATATTCATAATATCTCTCTTTCCCTATTTAAATTCACACTAATTACCTAACATGGAAAATTGTTACTAATCATATTTTTACATATGTACATATCTGAATATCTCTGTAGATGCTTTGGAAAGGTTTTGCACGTACATGCATATGCACATTCACACTCTTTCATTGCACTTTTCATGAATCGGCTTTTAATATATCTTCGCTTATAAATCAAATTAAATACATTCTACCATGAAAAAAGCCTGCCTGTTCGTGATTACACGATATATATATGTATGTATGTATGTATGCATGTATGTATGTATGTACAAAAGAATCTAAATTAATAAATATTATATATTGTGCTCATGTAAGCGTATTGAATTTTAATAAACTAACCAACATTGCTCTATAGTAAAGGGTTTGTTTCACCATCACAAGTTCTACATCCTGAAAAATGCGCGACATTGAGAAGGTGTTATCATTACGGAGCACTGACTCACAGATGTCCAGAACGGCACGCTCATTTAATTCTGAAATGTTGTTGTGCTCGTTTATGAAATTCTGTAAATGCACGAAATATAGCAGTGTTGATCATAATTAAATCTTTCTAAATGTGAATGTTGGATTCCATAATTATCCATAGTGAATATGCTTGGCGCACCTTATAGTAACCGAATATGCTGTCGATCTGCAGCAGGTCGCGCTCTAATAGACTCCATTCATAGTGATTTAGTATATCGTACCTCCCAACTTCAAAATTGTTTTGAATGTGATCATTAATGTAATTGCGTGTGGAGTCAAATACTTTTCGCAGCTGAGAGCTCTTGCTAATGCCATCTTTCTCCATATATCGCCACAGCGATTCCTCCAACGCAAAGAATTCCCGACGTGTTGCGTCGACTTGCAAATCCGGAATTTGTAGCTTGGATTGTGCCTGCGCAAATATAGTTAAGTACAATCCAATCACGGTGAGGGTGGTGAGGTAAACATTTAAAATGGTTGCCATTACGTTGCGATTGTTATTTAATTTGTATTTTGCACATTCAATTACTTATTGTTATTTTGTTTCCAAAAACTATAATCGAAAAACGATTATTATAAAATCCTAAGTTTCGAGATTAATTAACTGCAATGTATAAAATCAGACAATGTTACTTTGCTTTTGCATGTACAATATATATCTACATATATATATATATATATATATGTTCATTAGGGTATTCTAAGGAAATTTTAAATTTTATAAATGACATAAATGAGAATAACAATTTTTTTAAACTCATTCGAAGGAGTTTTAAACAATTATTTTGAATGCTAATAGAAAAATTGCTGTTATATAATTTGAACAAAGCATATAAAGTTAGAAATTTTGGCTTTTATGCCCTATTCACACTAGTTAACATTACAAATATTCCCGAACTTTACATCAAATTTTGTGGCCTTTTTTTTACTTTTTTGAAAGTTTTTACCAGTTTATATCTGAAATTCTATTGTACTTCACTTTAATTTTTTGAACCAATTAATGTTTGGTTTATGCTTGCTTTCTTGAATAATCGAAATATCAGCATATTTAAGTATCCGTCTTTGTTTTCTCCTTTATTTTACACAACTACTTTTTTATTGTTGATGACGACGAATAAAGCGCTTGTTTGACGTTTTCTCTTTGGCCATGCAACACTTATTTCCATATATATTTAGTATATGAATATATATCCGCAGACGCATTAATTATTTGTTTATTACTTTAGTTGCAATTTTACACTTTTATATTTTCCAATAATTTCCCACAGTTGCTTTATGGGTTTGTTCCGTTTTTAACAAGAAGTGCAGGGCAGTTGATTTGATCATATGCTGATTTTGCAACAAAAGCGTAGAATATCCATTTACTTGAGCACACTTTCATTATATAAAATTCGTAGTGAGGTATGTGTACATATTCATTATTACTACTTCGACGAAAGTAAATTGTGGTGTAGACCCATATTTATGTATATTTAGTTGTGCTTTATTTTTTAAATATTTTAAATAAAATGTAGTGTTGCGTTGTACCGAGTCGATTTAGTCTGTTTTGTTCAATATACAAAGATAGAGTAAAAACAGAACAACGGAATTGAGAAATATAACGCTGCGAGAGATACTTACATAAATCGTGTATATAAGTGCCATGAGAATCGACAAAGGCCGTGATACATAGCTCAGAATTTGCTGAGTAAATTGCGCAGAGAAGTCGACGAACGCCAACAACGAAGAAGCCTTCAAAATCACAAATCACAGAGTTTGAGATAGTTGACACTGTTGGGCGATGACGGTGAGATTTCTTTACGTACTATTATACATGATACATGAGCACATCCAGCTGTAACATAGTGCTATTTGTTTAAATATTTACTTTACTGAGAGCGAAGAAGCAATTTTTCGCGAGAGCGTTGGTAAATATTTACAATTACACATACATATGTACATACTTACGCATGCATATACAAATATTATTATATACGAGTCGACTGCCACTAATTTCTCACAATGACGTTAAACCAAGCTTAGGTTTGCAGTGCGTAGTGTGGAAATAAATATTATGATCGAGTCTTTCTTTCATTCTTTTTAAATATTTTGTCTTCTGAAAAAAACTGTTTTTGTAACCGCTGAGCGATTTTCGTCCGAGCTCCTCTTCCAATAGGTGATGTGCTTTTTGAGGGGTTTCCAACAAATGGATTTACACTTAAACACAAAAACAGTAAATACTTGGGTTTAAAATTAGTAACTAACGTATTCAACTGCAAATTCAATTTATAGCACTCAATCTGTTTTCAAATCACTTTTTTCAGAACACTAGAATACCTAAATTTTCAAATTCCATATCATTTTTATTTCATTATTTTTATTTTAATATGATATGACATATAACCCTAAATGTTCATCTTCATCTATTCGCATACGTTCAAGCATAGATCCGATTGGCATTTGCGTGACGGTCTTTGAGTAACGAGGAATACATTAAAAAAAAACTTATTATTTGGTATTATATGATGCTTGATAAGGAGTTTTTGTCATTCTTTGCAATATCAATGAGAATAAAAATTCTATAAAATATAGAAAACCACAACAGCCTGTGGCCGGGTTTGCTAGAAATCCAATGAATGGGTTCTACACCTTGCTAGGATTATACCACTCTTGTGTGCTTTGACTGATATTCGATGTTTGGTGCTCGTTGTTTTTGTTGTTGTTGTTGTTGTTGTCCTACTCTTTGTTGGAGAAACATTAAGAACTACACCATAAATTGAAGGAGGAACTCGGCCGAAAAGCGTTTCAGAGATTCCAAAGCGCCAATTATATATGCATATATGTATATATATACAAACATATATAATATTTAAACTCCGATTTCGCCCCATCTGTAGGTCAATCAGGATGTTTCAGTATATCCACCAACATTAATCAAATATGACTCAGTCTAACGATTATCGAATAATTTAGTGCTTAAAACTGGTACTAGTTCGCTACTTGAATCAAGACATTTTCACACTCATGACGCTAATCTACATAAATGTATATATGTATATATATATATATATATGTTTGTACATTTTGATATTTCTCTCTCTGCATTTGTCACACCATCAACGCCAAATTAGAGTCAAGTATTCAACAAAAACGTTTAATTTTGTTAAACTATTTCTCAGAATTGTAAAGGCTTGTGGATTTTAAATTTAATCCAAAATTTTACCACACTTTTATTTTTGCTTTCTTCTTTTCATTGAATTTGTTCGTTTGGCGTTAATTTACCATTAAAAAAGAGTCTTCGTTTTTTCATCTTCATCGGCGTTCAAATTGCTGAGCATGACTCATGCAACTATCTACACACATATTTTTTGATATTCATATTTATGCTTTGTTGCTTAGTGGATGCATTATTAGGTATGTACATACATATGTAACTTATCCGATTTCTCCGACACTTTTACCCTGTGCCAAATCGCGGGTTCACATGCCTACAAATGAATACAATTCTCATTATGTCGGCACATATCTACAAATGTACATTGACACTTGAATGAGCTATTTTTAAGTGGGATCCTTTGTTATTAAATAAAATTATCTGTATGTCTTGATTATGCGCATATGTATGTACGTCTATAATCTTAGAACACATCCAAAATCGTTTGATACGATAAATATGCTTTCAGAAGAGCAGCTAGCCATTTGGAATACCCGCATCAAAGGTCTTTTTGGAATACTAATAAAAATATATTACACAAAGCTGTTCCATAGTATGGTTGCCTTTACCTCGTATGTTGTTGCAAGTGAATGCAGAAAGTTTGTCGTCGATATATTCTCCTTCTCCTCCGGACCGTATAGCATCAAATTAAGACGGTCCATCAAATGATGCACCGAATGCGCATTGGGGGAAACTGTCCATTCAGCAAAACCTATCAAAGTGCTTTCTTCGAGTTTGTCCTTATAAGCTTCGTACTTCTGCATTTGTTGGAATCTAGAAGAAATGCGGTTCATTGTGTCTTGGATGTCGTTCATTTTGGTCATGAGTGGTAAATTTTGATGTATGAATACTGATATAGACTCCACCGCCAATGCGACATTTTGAGCATACTGAAAAAAGAAACTTCAATTATTTAATCGAACCGAGTTATTTATATGTATACATAAATACGTATATAGTACTTATTTTATACATACCTTTTGTTCTGTTTGGTCTATTTGGCGACTCATTTCTTTCAGACGTTGCAGTACTTTACGCTGCTTTTCACGCATCAGTGGAAACTCAATATTTTTCACCATTTGCGATTGCTGGACTATGTCCCATGCTTTTAGTACACCTACCGTTACTTCCTTCACCACATGAATAACATCAAGTACATCCTCTATAAGGGCATTGGCAGGCGGTGGTGTGGCGGAAAGTAGGAAGAAAGTTACCACAAGCAAAGATAGACTTTTAGTCGGCGGCAGCATAGTTGCTATTTTTATACATAAATCAAATTGTTGTTGTAGCTAAATGAATGAGATCTCTGAATTTTTCCAGTAATTAGTTTGTATTCCAGTCGTAATAAGGCAGTTTCAGTACGAAAATAGTGTTCTTCGAAATTTATCACACAACAAGCAGAACATGAGTAGGCTACTTGAAACGCGTTTTACCTGAAGAATAACTTCACGCACACACCGAACACGCCGCGACAACTCAACCCGTCAGAAGCCAAAATACGAATAAAGAAATTCGCTGAGAAGACTGACTCAGAGAGTGTCGAATAAGGCACTGGCAAACGCTGTTACCGACGCACACATGTACATATTCATATGACAACAACGCGCTCTATTAACCAATGATGACTAGATACGAAACTCTTTATTCCGTGAGAGCGCTCAAAAATCCGCATTTTTTATAACATTTCTGAACAGTGCCACTGTGATAGAAAAATTACTTCTTTGGATTTTTAGGTATATTTTGGGTATTTTATTACAAACAACGGAGTCTTTAATTGCGATTTCACTAAAATATTTTATTAAGAAACAATTCAATATTTAATTATATTAAGTTTTCATAATAAAATTACAATAATTTCTTTAATATTTACTGCTGAAGCAAATTTCTTTTGAAACAAAAATAATGGATTTTTTTATTGACATAGTGGCACTGGTGCGTTTTGCACATCAGATGTTGAATGTTCCCCGATCTGACACTGCTGCCAACATTAGAATGTGAGATGGGGGAACGCTCTCAGCTGCAATTTGAGTGATTTTGAGTAAGTTTCGTATCTAGTCATCTTTGCTATTAACTATACGATGCAGTGGTGTATGCTAACATTCTCTTGGCAACTGCACTCCTACTCCAAAAATGTTGAAACAATTGCAAATCGGAATTTCAGAAAAGGGTGCACAAATAGTTATTAGGGTGGACACATGTGCAGTTACAATACATTAGGCTTGTAAATCGTAAGAGTTGTGAAGTTGAGTTAACCAAGCCAAGATGCTCGTGCAGGATTTTAAAACCAGTTTTTTCTTTAGTCGAGCGTCTTCAAGGACAAAGTTTTCAACTTTTAGGATAAATTCTGGCGTGGTCACCTCGATGGTACTGCCTGGCGTCGGGTCGTTTTGAGGAGATTCCCTTGCTTGTTTAAATAAACACCAACACTTGTAAATCGCGGTATTCCCCGGACAAGAGTCTCCGTAAATCAATGACATTTAATTCATTATGGTCGTAGGTGATTCTTCTTTTTGTTGGTTAGGAACTTTTTAATGCCACCATATTCGATTTATTCAATATTTCGCTTTTCACTCTCGATATGCTGCTTGGTTGACGATGTCTCAAAGACTAATTGTCTAACAGCAATGAAACCTCATGATCATACTAAGTATGAGTCACTGAACACATAAAACGCTTTTGTAGTGAGAAGAATTTTCGTTTCGCGGTATTTTTTATTGATTCAAATAGTTGATCGCAATCAGGGGACAAAAAAATAACACCCTTACAAAAGAACACTGTCACCCAAACCCAAAGATATATAACCCTTCACGTATCAGACTCTTTATTCGAAGCTCATTGAGCCCACAACAACGGTTCAACCTCGCCTTTCAACCAGCCAACCGACCAAATGTTCTATATATTTGTACACACTATAATAAAATTATTTTTATTTTGCAGAGTTTCTTCTATGAGATATTGGCTGGAAAATGGGTGCGGAATGGCCTACAAATCAAAGGTCAGGCTATGACTTATATACAGGCGAATTTTTGCAATTCCATGGCCGATATGGACTTGTTCTTTTTGCAAATCTGCGCTACTAATTTGCCACAATACTTCTTCCTGCAGAACACAATTGAACTCTTTGGTGTTGGCCAGTGGTTAGAGTTGGCACCACTGAAACTGCCTCAAAAGATGGAGCAATGCTCAATGCTAGAGGGATTTCTAACATTTTTAGCAACGCTCGTTACTAGTCGTACGAATCTCGGCAATGACGAAGCTACACAGTGTATCATTGAGATAAGCGCATTGCTGGCAACTGAAAATAAGACACATTCACAGCTGTTGGAACTGATGCCGGAAAGATCTGGGAATGTACATACGAAAAACTTTGAGAAATTTCTTAAAAAACTCTCCGTTTACAAGGCACCATCTTCCGGTTCAGAGAACTTGGAACAAGGCCTTTTTACCCCAATTGATGATGTGTGGGAAGAGTACTACGATCCGTTGCATGTACTATTACGTGCGGTGCATCGTCGGGACTTTCAGTCGTCCTTGGATCGTTTCACAAACTACGTCAAGAGTAAGAATAAAATGCCAGCTAGTGGTAATTTGTGGCCACCATTTCGGTTGCCGCGTAAAGTGGGCTCGGCATTTAGTGATCCATGTCGCATTTTGAGCTCCCGAGTATTTCACTCCACCGTACTGTCAATTTTATTTCGAGCCGTACACTCACGCGACGTGTCTGAGCACTTGCTGGCTTTGGCGATATTTCTCCTGGAAGTTGCTGTTGAGAAGAGCGAAGATACAAACAGCCTTGGAAGTGACAAGGCTGCCGTCGTAGAGTGCGAGCCCAAGAACAAACATGGCTATCCATTTACAATGCGGCGCGACCCACCAAAACTCTTCCATTGTTATCCAACAGATAATCTTAGTTGTAATTTACGATATGTCGTTTCAAAACTCTCGCTGAAATCTCATGAACCGCAGGTTTCGCCAGCGAGCTATCGCTCCAATCAATTTTACGGTGATTTAGATTACGACGTGGAGGCTGATGCGACGACTGCTCTACCTATGATCGGCGGCAGTGATGACGATTTAGATGATGACTCAACGAGCGTCAGTATGGCCACCGGAACTTCGACGGCGATGGTGCGCATGCAGAATATGGAGGTGGCCTTACCACCAGATCTGTCAGTAGTACCAGAGCAGGCTTTGGTGATTCGACAAGATAGTCAAGAAGACGATGCGTCGCGTGAGGCTGATAATGCAATAGAAGGTGCCTCACCATCAGGAGGTTTCTTCTCCTTGCGGCCGATAACATTGCCTGAGAGTGGCATGGAAGTGGCTATACGAAGAGAACTACAATTATTGGCTGGTGGCAGCGTTACACCCGGTGGAGGTGCAGGTAGTGGTGGGGTTGGTGGTGGTGCAAGTGGCTCGGGGAGCGGTGCCTTGAGACGGACTACAGAAGCTCAACAGAATCCACAGCAACAAAATGAGATGTTTTCACCTACCACCAATAATCCTCCTGGTATGTTGCTGCCATTTCAACGAGTACAAGCTGTGGCTATACCAGTCGGTAGTCGGAGCGTGGTGCCCGCTATAATGCGCGGCGGATTAGGAGTGAGTGGACGTCGACCTTTCGACTCGGGTGCAAGAAAACGCACTACACAGTTGGTGGATAATGCAATTGGTGGACAAAACAAAGACGAATTGCCCATCGAGGAAAGTATACTTTCGTTGCTTTTAAAATTGCATTCACAACTAAGTGGCACCTTGGACAGTTTCTCCTTAAGCGATATTGATGATGAGGAGGAGGAGGAGGAGGAAGAAGAATATACGGCAGACAAAATGCAAGCTTCGGATGCAGACACGACAAAAGGAATACGCAGAAATATGGAAATGGAAACGCAAACAGAAACGGAAATGAGAGCCGCGATTTCATCTTCGGCAGGTACTTCAAGTACAGGGCGCACTTGGAGGGCGGAGGATAATACACCACATGACCTTGCACACTCCCCCTCCGCCATGGATGTAGACTGCTCCGAGGCAAGCACATCGACAGCTGCTTCTAATTACAACTTAGATTCTAGTCAACGGGAACACATCTACAACAGAACGGGTAGAAAGCGAAATCGTAATTATAGAAAGATAAGAGTGTCCGATTCTCGTATAGGCGATGGTCCTTACTTTATTGGGAACCTAATAAGGAAAATAGCTAAACGTGATGAGCTGTGTGCCCAAAATATTGACGAAATACGTTCTCGGTTATGGCCAAATCAACGCGAAAAACAGGCTGAACAAAAGGCACGAGAAACTAGAGAAAAGGAAGAACGCCGAAAACGAGCTCGTGAGCGGCAAATGAAGATGATGCAAGATTTTGCAAATAAACAAAAGGAGTTTATGCAAACAGCTGCTCATAATATGGAGTGCGGCATAGATGATGAGGACGATGATATTTTCGAAGAGCAGCCGCGAGAAAAAGAATATGATTGTATCATCTGTAACTGCACGACGCCCAGTACAGAAGCGAATCCCATAGGCTTAGTGGTATTGGTAGAATCCAGCGGTATTGTTGGGCATCGTCGTCGTACTGTTGAAAGGTTGCCAATGCCACTTTCTCCCGAAGATGAGGAGCGTTTGAAGCAGATAACACGCTTAGCAATTGAATTCAATCGACGCACTGAACTGCTAAGTTTGAAGTTTGGGGAAGAGTCGTGGTACCTCTCCAATAATATGTCCTACGAAAATGGGGTACACGTACAATCTTGTGGCCACCATGTTCATCTCAGCTGCCTCGATGCATATTTGAAAACATTGTACGCCACACAACGCCAACATCAACATGAACGGGGAGAGTTTTATTGCCCTGTTTGCAGGCAACTCTCTAACTCGGTACTTCCGTTGAGTCCTCAATTGGACAGACCAACGCCCATGGTACGTTCGGGTACGCAGCCTTTCGAGCAGCTTGTTGCTGAATTAACGAATCTTATCAAAGAAAACGTGAGGCCAACGGTAAGTGCAACACACCTCTCACTCATTCCTTCATTTGTTTTTACGTATATATTTTGCATTTTCGTTATTTTGTGATTCAGCAGACGTCAACGAAACTGTCGGAAGCCATGGGCCGAGCTATGGAGGACATGACAAATATAACTCATCGGAAAATGAAACGTGTTCCACCCACACTGCGCAGTCTATTTGTCTTTGTAACATCGATAGCACGTACAAATTTGGAGTCAGAGATTATACAGCGTGGTGGTTCACTATGCACCACAAATTCAACACGTTACAAACCGAAGCGTGACTGCATCGTGCCTTTGTTGCATGTTTTATCTGTACATGTTCGAGTGTTGGTGGAATGGCCTTTATGGCGATCGTGGGCCTCACTAGCTGGTTTGCCAGTTACTGATTCTGCGCCAGTACCTTCGCATTGTCTCGAACTGATACCCAGTCTCTTGGCAGACCCAATTGCATTGCTGTTAAAATTCATTTTACTAGCACCGTTACATTTGGATCAAGGTGAACTTTCTATGAAGAATATGTAATTGAAAACCATATCTAATCGAAATTTTCCATTTACTCCCATCAAGATTTCTTTACATGCATGGTTAAGGTTATGTACAATCTATTGTACTATCAAATAGTAGTCCAACTATGCATTACACTCACAGATTTAGAATGTGATTATATAATAGCCAAATACAACAAATCTCCTACGATGGATGAAGCTGATACCGGCGCACGACGATGCACAACTCGTACCGGTGGTAGCGGATCATCAAATATGCCATATTTGGGTAGAGCTATGGCGTTAGTATTGAATCATACAAACCGTATGTCACATTTGCGTCGCGAGAGTATACCGAGCACTTCCACAGCCGCAGCTGCTGCTATGTCTGGTTGTGGAGCATTAAACACATTTTCTAACCTTGGGAACACATCGAGTAGTACCGGAAGTGGAGTAGAAGCGGGCCCGCCTAAGTCACAGGTCGAAGTTAATCTAAAATCCATGGAAGCTCAACTGCAAACACTCTGCCTCCCATTTTTACGTATTGCAGCATTGTTGCGGCAACATCTTTATAGGCATGACATGCCAGAAATATCCGCGCCAGGCTTAGAGTTCGTACGACTCATTTATTACTTAGAACTAGTAACAGATTCAATGGACTGGGACTGTTTTAATGCCTCCAAGGGATTGTGCTTCTTTGCTGGCACTGAACTAACATTGCCTAAATTTTGGTGTGAACAGCTGATGGATATTCGCCCGCCAACAGACACAGTGCGTGAGCTCGTCATATTAAATCAGCATGCATCATGGCAGCAACCGAAACTTCTTGAGTTGCCACGCGAATACGAGCGTTTATTTACGGTATGTTTGGCAAAAATTTAGTTGTACATTTAAATAATTCGATCTGTTCTTTCTTTTTAGTATTACCACGAACGTCCATGTCTGAATTGTTATAAAGTGCCAAAAGAGAGTTCGATTTGCTTATTATGTGGCACGATTGTGTGCCTTAAGCAAACATGCTGTGCAGAAAATGATTGTTGTGAGGCTGTACGCGTAAGTGGGAGTTTTTATTTTTATTTTTTTTTTTTTATTTATGTAATATTATATATAAGTTTAATTCTACATATTGCATATTTCTTTTAAATTTTAGCACACAATCACCTGTGGTGGAGGAATCGGAATATTTCTTGTAGTCACGTCCACATATATAATAGTTATTCGGGGACGGCGTGCTTGTCTGTGGGGTTCGTTGTATTTGGACGATTTCGATGAAGAAGACCGAGATTTAAAGTGAGTTTTTAACTCTTTGAAAAGTTTTTTATTTTTTATTGAGAAAATCGTTTAAATCAAATCGCTTCAATTTTTCGACGCAGGCGTGGAAAGCCCCTTTATCTCAGTCAGGACCGTTTTGACCTGTTGGAATCGCAATGGCTTTCACATAAATTTGCGCACACGAAACATACATGGGTATTTCATCGGGATTTATTGTGAAATATGGAAGAACTATTAAGAAGTATACAAGAGTTAGTAGGTCAAATCTAATCTATATAACTATCTATCTAACTGCAAAAAAATTAACGAAATACGTATATTATGGACAATGTTCAAATCTCATTTAAAATATAGCTAAACGAGTTTATGAAATGCTTTGCAAACATTTAAATACGGCAAATAGATGCTTTGCTGATATATATGTATTAATAAGCTATCTAAATTTCAGTTGTATATCTCGCAGCTTGTTTACGTTTACAAATAACGTAGCTAATTAAACAAAAATAAATAGAAAAAATGCAAATGCTAATCGGCTCAATGTCGATATGTAATACATCAATACCGTGTGTGTATAATAAATAAGCAAAAATCAAAAGTTAGCGTAGGAATTAAATTGCATCCAACTACAAAACTTGTACAGGATATACAAATATTGCTGAAGTGTTCTTTATAACGATATTATTAAAACTTACCAATTGATTTTAAGTAGAATTTCAAAAATTTTAGCGTCATATATTAGAAAAAAATATTACACAATATATATGCGCACAGAACGGATGCCTCGTTTCTTACCATCAATACACTCGTGCTTTAGAATATAGCAATAATAATCCCGTCTTTGGTGTAGTGTGTCTAAGACGTACACACAGTGAAAACTTATGCTAATACTTCTGAAAATAATATTAAAGTTAATTGAAAGCATTATAAAAATATTATTAAAGTTGTAAGACCTATATATGTATTTATAATATTCATTTATGTGATATATATAATAATAATAGAACGTTTAAAAGTGAAAGAAAACTAAACATATTTGAATATTCAGAGAGACTTATATTTTCTTTTTTATAATTTATTCAAATTGCATTCGAAATAATATACTAAACAAAATCGAATTGAATAAATGGGTGACCCTTGAATTGATTGAAGGTTGGCCCCTACATAACTATAATGCTCTTATTTTTATTCATATCATTAGCTAGATGAAGATATAAATTTCATTCGAGACAATTAAAAATATATAAAATATGTGTATCGCTGACGAAATGTAGAAAAGTTCTAACTGTTTTTTAAATAAAGTTGAAGAAAATGATTTTCTTTAAAAAATTAAAAAAAAAAATGTTAAACTATTATTCCAAGGTTCTTGCAATAGTATGATTGGATTATAAGCAATTTCTAAAAAACTTCGACAGCATGAACTTTTCTACATATAGGGATTTGTTTGTTATTAGCTCGATTTGATTTATTCATAATCTTAATTCCTATATACTCACACAGTTAAAAAACAAAAAATCATGAGTTCAAACTAACTATTCCATATTTGGGTATAATATTATATTTTCCCTCCAATTCAGCAAATGTAAATTTTTTTATATTAATTCATCATCGTGCTAAACTTGCTTTCAACGGAGTAGATCTTTATCGAGCTAATCGAGTGGATCTGGTAAAGAGACGATAAGACGAAATATCCCAGTCTTCAAACGACACATTCGCCTCTTGGTTCTCATGTTACTGTTGACAGTCATTAGTGTGAAGTCGTAGCTACCAACAACAATGTGGTCCAGCTGGATAAGAATACTGCAGTTTTGAAAGTTTTCGATGCAGTACCTTCCAGTGGAAACAGAGTAAGAGGAATATCTTCACTACGGAATGACCAGGTGTAAAAAGACCTGGTTGTACTTGGTACTTTCATTCGCTCCAAAAAAAAAAAAGAAATGGAAATATGCTCAAGACGGTTGGGATTTAACTGCCAATGTATTAAGGATTCGTAAAAATATGCAACAACTATTTTTACAATAATGATTTTTATAAGAAGGCTCTTAACCCTGCATAACATATGTATGTCTGCCAAACATATGAGCTTTTCGGTTTTTGCTGTCTGTCCGTCAATTACTCACTTAATTGAGTAGATTCAATAACTAAATTTCTTTGTCAGAAATCGTAGATTGGAAGCATGCAATTAGAAAAATTATGAGTTGATAAGAGATGATTTTAGAAGTAAAAACAGGAAAGCAAATCGAAAATTTGACTACACGTATGCCTAGTACTTGATGGAAGAGTTGAAAGTCAGTATGTAAAACAGCATCTAATCTGAAATCCCTATTTCTGCATAGTATACATGTTGACGGCCACGGTAGCCGAGTGGTTAGTATTGCGTACTGCCATTTGGAAGTTTCGGGTTCAAATCCCCGTGCGCTGAAGGAGGAGCTCATCGGAAAATTTACTTCAGCGATTACAAAGCGCCCTATATATATATATATAAATATGTATACATATGTACATAAGCCTATAAAACTTCACCCTTAATAACTAGCAATAAACAATTGCTTTTAATACAAGCGTAATTTGTGAAAAATATCCAAATTGGCGGACCCGGTAGCCGAGTGGTTAGAATTGCGTATGACCAACATTCAAATGTCATAGATCGCCCCTCGCAGGGAATGTCAACTCTTCCGAGTGTACTTCTGACATGAAATTCAAGAGCTCCTCATAAAAAATCATCAGCCGTTCGGAGGCGGCTTAGTATAAACATCAAGACTCAAAGAACGTACCACGAATTGGAAGAGGAGCTCAGCCGAACATCTCTTAAGCGGTTACAAAGCGCCAAATATAAATATATAAGTAGTTGGCGAAAGTATCAGTGTCTTTTCAACAATATGCGCCTACCAGAGGTATCCTTATGAATTGAAGAGTGAAAACTAACGTGAAAGCTTGGTTAATAGCAAAGTCATTAGAATGAAGAATATAGTCTTTGGGAGTGGTCTAAGCTGGAGGTGAGTACGTAAAAATAATATATAATATAAACTACAATATACGAGGTTTATCTAGAAAGTAAGTATACTGAGGGCGGAGGGATTTTATTTGTCATGCTAGCCAGACTTCTTCCCGCGTGGTAGTATCGCGAGTATAAAAACGATTGTAGGTCTGAGGAACAGAGGCACTTTTGGACCATCCTGCATGTTTCCCTGATCTAACAGCTTCTTATTAATCTCTCTTTACCTCACTATTGCTGCACATGGGTGGAAGAATGTTTTTTAGACAATGAGGAGGTAAAAGAGGAGCTGGAGAAGGGGACGAAGGGATTGACGGGAATCACTTTTAATTAAATGGTTATATGAATAAAAAAATTATTGCGTTTGGAGTAATGATAATCATCATATCATTGTTTGGTGTGCTGTATGGGCACCATAGATTCATATATCTTCAAAAATGAAGCCGGCCATAACGTTACAGTCAACGAGGAACGCTATAGAGCCTTGATTAATGAATTTTTCCTGCCTGAACTGGATGTTGATGTGCATGACAAAATTTATTGAGGAAAACTTTCGGGGAGCGTAATATCTCATGTAGCCTGTGCGATCTAGGGATCGTACGATCTAGCACAGCACAGCACGATCTAGAAGTCGCTTATCTACGCAGATAAACCCGAGAAGATTGACGAATTGGGAGAGAACATTCGGCGAGTGTTCCCCAATTGCTGCAGCCGTGGCGGTCACTTGCCCAAAATGATTTTCAAAAAACGTTATGAAACACCCTTATCTTTGTAATAAAGTTAAACTCTTGGGCATTATTTTAAATTATATGCGTTTTATTTCTCCTTTCTTAAAAAAAAAAAACACCCTTTATTTTAAAACGCAAAGGTTTCACTGCAGTAGCTCATTTACTTCTCAAGCTGTTCTCTTGCGAAGAGTGAGAATGAAGTATTTACAATTGTAAACAATCACAAATCGCTCAAACCAAAAGCTGAGCGGCGGTGTGAATAAGTGATTCAATCCAAATGTTTGCCATAGAATCTCCCACACAATGTTAGTAAAATACTCATGTGTCGGTAGTGAATAATACAATATCGCCAGAACAAGAACTAATCGGAAGAAGTTCATTTTAAATGAATATTTGCGCCACTTCGTCTTCATTATTATTGTGGTATTGTATGTTAGGCTTGATCGCCAATTGATCGATTACAACAACATGAGACAATCTTTGTAGATGCATATAAACATACTTGAATATACAAACATTTATGTACATTTACGCCGTTGGTGAAATAGCGATATGTAACTGGGAACTTTTTTAACGGAAAAGAAAAGCATCCTTCAATTCGGAAAAAAATAATATGACAGAACAGTCTTTCTTTCTATGGTTAGGTCACTGTTAAAAGTGGTGCATAGTCGCTGGCCTTGAAGATATATTTGTAAAATTGGAATGTGTTCTTTTAATGCTTTTTGACATCTGCAGTAGAAGAAAACAATGTCCTTCAGCTTTGTTTGAAAGGTGCACATACATATTATCATAGCCTAATGCTACAAATACTCATCTTAGATACATATCATCAGTCCATAACACCCGAGCACTGGTATTTTCAGCGGGACAACTGTCAGAAACTGCATCGGGAAGTGGTGACAACTTTTCATTTACATGGCACTCTCATAAGATAGGCTGCTATGAATGGAAGGCATGTAAGTTGGGTGGTTGCAGCATAAGCGGTATAGTCAACCTCCTATGTAAGTCGATATCTTCTTCAATATTCAATTCGGCGAGAGATACATTTAAAGAAGCCCTAATCCAGCTAATTGAATGCGTTTCAACTGATACTTTGTACAAGTGCGCTCTATACTTTAAGGGAATCAACTCAACATTCGTTCTCTTTAACTTTCATACATTCACATACATCTTAATGTCCACTTATTCGTCCTTTCACAATTCTTTTTAGCCATTATCATTTATTTAGGATAAAAATGATTACAAAATGAGGAAATAGGTATGTAGTATGCAACCAGTTCTCTAGCTTTAGATGAGTACTTTTCATGTAGGGTGTATGCGACAGCGGCGCTTTTCAGGAACTCGAGCAATTTTATAATGGAAATAAATACAAATGCCGTAAATTCCCATATGTTGGTATGTATGTACACATGAGTTTCTGAGTATGCATGTAAGAGATGCCTCTGTAGCATATACATACAAATGTAGGTGCATAAATAGGTGTCAGTCAGTGTAGAAGGCGCCATGAAACACGAGCGCTCTTTGGAACTCAATGGATACAACAGAGAAGAAACCGGCAAATTGCATTCACTCGCAATTGTTGGCCGGCCGATGGTGCTATCAGTCTCGATCGTTTGCTTGCTCTGCTTTTGAATGTGTGTGAACGTGTTTACATACAGATATTATTATTTAAGTATTGAGTAACAACAATACATGCCTTTTCGATTCAATGCTTTAAATCAGACACTTCAGCCCATTTTCACTCAGTACGATTTTGGAAACCCGGCTGAAAATATCGCGGTCGAACACACACGTGGTCGAAACGGCGTCAGTGAGAGTGACAGTGACAGTGACCGTCGTTTGTTCTAATACTGTACAAAGTAGAGGGCAATTAAGAAATAAAAAATTGTGGAAATGCCTAAATCCAAATAGATTCCCATTCGCAATAGAAACGTTTGTTACTGATTTGTGTTTGGCATGGAAATTTTAATATGTATATAATATTCTAAGGCAAAATTGAGTTCCAGGAAGCCAAAGCCAATAAGTATTGCACGCGAAAAAACAAAGTGAATCACTAAAACATGACAATTCGAAGATCTTTACACTGCATGAACCACATGAATGGACTCTATTCTTCTGTTTTGTTTTTTTAATTAATTCCATACATATATATGTATGTATATATATATACATATGTACACAGACATATACATATGTTAATTTATACAATACATAAATTCACTGGCATTATGTTTGTTACGTTCGTGCTGTGGCATTGACTAAAACAGCGGTCAATTCCTTGTAAATAATAAAACTTTTTTTACATATGTATATATGTATATATAAATTTATATTAAGACATATATAGTAAATATATATGTACGTATATAAATGTACATATCTACAAAATATGCATTCACCTAGGCATGCGCCAATACAGATGTTTGTGTCTACTTATAAATACTCATGAAGATTTTATGCATCATTTCTTCATTTTTTACGACATTTACGAATTTTTGCCAATGATGTATACCTTTGTTTTTTTTTTTTTTGGACAGGAAGTAACACACACACACACACACACACACAACTTGTTGAAACTAAAGTTCAGCTTTAATACTTATTTTGTATAAACAATACTTATTCTAAGGGTTTAACGGTTGTCCCTAAACTTTTAATGCCATTAATCACAACCAACAGTTCTATGGATATTTACGACATTTCAACCACAACTTAATCAGAAAATTTCATGGACGAAGTTAAAGTTACTCATCCGACATGTTTAATGTCTGATGGCTGACATCTTTGTATTCGGTGCCTAAGGGCTAAGTTTAAGGTTAATTCAGTGACAGAGCGTGAACAAAGTATGTTGGTTGGTTAAAAGACGGTGGTTAGGGGCCTGATCGCAAGCACATGAGCAGGTCCATTGAGCTGCCCGTGTATCCCAACTAAGCGTTTGTGAATAGTTCGCTCGGTTTTAAACATTTTTTAGGTTCTTCTAACCGTGAGTGCTCCCTCCGTGAGGTCGGACACTCGCAAAAATTTAGTGGCACGACCTACGCTGGAAGAGTTTCAAGACCTGAAGTATTCCTCGTCCGCATTTTCAAGTCACATAGTGAAAAACTGCTTTATTTAAGTTTTCAGTTGAATGCTGCGATTTGCTTATCCGCGCAGAACAGAACTGGTGTAATTACAATAAATTATTAAAAATGAATTAACATATATAAATAAATATTAAAGTTTGTTTTTGCTACCTCTTTTGTTTAAAATACACGTGGTTTTTGGTGGTTTTTCAAAAAAAAAAAAAAAATTATGTTCCGTTTCCGTTCATAAAGTACACAGTTTCGCTCAAACTTTCCTTATCTGTGCTAACGTGAAGTGATAGCTCTTTTTCATTTTGGTTTTTACACTTTCTTTGCGGAAATTGTATAGCATTTCGACGAGGAAACTAGGACAACGTCTTCTGGAATTATCTTCTTCGGGAGTACCACACAATCCGTTGTTTGAGGCTCACGAGTGTCATTTACTATGGTTTATTCTCGAGAATAATATTCGTCTAGGCCTTACGCATTTAATCAAGGATATAAAATGATGTGAGAAAAATATTTAATATTTTGCATGTGAATTTGTTTTTTTGTTGCGTTCATGGACACACATATTTACATCCATGCATATACGTGTACATACTACATGTGTGCTCATGCTGTGAAAATGTACAAATGTGCGTATATATTTATGCATGTAGGCATGTGGGCATGTGGGCATGGGTGAGTTCAAAGCGTACGCATGCACAGTGCTTGTCTCCAGAGTCTCGCTCAAGTTTTATATTTCATTCACAAAATCTATTGAGCGCATGAATGAACGTATGTCTGGTTGCCTGAAGCAGTTAATAACAGAACGAAAGAGTGAATGGGAAACCGAAAAATCGTAGTTTTATGTATGTCGTAAATTATTTAAAGGTGTTGGTATAAAAGTCTATACCAACACCTACATACAAACGTAATTTGTGAATGAAGTAAAAATTAAATAAAACCCTGCGACCAATCGATTGAAAAGTAATTTGGATAGTGAAATGCTGACAGCTATCAGGTGAATAAAAATTAGCTGCCCACATATTATATGAAGGTGTTTTGTTTTATATTAAAATATTATTATGTCATGATATACAATATTAACTTTAATGAGTTGAGTTGACTTAGGCATGTCCGTCTGTTCGTCTGTTTGTATGCATTTGTATTTAAACCAAACTTGGTATACAGATATTGTTATACATTTATATGATAATTTGTCGAATTTTGGGTGACAAATCCGTTACAAAAGCATCATATCATACGGAAGTACCGAAAATGTTCGAGGTCGGAGGCCTATATCATTTTATCCTCAATACAACCGATTTTTCAGATGTGAAGTTTTTCCTCGAAAATACGTGAAAAAGGCTTTCGCAATATACAAAACCGAAAATCAGCGAAATCGGATGACGATATACTCGTAATATAGCCCACTCCAATCAATGTTTTAGATATGAGAATTAATATTCAATCCAAAAAGTGTAATGAAAGGACCAAAGGCAGCTCTTCTTTCTTGTTTTTATATGTTTTAGATGTTCTACGGGAATAGAAATTAGATAGAATTAGGATATTACGTATATGTAAAAACTGTCTTTCGATTAATAAATTGCTGACCTTCGAATCAACTGTCAAAATAATTTTACCAGTTACAGTAGGCAATATTTTTGCAGCATAGAACTTGGCAACTGCTTGAAACGGGTTCTCAACTTCAGTTTCATTAAAAAGCAGAATCTTCATAGAAAAAGTTTTTTTGTTTATATCAAAAGTAAATTTATTACCGCTTCACTGGTTGCCATTGTGGAGAACTGTTGTTGTTAGTTTTTTCAATCAAGCTGTTCGGCTACCTCATCATGAGTAATCAGAAGCGACAACAATAACAATATTCGTACGCGTCCAACATGCGGGGGTTAAAAAAACGGAACGTTGGCGTTGAACATTAAGTGCGAATCCATATGTGACAGGTGGAAGTGTAAGTGTTCGCGTATTTATTAATATGTTTTGCTTTTTTAATATGTGGATTCGCTACAACAAACAAAAAACATGCTACTATTTAATTTATTGCCTACTTAATGTGACGTTTGTTAGCAATTTATTTATTTTATTTGCTATATTACTTGCGCTCGGGTGATATATCGTGGGCAAATATTGATACTTTTTCTTAAACTTAGATCATCAACCCTGTAGGAAATGTCCCTATTCGTCTGTTCGAAAAGCCACACAACTCACTATTAATAATTTTTTTCATACATACACATTTATATATAAATATATATACATGTTATTGTTTTCGTCACTTAGAATTTCTACAAAAACACGAAAACTTGTAGTTTTTAGGTTGATAAAAATGATTATTGATATAAATAATGAATGAATGTGAAAGCTTCTACTGTGTTATCTGTCCTTATTAGAAAGGCTACATATGTATACTTGTACGTGTATGTGTATATGTGTTAATTCAATATGTATGTAGCTTTTGGGAATAAGCATAGATTTTTTTGCTTTTATTGTGATACCACTACCAGCATCTGCGCTAGGCGCCGCGGCTGTTGAAGTTATGACAGCAGCTTTATTGTCAATAGGCTTTGCTTGAGAGCTTGTCTGCTTGCCGACGTAAATGTATACATTTTCTCGTATTTATGCCTACGAGTATGCCTTGCTGATTGATTGACTGACTGCTTTATGCGGCGATGTCTTGGAGCGTTGCAATTTACTTTGTGCACAACGCCAAGCAAATGATCGGCGTCTGCCGCCTGTCGGGTGCCGTCAGCGTCAGCGGCTTGTCGCCGGTTCCTATGCAATAGATACTTGCAGTGGATAAAAATCACTCAATTTCAATGGTAATTGATACAATGAATTGTTGGGAGACCTTTGTTACTACGGCTGTCTTTTATCCGCCTATACATATCTACGCATATATATATGTATGTGCATGTACATATATTTTTTGCTACTATTACAGTAGCTGGAAACGTTGACTTCCAATTATGTACTATGTGGTTTCATTGTTGGTTTTATCTGTACCGTTGTTGTTGCTGTTGCTTTGGTAGTCGAAGTCAAGCTGGTGTTACAACAATATGAGACTGAAATAACGTGGCGCCAATCAATTGAAAAACGGAAAATAAAATATGATAATTGTATATACATACATACATACATACATATATGTACATATATGTGCATGCACACATGTGAAATAATATGAAAGTGGCTTCATCGGAAAATGTTTACTCCGTAAAATAAAAGAAATCCTTATTTTAATTATCAACAATTTCTTTAATTTGGCTGGTTTAATTGAGCACGGTTTTTTGGTCAAGTCAGACCGGTCCACCGTAAGCACAAAGAATATTTAAAAATTATTTTGAAATGATTTCCGGAGAGCTTTACATTCTCGACGAGTGGCGACGGCAATTAATTTTTTTTCTTCTATAACTTTGGATTTTGGTCGACTTTTCGCCCGAAATCGCATACCGTCTTTAAATGAGACTTCTTTAAAGGACCCGAGCCGACATTTCATCCGTTGAAAATATCAGTAGCCAGAATGTGCAAAGTCTGAACATTACAGTGAGTAAGGGAAGACCTCATTACATAATTTTTACGTAGTTTTTGACCGTTGCAGCGACGTGGAGCCGATCGTTGTCATGTTGCAAATTCACCTTGTCATGCCTTTCAGCCGTTTAAGACCGCGTTTTAAGGCAATGAACAGCTTTAAGGCATTAATTGTAGTCGATAAGTTTCGACTGGTTTTAGAAGCTCATAGTACGTAGTACGAGCCCACCACACCCGTCTAGTTCCACCATATCGGAATGTTGAGTGTTTTTATTCTTGGGATTATCGTAATATATTCACTTTTTATCTCCTGTCACGATTCTGGCCTCAACTCGCACGGCAACCAATTTCCTTGCTTTAAATAGATCCAAACTGCTTAAGCCGAATGTAAATAGCTTGATGAGTCATTTCCAACGATTCTGCTAGTTCAGGATCAGGGTAAAAACACTCATTCCCCTCGACACTAAAATCACCAATTTTCAAAATCTCCGCATAACTAATATGTAGGTCGGTGCAAATATTTTGCGAGTATTGAGCACAGAATCTCAGAGACCGATATATATAAATAAAAAATCTATGCAGGGCTTTCGCAGGCAAAGAATCCAATATCTTCGTATACTCGTATATCGCTACTCTTACTAAGAAAAAGAAAAATGTAGATTGTATGTGGGAGTCTGATTCTACTAAACCAACATGGTTTTATTTTTCAATGGAGCCGGTTTCTACGTGGCGGGTCTCAAAGTAAACATAAGTTTTTACAGCGAATACGGCTGTTGGAGAGATGAGCTGTACACGATATGATATTGACATAGTTCAGCGAATCGAAAAACATCGGCTACGCTGGCTAGGTCATGCGGTCCGGATGAAAAGAATACTCCAGTTTTGAAAGTTTTCGATGCAGTACCCGCTGGAGGAAGTAGAGGAAAAGTAAGACCTTCACTCTGTTGGAGATACCAGGTAACGAAGGACTTGGGTGTACTTGATATTTTCAATTGGTGCCATATGAGAGGAAAGGAGAAATGAATGGGGCAATGTTGCTAGCTCGGCTATATAAACCTTTTAATAAAGTGCCATACAGTATGGATTTATATAAGCTGGATTATTTTGGATTCAATTTTTATGTTGGGATTGGATCTGAATTCCGTTATTTTTGGTTCCATCTATTAATGTTTAGGTAGTTTCATTGGATTTGCGAAGATTGCTGTACACCGATCTCAAAATATTAGAAATATTACGAATGGTGTTTTCAGGTTACTTATGCGAAAATTATAAATTTCTTTCCGACCTCCTAATAATTCTTTTTTGCAAAGTTTGGGCAAGATTACGGATTTTGGCGTAAACTTCATGAGTCAATTTTCTTTTAATAAACAAATTAGCTTTACTATTTCCAAAGCTTACTCGGTGCTGGGGCTTGTGAGACAAAATAGTTCTAAATTCTCTTACTCATGTACTCATGTAAGTTATTATACGTATACAGCTTTCATTCTTTCAATTTTGGAATACGCGGCTTTTATCTGGAGCCCAAGTCATAAGAATTATAAAAATATTATTGGGCTTGCGAAAAAATCTTTCTTAAATATGCATTACGTTGATCAACTTCTCTCTTATAAATCTCAATTTCTTTTAATTATTCAGAAAATCTTAGAAACAAGAAGATCGATTTTCTGCCATCATTGACATACGAAATCCTTGCAGTGCTTACAAGTCAGTGGTCTCCTTTAGACTTTAACCGTATTTATTTTAAATTTTTATGAGTTTCTCTTCTATATGCACTAAAAAATATCGAAGAAGTTGGAGAATTTTAAATTTTCTCGATGTTTGAAAAAAGCACCTTTTGAAAAAAGAAAAAAAAATATCTCTTCGAGTTGCAAAAAAATGGTTTCAATAACAGTTTTGTCCAACTTTTTTAGTTCACGTGATTGAATTTTTTTTCGATCGGACATATATATATATTTCTATGACGCGAGAAAACGTGCTTCACAGTTCTGCCCGGGCGTACGAACCTGCTGGACGCTCGCCCACTAAAACCGGTCTGGCTTCTAAAATATGTCGAATTGGCCACTTGATTTTTGAATGCATTTTTCACATGTTTGAGTCTTAAATGAATTTAAACTGATCTCGACTATCTATTCTATCCAATTGGAATTTAGGCGGCGGACTTTAGGAAAATTGTGTAATTGTGTAAATGGTCTGTAAGGAACTATTGTTATTATCACAGACTAAATATATAAATAAATATACTAAAATTTATTAGCAGTTTTTGGTTTGCTTCTGTTGTGTATCCATTGAATTCGTACAATGTAAAGTGTTTTGTATTAATTTGCGTTTATTAAAATTGAAAGAGGGCTCACATTGTAATGTTTGAGTTGATTGACAAAGTTCAAAATCGTGTTGATGCCGGTTAAGGAACATCTTTCAGCAAGACAAAAAAAAAGTTATTTGAAAAAAAAACATCAGCTGATCACAGGCAAGCAAAAGGTTTTTTAATATAAGACCAAGGAGCAAATACAACTTCCTAAAAACAAAATGGAGCTGTTTGCTTATATAATACCTTCAATTTTCCAATGGCTATGCATGTATGGTACATCTTCGGCCAATCTCCTGTACGGTAAGTTGACATCGAAGGCATTTTGTTCTATCTTAATTTTTATTTATTTTACTTGTTTTTATTGAAGTTTAGCAAATTCTGATTTCAAATATCTAAGATCTCTTTGGAGCGAATAATGCAATATTTTTCAACTGAAATCGCTTCTACTTGCTTTTCTTCTTCCTACGATTAGGGCTGCATTCCGATGAGCTCAAGTCGGGCACACTGATAGTTCCGAAACGAGTCAATGAAAACGGAGAATTTCTCACCTACGATTTGTCATATCGTCACGATCAAAATTATCGGCACGAACATAGTCGGAGGCGTCGCAACATAGCTAAAAACTTCAATAAAGTACATTATAAACTGGATGTAGCTAATGAAACGATACATCTTGATTTAGAGTGAGCACTAAGTTTCCTATTTATTATTATAATTACTTTTGCACTTTCAAACGTTATGTCGAGGCATTTATAATTAAACTTTTAAATACATACATATAGACCGCACAGTTATTTTATGGCTCCGAGTCTGGTAATCGAGAGACACCGGCGAGATATCCGTACTCGTAAGACAACAATAGGAAATGCAGACTGTCACTTTCACGGAAAAGTGCGTGGACATGAAGAGTCAAATGTGGCCATATCGACCTGCGAAGGGTTGGTGAGTTAATTTACTGAAAATGTCCATCAAACACCATAGTTTTTATACGTACACACATGCATATAAATATTTATATATGCACATGTTTGTCGTATGCAAGTTTGTTTCTTGAATCTTTTGATTTGCCACTATGTGATTTTGTATTTTTTCTTTTTCAATAAATTTTGTTTAATTTTCACATTACTTTTATAATTAAATATATATAAAGGGTGCTTTTTAAAGCTATGGTTTTCAAGAAAAAATAAAATGCATATAATTGAATGCTTTGGCCAAGAATTTAACTTTATGCTCTAAAAATGATTTCGGACAAGTGACCGAGTGAGGGAGGTCTCATTTTCGACCACGTTTTATACCAATTAGGGCCGTATGTCAACAATAACCCGCCTAATATTCCCTCCATGGCATCAAACGGATTATATTATATTCGTATTCAAGCGGTTTCACATAACAAAGGGAATTAAATTCCAAGATCTTAGAGGCCACGTCAAAGGCTTGCGACAAGAGATGATGGGCTCATCTAAAGTGTCCTTTAATAAGTTGATTGTTTCGCTGGCAAGATTATATGTAGCGTCGTCTTGTTCGAAACAAAGGTCATCCACATCAACATACAGTTCAGGCACCTTAATCATGGCTCTACAGAGTTCCATATTGTTTGTTATTCCGGAGTAAGTCTGTTTACTTTGAAGGGGCAACCCAAAAAGACAAACTCCGAAGAAAGTTTTGCTTCAGTGAAAACTGCACGCCTAAAAATGGCGATTTTTGTCCGAGCTGTTCCACCAAATTTTGTAGTGCCTTGTGATGTTTTTCCAAATTAATTATATTCAATCAATTATCAGTTAAATTATAATAGATTTGCCAACAGTTATTAACATTTTGTTTTATTCAAAATTAAAAACATTTTATACACCAATTCAATCATTTCCCTTGTTGAAGACAACACTACTCAGACTTCACTTTCTATTACTACCTTTATTTTTGATTGCATCGTATCGATTAGGGTTTTACAAATTGAATTTCATTATTAGGTTGGCCATATAAAAACAAAAAATCACGAGTACTATATTGAACCCTCGAAGAACGATCGCGCTGACACAGTTAAGGGACATCCGCACGTGCTATTTCACAGATCGTCATTAAAACTGAAAAGAAAGGTGAAATTCACTTTACGGACTATACGGATATTATATTATATCAGTTTAAGGACGGACATTTATTTTTGCACTTTCAGAATCGCAAATCAAACCGCAAGCATAGGGATGAGTTGGTAAGCACTTGCGGCACTAAGGAACCAAAAAGATATTCTGGGACACGTCTGGAATGGCAAGCGCAGGGCAAGGTAAGAAACGGCGCCAAAGAATGTGTGGAAAGTATTTTGGATTTACAAATTGTGTATGAAAATTTTTGTAAAGCAACGTCACTCCTACGAAAAAAAAAAAAGAAAAAAATGTATTTAGCAATTTTGTTTGGTTTTTGTATCAATGAAAATGTCGTTCATAGCCTCTTGAATGACTCTGAAGGAGAATATGCGTGTGCCTCAACCGGCCAATGCATTTTATTGAACTTAAATGAACCGAATTTTTATTTGCATCTTATTTATATGTATGAATCCAGAACATTATACTACTACCAGCAGATTATACTATTTTTGAGCAGTCTCGTCTTTGATGGAACCAATAAAATATGGAAGAAAATAATGAAATGATCGAAGCTTGTTAGATTGTATTATTTATTTACCTATTACTAACTGCATATGAACATAATCTGAGCTTTCACATTTATTAGAGCTGATTTTTTTTTCCATAAAAGGTTAAAATACAAGGTGGTAGAAAAATACGTCAAGGAAATCCTCACCATGGAAACCGTCGCCGACATCAGCACCATCTCTATCCCTACAAGGAATTGAATTCATTTGGAAGAACGCAAAAGAGACAACTGAAAAAATATCAACAGGATATCGACCAGCAGACAAAATTTAAATACGAAACTCACCTAAAGGAGGAATTCAGACCCACCCACCACATCAGTTCCGACTTGAGTTTACAAAGTGGTAGTGAAATTTCAAGCCATGTGAAGAGCATACATGACAATGGCAAAAGTGTTATGAGCAGAAAAAGCGACAGAAAACGCGCGAAACGTTCAATTAGCAGCCCACGTCATGTAGAGGCGTTGATTGTTGCCGATGCGACGATGGTAGCATTCCATAGCAAACTGGAGACATATCTACTTACCATAATGAATATGGTGTCAGCACTCTACAAGGATCCCAGCATTGGTAATTTAATTGAAATTGTTGTCGTCAAAATGATTCTTCTCGATGAGCGCGAAGCACACCCGGATCTTAATCTGACACAAAATGCGCAAAAAAATTTGGATACATTTTGTAGGTGAGCGAAATATTTGTATTTATATGCACGCATTATGCATGTATATACATATGTAGGAGTGGGAACATTTGATAGTGTAAGTTTGAATACTTGTATGACCCCTGCAGTAAACACAGCTTACATAAATTTAGTTAAGATGAAATCATACAATTCACCTTTGGAATATAGGAATTTTTTCTTCTTTTCGTAGTTAGAACAGAAGTAAAAAATACCAGATGCTAACGAAGAAAAATGATGGTAATGGCTTGTTTGCACTCTATTTAATATAATTTATAGGTAGTGTCCTTCCATGAAGTATAACACCACTTATAGGCTTATAGCCGACGGTGATCATTAGATCAAAATAGATAATATTTGCCTCATTCGCTCAAAGTTCTTCTTCTTTGGCGTGGTGTTATGCTAATATAGGCGTTAGCTTCTTCTTTTAGCTGTTCGGCGCCAATAAGAGACACCAAATGAAGCCAGGGTCTTTCTACCTGATCCATCCAACATGTTGGAGGCCTTCCCCTCCATTTATTATCACTAGCGATTACTGGGCGTAGCCGCTGCAATCGCATGCACTCAAAAGAATCCATGTTTGTTTGAGGATGTGAATTATTTCCTCTTACTTCATTCACTATCGGAACTTTTTTGTCTCGCATCCTTTTTTAGTTTTAGAAATCAGAACTTACGGTGCGACTGTTGAAGCTTATGATATTAATTTTATCGGCATACGACAGCAGTAGGACACTCTCGTAGAAGATTGTACCTTCTGTACTTAGTTCTGCAGCTATTATTATTTTCTGCATTGGTTTTGAAGAAGAAGACACAACAAAGAGTCACCTTGTCTGAAGCCTCGTTTGCTATCAAACGCTTCGGAGAGGTACAATTACTTCCCAAAGCCGTATAAATTTTGCGAAAATATCAAACTCAGAAGATATGTTGCCATGACACAATGAAAACCGATTGAAATAATCAGAAAGAATTCTGAGCTAATCGCATCCATATATCATGAGTATACCAACCGTCCTTCGCCGCGATGCTTGCTCTAAATTACTTCAAATAATTTTCCTTTATTTTGGGAATTTAATTGATTTTATCCATGTAAAAATTGGGAACTGGCAAATAATATCTTTAATTAATTGTAATCTAACTTCTATAAAATATAAATTTTACTTCGAAAATGTTTTAGAACTTGTTAGGTTTTCTCTGAAACATTTCCATTTTCTATTCACAAATTTGAAGAAGCACAGACAAAGCGGTAACTTTCTAATTGAGAAAGGAAGTCGATTAACCAGCGTAGTTAGAGAGGCGAGTGATTTGGTGAGTTGAGGGACTTTTTATTTTGGTGGTCGATATGTGGCCATATATGGATGTACATTTCAGAGATCTACAACAAAAAATCAATTATTCAAATTTGTATCAATTAAAATACAAAATCGAAGCCAGAAATCCATCGTTGTTTTCACAAACTAGTGCACATCTCTTGTTTGATTTGTTCATATTTTATTTTACACTGGTTCAAAAAAAAATAATAATAATAATAAAAATTCACTACCTTTGCCTTTATTCACCAGGTGGCAGCACAATCTTAAGAAGGACAATGACAAAGATCATCATGATGTTGCAATTCTTATCACTCGTACAAACATTTGCGGCAACAATTGCATGTATGTGAAATTTACTTTAAAGGTGACACTATTCAATTTTTTTTAAATCCTTTATCTTAGTAAATCTATACATAGTAAATAGAACGAAATTATATAATGTTTTCTTTTTTATGATCTTTACAAGAAATTTATAATTTTACCTTCTATAGAGTTGTTTATTCTTTTTTTCAATATTCAGGACACTTGGCTTAGCCAATGTGGGTGGCATGTGTAAGCCGAAACAGTCATGCAGTGTTAACGAAGATAACGGCATTATGCTGTCTCATACGATAGCGCACGAGTTGGGCCACAAGTAAGTGAACAATCCGTTGATCCTTGGAAGTTTTGAATATTGCAAAGCAGATGTATATAACAGTGATTGTTAAATTTATTTCCTCAAAGTGGAAAAATGAATACATACACGTGTGTATGTATTAATGTATTTGTGTTTCCTAAAAGAACAAGATTCGTGAAGCTGATTCCATGCGGTCGTAAAATCTGTTACATACACAGGGTCCGCCACGTAACTTTTTTTTTTAAAATGCAATAAAACAAATGCCCATTCGGCAAAGGCAAACCGCATGGGATGGTCTCGTGGCTTCAACGCGTTCCTCAATCGTATACACAACCATATTCGTTCAGCGGAAGGATAAAACTAACTTTCTGTTAAATCAGATGTAACATCAGTGTTACCACACTAAAAATAACCACTAGTTCAAAAAAAAATGTTAAATGGCGGACCCTGTACATATGTATCTTTGGTATCAAGTAATTTTGATTAAAACTCAAGCAAATAAGTATTTTTTATTGTAATTTTTTAGCTGGACCCAGACACTCTAATGTACATATGTATATAAAGTACGCAAATACACCTGTTAATTACTTCAATTTTTAAATTTATTGCTTTTGTAGCGTTGGTTTTACGCCAACAAATGTTCATACTCACATTCACAAATTCGTCTAACATGTGATATAATACGTATATACAATAGATGTATGTGTATAAATATTGCCTGAATATGCGTAATTATTGTATAGAGTTTGTCGCGTTGTTATTCCGAGTTTGTTTTGATGTTTTTATTGCATTTCAATGAGCGGCACAAGCCGAACAATGTACACGCTTACCAGTGCCACTATGTCTGCCGTGTTTTTACTGACTCAGCAAATATGAAAAATACCCGCCTATGTCAAGCGTTATTGAGTATTGAATGTGAACATTGAACATATGTATGTATGAATACATATCGTATACTTTGTATGTACAAGTCTTTAGAATATAATATTTGCTACTGCAAGTTGTTTTTAATTGGAACTATTATTTAATTTTTTTACATATGCATGTTTGTCTGTAGATGCATACCTTACATAGAAATAAGCATGTTTTAAATGCATCTAATCAATATCAATATTTTAATAAGTTATATACATACATACATATCCATGATGCAATGAAAACCGACTGAATTGATTCAACAAAGTTCTTGATTGAATGGGTTCATACAGCTTGGACATATTTTCAAAAAGTTAATTATACCCAAAGTTTTTTAATAAAACAGAGTAACGGTGCAAGTAGTGCATAGGCTCAAGTCCTGTCCATATCAACAGCAATAGCTTACACAAAGTGCAGGTGTCTCCACTCAGTTTAGTTCTGCCGAGTTCTAGATAAGGCCGGACAAAAGCATAGGAGATTTATTTCTGCATGTGTCATCGTTACTTATGCCCAATCAGTTTGTAATGGTCAAACCTTGAATAAGATTTCATAAAACAACGATAAAAACATCAAACTGGCCTAACGAAAATATTTCATACAGTTCGATAGTTGATTATGCTCTTCATCTTATTTTAATAATGAATCATTTTTTTAGTTTCGGAATGTTTCACGATACGGCGAAAATCGGCTGTCATCCTCGAATAGGATCCATCGTTCACATAATGACGCCGACGTTTGGTGCCGATACCTTACAAGTTTGCTGGTCGAATTGCAGCCGAAAATATATAACACAATTTCTGGAGTATGTACGAAATATGGAGAGAAGTATCCAGTTCATGTTTTAATAATTTATCTTACTATTATTAACAACTTCCGATCGCACAGTCAAGGTCTCGGCGATTGCTTAGATGATGCGCCACCGACGAGAGAAAAATACGCTTACCCAGCTTTGCCTCCAGGCGTACTTTTCGACGTCGAAACACAATGTCGTTTGCAGTTCAACTTAACCGAGGCGGACATCAACGCGTCCTCATGCACTTCTATGGATGAAATTTGTTCAACTTTATGGTGTAGAGTAAATGGCGAGTGTGTGACTAACATGCGTCCAACGGCGCCAGGTACTAATTGCGGCGTTGGAAAGGTGAATACGCTGAAAAGGCAATTTCATATATGATAAGTACATCTATGTATTTTTTGCAGGGTTGCCAGAATGGAAAATGTGTACCCAATGTGGCAGCTTCCCCTGTCAATGGTAGCTGGGGCGCTTGGTCTGAGTGGAGTGAGTGTTCCAGAACTTGTGGAGGGGGAGTGTCAACGCAAAAGCGTGAATGTAATAATCCGGTTCCGGCGAACGGTGGACTTTTCTGCATTGGTGAGAGAAAAAGGTTTGCGAGTGACTAGACATATACTATTAGTTTGTATGTATGAATTATCCGATATCATTATTAAAAATTACAGATATAAAATCTGTAACTTTCAATCTTGCCCACCGAATGAAGTTAGTTTTCGTGCGAAGCAATGTTCCAAATATGACAATGTTTGCTACCAAGGCGGTACCTACAAATGGCTACCGTATTTCGATAATAGTAAGTAGTTGTAATTTGCAGAGTAGTCCAGTCTCTGTGAGGCTAATCGTATTTCCCTCATCTCCAGAGAACCCTTGCAAGCTGTTATGCACAGATTTTGACGATACAATTATAGCCAATTGGGGAGAAACGGTACAGGATGGAACTAATTGTGGTGTTGGAACCAATAATATGTGCATCGATGGAATTTGCAAGGTAGGTCCTTTACAGTTACGCTCTGAAGAAACTTCTTTTCGCAGTTATTGTGGTTATATAATCTACCTTGTTTTAGAAAGTCGGATGTGACTGGGTTGTAGATTCCGACAAGCAAGAGGATAAGTGCGGAGTGTGTGGAGGCAAAGACGATAAATGCAAATTTATAAAAGTGAGTTTGGACACTAATTAAATAACATAAAAATTAAGATATTGAATATGAATATTAATTTCAAATGTGATATAAATACGTTTCATATTTGAGACATATTACGAGTATATATTCAGCTGGCTAGCGCGCTCAAATATCGAGTTTTGAAATTTCGTACAATGTTCAATTTCACAATTCAGTCACTTATTGGAAGTGAAAAAGAAGAACAACACATATGTGTAAAATTATTGAGCTTTAAAGTCTGCATTATACATATAATTTTTGTGTTTTTGTAAGTCTAAGTACTTCATAAGACGTGAGCCTCTTTGTTTCAGGAACAGTTTGAGGAAAGCCTAAATGTTTCCGATGGGTATGTAGAGGTCGTAACTATTCCGGCGAAATCGAGGCAAATCATTATTAAAGAAATAAGCAATTCCGAAATATTTCTTGGAGTTTCAATGGCGAATAGTAGTCACTTCTACTTGAATGGCGATGGTCTTATATCAATGCCGGGAGAGTTTCAAATTGCAGGTATAGAGAGTTTATATGACCGAATAGACGAGAAAGAGGTGATAAAAATACCTCAACCAATTGAAAATGCCATAACAGTACATGTGAGTAGATTTTTATTCTTAAATATTGCATTCATTTTTCAATTTGATCAATTATCGTAGAATTTTGAAAATGGTTTGGCAGTTTAATGGTAGTTTTGGAGTTTACAAAGCTGTAATGCCTTAATCATTTACCAAGTAATTATGCTTTATTGTTGATATAAATTTCATTCCTTATCAGATTATTGTACGGGGAGATGGCTTTAATGCAAGCATCAATTATGAATTCGCTCTGCCTGCTCTTAACAACACCGAAAAAGTAGTGTACGCGTGGAAACTGGGAAACTGGACCCAATGTACTAGTAGCTGTGGGGGTGGTGTTCAATACCGGAAAACACTATGTTATGCAAACGGTGAATGTAAGGATAATCAATTATATGTCTGTGGTTACAAGTATGGATTTTCTTTTAATTTAAACTTATAATGTACGGATGTGCGTGTATGTTCTCCATTATTTAGTGACATACAATGACGAATTCTGTTGGACATTCGCTCAGAATAAGCGACCCACGAGACGTATACGAGTTTGCAATAAACATGAATGTCCTTCACGTTGGTGGGTAGGACCGTGGCAATATTGTCCAGTCACATGCAAATGGTCGGAGGGCGTGTTACCTGTGCGACGTCGCACCGTCATGTGTCTCGATCAAAACGAGGTGGTAGTCGAAGATGATCGTTGCAATTCGACTGTGAAGCCACTCAGCACAGAGCCCTGCAGTCTTAATTTGCCTACATGTAAGGTAAGCGAAAAACTGGATAATTTGATATTGCGAGTTCAAAATCTATGAAGTATTAATAAACAAATGAAAACCAATAAAACTCACAACTCTTCGAAAACGAGTTGAAAATACACACATATAATGTAATATAGATCTAATATGTTTATTTATATACATACGAGTATGTATCAGTAACAATTGTTTATATTTTTGCATATTTTATTGCTAGTAAATAAGCTTCTATTGTACTTAAATAGTATGTAGTTACAAATATTTAATGTAGAAGTAGTGTGAGACTATTCTATAGTTTAGTTTTGCGCAATTTGCAATGTACCGTCAAATTTAGGTGTATGTAGATATTTAAAAAGATTGAGAAATTGAGCAGTACAACGTATTTTGACATTTTATTTATTCCTCAAAGGATATGTAAACCATTGATTATCGATTTCGCCTAACTAATCCTAATTCTGTCGGAGCGAATTATTAGTTTCATAATGTTTATTAAAAGATAAAAATAATATAGATTAATGTTTTTTGCTCAGATTCGTTTGTTTGGCGGCGGCGGTAGCCGAGTGGTTAGCAGTGCGTACTGCCATTCGGAAGACTCGGGTTCAAATCCTGGTGTCGTACTAACAACCAAAAGGTTATAGAAAATTATTTTAATTAAAAAATTTTGTAATTGCGATCGCCCCTCGGCCGGGGATGTTAACTCCTCCGAGCGTATTTCTGACATGAAACGAAGGCTCCTCTTTAAAAACCATCGGACGTTTGGATGCGGCTTAGTATTAATTGCAGGTTCAACATTAAGTCGCAAAGCCACAAGGAGGAGCTCGGCCGAAAATCGCTTCAGCGGTTACAAAGCGCCAATTATATGTACTCAGCTTTGTTCTGTTAATTAAAAAACATAGTAATCTTCAAACTCAGTCGTACCTGAATAGCCTGGTTTAAGGAGCAATAAAAGGTAAGTCCCATCGCTGTTGGGTATTGCGTATATTAGAAGGCTATCCTTAAAGCTTGGTTCGCTTGGTTCGAAGGTGTAACAAACAATTTTTCACTTATGACAGATCTAACTATGGCGCAATAAGAAGAAGAAAAGTTCTAATGTGTTAAGTTTTCTACCTATTATATATTTAGGTCTAGTAAAATTATTTTTGAAACACGTAATTTGGTACTAAAAAACATAACGGGAGAGGTGTTGATCGCCCAACTCAGTAGTTTGGCCTCCAGCAAGGAGAATACGTTACACTCTACGATTTTTTTTTCGATAACTACGAAAACGTGAGTCAGGCAGCTGAAAATGAGAGTAGTGCTTATGGTCCTGATACTGTAATAGTTAACCATGCACAATTATGGTTTCGTCGATTTCGTTCCGGTAATTTTCATTAAAATACTTTGGACCGTGTGGAAGGCCAATTGTCGGAAATGTCGATAAAATAATGGAAATCACATAGACTGGCCGTCACGCGAGCACTGCTTGGATTTCCCAGAAGCTAAACATTGCAAAAAACGGTTTGAAACCAATTGAAAAAGGTTGATTACACAAAATAGCTCGATGAATGGGCGTCACATGAGATAACGAGAACAAATCTAATGGACCCAATTTCCATCTGCGAATCGCTGCTGAATGGAAACAAAATGAACCCATTTTTGAAGCGGATGGTGACTTGTGATGAAAAGTGAATCACTTTCAGCTACGACAAACGAAAACGGTCATGGTCGAAGGGTAGTTGGCTAAGGCTCTCTAAGTCAGGTTGCCTGGAAGGTTTTATCGTGTTTGTTGGTATTGGCCAAACTTTTAATTCGCACCTGTACTGGAAGCAATTGGACCGTCTGTAGAAGCGCGCTCCTTCAATTTAATGCAGAAATCATTACTATTCATTTTACCTGTTTGGTAAGTTGTTTTCAGGAACACAATGCTTGTTTCGGGAAATTTAGTAGGGGAAAAATGTTGTTTACAGTATGAATTAATATAAAAAGGTTAAGGATTTTATTTTGGCAGTGTACAGGAATTAAGGACTACATTTTTTTGGTTCATTCCATAACCCGATAGATGACTTCATACGCTGACTTGAGCTGGAACTTTATAGGAAGGCGTGCGGGTGCGTAAGCGGGATCCGTTTTCTTGCATTTACAGGCCACTCCATTGCAAGTGCTTACGTGTATTTAACAATTGTCATTTCAATAAATTATGCTTCATAAAAAAATACGTGTATAGAGGCATGAGAGTGAGAAATAAAATAACTTTCAGAACGAGACATGTGGTTAATTTTAGTTTTACGAAGAAAATTTAATTTTATCTCGCAGGGTACGAGTTGACTAGATTCACTCGAAATTATTTTCTTTTCGATTCGGAAAAGTCGTACTTACGGTTCGGTTTTATTCAACTTTTTTTTACTGAAACAAGTTATGTTAATTTAAATTGTGGGCTCAATGTTTTATTATCATTCTAGGGTTAAGCCAAAGGCATGGTGTCGCGGAGAGACGAAGTACGCCAGGTCCACAATTTTATTATTAAATAAACCTTGAGCACAATAAAGCAATGAAAGCAAAAAATATGCATTTTAGTGTAAATTGCCAATTAAAACAATATAAAAATTATCTGTTTATTATCACTGGTATGACCCATGTGGAGCTCGCTGTTCGGTAAGAATTGTCAGTAAGAATTAGCCAGTAACAGAAAGAAACAGAAAATTGCGCTTTCTCGTTGCAAAATTTACCCTAATTGTTTATACATTTCTGCTCGATTTACTATTAATAAGTGTATCTACTGGTAATTTGTTAATATAATATAACAACGTATAAAGCTAAGCTTTTGGAATTAAATCGGAGTATATGTAAATATTTTTGTCAATTTTTAGTACTAAAATCTTGTATTGTCCGGCATTTTAATGAAATGTGCAATTTTATCCTTTGGCACTCTGTAATTGTGCATCCAGCGGCTACCTTTTCGCAGCGAGCCATCGATCCCATCCTTCCACACACCCTGGGGTAAGTAAACTGCGAAATAAAGAAAATCGTTAACGCAAAACCACATAATTATTAGTAAAGAAAAATATTATTCTAACCTGTCAAAATTGAAAAACTACTTACCCTCACGCTCATCTGAATTTTTTTCTAAAATTGGCGCCACAATCAATTCCTCTCCCACCGAAAATTCATCATTAACAACCAGACATGCCGGATCATGAGGATCCAGCATCCACAAAGGACGCACCAATGGTAGGCCCTCATTCATTGACTCACTCAAATATTTCTTTAACAACGGTATCACTATTTTCTGTCTTATTGTCATTAAATCCTTAGCCTGATCCGTTATGTAATCACTTCTATATTCGGATGGTAAGTGACTGAATTGCATGGATGGCATGAATATCATCAATTGCATCCAGCGTGTAAATAGATCTGGTTCGGGAAGTTCTGGCTGACCCAGCGAATAGAAAGAAACCATTTTTTTTAGTGTTCGATTAACATAATAATCACCGCCAATAGCACCTGGTAATACAAATGGATAACCATTGATACCGTTGTTCAGGACGACAGTTAGTAATTCGCGTAAGCCCTCCCATGATGAATTTATCGGTGGTGTGCTGAGGAATGTTGGAGGTTTTGGCACGGCACTGGCGCTGGAGACACCAATAAAGCCGACGCTTTCCATGCTGCTGGTAAATATTTTGGAATACATATCGGGGTTATCTAGTGTCGTTCGACACTGGTAGTAATGAGGTAAATTATAGCTTGTACCCAGGTCTAAGTAGAAACTATCCACCTGATAGTCCTCCTTTAGCTTTTCCAATTTCTCTCTTAGCCACGGTATGGAGGCGTTGTTCGTAATATCTAGCACACCCGCACTAGACGAGCTCTTGTAGCGTGTTAGTGCCGGAATACTTCGATCCGAATGTCGTTCATAGATGAGCAACTTGTTTTTAACAGCATCTTTAAAATTCGGACTGTCTGTGCTGATAAATGGCTGTATTGTAAAAACCACCTTAAAGCCACGACGATGAAGTACTTCAATTGTATCCTTAAGGGTGGGGAAACGTTCTTGATCAACAACAAAATCGCCAATATTTCTTTGCCAAAATTCATTAACTAAAATGTGACCCAAACGCATGAAACCCATGGCTATCACATCTTCAGAATAATTATATATGGTAGTTTCGTTTATTGAAGTCACTTCACTTTGGAAGGGTATTTTCCAAACAGGCTCTTCGATCAACGAATGCAAAGTATAGATGTCAGATTCTTTTAAGCCGTCCCACAGACTCTGCTGTGTCATTAGCATATGCAGACTGCGCATATCTTCGGTAGTGCAAATTTTATATGTCAGCTCTGGATATTCCGTTAGGTGATTAACGAATGTGAAATTATCATTGCGTGCCCGAAGACAGAATCTATTTTCCGTTTGGTTAACAGATATATGGAGCGGTGTATGATCGTCGACCTGCATTGCTACGCCAATTGAGTTAATGAAATAACGTTTCACGCCATTGCCGAACTGATGAACTTTTCCATCCCCACTACCGAATGGAGCATAATCGAAATTCGCCGAACTTAAAGACCATTCCATACCCTTTGTGAAGCCACCACCGAACCAGATGCCATTATCTCGCTTTAATTCATAACAATCCGTTGGATAAATACCCGGTCCCAAGGCTTGCCACTGAATATTATAGCATCGGAATACATTCATGTTTTGAAAATTCATATAAAGTCGAGCTACGCCGTTCCACTCCAGACAAACGCTGCCATCATTTTTACGTTGATCTTCCAAACAATAAAATGGTACGCTGTCCGAACTGATGGTGAGCCCTAATTTTCCTTTTATTACCTCTTTGTCTTCGTGACTGAGAATACTGAATGTACGATCGAGTGAACTGAACTTGATCTTTTCGAAATACGAACGAGTTAAAATCTCCCGATGATATGTAATATAGGAATACCCGATCTGGTTAAGTAAATGTAAAAGAGAAAAACATTTTCTATTAAAAGAAATTTTTTATAAAGTTGCTCTGCATTATTTTTCTTCAAAACATATAAGCACAAGGTTTGAGAAGAGAGTCGGCGGAAGTGACTTCTTATGTAATACTTCTATGGATACATCTTTGAGACTACATGACATTCGCAGTATGATAACTGTTAGTGCATCGGGGCGGATAACGAAACCTAATATTAAATTTTTTGTGTCATGGAGCGGGAGCCACCACACTATACACTAACCCTTAGATATCTTGAAAGGTTTGGTATTTGGGATAAACCGAACATAAAATTTGCTTTGGAATCAATTTCAAGGGAGCTGTACGAAACTGTTACTAAAATGCAAATTCTTACCTAAGTTGCATTCACTAGTGTTATTTAGCACCAACATTTATGATGAACATGTTTCAATGAAGTAAGCAAAAAAATGTGCTGCGGACCAGTTATTTCAAAGGTCGTTAAAGGAAAACGTATAAGTTTATGAAGACTTGTAGTCAAATAGTGTGAAAAGATTTTGCAATGTGTTTGGAACTTTAATTAGAGTCGTTTCTTGACTCGCTCCTAAAACAGTCGCGTTGCATGGACGACCAGTAGTATACGAGAATAAACACAGATGCGTGGTATCAGTTTTAAGTCCCACTAGTTGCACTACTTATTATACAATACTTACCAAGAAGACAATGATGAAGAAAAGTATTGTTACAAAAATCTTGATTTTATAATCCTTGGTTTCACGTTTCTTTTTCCTAATCATTTGGGGGAATGCCTGGAAAAGTCAAAGTGGATAATCAGAATAAAAAGCCATATGTTTTTTTGTTATTTACATTCATCTTTTCCCGCAATAAGCTCGCTAACGAATTGACGCTAGTGATGGACGCTTGGTTGCTGGCTAAGCTGTGCGTGTCGAAGTCGCTGGCGAGCATCTCTTTGCTGTTGAGGCGTAAAGCTGGTAGAGGCGCGATCGAAGCTCGACGCCGACTCCGAAATGGATCACTGTAACGAAAGAATACATTAACGAAACATAATGTTTAATATAACACGGGGTATGGAATCAAAAATCAGAATAAATCGTTTAATATAAATAATTGGATTATAGAGATAATTCTTTCTTACTTTAAAAAATGCCATTTGCTTTTTAAAATTTAATCAAATAAATTAAGATCTTAAACTTGGTACTGGTATTACTTTTGCGTTCATATCTTATTTGTATATGTAGGTATGCATTTAAGTAGACCTGCGATATTTCAAACACTGACATTGGAATTATTTCTGTTTTAGAGTCAATATCTTAAAAACAGTAATAATTGCATGGCTATAGCCATGGGTAACGCAAAAAAAATGAGCGCGGGTTTTTCATGTCCACTCGGACAATCAAGACGGAAACTTGAAAATAGTAATTCCGTACGGCGAGTTGCTAAAAAATTGCTACAAATTTTTGTGGAATTGATACAATAACAATTCTTTATTATGAATTATGCAAATAGAATTTTGTTAAATTTAATTGAATGATATCAGCGATTCTGAAGTTAGTGCACTCTTTCAGATGAGCCAAATGAGCTGGATTACACCACCTCTAGTACGTGTTTCGACAATACGCGACAACAAAACGCCCTCGAACAGGTTATTTTTGCCATCTTTGCAGACGGCTCAAAGTTCGTTAAAAAATTGGGCTGTAGAATTCATTCTCCTATGCCCTCCTGAGATTATCAAACTACTGCAGCATCTTCCAAGCAGAACTCCCGGCAATCGTGGCAGCCGAGTGGCTACCCAAATCTTCGGCGCCAGAACAATGAGTTACGATTTATTTCGACAATGAAATTGAAAAAATTCGTGGTCTGAGTAGCCGGATACAAGGGCTTTCCAGGTGTTTGCGCGGCATACGAAATTTGCAAGAGAAGCAACACTTCTATCCACAATAAACCATACACATGTTGCATGTATCTGCTAAAATTAGCAACATTGGCAGTTAGCTGTGGCCAAAATTGGACGCGAAAAGATAAAGACATTTTATCCTTCTAAGCCGGTTCCCCATTGGCATAACGACAGGCGTATTTACAGGCGTATTTACAGGCGTAATAACAGGTCACTCTTTAATGAGCTATCAATGTAATGATTTATGCCACAGCTGCAGGGCCGAAGAAGAGCGTATTGAATACTATTTACGCGACACGAGTTCTTTGATTGTCTCGCTGAGCTAATTTTGCTTTGTTAAAAAAAATTCTTATCAAAAAAACTCAGAAAATCTGAAAACAGGAATCATTCAAATTCTCACTTAAATAGTTCTTCCTTCATTAACGTCGCACGTTCATTTTTGCTTATTATTTAAAAAAGAAAATAAGAGATATACATACATATGTATGTACATAAGTGTATGTACATAGTTATTTTTATTTATTCTACATTTTCAAATAACACTTAGTAAGTCATCAAAACAGTAATTTATTCATAGTAATTAAATAAAATTCATAGCATCAACATTTGTACGAACGTATATATTATAAATATAACTGTTCTTAATTGATAGTAACAGACCTCTCAGCTTATTATGAGAACTCTCATGATCTCTCGCAGAGCAAATATTTTCTATAGTATTCAAATATAAGTACATAAGTTGCGGTCGCAGTTGCCCAGAAGGTCTTATGGCGTATCACGAAACCTAGGTTGACGGGTTCAAGCTGTGACCAGGTCATGTTCTAAAAAGGTTCTTTTTATTGCGACTGGTAATGTCAACAACTCCAACCTGGCATTGAAATAATAGCTTCTCTTAAACATCATTATACGATTCAAAGGCGACTATGGCGATTCACACCTCTAATTGATGGAGAAGCTTGGCCAAAGATCGCTTTAGCGGTTACAAAATGCTCCAATTATTTTATGTACAATGCATATATGTATATGTAGCAAATATTGTATATTATTTTTTAAGTGATTTAAATGCATTGACTGCTCATGCATGTACATATGTATGCATAAATAAAATCTTGTTACTCGAATTATCATGTTTCGTGATTAACCGCACTATCAACACAGATATTTTTTACAGGAATTCACTTTCAGATCAAGCGTAGAATAAAATATACTACGTTATGATAATTGCTTATAGATAATGTTTTAATTAGTACAATGCATACCAAAGCTAAGAACTCTTAACATACATACATATATATATATATATATATATATATATATATATGTGTGTATAGATCAATCTTGAGAGTTTGGCTATTAAGTGCGAGCGCGTTTTATCAGAAAATTTTACGGTGATTTTGTTCTTATCGCATGTGATTTCAATCCGGTACTGAGTGTCTACACCGCTTTTAAATAAGATAAACGCTCACATTGTCTGCAACGGGAATTTACATACATTGATTTACTACATTTACCTATATATTTTTGTATGTACATATGTACGCTTATATATGAATTAATCCACATATGGCAAGATTTACTCTTAAAGTCAAAATTAGTCTGAAATTTACATGTATTGTACATGCACATGTATGAATATTGATGTATTTTAGGTTGACAGTGAAAACGCATTAAGTCGACGAGTGAAAAACATTTTGTTGTATCGAATTCAATGTATTCATTTAAATATTTGCACAATTTATTGTTTTGGATTTTTCAAAGTTTTCCAAGCATAAAACTCAACATTTACTGTATGAGCTTAGTAAATTACTGTGATCACCACATATTATTTACTTATCATTTTTAGAATTATGTAAATCAGAGAGCTCGAATTGGCACAAGTTGAAATTGTATGCGAATGCTGTATGTGTGTGATTGTAAATATGGGAACACCTTAATTTAGTCAATGTATTAAATGGACACTGGACATGGTTCACTTCTCGTCGCTCTGCTTTTAAATTTGAAGTTTTACAGGGTTATTGGTTATTTCTCTTCTAAAAACTCATACCCAGATGATGGTGTTAAATGTAACGGCGGACTTCAACGGTGTTAAAAAATCATTCCACAACTTATGCGAAATCTTGGACCGAAACACGGGGAGTGTATTTTGAATAAAATTAATAAATGAATAATGTATAGATTTTAGCAGTATCGTACTTCGTGGTACACAGCCAATGCAAATTCATTGCCCTAGATTATGTTATTTTGGCCAGTCAATTGATAGCTGCTGTCAGAGCTTACTGATGTGTAAATTTCTACTAAATCTCGAGTATATATAATACATAAATACATACGTTACAAGGAATTCCGTGGAACACCAACAGATTAGTTAGCCCATTTTACATAATCAATTATTGCCAACGCACAACACGGGTTTTGTAAAGGTAAAAACACCTTATCGAACCTTCTAAAATTCACCACCCATGTCTAATGGTTATCAAAGTGACACAAAATACACCGATTTCAGCAAAGCATTTGAGATAGTCCCCCATTCTGTACTTCATTTTAAAAACAATTGTTTCGGATTTCCATCTTCCTCTCTCAAGAGGATTTCATCGTACTTGATTGGCTGAAAGCAAAGATGAATTTTTGAATATTGCACATCATATGAAATGTCTTTAACATCTGTTGTCCCTTAAGCCAGTCACCACGGACTCTTACTTCTTCATTCTAAAACACTCGTGAACGCAGATAATGGCAAGCTGCTTCAGCTTGTTCCATTGAAGATAGAGAACTTTTACAACCTGAATCATTTAGTTGAGTGGTGCAAACTTTATCTCTCTTAAACTAATTAAGTTCAAATTTTTTTATTTCTGAAGAAAATCTTTTCAATATTTTGCCTATATGATACATGATTACAATGTTGAACAAGCTGCTCGCTTCATTGGCTTAGGTGTCAAAATAGACCCCAAGCTAGATTTGGGAAATCAAATAAACTCTTGTGCTAATAAAGCAAAAGAAGCCTTAACTTTCATTAAACGTTGAACTAAGGACCAATACATTATGAAATTACTTTTACTTCACTTGTTAGACCCGTTTTGGTTGATGGTTCGGTTCCAGGGAATCCTCACTTATCAATTGTAGTGATAAATTGGAATCTGTACGAAAGCAATTCCTACTGTTCGCGTTAAGAAATTTACATTGGGATGCGAACAAGAACGTCGCTCCTCATAAAAGTCATTTTCCCTGTATCACTGACTACATTCCTTAGTCGAAGAGATATGCTTGGAGTTATATTTAAAAATAAATTAAATATAAAGTTATTTTCAACAGCCCATTTCTACGTAGCGAACATAAATTTACCATCCCTTTAAGATCATCCAGACACTTTAGATATCTTTTATTGTGACATTGAAATGCACGATCCTTTTAGGTGTTTCTGCAACAATTTTAATACTCATTCCGTCGGCATCGTCTGCCACTGGTTTTTGGTAACCGATCTGTTGAAGTGTTGTATTATCCATCAAACGCAACCCTCGGTCGGCTGGGCGACAGGTGGATAACGCAGGGCTCGTCGTCAAAACAAAAAAAAAGTTAAGTGTTACATGAATCCCTCATGTCGATACAAATCTTTCACAATTCGAAAAAAAAAATAACAACAACGACGCAACAGAAGTCTTCAAAAGGTTTTATAAAATAAATACTTTAATAAATGATAAAAGAATTTAAAAACACGTATGTACATACCGATATTTTCGACGTCCACCACTGTATTCCTCATCATCACTGTCGTCTTCGTTCTGGTTTATTGTAGAATTGCTTATTTCTGGCACATTCAGAGTGACCGAACCGCAGCTATCATCGTTTATCTATGAAATATGGAAATGAAATTAATTAATATTTATTTATTTTATTTTTTCATTAAATCCTTTTTTGACAATTAATCACTTTAGAAAATTATTAGTACCTGCCTTATCCGAATTACTATTTGCACTAGAGGAAGGGTCAATTTTGTTCAAAATTACATTACATTGACTCGGACAATCAGAATTATTATCACTCATATTGATGTTTGAGTTTCCAGAACAATCCATCATGTTATAAATGTAATTATATATTTATGCATGAATTAATTACACAAAACTGTTTACTAGTTGATTCGCCTTAATTAATTAAATAATTGATTTAAACTCCTCCCGCTAAAATGGCAAGCGATATTCTCGATCAACGCTGTTATTAAACTGATGACAAAATATGAAATTTCAAATGAATAGAAAGCCACCGACTGTTTAATTATTTAAAATATAAGTTTGTATACATTATATATTTGGTCTACCGCAAATAGCTCGGGTTTAGGCGACTCATGTGTAAAGAGGAGCGAACGAGCGCAAATTAAATAAATGTTGTGAAAATTTACAAACTGGTGTTACTTTCATAGTTCCATTAGCAGAAAGTAGCTTGGCAAAGAAGATAAGCAATTGATGTGCTACAGGATTTAGATTATGACGATTAATATTTGTATACATATACTCGTGCGTAGATAGGTAGTTGAGCAATTTAACAAATAAAAATAGATTAATTGAACACAAATAGATCATGTACATGCATAGGATGGAAAGTATATTTGTATTATACCTCATTAATACAAAATAATATTTGACATATTTATAATACAAACATAGTTCATACTAAGCCGTCTCCGAATGGGAGATGGTTTTTTATGAAGATCCTTCATTTCATGCCCTAAATACAATCGGAGGGGTTGGCATTCGTTTTCCGTATCAGGACTTGAGCTCTGGCCTTCGGAATGGCAGTACCCAATGCTGTCCACCGCGCCAATTTGTTGAAAAAATATCAAGAGGCAAAACCATAAATTCCTTCGAATTTCCTACAATTTCGGTGAAAAGTGGACTTACTTACCAAAGACAAATAATAACAAGTCAACGTTTTAGCTTTGGGTCCAATGAATTTTCTGCTGGGAGTTATATACACACATAGTAAAAAGATGCATGTATTATAATTGTGGCATATTTTTAGGCGTCACTGCTACAGTAGGTTACCATCAGATCATTTAATAAATATATTGGATGAGTGCATAAGTTCGTGCCCGATTTCAAGTGCAAACTAAAATTGAAATTTTTTGAAGAAAGCGCTTTTATTAATCAATTATGTATTCGCCATCATGCTCGGCAATCCACTCCCAACGTTCAACCAATTTACGGATGCCTGATTCATAGAAATCGCGCGGTTTCTCGTTCTTTTTTTCCATGTTCTTTTGCGTTGAACATTCGAGGAGTGCTGGAGCACGGTCCAAATAAACTTCGCGAATATCTTTAGTTGCAGCGCCTACTGTTTTTTCTTTGCGTAATTCGTATAACATAATATGACGCATATGATCTTTTTCGTTGTCCATTTTCCATGCGTCTTTTCACTAAGCAACTCAAATCAAAATGAAGTTATTTTATGCTTGATTTACAGCTCGGACTGTCACCTTTCCAACGATATATAATATGTATATATTTCTTTCACGAGCGCCACTCTCAAACGATTCGAACGGCATCTAGCGGAAACGGGCACGAACTTATGCACTCATCCAATATCAATTCTTATTCTTATCAAAGAACGTATATTAATTATTAATTTATGGCTGAGATACCGCCCAATATATGCTAAAAACTGGTCGAAAATTTGCGAAAACTCGCGAGGCGGTCATTTGAATTATATATCGTTTCACATATGTTGCTAAGGTCCAAACTTCCCAACAAGAAAGGAAATTCAAGAAACCAATTTTTTCAAATGCATTTTATTTACGTTTTGAAGCCGAAAAAGGAGAGCCCCCACCCCAATTCATATGACGGTTATTACGATTATTTTCAAAGTAGGTCATTAACTTTTAATTTTATTTCGACCGCCAGACATCACTCATCCATTGAACCGATGGAACTTAATGTGCTTCGTGCCAAGCTGGCTGCACTTTAAATGCTAAATAAAATAGTCTTTATATATACATATATGCAAACATTGTAATTCCATGCGAATAGACTAAATAATTTACAAATATGCATATATAAAAATACAAACTCGTACACACATAAATACATAAATAATATTATAAGTGCAAGCGTATTTGTGTATATTAACTTAGCAATGATTTGTATGCAACCCTATCAACATCATTCATTTTGAACACGAAACTCCCGATTGCCAAGTGCATTATAAAACGAAAATCACAAATGATGATGTCAATCTGATTCCAATAAAGTTCACATGACAGACTACACATGCGAAAAATCATGCAAACCCCAAACGAAATAACTGAAAATTACTTCACTAATGATGATGACTCTGTTCGTCACGTGAAGTAATCAGTGCAATCGTTCTGAGACACAGGCAATAACAGAAACAATTGACACGATGGTAAAAGATTCGAGCTAAAGATGTGAAAACTGCACGTCATGCATACGACATAGCACCAAAACTCTCATAATAACACAGGTAACTTTTCCTTCATTTGGTATAAATTTTATTAGTGGGCCCCCTTCACTCGCCTGCCAGGTATTCCTATACTTAATTTCTATCACTTTTTTATATTACAGCAGCTCAGGCAGTACATCGTAGATAAAATGTATACTTGGTTTAAGGTTCAACACCTCGAAATTCCTTTTTAGCTTTGCTTAGTGCTGGATTCAAACCGTTTCGGACAACAATGACAATTTTTATGGACTGAAATAATTACAGGTATCTTAACCAGTTGTACACACCTACTTATAGCTATAAATATTTATGTTCGCATGCACATACATATGTACACGAATGTGAGCAAATTTTCGTGACGTTCTTTTTCAGAAAAAAAGGAATAACTATAAAAATATAATTAAAGAAAATGGTATATTTGATAAGATATCAAATCTGAATTCTCGGTAAAATTTGCTTTAATTCAAAAGCATGTCTACTAAAGTGTAAACATTATTATTTTCAAAAGCAACAACAACCGAAAATTGTTTAATTAATCAATACTCTAATCAGCATTTCTTTCATCCACTTCTAGTTGACTAATTTAATATTCAAAATTTATGTTTGTTTAATATTGTTATTGACTGTAAAGATTAAATGTCTCGATGCGTTGCTCGGAAAAGTAATTAAGCTATTGAACTCTTTGGAAGCAATTAAATTTGTATGGAGTTAGAGATCAAATTTAAATTTATTTTACTACATATTTCTTTTAAACATAAATAACTATAAGCACTCTTCAACTAAACTGATTTGGGTTAAGAAAATATAAATCAATTTGAATGCGTTCCGGTTACCATAAAGAATGTCTGTATTGCATCTCGGTAAAAAAATACACTCGGAAAGCAATCAAATTTAGCCAGGTTTAGGGATCCAAACCAAATTTATTTTTATCACATTATTACAATTGAAAAATGCACGCATCTATAATTAAACTCATACATGTATGTATGTATGTTATGAAACTATGAAATTAGATTTGATTCGGTTACAATAAAAATGTGTATTAACGTGTGTTTCAAGGATGAGAAAAAATTATTTGAAATATATTCGAAATTTTTTCGAAAATATTAACATTTCTTGTCTAAATGAGAAATGTGATTTAAACGTAAAAATGAAACAAATAAACTTTGAATTAACAACCTTGAAGAAGGGCATATTCTAAAGATCTACGACACCCAAATTATAATTAAAAAAAAAAATATTATTGCAATGAGACAATATTTTTTCTGATAAAAACAAAAGTTATTACTTTTTTCATTCGGGCGACATAATCAACCAGCAGAGTCGGTATTTCGAGCCACCGATCTCGAACCACGTTTATTCTAGTAAATAATGACTTTGACGCCGAAAAGTCGGTGTTTGGTATGTCTTTAATGGCCAGAGGGAATCAGTGGTCAATATTTCTTCAAAAATGAAGATGGCCACAATGGTATAGACAATGGGGAATTCTATAGACACATGTTTAATGACTTTTTCGTACCTGATTTGAAAGATACTCTGTGGACGACTTTTGAGGGAAGCTTTTGATGAGCGCATTATCTCACGTCATGGGCCGGTGGCATGGCCTCTAATATAATAAAATGCGTTTTAACACCGATTGACTATTTTTGAAGTCACTTGTCTGCGCAGGTAAGCCCAAGGCGATTGACGTCTTTGAAGACAATATTCGGTTTAATATTGTCGACATACGGCTCGATTGCCTTCCAAAAACGGTCGAAAATTGGGCCTCTCTACTGAAACTCATTTTTAGCCTTAACTGTAAGCATCTTATTCCTTTTTGACTAAAAAACACCCTTCAACTCAACCTAATATAAACATTTAATATAAACAATTATCATTAAATTAATTTATAAATAGTATTTGCTTATTCTAATTTATTAGTGGACTTTCCGTGGAACCCTATAACTTTTACGAGGTTTTGTGAGATAATTTTTTATTTGAAATTTTACTAATATACGATTACGGCCCAACTCTTATTACACATACACTCGTTAGAAAATTATGAGATTTTTAAAGTGAAATTTGTATACTTCTAATTTTGCATTCTCACTGGTTGTTGGCACATTACTCGTGCTTTCTTAAAGAATTTAACAATTTTGTTATACACTTAAATAAAAGTAAAAGTACTTACACTTTCACTTCGGCTCTCACTCTTTTCCTCTTCGCTGAGTGCATCTTGATCCTGCATTTGATATTTTAAACGCAAACCTTCGAGATCAACGGCATCGATACCCATCGGGAGAGATATAGAATTGCGCCGCAAATTCCTTCCCATCGGCTCCACGTTGGCTAAAATTTCTGGAGAATCTGTTGAGTCGTTCGTACCCTCCGTTACATAGCGATGATCCTTTTCATCCACCTGAACAATGATCGGCATGTGAACATTCCTTCTGCCTGTGGGACCGAGTATCGCGTTTTTACTTTCGGTCGTTTTATTTTTACTAACATTATCACTGGTGGTTGATACGAAACTACTGGTATCGCTTGACTCGCTGGAATCATTTAGTCTGTCCATATACGGAATACTGCTTTCGCTTTCAGTGCTCGCCTGTCGCGCATTTTGTCGATTTGCCAACAAAGGCTCACTTTGTTCCACGATTTGAAATTGTTGTTTATCGAGTTCTCTACCGCTCATTTTTGAATCTACTCAGTTTGCTATGTTAATTGCAATGCTAATTAATTCGGTTTTGTGCCGCTCACAAGTTTACACTTTACTAGATCTGTACTCAGGTACATTCATATATGCGTATGTAAATATTATATGTAGGAGTATATCTGTATATACGTGTACATATGTAGTCAGTGCTGGATCTATTAAAAATTCAATTATAAAATCCACTAAGTACACAAAAAAGATATTGTAATTTATTGCCTTAATACAAAAATTTGTAAAATCAAACATTAGGGCGTCCCTTACCATGGCTAGAAAAATTAAATAAATTGACTGAGTCACAATTTTTAAATTCTTCTTACTCTTACTCTTTCTACTACTAATTTACCGTTTTACCCCTGAGCCAAGATATTAAAAAATAGTTGTTACGGTCTGGTTCTCACTTGAGATATTTAGAAAAGAAAAAATTTACAGTCCAGTCATCTTTTTTTGCTGTGTCGGTCAAAAATTCATTTATGGGCAATCGAAAATTCATTAAAAAAAAATATTTGTACTATTAGTAAAACATTTCGAGTATATATGTACATCTTAACATTTGCAATGGATCGATTGTTTGAGCTCTGCTTCGATCGATCGCGATTTTGGTGTGTGTCAAACTCGATCCCAATCGAAGAAAATTGCCGAATATTTCAATCCCAAGGGACTTCATTCAATATATCTTCAGATGATTTAAATGTTTTATTTTTTTTTTGAGGTGAAAGTCCAATACAGGATTCCACAAGGAGCATTTTGGGACACTGAAATTAGTCTTTAAGGAATCTGTAAGGAATTCCCGATTTATGTTAAATTTAATTTAAATTTGTACCATTTCCATCGACAATGTTTTGCTATTTTGAAAGTAATCTCATTATGCTTCTCTCATAGTAACCGTTGTCCCTATTCTTTTAAGGCCAAATCTTCGCTAGCCATATCATTCGCCATATACAAGAACAGTTGGTGTTAGGTACGGACTATAAGGTGGATGCAGGGTTGTGCTGATCAAATACAATTTTCCTCCAGTTGCCTAAATGTGGGCGACTCTGGGGGATTTTCCCAATTAAAAACAAGATTTCCCTCAGACGGTCCAATTGCTGACAGTGCAGCACCGAATTAAGAATCATCATGGTTGGCAATCCTGGCTTGGAGACCGTTTGTGTTAATTAATTAGGCAAACATGGACACCCATAATGCATATTAAAACAAACCGAATGTATGTATGTATGTATGTATGTACAAGTATGTACGTGAGTGTGCATTCAGACACACTTGATCCGATTTAAAAAAGTCGAGTGTGTTACTTAAGAACCAGTCTATAAAGATGTGCATATATGTATAAAAGAAAGTACTTGTTCATCCTAAGAGAAGGCTAAACCGTAATTTGAACTTTTTAGCTCATTTTGCTCAACAAATACTTAAAATGTAATCAACTTAAAATCTAATCAAATCAAACAAGCATACATCAGAATGTTAATATATACATATGCGGGTATAATATGTTTGAAACAGAAATTCTACGTGTAAATATAATTTATGTCCATTCCCAATATTTATGAATTTATTTGTTAAGCACTTCGAAAGTGGTTATTGACATTTTCAAATTTATAATTTGATATTCTCATTGAGTATAAATCGAAATAAAAATGTCGCAATAGGCGCGTTAGCCGAGTGGTTGGCATTGCGTAAATTGCAGTACAGCAGTAACGGGAGTAAAAATTTCCACCACCTTGTGTTGTTGTTATATCTATCACGCCACGGTTGAGTTCCATTCTCAGTTACGCTTTATTGAAGTGCGCAAAATGACGTTCATCGATTCATAGTCACGATAGCCCAGTTGTTGAAGGTCATCACTGAGTCCGAGTCTGAGTATACAGAGTTCGAGACCCGCTGCGGGCAAACTTTAATTTTTAGTTAAACTATTTTAGTAAAAAATTAGTATAAATACCTCTTGCTTACATAGGATAAAAAATAGTTAGTGCAAAAAGGGAAACTACTAGGATTCTTGTATTTTCCCCTACAGGAATTTACACCCGTACGTCAACAAGATTTTTTCAATTAAAACCAAGATTTCTGTGGCATATTCCGATGGGCGTAACTACTAGGTGAGATAAATTTTCAAAAAAATCAATAACTAAATAGAGGTAAACACATTTAGTCTGAGCATTTGCATCTGCCAAAATATTCATTTGGTGACGAGATGTATTATTTTCGAACTGATCCTGTAACCAAGCGACCAAATATTGCCTGACCTTGGGAATGCGATGAGTGCATTTTGCTTGAACATTTTTTATTTAACACAAGAGAAGTTCGAAGCTCGAAAGATTGCGTTATGAGCCGCAAGAATTCTGAGTGGAATAACATAATGCTGTCGATCATCGTTAATAACGATTATCAAGCATGTGTTTTAACTCATCCGCGTGAGCCGCTCCGAAACGCATTATCAAAAGAGGCAACCTGGTATATATTAGTACAAGCATTTAATATTTGCTGCTTACACAAAACTCCACAATACAGATATCCGAAGCACAACACTTTTAATTTCTATAGCTTGTCAACTCATTTCCACGGCTATTCCGCACTTGCTTCAAATTGAAACCTTTTTTTTAGTATGTATTCTGTTATTAAATTATAACTAAAATTTTTATATTTATTTTTAGAAATTAAGCAAAAAAAAAATGGTTGGGCATCAGTTAAAGTAAATGTTTTTTAGAAACCGGAACGTACGAGGCATATCCAAAAAGTAAGTGTACTAAATTTTTGTAGTTTTGAAAACTTTTTATTTAAACAAAAAAATTACATTAAACTTTGGCACATAATATAGTGCAATCGCATAAGTGCAAACACCAAAAATATAACATTTAGCTCCTTATATTGGATGAGTGCATAAGTTCGTGCCCGATTTCAAGTGCAAACTAAAATTGAAATTTTTTGAAGAAAGCGCTTTTATTAATCAATTATGTATTCGCCATCATCGGCAATCCACTCCCAACGTTCAACCAATTTACGCATGCCTGATTCATAGAAATCGCGCGGTTTCTCGTCTTCCACATTTTTAAATTTTTATTTTTTTCCATTGAAATATTTCTGTAGCGATCGAAACAAATGATAATCAGAAGGTGCAATGTCAGGTGAATATGGGGGATGTGGCATGATTTCCCAATTCATCTCCTTCAGTTTGGGCAGGGTCGGTTTTGCAACACGTGGCCTGGCGTTGTCATGATGGAAAAGAACTCTTCATCGGGTACAATCCACCTTTCGACATCGATTCCGCCCCTTCGTGTGCCTGTTTCCATGTTCTTTTGCGTTGAATATTGTTGTACAGGATCCATTTTTCATCACCAGTCACGAGCCGATCCAAAAAAGCTACGTTTTTGATCCGTCGAAGCAAAGAAATTGCTGTTGACATACGGTCCATTTTATTTTTTTCACTCAACTGATGTGGCACCCATGTATCGAGCTTCAAAGTGTACCCAACCTTTTTTAAACAACGAAACGCAGTTGATTTGTTGACGTTCAATTCACTGGCAACCCTCTCCGTCGGAATACGTTAGTTCGTCGCAACTAAAGTCCTTAGAACATCGTCATCAAGCTCAGAAGGCCGTCCACTGCGAGGTTGATCTTCGAGGTTAAAATCATCAGAACGAAATTTCGCGAACCATTTCTTTACTGCGCGGAGTGCTGGAGCACGGTCCAAATAAACTTCGCGAATATATTTAGTTGCAGCGCTTATTGTTTTTTCTTTGCGGAATTCGTATAACATAATATGACGCATATGATCTTTTTCGTTGTCCATCTTTTATGCGTCTTTTCACTAAGCAACTCAAATCAAAATGAAGTTATTTTATGCTTGATTTACAGTTCGGACTGTCACCTTTCCAACGATATATAATATGTATATATTTCTTTCACGAGCGCCACTCTCAAACGATTCGAACGGCATCCAGCGGAATCGGGCACGAACTTATGCACTCATCAATACAACAAGCTAACACGAGTGTGTTTGAAACTGATATTCAAAAATATTAAAATCAAGCCTGGGATCTATTGTACACAACGTGTGTTTGTTTGCATGCTCAGATGATGTTTAATGGAGATTTGAATAAAGCCATAAGCGATATTTTTATGTGGAACACGCCAGCAACAGTCTTATTCACACTACTGCGAATGCACCATATAAGCGACTGCCTTTGCTTTCTATTCAAAAATAGTATAGTTTCCCGCCAACCATTTCGTCCACTTCTCACGGGAGTCCGTGGAACTTGAAGGTCTTCCGCTACTCTCTTTATTATGCACAGACGAACAATCGTTTTTAAACGACCATTTTAAACTTCATTTCTAGTTTTCACCGCATAATAAATTTCAAACGAAGGTTTTCCCTTACAAGAAACAGCTGCCTCGTCGACAATAGTCAAAACAAAAACTTTCAGGATATACCTCGTATATTCTTTTATTGGTTCCCATCAGAGAGGTTACACATACGCCCCCACTATCACTAATTTCGCTAACGAAATGTAGAAAGATCCTAAGACACATATTTTTTGAATAACCATATTTTTCTTTCTTTCTTATTTTGGTATAACAAGAAACTGACAGAGACTTGTTTCAACAACCATTGGTAAAGATAGCAAATATGCCATGATTTCAACATTTGCAATATACGAGTATGTATGTATACATATTCATGCCGATTGCAAAATAAAGTTGCTAATTGTCGCCTTCGTAAGCGCAACCGTAAGTTTGAATGCAAGCACCTTTTGCTATAAATATAAAACACACTGCATGTGAACTGACTCTCGAGCACATCAATTCAAATGCTCAAGGAAAACATCACGCAACTCATCTGAGAAACTCATTAAATGGTACTTCCCTGCGCTAGTTGCTCAACAAAAAGGAGACGCGGCAAAGCACTGGCAACCAACCGATAATCAAAGGGTGGCAAATCGAAATTCGTGGCGCAAAAAGTGCATAAAAATTTACTCTTTGTTGTAATTAATATTTTTGCCACTTAGTAGGAGCACATTTATCAAACAGTTTGATTACTTCGCACAACAATTCTTAGGTTTATAACACTTTAGCGATTTAACGTACATTTCCTTACAATTCAAAACCGAAACGGTCAACCGAACATCAATTGAGCTATTTCCGAGCTACTTCGATTTGGTGTGCGCACGGTGTAGAATTCGAAACCACTGTGAGTGGTTGCCATAGTTTGCATTTACTGCCAAATCGCAGAGCCAATAAACCGAGCGGTTGTGAGCGACGTCTTAATGACCCCGACTCACCAATACACAAAGCCAAAATATGTAAATAAAAACTTGAGCTCACGACCAAAAGATGAGATAAAAAACTCTCAAAAGCCGGCATTACTAGTACGTTTGTATGCATTCAATTTGCAGTGGCGGATATTTATTGGTAACCGAAGAAGTTTTCCCCTTCTTTGAGTCACAACAACTCACTTATTTGTCCCAAAAGTTTGGCGATGGACGCGCGTTTTGCTAATTATCAGCGTTCGCTGGTCGCCTTGCCAAGCACATACATACGTGTAACTACTTCTTCGTGCGAGAGAGTATGTTTCTTTACGTGTATGTACATATGTACATATGCACATACATACACGCAATTTTCACAAGTTACTGATAATTGGCACTGCAAAGATTCGTTTGAGATAATGTTTCTTAGTCCCTCTCGTGCCTCTCTCTTGTCTATGCGATGGGGACGTTTGATAACGTTTTTATATTGCAGCAACACATGACCAACATTCGTAATCGTGATTTACGACCCACTACTAAAATAACAGTGATATTTTGGGAAGAGCGATTTATGGCACCAAGGTATTGAATGTGGTTCGCTGTGCTACGCAGGCGTAAGAAATACAAAATCGGTGTACGAGTATTTGATGAAATTTCACAACCGATCTGCTCAACTCATTAGCAGAGCGGACTAGTACGACGGCGATCTAGCTTCTTCGCAGAGCATCTATTAGTTCCGAATGTTGGTGGAAAGAAGCGATGTTTCCTTGAAATCTGAGGAAGAAAAATGTAATGCAATGGGAGTGTTTAAGCTTTCTCACACCACGAGTGCAAAGCTTATTACATGCGAAGGCATTTTGTTGGGTCTTTACGTCTCTCGAAATTTTTACATACTCCACCCCGTTTCATTTTATTTGTTACGTTCCTGCTGCCTATAGCGCCAGTAAGAAACATTCTATTGGACCCAAATTTAGCAGTTTCTTTTTCTTTTTATTTATTTTCTGAAACTAAGTTTTCTTTATACCCCCCTTTTAGAACAACTTTTTAATTACTATTTCTTCTTTCTTATCATTGCTTTTACATTTAAACAAGTACGCACATATGTATGTACATACAGTGTACAGTAGTACATACTTATTGGATTAAACAAATAATTGCGGCAGAATCGCTTTGAGCTTTATTGATTTTACTAATTAACCGTATTTAGAATAGCGTAAATGTCATACATACATACATACATATGTGCAAGTCAATTTTGTATTTATCTCACCTTAGTATTTGCCAAACATCTTATATCCCCTTATCACTTAATTACCAATATCTCTAGACAATATTTGCATGGGCTTGGCCAAATACTGTTATCGTTAATTGCGAAATTCGAAAAAAATCAACAAGAAGCCTGATACGTAGTAGGCATGTATGAACAAATGTGCCTATATTTGCTTTGAGATTGAAATAATTATTGCACATATTTATAGTATCACTGGGAGACCCGGCCACACGTTCTTAGATTCCCATCAAGTGATAAGTGAATCCATCCAAATACATAGTGTAAATGTAATGAATATAATGGTTTAGGAGCTGTTTGATGTCATAATGGGTAAGTACCAATCCCGATTTTATTGACAGCGAATCTGAAATAGAGTTTCAGTGGGATGGAGATAAGAATCACATTTCAAAAGTCGACCCTAAATGTTTGGCTGACCAAAGTTTTCAATTGATGAAGCCCTGTCCTCAACCCAAAGTGTCGAACTATATATTCGAAGAAATTTTTATAATTTGGATACACATTGATATAAAGGCGTAATAAAAACTAAATAATATTATAAATTAAATATTAAAATTGATTTTTTACTGTTAAATAAATGAAGTCCCAGAGTAGCAAAAGTGAGTACTTATGATTTGTCTTTGTCGGAGCTTTAAATTAGACACACACACACTCGATACTCTTTCATTTGCTCATATTCTTGAAATCTTCGAGCAGTAAAAGAAAAATGTTCAACTTTAAATAAAATACAAAAATTCGATTTAAGGTGGCGAAAAAAAACCAAAAATGGTGTTAAGATACGAAGAGAAAAAAACATGGAAATTATAAAATCGTCTTTATCTCCCAACGTTTCTAGTGAAAAATCGCTTTGGAAATCCTGCAAAACGCTTAAACTGTCAGTGAATACTGAACAACCGTTGAGGCTGCGTAACGGTTCATGGGCCAGAAGGGAAAAAGAAACGGCGACTTGTTTTGCAGAGCATTTTAGTACGGTATTTCAACCAAATACTGCTACAGAAAATGCACTTTCAAACTAAGCCATACTGTTCCCAGATACACTGGCAATTGTGAAGCACCTGTATCCGGACTAAAAAATATTATCACCGCCTTAGATCTAAAAAAAATATCCTTGATGCGATCATTATATCACCAAAAATGCTAAAGGAACTTGCAAGCATTGATCTCGTTTTCAAGTAAAGATGCAATCCTGATGCAAGTAAACGAATACGTAACAGAGGAGTGTCAAATAATGGCAGGTGCTACGAAAAGTAATGTTCTTGGTCCATTATACGAGGTGTGTTCAAAAAATATAACGAATTTTGTGTTTTATTCAAAAATTATTTAGTTATTCATAAATATAATATCCATTTTGTTCCCCATGAGGTATTATACACTTGTGCTAACGGTTTTTCCAATCTTCGAAGCACTTCAAAAAATCATTTTTTTTTATCTTGTTCAGCTCCTCCTTCGATGCCGTCTTTATCTCGTCAATCGTAGCGTAACGTCGTCCTTTCATGGGCCTCTTCAGTTTAGGGAACAAGAAAAAGTCACAGGAGGCCAGATCTGGGGAATACGGTGGCTGCGGCATCATTAGTGTGTTGTTTTTGGCCAAAAAGTCGCGCGCAAGCAACGATATGTGAGCAGGGGCGTTATCGTGGTGCAAAAGCCAATGTTTGCAGGTCATATTCCTTATTGACCGTTCTACCCTGTGGCAAGAACTCATGATGCACCACGCCCCTGCAATTAATTTTCTCGTCTGTTGCTGAAGTGCTCGGGCGTCCGGCACGCTCTTCGTCGTTCACATCTTCTCGGCCTTCTGAGAACATTTTTTACCACCGATAAACGTTGCTTCGGTCCAAGGTAGCTTCTCCGTATGCCACAGTCAACATTCGGAGTGCATCCGCTCACTTAATTTCGTTTTTCACACAAAATTTAATACAGGTTCTTTGATCCATTTTTTTTTTAATAGGTAAAAATCGAAGACCATCCAAAACACGTGCAAGCAAAGCAGCTGTCAACAATTAAGTGAACATTCAAAATGGCCGAGCTTGTCGACATAAGTGACAGAGATGAGTACCAACATAACGCCACAAAAAAATCCAAATTCGATTATACGTAACCCGCGAAAATTCAAAATTCGCAATACTTTTTGAACACACCTCGTCGTACAGATATTCCTTTAACATTAAAGCTAAAAACGAGCCCCATCATCAAGCTCAACAATGTGCCTATCCCATACAAGCTAACAAACCCACATACAGTGTTCCCTTGGATATACGGCTAACTTGAAGACGAGACATTTCCGTCAAAATGATGCTGCCGAAGCTTAAATTTTCCTGTTTGCATGGGACTTTAAGAATGAAATCTGGACTCAGCCTGCAAAATAAAGTTCTTTATAACGCGACAATGTAATATACATAAATGTAATTCAAAGATTCTAGCCGAAAACGTTAAGAATATTAAGAAGCGCACCATGGGTAATGAAAGCATCGACAGAAATCTAAATATAAACCAAAGAAGAGATTCAAAACGTAGCACAAAAATACGTAGCAGAATTGCACAATCATCGGAACCCTTTGGCTAAGGTCTTGGAGGAGGAATTAACTCTCTTGTAAAGAGCAGCATTGAGCTAGGAGCCCTTAATTGGTTACTTATTATGAGGCATCCAATACCAAATCACTTTCAATAAATAAATGCAAATGGTGTTAAAAAACATATAATTGCCGAGAATTAAGCTCATCGAGAGTGCCATTCTCCTATTACTTTTGCCAACAATTGCTATATTTAAGAAATTTATTTTACTGTTCCGTAGTTTTCGATTTGTTTTATTTACTGATATTGAGTGGTTATCTATTTAGATACAATTACAAATTTTAAACGTAGAAATTTGTATTATAAGCGATAATAATATCTTATATTAAATTAAATAATCACATTATAATGTTTTCTATATGCTCATGATGTAAATGTACAAATGCTTGGGTAATAATGCAATTACAACAAAAAGTAAGAAAAATGAGAAACAATTCATTACAAGAATAAAAAATAAATTCGAAAGTAAGAAATATACAAAATATACAAACTTTTTTTTAATTAATATCTCATCCAAGGCGTAGTTATTACCAAATGACACACTAGCACAACAACCAAAAATTAACATGTATTTTGTTCTTTTTGATACAGATTGCCAAAAATTATATTAGATTTGATCGAGGCCGCAATATGAATGAATTAGCCGTTCTAGAGCTTCAATCTGGTGATGTTTTGAACCATGATCTGGTCGCAATTGATAATTAAATTCTAGAATAACAACAGACTAGCAAAGCAGCTAATTACTGGTACTTTCTCTTTCAGATATACACAAATATTCTATCAAAAATACATCATTATATGAAGCAATTAAGCTTTTAGATTTTTTGACCACAATCTTTATTGCCATTACATACTTGTGTATTTTTTCATAGCAATTAATGGAATTTGATGTAAGCCAAAAATATTTCAAATATATAAGCATAAAATGTATTTCATAATTATTCATTGCATCAACAAATTTCTATCATAGTATTATAAGGTAGCATATTTTGAAAGGATGGCGCAATTAGACAAAACACACTTTTCAACACACCACATGCTTTCGAGTTCAAAAGTATGAGTTGTAAAGTCTTCACTATGCTGTACAGTTGATGTCTTGTTTATTGTATAATCCTATGCACTTATGCAGTGATATCAATAAAAAATACTCATTTAGCGTTCTTAAGGAATGTTAGAGCCGGAACGAATGTGTCACTATAAATATAATAATTAACATAGCATGTCCTAAATAAATGTGATCCTAAAAAAAACTTATTTTTAAACAAATCTTTTCTATTCTTTACAACAGCCGAGCTTATATGCAAATAATAAGAAACATTTTTTGCTTGCGCTACATTGTAAGCGTTTTTTTTTTGCGTTTGTTGGCATTCTTTGTCGCGCAATTATTTTAGAATCAACGGCGCTTTTACATACAATATGCGTTTAAAAACGCTTTTTTTTGGATTTAAGGTGTTTCGTTTTACGACTTAAATTTAATTCACGAGAAACTCTGCTTTAGAATTATATTTCTAATTACTATAAATAGATTTCATTTCAGATTCTACTTTCATTTCTTTCTTTTTTGGTCTACTTGTGGACAATGCTAAAAAATAGTTTTCATTGCATTTATATTTGTTTTCTAACAATTTGTGACAAGTGATTATAGCTTTATGAATATTTTCAACACATTTTAGAGAGATTTGATTTATAAACTCTTTAATAGATAATCTTAAAAATACATTTAGCTGTTATTGATTTTTTTTACTCAATCAATAATCATTATTTACTTATTTATATGTATGTACATACGAGTACATACGAGTACATACGTAGATTCTCATTAATAGCATTGCCAATTTAAGATATTTGTTTAACATTTTATTTCACTACCCATTAATTTAGCTTGTTTATTATAAATTGACAACAATTTTAACATTAACTTCTTTAAACATCTTAGATTATTTAAAATGACTTGATTTTAGAAGCAATTTAATTTGATCTTGGTGTGCAAATGCCCATTCGATAGCATTAGAAATGATTATGTGCAAGCATCATATCTCGTATGTGTCCATGAATATATGAATTATTGTATCTGAATTTTTTTTTTGTTTGTTTACTTAGTTATATAAAATATTGTAGGTATAAATGATGTAAAGCATGTAATATTCAAGTATTCTTAATTATAACTCAATGTAGCTGTTTTTAGTACTACTTTTTAATTTTGAGATATTGCGTGGGTTTTGTAGTAAAACAAGTTGGCGTAAAATGAAAGAAGACTCAATTTCTAAGTCAAGTAATATTTTACGAGAGGATCAGTAGAAGGAAGATAAACAATAATGGTGTCTTTATTTATGAAGATGTTAGTTAATGTAGACTATTAAAATTTGCTCGGAAATAATGAATGAAATAAAAGAAAACTTTAAGTGGTTATAAAACTATTATAAAGCGAAGCCCACGCTCAAGCGTTATGAACGCTGTTATGTTAATCACCACTGTCCTCCCATTTGCGTTCCTCCATTATTCGATCAAAACAGTCTGCTAGAAACGAATGCTGCAAATTGGGACAATTTATTTACATTAATAATGAAAGTTTAAATCGATGACTGTTTCAAGTTACCCGATATGTACTTACATATGGCGTGTATACTTTCACCCAACGCGCCGGTTTCTCCGGACGATTGTATTGAAAGCAGAAAGACATGGACTCTTCGTCGCTCTCCCATCGCGTTATGCTTTCCCATGTTAATTCGACCATTTGCGCTTCTAAGGAACCATCTTCCCGACAAGCGTGTAATCGGAAACTTTTTATACCTGTTCAAAAATTAAATAAAAAATATATGTATGAAATGGTCCAAAAAATGAATGGACGAATGTACTGGTGTCGCGTTCTTAGCAAAACACCGAACAACAAAAAAATTCAATATTTTCATTGTATTTTTGATAAAAATGTTAAACTTAGCTAAAAAAAAAATTAGGCAGCCGACCGCTTATGATCATTGTCCTGTAAATTAACAGCACATTCTCTGTAGAATTTAAAAAAAAAATCTATATTTTTAATGTACATATATTTGAGAATATTATGTTTTTAGGTAATGATCCAAAGGAATAAAATTTTTGAAAAAAATTTCGATTTTTTGAGCAACTTTGAAGCCGTCATCTTGACAAATTTCGAAATTTTCACTATTCCTGAACTTATAATTATAATACTAATGTTTTGTTTTCGGATTTCTAATGATTTGAAGCAGAAATATCTTCTTTACTGCCAGACACCTTTTTTGGAGGCCCTTCAATTCTATTTAGAATAAAATGCCTCTAAAAAAATTTACAAAGAAATTCAATTATTTTGCTTTGCAGGTGTATTTTAAATTGTCCCAACGAGCCAACTGTTTCGGCTGCTGCGACACAAATGTCGTTGAGTAATGTAGGAGTTCGGGATCTAGAATGGCCTTCGGAGAGCCCAAATCTCAAACCCACTGAGGAGTATTAATGGGGAGGCGGGGGGAGGGATCATTGAAAAATGCCAGCGATCGATCCTTCACAAAACAAAAAGTAGTTCGAATGACCGGTGAACCCAATGCCATGAGATGTGCAACTGGTATCCGAATCAAATGATCAGCAATTAATTTAGCTGCTCCTTTAATTACCAAACCTTACTTTTAGATATAGTTAACTAGTTAAAGAAAACTAGCATTTAAAATTTCATTTTTGAAACAGCAACGATTGAATGCATAAAACGACTGAAAATATGTTTTTCCGCATAGGTGTATGCACGAAGAAATAAAATTCTTTAACCGCATTTACTCACCAACAGCTGGTACAACATGCCCTTCTTTACGACTATCACAGGAACAATGTGGAAATACAACATCACCATAACCGGGAAGCGTGCGCGCCAATGCCAAATATTCCGATGCCTTCTTTGCATCCTGTAAGGCCTTCAGCTCGTAAAGGCGCCCTTCAGCGCGTATATATCCTCGATTGACTTCGTCTACCGCCTGTGAAAGCCTCAATGAGTACATAGTATTCATTCAATTTTTTTCAATTTTTCCTACCTGATAGAAAATGAACTTTGCTGCTTGTTCGCCATCTGGCAAGCCAAGCTCTCTATTCACCGAGAACAACCATCTACGGACACAAAGACAAGTGCTGGAGGCAGTACTGTAATTCTGCACATACAACTGATGTGGAATCTCATGTGGTTGCAGTTTTCTCTCGAAATTATACTCGACAATTTCGAAGAGATAAAAGTATTGTTGGGTATAAGATGTTAAATTGGCACGTTGAACCAGAAGTTCCCACACTACCTGCGCATTTGCCGATTTTCGGACCGACACCGTCGAGACTTCATGATCAGGCAGCATTACTTTTATATCCACCGGTGAGGCAGATATGTCATCTTCCGAGTCAGTAAGAAAATCTTGAACCGCATCACTTTCAGCAATCACGCGTACGGCGCACACCTTTTCCAAGTACTGCTCAAGACCTCGTCGTCGTGTGTCCAATTGCTGCTCACTCAATTGGAATGGCCATTTTCCAGGTAGTTTAGGGAAATTAAATCCAGCAAACTCCTTACGTAATATCGAATGAAGATTAGCGAACTCGCGATAACGGCGAGAGCACAATTGACGCCCAGCCATATGGATATTAAATACGATATAACGCTCTCCATTACGGTTCACAATGCTGTAATCCGGTATACTGAAAAGATGTACATAAGTAAAAAGAAAATTTAAATATTTTTATTCATAACTAAACTAATAAAATACCTAATGGGCAAAGATCGTTTATCGGAATAGTCAATGTACGAGTAGCCACTCTGATCCTCCTGAGGCTCAAGTCTCTCCGCTTCCTATCAAATAATAATTGTTTTATAAGTTATTTGGCTACATTGAAGCAATACTTACTTGTTGTGTTACTGAAATAACAGTTAGAGTCAGGCAATCACCGCCCGATTTAATCAAGTCCACAACTTGTTTATGCGTAGCCCCTTCAACGCTAACACCATTCCTAAAATGTAAAGAAAATTTTATTATGAATTCTTTCTTATACATATGCATGAAATCAAAATAAACTTTACCTAATATATTTAAATTAAATATTTGATATTTCTGCGTTCGTATAACACGCACAATATATATGAAAATATTCAAAGATAATTCTAATTAAACGAGGTTGTTAACGCGTTGATTAGAACAATTAAACTCCAAGCTAAAACAACATTAGCTTGTTTATAGCATAAAAGGTCTGGTGCTTCAAGTGGAGAGGTTCGTTTGCCTTGCATCTAACTTACACATATAAGTTAGAAACAAAAAAAATAAAAATAAAATACAAAATAACAAACAAAATACTACATAAGTACCAACAGCAGAATGCACGCATCTTTTTTCAGAATAATTATATATAATTATCAACTACGGGGTCTGAAGAAAGAGGAATGGCGAATGGATCCGATAGTGAACGAGGTATATGGAGTATTCGTTGGCGGATGCGGTCTGTTGTTGACTCGTACCATTACTGACTGCGCCCATTACAGCAAAGTAATACAAGGCTTATGTTAACAGTTATACTATAATGATCAAGTTTATGTAGATTATATATGCACATTAGTTATCCCTAAATTTTACAATGTTACTTTGCGTACTACCATATCTGAGCAAACTGAAAAATGATGTGATTTATTATAACTTTTTTTTTACTAAAATTAGAAACAAATTATTTCATAAAAATAAAAGTAAATAAAAACATTTTAATATAAATATATATGCATGTAAATATTATTGTTATGCTTAGATCGTGCTTATTTTTGCTGCAGAAACATGATCGGTACAATTTTAATATCATTTTTCTTTTCACACTTTCGTATGCCATATACGTTCACAAAGGTAGCTTAACATCGGTATAAATTGCGGGTTATCTCTATAAATTTCGAATAATTTTCGCTTATATTTATTTATTGTATTTAATTAAATGAATCTCTTTTTTTGTTTCCATTTATTCTGATAACGTGTAAATGCTTACGCACACACATCCACATGAATATCCATATGTACGAGTATATTTGCATATGGAGTATATGCATGTACCAATAAATATATCATCACAGAAATAATCCAATTATTCAAAATATCTCATAAAATATTTGCAAGTCCATACAATTGCTTAATGCAAAAAAAAAAAAAATTATATATCAATTGTTTTGCATTATATGTATTATTTTACTCGAATAAATCAGAAAACTTTAAAAACAACAGCAACACTCTTTTATACTATAAAACATAACAATATATATACATACATATGTATGAATGCTAGTATATTCGGATTATCAGATCAACACAATATGTATTTAAAAATTAAAAAAAAAAGAAAGAAAAATACCCATAAACTTGTATTACTATATTTTAATAGGTGCTTACATTCATATTGAAGCTTTATGTGCTATTTAAAGAAGTGTCAGTTGACAACTTGTAACTAAAATAATCATAATCATGAATACATTGCCATCTGAACACAAGTACATACCATGCAGATTCATACTCTATAAGTTCGTTTCTTTTGAACGTTTGCCACAAGTTGAATTTTATAAAAGTTGAATTTTATTATTTTTATAATTGAAAAATTTTATAAAAATACTTCTCCTTCCAACAAGTAAAGAAAAAAATCATAAAATCATACCCGCGATTTTTGCAATTAGACAACAACTGGTACGGTTACAGTGCCTACTGGGTTAAGCGAACTAATGCAAATTCTTTTTACAGCTGTTTGCAGTTGTTAGTAGCACAAAACAAAAAATTCTTACAACCCTGCGGAAACAACTTAGTGGTTGAATAAACGATCAAATGCCGATACACCGAAGCAAACAAGGGGCGTACTGAAGCAGGTTGATTTTTTTTTGTTTTTTTTTTTTTTGTCATAACCAACATCCGTTTCTTTTGATGTCATAGTGTGAAGACTTAAATTGTATGAAGAAAACAAGTGGTTTTCTTAAAAATCAAAAGAGCCTATGAAAATTCATATAAGGTTTCTAGTTTTTTTGTTAATACTTACACTTCCAATATTCGATCCCCTTTTTTAATTCCTGCCTTTTCTGCCGCTCCATTTTCTAAAACAGCACTTACATGTTGTAAGGGGGCATATAATTCTCCGTTTATTGAACGAAGTTGCCCACCTTCGGAAACTTGTCCACGCACATTGAAGCCAAAGCCTTAAATTAAAAAAATCGATAAGGTATTTTTTCTCTGTCTTTAGTAGTATACGTTCGCAAGCAAGTAGACAAGCTAAACAAGCTAAAATATCCGGCAAAAAACGTAATTATGTCTAATTAGATTCACTTTCTTAGTACAATTACCTGTTTCTGTTTTATAGATATGTACCACTCGCGGACCACTTGACGCTGCAGAGTCACTGCCAACTCCACCGCCGCTCATAGTAATTTATTGAACCCACTAATAGAACTTGTGTTCAATTATAAAAATCTTTGGCGAGCACTTGAGCTCCAAGAAAAAATATTAATTTGCGTAACTTCTTCGGCAATATCCTTATTTGCTTACACCTGGTTGGAATATAGCAATTGTTTGCATATTTAGCATTTATATTATATTATATTATTATTATATCAACCAGTTTATAATAGAACTTTTTGGACTATTTGCAACTACGCAAGCACTTCTCAAAAGTTTTAACTGCTGAAAAATTCACTTTTTCACTTTGCCTACAGATCCGTACAACAGAATTGGGTGGAATGGAAAATAATAGGCGAGTATTTCCTTCCGTGGTTGCCACCTGAAATGATATATCTGCCCATGGCCAATTATTGTGAAAGGATAATGGCTGTACGGTTGAAAATTGGTATAATGATATAATTTTTTTTACTTCCGCGAATCTATATCATTTGTTAAACGATAAAGTTAAGGAGCCACAAACAACAGTTGCCATCAAATTGCTTGCAATAATCTGTAAAAATTATATATGTGTGGCAATCAATAATCGCCTATGGGGATGTGGCTTTAAATTATTCTTGATAAGAAATTGCATTTATTTCACCATTTAATTTTTTAAAAAACATTGACGCTCACATAAAATAGCGAATGAGCACTTGCACATTCTTTGACAGAATTAAGCAATTATTATTTTTAATTTTTAACAATTGGGTATCACTATTCGAACGTAATAGATTTATTCAAGTTAATGTTTTTGTTCATTTTTGCTTTTCTGTTGTTTCTCATTTCCAGAGAATTGTTTTACATTTTCTTTGTGATTCATTTGGTGTAAAGTTGGTCAGAGTTGGTGTAAAGTGTGAATTGTTTTGTTGAAAAGTTAGTATTCCATTATTGTGTGTGGCGAAATCCTGTATTTGAAAAATGATAATTAAGGAGGGAAGTTATATGTGGCGTAGTAAAAATACAAACTAAGATATTGCTTGCGGAAGTAGCATTTTTATTTGGAATAAAAATCGAGTATAAAAGGTTTGGAGTCATCAGAATTATACTCGTTCAAAATGGCGTCGGCAGATCAAGAGCTTGTAAGTAAAATTAGCAACTAAATTGCTTTCGAAGCAAAAAATGTTAAATACATATAACACATGTGAAAGTGCGTAAGTTTTCTATAAACAGTGAAGATTTTGAAAACTGTCTTGTCCTGACCTCACAAATGTATTTAGTTTCTGTGGTGTATTAAAGCTGTTTGGGATTTAAATTCCAACACATAGCATCAGTTGAAAGGTGCTTATTTTGATGGTTTTTTTTTAACAACTTTATACTTTTTCTGACGTTAAGTTGTACCGGTGAACTAGTTATGCTCAGACCGTATTAATTTATATAAAATGAATTAAAGAGAAAATTATGAATTAAATACACACTAAATTCAGTCTATTATAGTGTATGCCTATCCGTTCTGCACACTTGTTTTCCATTTCCTGTCCTCCATTTTTTGTTTATATTCTCGTTCGTACTCATCCCTATATTAATTTCTGATAAGAAAACAGTTTCTTTTTATAAATGACTTCTTTAATTTAAAACTGAAGAAAATATAAGTACATACATACATGTACCAAAATCGATTTAATGTATTTAAATAATGTAGGTTAGTAAGTAATTGTAAGTTGTTTTATTTTAACGTATGTATATATGTATGTATGTACATATAAGCTCCAATGACATGGACAATCCATATATAAAATTTTATTTTTTTCTGTTATATGGAGAATTAAAATTTAGCACAATGACCTTAAGTACATATTTTGTTAGTGTATAAATGTGTATAATACAAATTCAAAAGGCATTCTTCTCTCAACTAATCATTCAGTATGAACATAACTTCCGGGTGTTGCATTTCACGCTTGCTCTTCGTTTTTCACCGGCTTACTGTGTTAGCTTAAATCTGTCACTAATGCCCGTGTATTTAGTTTTCCTTGGTAAGTCTACATTGTGAAATTCAAATTTATTTATTTTTTTTTTAATTATCTGTAAATAGCGTTTTACAACCGCTGAAGTGATTATCGGCCGAGTTCCTCCGCCAATTTTTGGTATGTGTCTTGAAGTTTTTCAACAAATGAAATTACCTAGAGTTTATTATTAGCAGTCCCCGAACGGCTGATGGCTTTTTTTTGAAGAGCTTTTATTCCATGTCAGAAAATCTATTCTATTTTGTTCGCCTCTTACGACAGGTTTACCTATAAACCAATAAACCCCTAGCCCGTAGGAGGGCACATTAGCTCATTGCATTCAACGATATATCTTGAATAATATCACAAGTTGACTGGAGATATATGTAAATGAAGAATATGTACTTGTACAATCATTCAACTCAACTAATTTTCTTTTTCAATAGATCAGCATTATTGCAATATGGCTATTGGATAGTCAAGTGTGAAAAACTCTCAAAGTTTTTTGCACAATAACGTTGCCTTGCGTCTTTTATATTCAAAATTATTGCTAATTTACAGTCATTAAATTGTATAATGCTTTTTTCAAGCATTATGAAAACACCAATTGCAGAATAAACAGTATAAAAGTACGAGTTCTTCAAAGCATACTGGCTTTGACCCACCTATTAATGTGATTATTTCAAGAATTATGATAACGTGTAATCATATTTTGTGGAAAAAGCTCTACTGTTGTGTCGTTAACTTTCTATATGTAGCGAGAACAGAGATATTAACACGAATAAGCAATGAATGACTCAAAGAGAAGCTATGCACAGCAACAATATAATAATGAATGCATTTGGAATTTCGTTTGTCGCCATCGTCTGGCCAATAACAACCAGCGATTATCAAGCATGTACACTGGAAATGGTTTCTGTTTGTTTATCTTCTCGGAATTCGTCATTTGTAGGTACGTCGTTGTTGTTGCTCAAAGCTTTTGTAAGAGTGATTATATTATATTTCGAAGCTGCAGTTATATAGTACATACAGATGAGTACATGTTTGTTGGGTTCATCGGTTGGTCGCAGGTTGTTTTGACGGACAATTTCAGTCATAAAAATGCCGGCGTGTTGTTAACTCTCCAAATAACAACTGAATTCTATTTCGATAAATGAGATATTAAAATGGTGTATTTAATAATAAATAACAACAGTCGCGAGCAGTGCTTACAGGTATAACTTAATTAAGAATATGCCTGTAGTTCAGATTCGTGATTTTCGTTGAATTATGACTACTAATGTTTAATAATAAATCAATAATACTTATAATCCAACTAAAACAATTTTATAATAATGTAGATATAAAGATATTTAATGTGTAAAATTGTATGTCTGACTCTGACTTCGGTTCCTAAGAAAGTGAAAAATAAATCGTAAAGATTCTTACTTCTGTACTTAGTTTTAGACATGGTTTATAAAGTTCCAAAAGTATAAATTGATCAATCTTTTTCACAGCAAATCGTAGATAAGAGTGTTCATTTGATTTGTTTAATCTTTTTATGTGGCGTCATATCACAGGAACCAATAGTAATATTATATTAATAATATATAGGAAAGTTCGTTTCGTCGTAAATATTTACTAAAAATGACTTATTTACGTTCTATTCAATTAGTTCTTCCTTATTGATGTAAACACTGCTTACGCGATTATAGTCGATATTTAACTAGTTATTTGCTTTTAATGAAGATGGGTGTGGTCCAAAGTCTCGTATCAGAAGTGATAAAATTAATATCACCATTTACACAATTAATTTTCTAGTTATGTTATATATTTGACTGTTACTTTAATTTACTTGACCATTTAATTTATTTTCTATGGAAATACCCACATCGAATTCCTACATGGTTGACCAAATTTCAGTTGCAATTTTTTGTCTTGAAACTGAAACTAAATAAAAAGCTTTTAGAATAATTCATAGGAATTGATTTGACGCTGACCGTTATCTTTGCTATTTTTCTATTCGTTAAGGTTTCTAAGAATCTCTTTGTACAAAGTAAATTTTCATCATAAAACATATGAACGGAAATATTTATCACATACATATGTACATATGTATGTATGTTCATATGCACAAAATGCTGGCACAAATTTTATGAATGAAATTTGTTAGCTTTTTTATTATTGAAAGTTAGTAAAAAATCGTGTTTGGACCTATTATCTAAACACAGATACTTACATATGCATATATGAAAGTTACCTTTTTATGTAACTGTAGAAACATGAATATTTGCATTAATTTTTTGTTTCTATGCTATAATTTTAGGCTGTCAAACAATTTATTGATCTCTGCAATGGCTCGTCGTCCAGTGTTAGACGTAATGTATCACATACCACAGCGGTGAAATTTTTGTATGCTCGAAAATTTGACGTACATCGAGCTGTGTCCCTTTACGAACAACATGAACAAATCCGGATACGTGAAGGCCTATATAACATAAATCCAGATATAGAACCACTTTATTCAGAATTACAGACTGGAAAATTCACCATATTGGTAGGTGATTATTTATACAGTTGATTATAAAAGCCTTTGTAATGATGTAAATTGTTTTGCTTAACGTTACAGCCTGCTCGTGATACCACTGGTGCTGCGATCGCTCTGTTCACTGCTAGTCGACACAGTCCCTTAAGTGTTACGCATACCATCACATTGCAGGGCATTGTCTACCAACTCGACTGTGCTTTGCAAGACACAGAAACGCAGAAGGCGGGACTCATCTTCATATACGATATGAGCGGTTCAAAATACTCAAACTTTGACTACGATTTATCGCAAAAAATTCTAACTTTGCTCAAGGTAAGATTGCATAAAAGACGAAACTAAATTTAGTAATGAATTACAGAAATCGTGTTATTTAGCTTTATTATACAATTTAAATTTTTCTCGATTATTTCAACTTGCAATACAAATGTTTAGAAATGGAGGGAATTTTCAAATAACGAATTTCCCTGCAACCAACTAAACAATGTCGTGTCGAGCTCTCTATTGCAAATGGGGCTTTAAGTTGACTCGTAAGTACTGATTTTTGAAGTTTACTAAGTACTCGAGATTTCAAATTATCTTTAGAGTTATTTGATTGATTTTTCCACATTTTTAAATAATTTGGTAAATTCGAATTGGAATAGAATTTGTTGATTTTTAAATTAGCACAAACATACATGCAATTTAATTGTATACTTGCTTAAAACGTAAGAGTGCTCATAAAATTTGAAGGCGTCCGATCGTTTATCTCTGCTCTTATATCCTTACTTAATTCATTATATATATGTCCATATGTATATACAAATAAAACAAAATACCACTCACGCTCAGATATTTTTCTAAGTATTTTTTTTATTAAATTAAGGCAACGCATTTAATAATTTACAAAAATATGATTTCCAATATAATTCGGTTGAACAATTAAGCTTACAATTCCATCCGAGCTTTTTACTTAGCGAATCTTGCAAAAAAAATTCAGTCTTTTTTCTTTTTCGCAAACACATTCATCTCTAATGCTACAGATGTGTGTGTAGGTGTGTATGGAGAAAAGCTAAATCTCATACCATGTGTATAATACACATGCACATATAGATGTGAATTCCGCTGTGGAAACGTTTCCAATTGAGGAGGTGCTCTCATAAACACATTTGTGTTCGTGCCAAATATACGTGTATATGTGTGTACACACTACGTACATCATGCATGTTGATAGTTGAAGTAGAAGTACTTTTTGTGTTGTTCCTTCAGGTGTAATACTTTTAATGTTATATTTGAGCACGAAAGTTCTTTCACTTCCTTGAGCTGCATCCTAAGCGTGCACCTTTGTATGTATGGATGAATGGCTGTGTATATTCACACTCGCAAAAACCAATATGTACAATACTCCTACATGCATATATATGTACTCTGGTGGCCAAAAAAAAGTAAGCAAAAGCATATATATTTTCTATGAAAATTAAGAAAAGTTTCAATAATCATTATGTGCATATTTTTTTAAATATAATCTCTTCCGTTCGCCAAGCATTTTAGCCGGTCAAAACTAAAACAACTCAACTAACCAAACAATTTTAAAACAGGATAAGTAGGAGATAATATTTCAATAGTACCGTTAGCTTCGCTACAAATGTTTTTTTTTATGCTAAGCACTTTATCGAGTTTTCGTTGCAGTGGCACGCATCGTGGCAAACAATTTGCGTTGAAAATTTTTTAATAAAAATGGCGAGAAATAAGTACAATTCTTCGTTAAGGAAAAAAATAATTAGTGATTTTAAAAAAGGCGTGAAACAAAAAACAATTTCCGAAAACTTATCAATTAATAAATCAGTGGTTTCGCAAACAACAAGTCGATTTAATGTAAGCGGATCAGTAAGTGCCGTATATAGTGGAGGACGACCTCGAAAAAATAACAATGTATTGATAAAAACATTATTTGAGAATTAAAAAAAAAACCCTTTTGCAACTTCTATAGAGTTGGTGAGAGAACTGCCGCTAGAAGTCAGTGCCAGAACGATGCGCAGACGCGCAGTACAGGCTGATTTACGTGCGCGCAAGTTAGCAAAAAAGCCTTTTCGTGACAGATTAGCATTTGTTAAGGCGCATATCAATTGGAATGCCTCACAATGGAGAGATATTTTATTTTCTGATGAATCGAAGTTTAATATTAATAGTTTTGACATGAAAAATTTCACCGTACGCTGACCAACAAACAAGCGCCTTGGTCCCAACTATTGCAAGGGCACAGTGAAGCATAGATGAAGAACTGTTATGATCTAGGACTGCTCTTCAGAGTCGGTACAATTCATCAAATGACAGAAGGTTTGAGTTGAGTTGATGCGGCTGCTGGTCAACCCCAAACCAGATAGATCGATTTGTGTATAAAAACGTTTTAAAAGATATGATGCTACCGTACGCAATTGAGAATATGCCCTTGATTTGGATCTATCAATACGACAACGATCCAAAACACACCTCACAATTGGTTAAGAAAGAAGTGGCTCAAAGTGGAAAAGGTCACAGTTTTGGAATGGCCTGCTCAAAGTCCCGACCTCAATCCTATTGTGAACCTCTGAAGCATAATATATCGGAAAATCAAAAGGGAGAGTGGAACAAACAAGCGCACTACTTTCAATCGCTTACAAGTTGCGTGGAACGGCATCAGCAAAGAACAAATTGAGCGCCTCATAGATGCCCTGCAGTTATAAAAAATAACGGTTACGCTATTGACTATTAACATTTAAAATTTTTGCATTAACGTTATATGCGAAAAATTTGAAAAAGGTGATTAGCCTGCGAAATAAATTTAATGAGATTTTATTTTATAATGTTTAAGTTAATAAATGGCTTTACTTGATATGAAAACTTAAAAGAACTTTGTTCATTTAAAACAATTTAGTTGCTTTAGTTTTGGCCACCAGTGTATGTATATGTCAGATAAAGAATTAGTGAATGATTCTAAAGTTGCTTTCATTTCGACGGAAAACAATATCTGTAGAAGCATGAATGTATGCACATACTATCATGTACATATGTACATATGTATGTATGTAAATATTTATTCACATCCAGCAAAAAGCTTTAGGTAGTTTATGAATGAGTATGAGTATAAATATATTTATATATGTAGGTACATATGCGTCGGAGGGGCCGGTCGTATAAACTTTAAAAATAATAAAAATTGCCCTACTCTCGTGTAAATATCTGATATTTTTCTAAATTCTGAAATTTCTTTTTAGCTTCTACGTACTATACACTAATTGCAATTTGTAAAGCTTATATAAATTCAATCTTTCGTTGAATCTTCAGAGTTGTAAAGTAAAAACAGGTTCTTGGTTGACAAATGAACTAACAAAACAACGAAGTTGGCAAAACATTTCTTTTATTGTATTTGAATGTCTTTAACTATAGTACAGCAAATATCATTTTCTAAATTGGAAAAAAAGAAACAATGTGTTGGTGTGTTTCTGCATTTCATCAATGATATGCACTTTTATACATATATACACATGTATGTATATAATTGGCACTTTACAACCGCTAAAGCGATTTTCGACCGTATGTATGCGTCACTAAAAAAAGGAATAAACAGAAAAAGGTTTAAACAATTCAAGTGATGACAGTGAGTATTCACATGTACTCGTTTTATACACATAAACACATACTTACGCACATACGTCAAAGAAAGAAGAAAGTTTTTAGCTTTTCCTCTCTTGAAAAATTACTTATGGCTATATGTATGTATGTATATATTATATGCAATGCTAATAGAAACCATTCATATACATGCGTACATACATGTGTATATACGTAATTAACCTTAACTTTTTAATGATCAATAGCGTTATGTAGTTATTGTATTTGTACATATGTATGTATGTATATAGTTGAAAATAACATACATATTTATCTTTTATGGAAAAAAAACCTTCTTGGAAAAGGTTTTCAATTTTGCAATTCTCAGAATTCATTGTTAGCATTTATTACAAATTTTCCGAGGTTTCTGTATCTGTAAAATAGCAAAACACTATGCGGCGCAAGTGTTTAAGAACGGTAGAATGAAATGCCCACATGTAATATAAAAACGATATTAGAATCTAAGCAAGTTACTTCTTATTAGATGTTTAGTATGAACTGTACCTTGACGGCCAAGTGAGCCGCCATCTCATCAATGTATGTTGTTTGCACTCACATTATATAAAAGTCGCAGATTTGTAAAAGTATGTAATCTCTCCTAAGCTTTTTCGGCGATCGTAGCCACATACACACATGCATAAAAACACATATGGGCATGTATGTAGGTATGTGGGGCATGAGCTATACGAGCAGCAGGTAGCTTTTGGAATTCATACCTGGTGCTTTCGCATGTGGATGGTGTACATGTGAGTCTTTGGTTTGTATTTGTATTTTTGCTGTTCAAATATGCAAAGTTCCGAATGGTGGGAGCGTAAATATTCATATACCCGTATGTATGAATGCTTGTTTATGTTTAATAATATATTATTATTTACATCTCTAAGTGTGTGTGTGTGTGTGTGTGTGTGTGCATGTGTGTGCTTGGTGAGATTTCTATGATTATAGCAACAACGTCAATAACAGATTACGTGTGCGCGTGCGTCATATTAAATTCACTTTTCATTTGTTGCTTCTGCCGCCAAAGCTAGCTAAAAACTGTTGTTGTTCCTATTGTCTTTTTTAGCTGCTTTCTCATTATAATATACTCGTATGTAGGAACATATGTGGGTATATGGATTCGCCGTACACGCATACTCGATACTTTCGGACTATCTCTTGGTTTATTAAGTAATTCGCTATTTAGTGTACTTGTTCTAGTCGTTCCGTTCGCTTAGCTTGGCTTAACTGAGGTTACGCGAGTGTAAAAAATATATTTAGCACTATAAATTCATAAGTGAATATAATATAAAGTGTGTTGTACATGTTGTACATTTGATTTTTTTGCCCAGCGAATTCATAGAGATTGACACTTGTGAGTGTTTTACATAATTTCGCGAAATTCAGACACTGAAAATGAAACTGCCAATGAAAAAGTAAAAATACTACAAATCAGCCAAGCTGAAAAAATATACACACAGAAATACATATTGTACATACATACATACTGTGTATATGTAGAAAAATTCTTTCGCTTTTGATTTGACTTTTTATTGAGACGTAGAATGAATGTTCGTGAATTGGGTTTTAAAATTTACGTGTTAAGTCATTAATGTTATCGGTTAAAAATTCATCACATTTGACTTTGGAATATTAAAATTTGTGTTTATAGTGCTATTGGATAACAAGAAAAAAGTGCAATCAATACCTATTCGTTATAATAACATTAAATTGAAGCTAATTAACGCTGAAAATTTTTAAAAATTAGAAAATTGATACATACATACATACATTTCGAAGGAGCCGTTTCACAAAAAGGTGTGCAAACTGAGTATTTGTTTTTTTTTTAATTTTTTCTGAACCAAGGAAAACAATATACATAAATGTCCTAAACTACATGTGTATATTATTAAGATGACTTTGGTTAAGTAAGTTTTCCAGCGAAATAATATTTAATTACTTGCGACGTTGGCTGTTTGAATTTTATTTATTATTATATATTATGTATACGTGCAAATATATGTATAAATGTATGTATGTATACATTAGTATGAACATTCTTACAAGTCTTTGCAGAAGTTTTGTCCTACGAAAAACAAGAATAAAAAAAAAAACAATAAAAAAAACAAGACTACGTAAAAGCAGCATTACATATTATACTTGCACGTCTATTCAAGGGTGAATCCATTATTGATATTTGTCTTCATTTTGGAAGATAATTTGTACAAATATTTCATTCCTTCTACTCATCTGATTTGGCTTCAATTTCGGCTCTGTCCGTTTGGTTGGACAACTGATTCCTAACTTTGAAGCTATTCCCAAGCTGGAGAGCTATATACATATGTATGTATATGTGTTGAATAAGAAACGTATGTAATTAAAAAAAAGGAACATGGAACTGATCACAGACTCCTCACCTCATTTTCTCGCAGGCTCTATCCGAGAGTAATTTTTGGTACTATATATTAATATAAAATATATAATGCATGAAAATCGCTTCAGAGGTTATAAATTCTTTATATATTTTTTATTTTTATTTTTTTTGAGTTTTTCTTTTTAGTTGTCAAAGTAGTTTTACATATAGAAGTACAATACTTTTAAATACCATTTCACTTCTTTTTTTTTTCAGTGAATAACATAACGGTTTTTGTCAAAATTACACTAAAAATTTTGCTATTGATCATTTTTTATTGAAGGAAAAGTAGTCAATTTTATTTGGAATATATGTATTGTATATTGTTTTATTTGTAGCAGTATCGTTTTATGTGGGCGAGTCTTGTACGTATTCGGCTTCACCAAGTGAACTTTCCCAATTCAAATTAAATGTTAAGAGTTAGCCAAGCACCCGAAAGCCTAGCCGTTTCATAAGCAAAATTGAAGCTTCAACAAGAGACCGGAAGAAGTAAATCCATATATGCTGAAGAATCCCCATTAAAATGGAAAATAAACACATGCATTTTGGTACATACATACATATGTACATATTTATAAAAATATATACATTGACAGCGAATTATGGTAGATAATGCAAATGCACATACGTTTGTACATACAAACATTTACATTTGTATAATTTGTATATATGTATGTATGTATTGCATGCTAATGTAGACAGCTTTCCTTTGACGCCGTCTCTGCCATTTCCCATCCTTCTTCTTCGTAGATTTATTTTATTTTCGTTACAATATTTGTAAGACTGAAGTGAGCTGTTCTGCAAATCAACTGACCGAATGCATTCATTCAATGTAATTTTTTCTCACTTTCATTTCGCCGAAAAAAGCGAAAAGCTAGTAATCCAATTTTGACAGTGGCTTTGTGACAAAGCAAACTGTCCAACATTTGCAACTGGGCAAGTGTTGTTGCAGCGAAAATATATCGAGAATGCGAAAAAAGTAAAGCAAAATGTCCTAACAACCCTCGAACTGCAATAACCGTTGCAAAGCTTCAGTTATAGCCCTCCAATATGCGAGCTCTGCGTTCTACTCGAATGCCTTTCGAAGTAAGCCAGTGCGCTCGCGCAATGAGCAGATGAGATATGAGAGAGTAATCCTCATTTTTATGGGGTTGTTTATGCACCGAAGTACCTAAGTGGTTGTGTTTGGGTGTTTTGGGTTGTGAAAAATCAGACAAAGCTGGTACAAACGAGAATAGAGCAAAATATTTAAACAGACGTGGATATTTATTGTGGAAAATTTGCTTTCATTAAAATAATTTCTTGTAATCAAATGCAAAAAGGTGTGAATTTCTTCGAATTCAATCTTTATAATAAACAAAATTCTTTATAATATAAACAGTTATACAGACAGGAGCGTCTATGTAGACGGATATATATATATATGTATATACGTGGGTTGTGATAATTCTATTCTGCAAAGTGAAATATTTTTAATGCAGTACTGATGGAAATTTCACGTCTATCTTAATAAGCTGCTTTTAAAAGTGTTTATTCTATTCAAAAAATGTTAAATATTTATGCAGTATTTGAGGGCAGATCCATTTGAGGATTGTGAAAAAAAGACCACATTAGAAGATTAATTTTGATTCGGGACAAGAAGAAAAAACTGCGGATGGAAAACCTATACACATAATATTTACATGTTTATACATACATATGTGTAAATGGATATACATTTATTTTGTATACAAAGTTGCATTTTGAAAAACTCTAAAAATATGCGTTCCGGTTTTGTAAAAGACTTTCAAGGAAAATCGCCGTTAAATCGAATTAAATACTACATCTCAATGTGTACATTATAAATTCCCCTCATTATTGAAATGCAAATATCATAATTACTTGCATTTGCTTAAAGTTTAATGTGGTAATATTGAGCATTTATATATTTGAACTTTTTTTGTAGCATTGTCATGGAAATAATTTATTTTAATTAGAATGTTTTATAGCAAAGCAATTTCCAAACAAAAAATGACTTATTCACATATATGTATATATATTTATGTATGTATGTGTGTGCATATCAACATACATATAATAACAAATAACTTTATGCTGATACTCAAGTGAATTTCTTCTGTGCAACTATTTGCTGCAGTCTTTGGTTGTTTCTTAATTTAATTTGATTTTTTATAATAAATAAGTATACTTACATAGTGCATTAAACATACATATTTATGTATATTGAAAATAAAGTGGCTTCATTTTTGCGCACTTTCTTTTTCGTCACCTTTGGGTTCTCCTTTTCGTCTTACGTGTACATCTTCTATCCATCTGCACATCAAGCCAAAAAATTTTGCGAAGGATTCTTTCCTGTGTAAGTGGGCGTTTGAGAAAATTTCAATCAGTGGTAATTCTTCGAAACAAGTGGTTTATAATGCGTCGCGGCATCGTTAACTAATGTACATATATACATATGTACATACGTATGTAGGTATACAAATTTCAAGAAAAGCAAACACTCTTTATTTGGCTTGTTGTGTATACGCCATGTTGGCCTCCCGAACATTTCGCTCCTTTTCTGGCAAAATACTTGTCTTCTTCGCTCAGAACGCAAAGCAAGAGAATTGTGAGAATAAAGGTTGTCGTATCATAATTTACAGCCTTAGAAATGAACATTACAAGTACTAACAAAATAGTAAATATTTTTAAAATGTTCAGAAATCGAGTATGTAAACACATACATACATAAATATGCAGTCAAAAATTGTTTTGATAATGATTAAATTTTAAAAGACCACACGCGTCATCAGAAGGTCGGAAATATGTGCATATGTATGTATATGTTCCGTATTGCTGACTTGCATTTCAGCACGTACAAATTGCACTTTTTACTATTTAATTTGATTTTGATATTTTCTAAAGCATTTGTTTTTAAAATAATCATGTGTGCATCTGTAATGCATTTATTCGAAAATATGCATTTCGGAGGTCGTTATATCGTTATATAGATGTGAACTACTTATATATGCAGATATGAATATTCATGCAACATATACATACATACATACATACATATGTGCAAAGAATTACGTATGCATTGCATTAAGTATGTTTTGTTCTTTAATCAAATCCGACCGTCTAAAAGCTATTGCCATTCTAAAGACACGGATCTTTTTCTCAATTAAGACTTCAGAGCGCAGAAGCCATGTTTTAAAGTCATCGGACGTTCACTTTACCTAATTGATGGATTTATGTATAACTCATCATCACATTCCGGATCATCATCATTTGTTTGCAAACCACATACCGTTCATTGTGTAAAGTTGAGTTCTTTTTGCATTTGTTCTCATAAATTCACCTATTCACAGTTGTTAATTTAATATATATGTATAAAAGGCTTCATCCCGAATGAAGTGGACCGCGGATCGATCCATTCGAAAAAATCGAACTCTTTCTCGTTCGGAAAGAAGACACGGGACCGGTCTATTCCCAAGCCAAACGAGGTTTATATTCCACAATGCTAAAATTTGGCACGTGGGTAGTGCCCATAATTTTTTAGCAGATACTATTGAAACACATGTGCAAAGAGCTTAGAGTTATTAACAATTACTGAAATATTTTATTTTTATTTTTTTCTTTTCTTTGTAGGGCGGCTATCCGGCTCGGTTGAAGAAAGTATTAATTGTGACGGCGCCTTTATGGTTCAAGGCCCCATTCAAAATTCTCCGATTGTTTGTGCGTGAGAAATTGCGTGAACGCGTTTTCACTGTATCTGTGCCAACGTTGGGGCTGCACGTGCCTCTGAAAGCATTGCCCGTACATCTTGGCGGAGCATTGGAAATCGATCACGCCACATGGTTGCTACAGTGCCGCAAATCGATGACGAATCGTGAAGACGAACTGCTCGCCAATATTGAGCAAGCGGCTTTTAATCGAAGCAACACAACCAATACAACAAACACTAACAATATTTTGAATAACACCGTTACCGTTAGTGGTGACATAGACAGCAACGTTAACAGCAACATAAATACGACGACAACAACAGTCACACTCACAAACGACGATTACAGCCGACGGTTATTGAGTGGTGAGGAGCCCAACGAAAATATTACAATAAACGGCTTGTGTACAGTCATTGGTGCCCCGGCAACCGGTTTAAATCAAAGTACTAATTGCAATACAACGGCATCGTTGGCTGCGTGCAACCAAATTGATTCAGAGTCGGTGGTAGTTGCGTCAGGAGCGGTGCCGACAGTCGGTGTTCCAGTGGTGAACGGTTTAGATGCAAGTGGACCTCAAGGATCTGCTGCTTTGGTGAATGGTGTTGCTGTACCGGCTGTAGCAGTTACCAGTAACGGCAGCTCGAACGGCTCATCCGGCTTGAGTGATTTGTGGTCGGAAAACCCGCCAAGTAGTGCTTCGTCGGGGTTTAGTGATGACGACAGCCTGGCTGGGCAGGAGGGATATCCAAAAACAATTGAACAAATTGTTCAAATGGTAAAGGAGCTCGGACGAAAGGGTCTGGTAAAGGAGTATGCCGAAATACGGAACCGAGCGCCCGAGGGCACATTTGTATATGCAAGGTTCGTGGTCTCACAAACTTGTGAACAAACATACAAGAAATCCAATTGTAAAAATATCTTTATATACATATATATTTCTTAACAGAATGCGGAATAACCTGACTAAAAATCGCTACACAGATGTCCTTTGCTATGATCATAGTAGAGTTGTGCTATCTAGGGATGATGGCGAAGACTATATAAACGCAAATTTTGTCGACGGATACAAACAAAAGAATGCCTATATTTCAACACAAGGTAATTGAACAGTTTGACAGACGTGTCTTCACATTTATGTACGTACACGTATGTCGCAGCTGACGTAATTCTATATGTCGTTTACATTAGTAAATAATTTTCGATTCTCTTTTGAAGTGTATTTTTATTGATCCAAATTTGGTCACTGAAGCCATAAAACTACTAACGGAGGTTCGAAATTCTCAACAGAATTGTTTACGCTCCATCTACACTGTAGCTTATCATTGCTTTGATTCGCTGTATGATTTGAAAGTGTTTTTGCTTTCGAGCAACGATATTCTCTTGCAAAAATATTAATGTTTTGCAAATTTTGTAAGAAGAATCTACAATACACTAAAATATATTTTGAAGTGTTTTGTTTTTTTAACTATGTTGTCTTCGGAAAAGAAAAACAAAAAAAAACGTAGGCTCTGTAATAAAAATGTATTTATTTGTGCGTAAAATATAATTTAAGAGTAATCATGATAGCAAACTTAAATTTAGTGAACTTTATGCAGATTATCGCACACCTCCACGAAATTGACTGCAAAGGCCAAAGAGCTGTGAATAATCTGATACTCAGAAATAAACGTAACATGCCAAACTCTGTAAAATTAAAGTTATTTGGTGTGAATGTTTCTATTAAAGGTGCAGATACCCCATCAACTACAACATTTTTATGTTATTTACCTAACTGTCTATTTGTTTGACTGTATGCTTATAATGCGTGAAATTAATTTTGAGAGTCACCGCTCAATATCTAAATTTAAATATGAGAAAAAACTCTCCTACTTCGCGCCATAATGAAATTATTACCGGAAATCGCATTTACGTGTTGATTTGAGTCAGACTCAAGTAATTGTGATAGGGTTCAAATATCAAAATCCTATGTACATATATAGATATATTGAAGAATTATTGGGTACTCGCTGCCAAATCATTGATACAATCGGTTGATTGATAATAACTATTTTTGTTATACTTTTTGCAGGCCCATTACCAAAAACATCGCAAGATTTTTGGCGCATGATATGGGAGCAGCATTGTTTAGTTGTTGTAATGACAACTCGTGTTATGGAGCGTGGGCGTGTTAAATGTGGTCAATACTGGGAGCCGACTGAGAATAGTTCCTTGGAGTTTGGAAATTTCCATGTGCGAACACTTAGTATAGAAATAAATGAAGATTACACAGTAGCATCATTAGAATTGAAAAATCTTAAGGTAAGATAAAATTACAGTTGGGTTGCTTTATTCTTGTTTTAGGTTCGCTTGTGCCAAATGCAAATGTTGAACACAGTTTTTCCTTTATTTTGTAGACTGACGAAATTAGAAACGTTTCGCATTGGCAATTCACCAGTTGGCCCGATTATGGTGTACCGAGCACTGCAATGGCCATGCTAAATTTTCTTCAAAAAGTGCGCGAAAAGCAGGCAAATATGGTGAAAGCATTGGGTGACACCTGGGCCGGTCATCCGCGCGGGCCACCAATAGTGGTGCACTGTAGTGCGGGCATAGGTCGAACAGGTAAAAATGAAGAAGAAATTATATATTTACGTATTAAATATTATTTCATTGTAATCTCAGGTACGTTTATAACATTGGATATATGCATATCGCGTCTGGAGGATGTTGGAACGGCCGACATTCGTGGAACCGTGGAAAAAATTCGTTCTCAGCGTGCCTATTCTATACAAATGCCCGATCAATATGTATTCTGTCACCTGGCCCTAATTGAGTACGCAGTGTCACGGGGCATGCTAAAATCAGTGGATTTAACGGGCTTTGATGATCGAGATGAAGATTCTGACTAAGGACTAACTGGGTGAGAGTGTGAAGGAAATATATCTCCAATAGAAAGATTTGATGTCACTTCTTCATTACGAATGGCAGGGACATTTAAAAAACAATAGTGATTTAGCTGACGTCGAAAAGCGGATCCAAAGCTAAAATAAATGCTGATGCGCAAGCTTTCTTAAAATCGTAGCTGTATAATTTAAAGTAAATGTAAACATTTAGATGTTTTGTTGTTTCATTTCGTTTCATCTTAGAGAAGTGAAATCTTTATTGTATACAGATAAAAATTGATTTAAATTATAACTTTAGTTCTATAGAACCATAATGAATAATTACTGTTTATATTTAATGCATATAACATTTAAATTAAATAATAGTAAAATATGGCAAGGATATAAGAAATAATAAAATTGGCATAGATGTATAATATAGTTTTAAACAATAAATTTAAACAATCCCTAAAAATGAACTTTTAAATAGTTTTTTAGGATCATATATAGTAAACCATCTGAATGTACTTAAACTCGTCGAAATGAAGTCGTAATTTGGCGCTTTAGCAAAAAAAAAAAACGGAAAAACAACTGATTTACTATTATAGTTCTTAAAGCAATTACACATAGTACTTCATCTGGTATTAAATAACTTGGAATGAAGGTATTTGCTGAGAAGCTCAATAAGCTTAAAAAACACAAATGAGCATGAGAAATAACGAAAATTTTAAATCATTTAAAAAGTATGCCGGTTAGACGAAGTGGAAAACGTATTTGCTTCAAAAATTTTTTGAACTATTGCTATGTATATTAACTTATTTAATCAGATTGGTGATGTTGCAAAATACAACGAAACGAGGAAAACTACAATAACAGCAAAAAATAATTGAAGTAAGTAAGGAAAAGTATATGATGTATAATCCAAAGCCAAACAATGTACGGAGGCTATCGGGTAACAGGAAAAACCCATGATAATAAACTGAAATACGCAAACGCCAATAAAAAACCGTCCTCCAAAGAGCTCAAAACATAAATACAGTTTTCCTATGAACACACAATTCAATGTAAGCGAGCAAATGTATATTAAAAAAAGGAAGTGAAGGATTTCATACTAATTTTCAATCCCTCATTTGTAATATCTATTATTTTATGTTGTTAAAAGTCAGTTGAATAAATTTTCTTAAAAAACTCATACGGATGAGTGACACTAAATAAAGATTTCTTCCGTTAACTTGTGGAGGTATGTCTTGAGCTCTGAACGTTTTTTCGTAGAAAAGAACGAGTTCAGCTCATGATTATTTATTGCATTGAAAGTAAATAAAAAAAACATATTCTATAATAAATTCGCATATGTCCATTACATACCCGTCACTGTGCCAACAAAAACTGTTCCTGATCCCTAATGAGCAATACAAATTTTGCGCATCACATATGAAAGCCTAGTGTTTTGAGGCTATGTGTTGAACGGGTTTGTTTGTCCACATTATTTTGGTTAGGTCTTTGTAAACTGTGAAGAAGTTAAAAAATTTCTTCAAAATTCGTTGAGTGGTTAACAATAGGGGCCGCAAACAATAAGACTCAGAGAATATTGGAGATTTTTACTTTCAAAATATTGCATTTTCATTATGATAACGATGTCGTGCTTATGTATCTGTTTTGTTTATCTTTTGAAATAATTTTCTAGCAATATTAAAAATATAAAAATTATGTCCATCACCTATTTATCATACGTGGTCGGTTTATCATTGTGTCGAGGCAATGTCGATTGTATGCTAATTATTCAGTGTTTTTGAATTTTAACCAATAACTCATTTTTTGATTACGCCGAAACATTTACCGAGTCAATATTATTGCCAAATCGCTTAGACTTTACGAATGACATGGAGCAATATTTGGTTGCATATAAGGCGGTGTTATGCTTTGCGCTCCGGTTTAATGAAGTTGAAATGTTTCTGATACAATTTCTGGTAACATAAAAATTGACGCTATTTTATTTAACCCTAAGCAATTCACATATACATACTAATAAATGAATTCAATAGAAATCAAATCTATCATTGTACATTTTTATACAATATTAGACAATTAAGTAGCAGCAATTTAGCAAGCTGATAATTATATAGAAACAGAATAGCTTGCGCTGATGGAAGTAAACAAAGAAAAAATAAATAAATAATTTAAAAAAATAATGGTAGTGTGTTATTTTTGAGGTATAAGGAATGTGAACACTTTTAAATAAGGAAAACTTTTCATTTTAATGAATAAAAATTATGCATAACAATGATTAAAAGCACGTTCTAGTGTTAGCTGCTTATGACGAGCGTCCTAGAAAACTTGGAGTCCATTTCTTAACCATTGGTTTGGATTTTGCTTGCTCTTCTCGTTCTCTCTCTTGCATTTGCTCTAATAAAAGCCGCTGATTCTCTCGAAATTGAGCGATAGGATCGTCGAATTGCCGATAGTAGTGCAGAACATCACGAACATCTTCCACCTCAGCAGAAGCAAGGACTGGAATATTATAGATACAATTAAATAACAATAGATTTTAGAGTAAATTCGCATACATTTCAGAAATGAAATCAAGTCAAGCAATTGCGAGTCGTCGTCATTGCCCAGCCATCTTGCAATGTTGAATGTATTATCGGGATGCATTTTTGTTGCATTTTGATCCCAATCCACAACAATCACCTAAATAAACATTTTTTTATATAATCAACTATTGAAGCCAATGTCAAACTTAGAAATGCGGTAAGTATTCATTTCACTCGTCCTAGTCCTTATTACGCATTTCATTTAACAAAAAATTACCTTTCTTAAATCTCTATTTAAATTATCTAGATTTTTAACATGATGCCCGTCAACAAAATGAGTGGCATCGCGTACTAAGCGGTACATGATGTAGCCGTTCGGGTCTAGAGCATCCAATATTGGGAAAACTGTCATTCCTTGTTCTGCTGTAAATACGACGATTTCGAAATGCTTTGCACACTCTTGTAGAAAATGATCTACCCCAGGACGTTTCTTAAACCGCCACCCAGTTTGGTATGTCCAATCAGGATGTACTAGAACATCTTTCATTTCAAGTACTAATGTATATGGCGGCTGTACATAGGGATATTTCAGAGGGTCAGGCAAAAGTTTTTCCCGTGATGGTTCTTGAATCATCTTTTGATAGTAATTCATAGACTGCCACATTCTTTGAATGTACTGCTGAACAACTGGACTTTTACTAAATTCATCTTCAATAATTTGTCCCTCAGCATCTATCTCCGGCTTCCCGAACTCATACACAGCCCAAACGACGAGAGCAATACCACTTCCTCCGAACACTGCAAATCTATATAACGAGTTTGTGATAAGAACTTGAGCCTAATATTAAAATATACATAATCAACATGCGTTACATATTACGCAAGTGTATGATAATCACCCAATCTTCATACGTTTCCAAGCCTTTTCATTTTCCTTTGCCTCTTCCTCCTCTTTCCGTTTCCTTTCTCTTTCAGTCTCCTCATCAACATTAGCCGCGGTTTGCGGGAAGAGTTTTGACAAAATTTCTGGGCTTGACGCCTTTCCTAAACGTTATAGGAATCAATAATTTTGTTTATAAAAATACATACATATGTATATAGATGTGTTACAAACCTGTATTTTCTGTTGCGAAAAACCTTCCATATTGTTGGTATTCCAGTTTTTGTTTAAAAGTAGCCAATGGCGCAGAAATCTGTGGCCTTCCACTCCAAAAGTGATTACTCAACGCACGTCGATTCTTTACCCCATTTCCAATCTGCAACGGCAATTTCGAACCATATCCCAACCTTTGAATTACATTAAGGATTCCTTTTTGTGCCATTACTCTTTCCTACACCAGCAATTTCTTTTTTTTATTGATAAACTTCACTTTAAACGTACTTTTAGTTCATCACGCCGGCTATATAATATACATGAATAGATGGTAACCTTCAATCTCGTGCAGCTGAAATATCAAAATTTTCATTTCAGTGCCAAATTTGACACAAAGTTGCCGTAGTATTTGAAATGAATTGTCGATTATATCGAACATTGGGCAACACCGATTCGGCAAATAGAATTAACATCGCACTTATAAAATTTTGTGTACGATTCCGGCAAAAACCCAATGTAAATCTTATTTCGTCCGAAAATCGCATCAGTGGCTACAAGCGCCAATTACTAAACATTGCTGTTTTAATAACAACATTCCTAATAAATTATGTGTGATTTTGTGAAATCTACTACATTCTGTGCTGATAGCTAGCACACTGAACGCACCTTGAATGTCAATGCGTGGTAGGAGCATAAAGCATTTCCATTATTTCGCGGAATAGTTTTGATTTGTTTATGTTGATTTGTAATTTATAATCTTCACTGAAAAAAAGAGATCAAATACACTTTTATACGAAACTAAAGATGGTTTCTGAGTGCAATGATGATGAAGTCGTGGTGTGTCGAGCTTGCATAAGCGAATGTGTGGAGTACAAATCGTTGTACAAGCAAGGCATTTTCATGGGTGAAGTGCATACTTTGGCGTCAATGCTGGGTTTCATCACAAACATGGAGATCACCAATGCCGATATAGAGAGTTTACCCACTAATATTTGTGTGCGTTGCGTCCAAAATATTGCCAAATGTTATGCTTTTAAGAAAATGGTATTGGAAACAGATGAAGTTCTGCGAAAGCAATATGCAGAACTTGACTGTGAGGTTGGCATAACATTTACCAGTGGTGAGGGCAGTGTAATTGAGGACATTGAAACGGAGTCAGCGGATTCAATAGTAGAAGAGCAACATCTGGATGCTGAAGAGGGAACGGATGTAGACGAAACGGAACAGCTACATGAACTTGCAACGGCAGCTCAATTCAAGAAATCTATAGACAATATGGAATATGTTGCTCTGACAGTACTGGAAGGATTTGTAGAAGGGGATGATACAACAGTATCCGTAGATCAATCGCAAAATAATATGGATCATGAGCAAAACTGCGAGGAAGAGGAAGTGGTGGTTCATGAAGTTGCAGAATCGGAGGAAGTATACCATTCAGACGCAGATGTAGATGGTAGAGAAAGAGCGTATGAAGAAGTGTACGAGGTAAAACTATTGGAAGAAATTGACGAACGTCCAGAAATACGAACAAATTTAAAAAGGCCCATAATGGTGACGAAAACAGAGGATATGGACGTTGATTGGGTCGTAGATCGAGATCCAAAAATAAATATTCCAACAAAAACTAGAAAAAAAAGCAACCAACCAAAGACGCCAAATCCCGATTTACAATGCAAGGTAAGAAAAAATAATATAATAATAATAATAAAAAATCTATTAAAAAAAGAGTTTCGTTTAACGTTTAGGTTTGTGGAAAGCAATTGAGTAATCAAAACTCATTTAAATACCATATGCAACTGCATTCCGATGCAACACCTTATCTGTGCAGTCTGTGTGGAGAAGGTTTTAAGACGCGTAATGCTTATGAAGGGCATATAGTTATACACGATCCAAATAATCCCAATACATGTGAGCTTTGTGGCAAATCATATCGTCAGTCATCCTCCTTACGGACACACATGCTGTCACACACGGGCGAACGGCCATTCCAGTGCGACATATGCGGCAAATCTATGACTCAAAAGTCTGGCTATAAGAAACACATGCTCGTCCATACGGGTGAGAAGCCGCACGCATGTGATATTTGTGGTCGAGAGTTTAGATATTCAAGCAACCTTATCGCACACAAACGATGTCACTCAGGAGAGCGACCATATGAATGTTCCATTTGCAAACGGGGATTCCCAACGTCTGAGCAAATGAAGAGGCATTCATTAGTGCACACTGGTGAAAGACCATTTCAATGTGAAATATGCAACAAACGATTCAAAAGGCGCACATCATTAATGTCCCATCGGCACACACATGACTCGGAGCCGGAATTGATTGTTGATCATAAAGTGTGTAAATCAAATGTCGTAGAAATGTTTTGAAATTTTGAAAAGAATAAAGCGAGATATATGAGTACATAGTATTTAAATTAATTCTATTAAATGTAATTTGTTTATTAAATAAGTATTTGTAGATTCATACAAAGTTTTTATGGAAGAGTGGTCACTTGCGATTACTAATTGAAGGAAAGCATAACAGTAGTACCAAATAATTTATAAAATGGCTAATCACGTTGTAAATCCCAGATAATTGCGAATTTTAAGATTTTTAATTTTAAGCGATTTCAAGACCTTTAATGCAATTTATACAGTTTAAATATTTTATTAAGTTTACTTATCCTTTTAAAATAAATTAAACACATCGCTACTTACAAGCTTATATTTTATTTGCCATGTCTTATCTACACACATATTTATATATATACATACATACAGGAGTTTTTTAAGATAAATTCTTCACAGTTGAAGCAGTTTCTTGTTGATATATGTTTTTTTTTTATTATACAACACACATTGCAAACAGAATATGTCTCTCATATTCTCTGATACGTATAAATATAGTTGGAGAAATAACAACTTATGTAGATAATATAAATTTTTTGTGTTAGGTTTAGGCATAAAACATAAACGCATAGTCGTCTCCGCGAGAAAATCTGTTAGTCTGCTACGACTATTTGTCAGGGTATATTGTTACAAATTAAACAAATTAATACAATTTATCACAAAATAACTTTTAGCGCATTTCATTCTATAATTTATATGAAAATATAGGATTATGTCTATCCATTAAAAAAAGGAACAAAAAAAAATTATCATGTTTTGAAAACACTTGAAAATCATTGTTTGTGCAGGTGCTTGACCCATCAACTATGACGCATTTTCTCACGACTGTTGCCTCGTTCAATGTACCAGTTTTTGTTACGTTGGCGATACTCATTCTCATGCCGTGATGTTTCGCGTTGCTTCATTAGTTTCTCATGCCATTCGCCACTTTTAGGCGATTGTTCATCGGAATCGAAGTATTTCCTCTCCCTTGAGTTTTTATCAAATTTTCGTTCTTTTTGATAACGTTCGCTGTATTTATTGCCATTTTTACGTTCTTTATCGTTTTTGTTATACCTCTCTTTAGAATTAAACGGTTTCTTTTTAAAATCTTCAATCGAAGCTTCATCGTCTTCGTCACTAAATTCATCCTCATCGCTTTTGTTACCATCTTTGTACAAATTTTTGTGCTGCTTCCAATGTTTTTGTGTATCGTACTTTTTCTCCGAACTATCGCGTTCTTTAGAGTTTCTATTACCTGTGTTTATAAATTTCTTGTTTCTATTATATTCAGTTTCAAGCTCGCTTGTGTCAACCTTACTGCCCTTAAAGCCTGGTTTGTTTATATTGGCATTAGGGGCACTGTCGGTAGCCGAATCTTCATTCAATGATTGTATTCCTTCAACTATTTGCTCAATCACTATATCATCGACTACATTGATGATATCTTCTACATTTTTAATGTTCGGTTCTATTTTTTCTATACACATGCCTGCCATTTCCACGTAATTTCCATTTGGACATTTGAACGGTTTCCTTAGATCTTCTTTTGTTATCTCTACGGGATCAAGATTATTCCCATTGCCAGGCCAAGCTTTAAAACTTTTATCCTTCTGCTTCATTATCCATTCACCAGTTTGCTTGAAATGACGATGTTGATACTTTGGTCCCTTTTCCACATTGTCTCTATTAATTGCGCTGTTTTCACTTAAGTCACTTAAATATTTTACTTGTCTAGATAGAATATCAATTTCCGCGCGCATTAAATTATTTTGCAGTTCCAAATCTGTTAACTTTTGTTCCAATACAGACAAGTAGCTATTGGTAGGCAACAGTTGCCAATCAGGGTTAAGCAATTTGCCTATAAAAGCTAGTGTTGCTAAAAACACACAAACTATGAAGGCAGTTTTCAAACTATGTCGCACAAAAGGATATACACTGTTTCCTACTACGGTGTCATCTTTTTCCTGCAGAGATTTATCATTTGCAGCTCCGTTAGAGCTGGAGCGGCGAATACGTCGTTGTCTTAGTGCATTTTCATCCGAAGAGTTGACACTTGATGATGGCAAGTGGGATTGTGGTATGCGAATAGGAAAGCGAAACTTTTCGTCTAGGTGAACATTTTCATGATTAGAATAACCACTTAAATTTAGATCGGTTAAATTTGCCTCAGTTTCAATAGGCGAAGCTCGACCAGCACTTTCACTTTCGCTTATGATTGATATGCCTTCAGAAACGTCGTCAACATTGGAGTCATCATCCGTACGGTACCTGTAAAAAATAACTTATAGAACAAGAATCAAAATATAAGTTTACATTTACAAACCCAGTATTTTCATGAGACTCTTTGTTCACATTCGAGCTGCTGGAAGTAGTTAGTATTTCAATTCTATTATTTGCATTTACAAGCTCAGTGGATGCTGTTAATTCGTCTTTCTTTCTATTTTTATCATTCACTAATGTCCATGTTTCTAAGGAATCCGACTCAGTCGAAGTTGTTATTGACTCGTCATCAGTATGAGGAGTTGACGTGGCCTTCTGTGTTAGGTTCTCGGCTGAATCGCTCATATTTCTGTGATATATCAATCTAAAAGAAATATTTTTGTAATTTTTTTATTATTTTGAAGTTTTTATTTAATATATTTGTCTTAGGTACACATAAGTAAGATTCCTATAAATATTACTTTGAGAGGGTATATTCCAAGTAAAATATTATAATTTTTTTTTTGTTGTTAAATCACTAACAGCGAGTCAGTTTCTGCGAGCCTCTCAGAAAAACTATTACTTTAAAACTTTTGCAGAACATTTCACTATGAACAAAAGATACGGGTATTTTCTTTGTCTATGCACAAGAATAATTGCAATACGCCTATTTGTACATACATATGTATGCATGTGTGCCTACGTTAAACAATTTAAGTGCAGTAAATATTGATGTGTGAGGCCTTCTATTTTTGTATACAAGTGTTACATAGGTAGTCTAGACAAACGCACAAATATCAATATATATATGTAAATGTGCTCGAATTATTTTGAGTAATTTGCATTGCCCTAGAAGTTCATTGTTTTATTTGGCTTGCCTTTGTTATAAAATTATAAATTTTACTGCAAAGAAATATGTGTGTATGTACATATGGGTACTGTGAGCGCTAATACTTGATTAAGGATGCAACCCAGCTGTATAAACACATTTTTAAGCTAAAACTACCTACTAACAAATTGAAATTTATCTTCCATAAAAAGTCCGTTACTATTATTAAAACCGTATACACAACAGCGATGATAGGTTTATATATATACATTCGTATGCAAATTAAGATAATACCTTATTATCTACTACTACTTACATTGCGCAGAAATTAATATATTTCTATGTATATACAAAAAAGTATATTACATCAAATTCGACCTTGACTTTTATCAAAACTTGTAGTGCTAATGAATATCATTATTTGCCGACTCTTTTCGTGGTTTAAATGCCTAAAATGTTTATACCGAATTACTGCAGATTAAAAATTTCAAGCACTTAAAAATCATAACATACAAAAGCGAAATTTTCTGTAACACTGCCAAATGAAGAAAAACAGAAATATGTCAAAATACAAGTTCTTGTAGAGTTGCCATCATTCACAAAAAATGGACTGCTAAATCATTAAGGCTGATTCACATGGAAATATTGTATCGTTGCGCTGTCGAATTTCATTTTAAGATGTCGAATTATTTTTCATAAATTTTATATAGCATATATACTATTCATATGTATAAATTATTTATATTCATATATATATATATATATAATATATATATATATTATATTCGCAGAATATAAATTATTAGGTTAGTTGGAGAATAATTTTATGATAACCTTTATTTAACCCCAAGCACTACATTGTCTTACTTACCCACCAGATTTCACCCAAATTTGTTATCCATTTGCAAAATATCCCGCAGATATGAAAAAAAATACCTATTGACTCGTGTATTTTTATTTATTTATTTATTTTTGAAAACGCTTTTCAAAAATACCTTTTATAGGCAAGTGTAGCAGAATTGTTTCCAATGAGTGCTGAAGCATTAATGTTAAAATCTCAATTATATAATATATATTATAAGCACGCAAAATAAGTGGAGAACTTTTTGTATACTAAAAATAAATATATTTACCTAGATAAGAATACAGTAGTATACATATTTATAACTAACATATATATGTCTGTACATCTTATATAGCATTTCATGATAATAAACGAGATAATTTCTTCTTGAGATTACTGATCAATTGGTTCCCTCTGAACTCACCACTATTTCTAGGATTCTCCATAATTCGTTGAACTTCACCAGCTTCGGAGCCACTTTCCCATTCGTAAGGATTTTGGTTGTTCAATTCACTAAATCTACCCGATGAAAGCTTCATTTGGCTCTGGCGATTAATTGGTGTTCTTCGTTCGGTTATTGTTGTTGGCTGTTGAATTTTGTGGTTTATTGATGTATTTGAATTGTTCTTTACATTGGGGTTATTCGATAATTCCATTCTAGTAGCAGGCACAGGTTGAAATTGCTTCAGAACATATCGTGGGCTGCTGAGATTAACTGGTGGCTGTAGAGTCGTGGTATACTGTTGCAATCGCTGATTATTAGGCGTCCAATATATTTGACTCGTCTGTTGACTTGAGTGATCAAGTATCAAAGGAGTACTGCGGCCGTTGTGTAGCCTTTGTTGCAATTGTTGTTTCGGCAGAGGTTCACGAACACTTATGTAGCCATAAGCGCCTGGAACCGATTGCAAATTGTACGGCCGAACGTAGTGTGGTTGCGCGTAGATTTCATTCTGTCCGGGGTAATAGCTGATTACTTGGGTTGCAGGCACTAATTTATCGCCGTCGACGAGCACGTATTGAGGAGTTGGCAAGCTGCCACGCTCAACGTATATTGCTGGTGTCGCCTCGACATCTCTTCGTACCAAATTAAGTTTTTGTGGACTGTCGTAAATTTCAGAATTGTTTGAGAGTAAACTGCTACGCTTCACCACATGTGCGTATATAGGTGACGATGTAAGAGGATTTACTTCACCTAAAACTTGGCCATTGCTGTTTATCGGTATGAATTGTTGAGGCAAGCTTTGCATGCGTTGTGGAACTTGTGGCGCGGCATACATGCGTGACGCAGGCCGTTGTGTTCCTTCGACGGAGGCATATGATACTGGTGACAAGTCAGATGGACCGAGGTGTGTTTTGTGTATCACCTGGATTTGGGGCTGTTGAATCGTAGGTGTTTTATTTATAGACTTTCTACAAAAATCTTTTACTCTTTGCAAAATCTCATCTCGCGTTAGTAATCCACCAATGCGACGCTGTTCTACGGGTAGCGGCGCCTCAGTTGTTGCACCGTTTTCTTTTTTTCGCAGCACAACAGGCGTGTCAAGCTCACTTTCGTAAGCCTTTCTGTTCACATTACTGCCGTACCTGTGCGCTAAGGTCATATTGTCTAAAACGCTTTGACTGCGGGGCGTGGCCTCGATAATATCTTGGTCAATATTAGAAACGGACTGGATATTAACAAGGTGTGTTGACGGCATTAGTGCTCTACCGTCAATAATCTTAGCTTGGCGATTTTTGGTTGACCCGGCAAAAGTATTCCTTTGTGGCGAGCCTCTAATGAAATTGTTTTCCACCGATCTCGGGAGCATTGTTATATTTGTTGGCTGCGTTATTATTATTTGTTGAGGCTGAAGACGTTCGTAGATATTTTCTGCGGCTCTTTGTTGTTGGTTTTGTGCCTCCAACATCCGTAAATATAACTCGTTATCCATACGCTCTTTTAACGCCTTTAACCGCTCCCATTCTTGTTGATCAACGTATATTTTATTTGAGGGCTTCACATTTTGTGTATAACCCTGATTTTCACTATCACCATTGGCATTTCGGATGGGTGTTGATGTTGATTTAGGTCCGTTCAGAGTTGAAAATGGTTGCTCGCGTATGTTTTCCTTAGAAGTTAGTGGTGTTGACACCTTGGAAGCTTCGTTATCGCTCTTTGATCGGTTTTGAAGCTCTCGTAGTAGTCGTTTTTTTAATATTTCATTACGATCCATAGAAGCGGATCGTCCAAAGACCTGTCTTCGGTCCACTGTTTGGGTAGATCGCTTCGGTATGAGACTTTGACGCTCAACACTACGTCTGAGTGTGCCATCCGAGTCAACATCAGGATACGCCTTTGGCGGTATGTATGACATATTACTTATAGCCTGTAGGCGCTGTGGTCTCGGTTTTATTATTGTATTAGTTTGGTGGGATTGTTTTTGTGGCTGAGTGCTGCCTAATCGCTCTCGGGAATGTGAACGTCTGGAAGGTTTTACAATTGGTGTGTGAGCCTCTCGTTCTGCAGTCGAATTCTGGTCTTCGGCATTCGATAAAACACTGGATAATGAAAGAGATAGGTTTTCTCCGCTTGCGAAACTCTTCCGGGCACGTTCGTCTTGGAGTTTTAGATAATTCGTCTCGGCGGGACTCAGCAAATTATTCCCGATTGAGCGTCCATGAAAGCTTTGCCTTTCCAATACCACTCGTTTCAACGACGATTGTGGAGCGTCAGTATTTTCTTTGACATTGGCATTATAATTATTTAGCGATTTAGGTGTAGGAACGATATCTTTGGGTGTTGTCTTACGTCTAGTAGCAAAAATACTGTTAGCAAGCAAACGCTGAAATACTGATGGTTTTTTATAGCTGCGCGTAGAGTCTGTGGTATCCACGGAAATCTGTACGCTTTCAGGACTTTTAAAAGAGATACGCGGCTGGGGTTTCGGTGCCTGTGTGCCGTTTGAGTACACAGATCTGGCGCCATTCGGTATCTTCTTAGGTATCAGCGTAAGCCCTTTCTTCTCTAGATACTCATGGAACTCCTTAGATTTTATTGTGTTGGTAAATGCGCCTTCAACTGGCTGTTCTTCTTTAGTGGCCATTTTGTCAACTTCCCCCAGTTCACTTTTGCAACCCTCGTTGTTTGCCTCTTTTTGAACCAAATTCGATGTTACTTCATCACTCGATTCACTCTTCGTTAATGGACAATCCAGCTCATCGAGATCGTCGTCTGAGCTTATGTGTAGTTTCTTTACTCTGTCGTCAAACTTTTTTGCGTTCTTAGATACCTCGGCTGGGTTAAAGAAATTTCCATCTAAATCCGTGCCAACTTTGATTTTGATATCAGAGAGATCAGGATAATTTGGTTTCGAACATTTCTTGAACGGCAGCCGTGAATGTGAAAACGATGTTGCTAACGAAGGCTTATTTTTCAAATCCTTAATACGATCCTTTGTTTGATTTGACAAACGTGGTTTTTTCCCAGACTTTTTTTCAGCAAGCTCCCGCGATTCTTCACATTTTAGCCTTGCTAATATGGAGGGATCATAAACGAAGTACGGATCGGGATTTTTAATGTATGTTTTAACATATTTAGACTGATTGAGAACCTCTTCAGTGGTAACGAAATCATCAGGGGAAGAAAGGTTTGTATTTAGGCCATTGCTCGATTTTCGATTATTCGTTTCGTTCTTAACCCTTTCCCTCTCCTTTTCTTTTTCACGCTCTCTTTCTCTTAGCTGTTGAGTTACTGTCTTTCTCACACTCAACGTTGACCGCTTGGTTGGGACTGGCGGTGGTGTCTTTTTCTTCTTAACAGAATTTCCCCAAGTAGAATAGTGCTGTTTAAAAGGGTTTTTCTGGTCTACAATAGGTTCGCCAGCTATGAATTTTCTTACTTTCTCATCTTGGGGATCGAATGAAACAGATTTCTTAAGCTTGTTGCTTGGTTGAACTGAGTCAGATTTCGAAGAAAACGACTCATCTTGAGATGTAGTATCACAGGTTTCATACAAATATTTGTCGGCCTCGTCGTTGTCAGTTTTACAAATCTTCTTCGGTTCGAGACTCTCGTTTGAATTAAAGTTATCTTCTTTGTGAGGTACGCTTACATTTTCTGTTATGATATTTTCATTATCTGCACCCTTGTCGAGGTTACTGCTTGGCTTATGTATTTGAGAGTTAGTGCTGCGATTTCCACTGAAGTTCTCTATAACGGTGCATAGTGATTCTGTACTGGCATCATTTCTAACAGCTTCTGTCATTTTTTCGGAGGAAAGCTCCAAGATCGCATAAGTGCTCAAAGAACGAGGTGAAAAGTGGAGAGGGTAGTGGAAAGCGGTGTGGATCGATTAAAATGTTGTGTTGCATTGAAGATTTTTCGTAAAACTCTTAACATTTATATACGCCCAGTAGTTCTGTGGATGAAGATGGAGATGGAAGTGAATTTTCGTTTTAATTATATATACATACAAGTATACTATATATAATGTCTGCATATATACGTGGATAAAATATGGAATGGTGTCTGTTCCTTTCGGAAAAAAATGAACAATTTCGTACAGGTACATAATTTTAGAATTTCATGGAGCTTTTACAATATTTTGCTAGCATAAACTTGTGTATAAATATGTGCATAAAAATATTACGTTCGTTTGTTAAAGTCTGCAAGTCGGATCTCGAAAAGTTACCCACTTATTGACTTGAAATTTTCTGAGACTATTTCTATAGTTCCCGGAAAGGTTTATACCAAAAAAAAGGGACATACCAGAGAACTGTGAGGCCGGTAAACTTTTGCACTTGACGTGGGCATACCTCTTTTCGCCAAAGTATCTGTTTCGCCAGAATGTCCCCACAGCAGATGACGGTGTGACACCACGCACAAGACAAGACAAATCTGGTCATTGGTGGAAGTGAATAGAACTAATTCTTTATTTCTTCTAAAGAGTACTAACATAAGTATAACAAACCGCGAAACAACGGAACACTGTATAATTGGGAATCATGATAGAAGGATGAGTTGCTTTTCAAACGACATAGAGGAGGAGGAATCGGCAAAACACCATTCGTTATCGTTTTCTCAAAAGCTTTTTCATTGATTGGTGTTCATATCCTTGCATCTGTGGGCATCATTAATCTTCTAAACTTCGTAAAATATACCAAGTGATTTCAGCATTGGGTAAAGGTGAGAGAGTTCTCCTTCACAGGACTAAGAAAGGTATTACAATGGGCTAACACAGCTAAGTGTACGTGATCACAGTTTCTTGATCGAAAAAACTGTTTAACTAACCGACTGACTATATTACCAAATTTCAATATAATAATAGGTTAGAATATATTGAAATGTTTTGAACAATGTTGTCGACTTAAACGACTCTCCCAAAAACAAACTATTTTTAAAATAATATCCTGATCTACATTAAAACGCACAGGTAGATATAGCAAGACCAATGGGCTCCTGATTTTCTTGAATTTGAATTGAAATTCGTTGGGCCAATCGATTCCCTTTCTGATACTTTCTAACAACTCTCTAAAGTTACTAAATTTTTGACATTTAAACAATATTAAAACACTCTACATACGAGAAATTTTTATTTAAAAGTGGAGGATTTTTTTCAAGAAAAGACGCGAAGGAGATGAAGCCTACTGCAAAGAGAGAATGAAACTATTTTCGAATTATTGTATCATCACATATCACATCAATAATTTAATAAAAAAAAATAATGTTTTATTTTGGAGGATGTTTAATTTGGGTCTTTTATATTTTGAAATACCAATTAGAAAAGAAATTGGACAAAATACAAAAAGCCACATTGACGAGCGGCTGCGTTTGCTAGTTCAATATATGTAGATATCATTAAATCACCTTTGACTTTACTCCGTTTTTTTGAAGCTTTCATTTTCTATATCCTGTTTCGGATCGTTAATTTGAACTAAAAATAGAATCCGATTTTTTTTAGTTATCAGTAGTATTCATTATAGAACCCCTCCCCTGTATCAGCCAAATAAAGTAGAGGTAGTCTTTACAACTGCAAAGGGACTTATTATACCACGATATCGTTTCCTCTTGGCAAGGTATTCCTCATCGTGTCAGGTTTTCGTTTGAATCGGCGAATATGGTTTGTTTCCCTTGCATCGATACCTACGGAGCAGTTGGAAGACAAATCCTTAGTTTATATTTATGTATATCTCATATTGTTAGCACAAGCGCTCCCAGAGAGCAGGAGTACACAAGACTGCGGTCGCGAGTCCAATTAAAAAACTTCAATTAAAAAATTACACTTACGAATGTCTCCAACATATTGTTATTAGCGATCGTGTTGCACATAAATACAATACATATGAATGCACAATAGTACGAGTGTTTCCTTACTTAAATATAAGGGTAATTGTACAGCACTGCGGCTGATCGTGTCACAGATTTTACTAAGCTTCGTCGAAGCTAAGTAAATTTTAGTTTATTTAAACACGAATGGAAACTTATGTGCGGTTTCAGAAAGCGTTTGCTATTGAGGTTACATTCTCATATACACATATGTACATAATAAGTACGCTTTATGTAGACTTAAAGAATGAAAAGATTGAAAACTGATCGTAACTGATTATAATGTTGTTTGCATACAAAATGACATTCGTACACAAATAAATATATATATATTGTATATGTACTTGTATACGGGGAATGGATGAGGTTGAGGTTTTTGTGGTCTGGTACACCTTAGGCCATCCGAAGCACAGGAAGACCGTTAAACTATAAATCTGCATTCGTATCTTACAATTGTAGAGAGTTCATAAATATGTACACACATGTACATCTGTACAAACATATGTTATATACATATACCAGATGTACATTAACGCGCAACATCTAGGAAGATTGTCTTCGATTAAAAGGCCACAAAAAGCGAGTGAAAGGTCGTAGTTTTTGCGGCTTTCATGCTTCGATAGCTTATGGTGGTTAGATGTTTTTCTGCGTTACGTAAAAATGGGTTAGTCTTTGAACAGATTAAAGCCACAGCGTATATGTATATATGTAAATATATGTACGTGTAATGAGGTTTAATCAAGTTCATGTAGCTTAAAGATAGGAATTGGTACTTTAATATTGAAATTTCTTTTAGTGAAGTAAGAGGCGAACACAGCGTTCTAGTCACTACCACAGTGTTACTAAAAGACTTGTTTTGTATGCGAATGGAGGAAATGACTGAAGGCTATTCTGCTCAGCTACCTCCAACCCAATCTAAGAAATAAACTATAGTTAAAGAGCTCAACAGCTGCGGGTTCGATGTGTGCTTGTAGAGTTTGGTGTTTGCTCAGAGAGAGAGAACAAGAACATGGTTTAATTCATTTATTTCTTCAAGTTGGAGAAAGCCGAACAAATGTGAGGTTGTTGAGAACAAGGATGAGTTAGCAGTATGAGCTATACGAGAAAATTGTAGCTTTTCGATTCAGCACTGCAGTTCGTATCTCCAGCATTCGGTTTAAGATGTCAAATGAATGAGACTACTTTATCTCTCGTTTGAGCACCAAAGTTATTGAGATATCAGACACTGGTTTTCTCCCTGTTTTCAGGAGTTATTTCTCCCAACCGATTTCTGTTTTTTCTTCTACTGTATATTAAGCTCGCTCCCTTTCCAAGCTCTCCTCCTGTCGCCTAGAAAAAAGTATGAGCATACATAAATATGTCGATATGTCTTGGTCATGAATATGAAGTAGTATTTTATAGCAGGTGTGATTGTTTATTTCATGAATTTTGTATAAAAATATGGCGCTGACATTGTAATGCCCCCACAATGCCGGACTAAAATCACACAATCAAAACGACATATGTACGAGTATGTATGTATACGTGTATATATGCGTGGAACAACACAGTTTGTATGAACACAACACAAATACGATAAATATATTGGGTTATCCATTTCGACGTTTCTAAAGTACAGGGCTATATTTTGACATGTGTCAAACTTAACTGTCAAACCACATATGTTATGTTTCAGAGTCGAAAATTACCTTAAACGGATCGAAGTTTGAAAAAAATTGCAAAACGGAAGACTTTGTATAATACATATGTATGTACGTAAGCCGGTTAATATTAGCTCCATCTTATTTGTTTGCCAATTTTTTTTGTAGTAATAATATTTAAAATTGTCCTCAAATATGTTGGAATATGAAAATTTTCGAAGAGCACAAATAGGAAGAATTGTCTTTTTGCCTTCGCAGCAAGTCAAACAAAGATATTTACATCACCAAATGGGAAATTTGTATTGCCATGAAGGGGCGAAAATAGACTTAATTTACTTGCATACATTTATACAATCCTACACGCACATATTGCCGAAGCAATAAAAATAATTTCGGTAGCGGGGTCGACGCCGCCCTTGGAAAGTTGACAATTGAGGGTAAGTGTTTGTTGGGGTGACTGGTGGACTTTAGCTCAAGTCCATAGCGTTTGTCGCTGAGTTGTTGAGCAAGTACATAGATGTATATGTACAATTTGTGACACAAAGTGTTTCCATTGATATATTATATATAGTACATAATATAAACATTGACTGCGCCAAGAAGAGTATAAAGAATAACTTGCATAAGGTGTTTTTTTTTAGACAAATCTTGCAAATTTATTACTAAAATAATGGTCCAGTTCGCCCGACGCCTCGAGTGTTGCGTTTAATATTCATTTGACACAATCGCTCTGCGGCGTCGGTAATTCGATCCAATATCTAGTGGATAATGCGCTATTGCGGTAGGATCTTGGTTTGCGGATCACTTCAGCGGTTACAAAACGCCAATTACGTAAATAATAAACAAAACTATCACATTTGTAGAGGTAAAGCCGTCCCTCATGTTACAGCCAATGGGAAACGTTATAGATAAATAATAGATTAATGACTTTGACATGCCTGAATTCGCGACTACACGGTCTACGAAATAATGATTTTATTGCAGGACACTTTTGGTGAACAAATTATATCCCGTCGTAGGCTCCAAGATCGTGTGACTTAAAAGCACTTGTCTACGCAGAAAACCCCGAGTCGATTGACGCATCGTTACTGCTGACATGCCGTCTCAATTGCTGCAAAAAGTTGTCGAAAATTGGGCCGTCAAAAGTTGGGAAATTATTCGAGCCTACCGTGGCGAAATTATTATATAAACATAGTTGCTAGCTTAAATATTTATAATAAATCTTAAGTCTTGGCTATCAAATAAAATTATATGCGTTTTATTTCTCTTTGGAAGCTACATACCTAAAAAAAACACCCTTACATACATATGTACATACACATACATATATAAATAAATGCTTGTCTCGAAAGGTCAGTCATAGACGCTAAGTTTATTTTGGATGGTGGAAATAAAGGAATATAACTATTCAGACTGTGGCAAAATCAAAAAAAGTTATTTTGACATTATTTCT